CCCCGCTTGCTTATCTTTCCCCGCAAGGCTAATAAACTACTAATCATATTTGATACTCGTCTGATNCTTCCTTGATACTCGTATCATACCACATAACACATTAACACACTTTTTATCCGCTTACCTAATTGCTATTACGTAACCTTATACGTAATCTTCGTATCTCGTTCTCACTCCGTTACAGTGTTTTGAGAATACACATGGCTATTAGTAATCTCAATATCAGCTTACGTAAGCAAATACCCAGCTAGAAGAAGTTTGTCAACAGGAGTACCAGAAGTTCACGACAGCTCTGTGAGAATCACAACCTCAAAATAAAAATAGATGGACAAGGGTATGTTAGTAGTTCACCGAAAAGAGCCATAAGAAACAACAAGGCTAGTGAAATTAAGAAGAGGATAAAAACGACTTTAATACCTTTCCAAAGTTACAGTAGCCCCTTTATTCTCCTAGTTCAAAGTTTGTAAATAACAATGATAACATCACCTAAATTCTTTAGCGATGTTCCCCTCTCAATGCTTGACATAATGAGAGTGAAGAGTGTTATTGAAGTTGAACTACTTTTAGCCTCCATTCTTAAAGAAATGTTGTGCTAATCTTCATAGAGGCATTTTCGATTACTATCGACATGGATACATAGTGTAGAGTACTACGGATATTCATAGATATTACATTAATTAGTTTCGTAAACTTGTTATACTTTTGGTATCGAGAAAACATCTTTATATTAGCTAACTTTTAAGGAATGACCATTTTCGATTTAATCGAAAGTTCATGGGAGTAAAAACCCATGTATGTGTGTGCGTGGGCGCAAATGAAGTCTATATAAGATGCAAAGTTTGAGTACCCAAATTGAGAACCGAAAAAACGTTACGAATGAGTGAATTGAAAAAAAAGCATTGAATCATGAATGATCTGATTCAATAATTCAACACTGAACGGCCTTCAAAATTTCAATTTCAATTTCGGAACATTGAGAACCGATGCTCTCATCGTACAAGTTGTAAAAGTCTCCAGACAAGCACTTGTAGAAAGTGGTTTGTTTACCCAAGGCCAATTTCAAGCCTTCAGAATCTGCTCTCTTTGGTTTAGAGGCATCATCAGCTTGTTGCTTTGTAGTAGAGTCTTCCTTGTACGAAGATGGAACCAAAGACCAACCAGCAGCATAGATAGAACCGGCTTGTGGTGGTGGGCCATCAAATTGGAATTGTCTGTTGGCGACAATAGCACCAACTCTACCCTTAGAATCGTGGAGGACACCGTTCTTCAAAGTAACAGTCAAGGCATCAGCATCGACACAGGTTTCCAAAACAGTGGAATCAGAGTCACCACCGGCTGCGGTCTGGGCAGCAGCAGTTGCCTGGGATTGTCCATTTTGAACTTGACCGTCGCTAATTTGACTTATAGCAGAAGCAGTTTGCTTGGAAGTAGTTTGCTGTTGAACTTGGCCATCAGTAATTTGGTTGGCAACGGAAGCAGTTGTCTTAGAAGTTGTCTGTTGTTGAACTTGACCGTCGGTGATTTGATTCACAACGGAAAGAGTAGTTGGGGTTGTTGGCTTAGCAGCAGTCTGCTGTTGAACTTGACCGTCGGTGATTTGGTTAACCACAGAGGCAGTCAGCTTAGCAGTAGTTTGCTGTTGGACCTGGCCATCGCCGATTTGGTTAACAACTGAAGCGGTTTGCTTAGCAGCAGTTTGTTGCTGAATTTGACCATCGCCGATTTGGTTAACGACTGAAGCAGTTTGCTTGGCAGCAGTTTGTTGTTGGATCTGACCATCGCCAATTTGGTTAACTACTGAAGCAGTTTGCTTAGCAGCAGTTTGTTGTTGGACTTGTCCATCACCAATTTGGTTCACAACCGAAGCGGTTTGCTTAGCAGAAGTTTGTTGCTGAACTTGACCGTCGCCAATTTGGTTAACGACCGAAGCAGTCAGCTTAGCAGTGGTCTGTTGTTGGACCTGTCCATCAGTGATTTGGTTCACAACCGAAGCAGTCAGCTTGGCAGTGGTCTGTTGTTGAACTTGTCCATCAGTGATTTGATTCACAACCGACTGGGTTGATTTCGCAGCATCGGTCTTCTGTTGGACCTGGCCGTCAGAAATTTGATTTGCAGCAGCAGCCTTCACGCCACCAACAACGGCTTTGCTGTCCTTCTTTCCACCCTTGTCATTGCTGGCAGCATTCTTTGCTTCAGCAGAGACAGCAGCGGAGTTGGTCAGAAGAGTCTTGATGGACAATGCAAACGAACCGTCGAAGTCAGTCAATGCACTTGCGGAGGCAGGAATCTTTGCACTGGGGGTTAAGGTAGTGTATGGTTCCGAAGGAACATAGGCGGCTTGGACCGACGACAAGGCTGCCAAGATCGAGTAACAGGTTGCTAATCTCATATTGACGTGACTATATTAGCGAGTGGCAAGTATTTGACAGTATTTGAGTGACTAGCAAGTACTTGGATATAGCTCTGATCAAAAATTACTGAATATGGGCAAGAACCTAGGTTATTTATAAGAGCCACCATCCATAAGCCATATCTTGCTCAGCAATGCTAGTGGATCACCAAGTATAGCCCATGTTTATTTTTAATTCAGTGAGGATACCCAAAAAAGCAATATCCAGTGGCTATTATGAACACATAACTGTGTAGATCCAAAGCCTTGCTGCAAACAAAGTGGCTGTATCCCCCTTACGGATAGTGTGGAAAGCTGTCGATCCAGGGCTACTTGGAAATTGGGTTTTCCCTGTCCCGTTAATGCAGGCTTTCGCAATCCTGTTTGGCCATATTTTTTTCGGGTTAATTTAATCAACCCTACCTGAACCCCAATGTCATTATCTCATGCCCACTGGAGGCCTTGTGATGTGTACGATCCCCTCACGAAGTCATGGATCCGCAGGTGCAAACGGTTTTAACACTCCCCCATGCTGCTTAGAATAGTAGATTAATCTAAAGCTAAAGTATAACAGCTTCGAGCCGATTTTCGGAACCCTTCGCGTACTCAACGCACCCAGGCTTATTTGTATTTTATGGCTGTTCCAATTATTCCTACCTCGGGCAAACCCCTAGGCCCTTCCCCTAGAACCCTAAACTGGTACGTTTCCTCATTTCTACGGGTGACCTAGCGAGGTACCGTAATACACCACACCTTTGTGTCAATTATTCCTCATGACCTCTTGTTGATCGCCGGTGGTATGCACTCCTGGTTTGGAGTGACTTTGACATTTGTGCGGGGGCCAATTGCATTCGTATTCCCCATGCAACCTGGCCCGGAGGGATTTATGTTCGCATGTCACAGCCTACATTTCTGCACCTAATTTGGATGCCGGATTAGGAACAATTAACGGCAAAACACCCGTCCAACCTGGATTATGCTCTCATTACTCAGTGGAAGGGGCTGTAATATTGGACGGGCCCAACTACAAGCACTGGGTGGACCGCATTAAAGTTTGATTTGCTACTGTTGGTCACATTTTTCATTTTTCGAAGGGTTATCCTACAAAAAGTTGGGTGAGGATAAGAATAGAAACACTCGACAACTCAAAAGCCGAAGTACAAGTCGCCACACAATAGGAGCACGTTTAGAGTTTACAATTTACGGTACCATGTGCAATGATGTAACTTTATCAAATCACTAATCTAATCACTTCTATCATCAAATGATTGAACTGTCTAACCGGTAGGAGGACGATATCGGTCCAATAAATTAGTAGCCTGGAGCTTAGTACGGAAATCCACGGTTTTGGGATGTAATAATCTAAAATCTCTCAAGGAAATCCACGATAAGATTGATGTTGTATCTACCGTCAAAGTCTCCATCCAAGGCCTTTCTGGCACCAGCCTTGCCCATATAGTTCAATGCTTCGACATACACTAATGAGGCATGGATACCACCCTTCTCCATGTGCTTGATAATATTGCCCTTTTTGTTGATGTTATCATAAAACTTCTCAATTCCTTCTCTCAAGATTTCTCTTTCACCGTAGATGACCAAAGTGTTGCCCTTGTCAATGGCCTCCACTTGGGCCCAGTGTTCGTCGTAGCTGAGGCTGTTGAAGGTGATCCACTTGTCAATCAACTTTCTATCGTTGTCACCAACGTAGTAGTCACCCATTGAAGTGTCAGTGGCCCCCAAATCTCCGTATGGGTTTGCACCCAGAACCGGTGGTAAGTTTGGAGCAGTAGTTGGTTGAACCCAAGGAGACATAAGAATCAAAGACTTAGGTTGAACCAACTCTCCATGGAAGCTGAAGTCGAACTTGGGGAAGTGCTTGAACTGTTCCTTGGCTTCTTCAGGGTAAGCAATGTATCTAGCAATAGAACAAATCAAGTGCACACCAGCAGAGTCACCAATAAGATGGATGTTCTTGTAACCTTGTTCAACCAAGCCGTTGTAAGAGTAAATGGCCTCTCTGAGCTGAGTAGGATAAGTGAAATTGTTGGCAGTAGTGGAATAGTCAAGGAACAAGATGGAGGTACGATTACGGCGTTCTTCAGGCAAGGCATGGTATAATGCCAAAAAGGCCACCATTTGAGTTTCAAACATGTTGAGCAAGTAACCACCACCGTGGGCATAAATCAACACATCCTCCTTCTCGGGGCCTTCAACCTCGTTCTGGACTAACCAGTAAGCATGGTCGTCGAGCTTCTTTCCAAAGTTCTTCAAGCCTATGGCCATGGGGTTGTTTCTGTAAGTGTCGAAAAATTCTTGCAATGGATGGTGGAGAACGAGCACCACATCTTGCTTCTGCAAGTTTCCTGACAAGTGGTACAATGATGCCAAGTGGATGTTCTTCCACAAAGAGTTGGTGAACTCAGCATTGGTTCTGGAGTAGATGGTACCAGTGGTGTAGTACTGGATCACAGTTTTTGCCAAAGTATACGGAAGGGTGACGATCTTCAACAAGAACGTAGGAGTCACCATTTTGCCCAAAATGCCGTCAAAAGTTTGACAGTCCCTGGTATATATACTTCAAAACTCTAAAACTACATATAATTTGCGCTTTATGCAGGCGACCACCCACTATCCGGCACATTATGTCGGCGCGTTTTCGGGTAAGATTGGCACTTCCGGATGATTTACAATTAAGGACCAACGATTTACGGTAGGAGGAATTCACCCCAATAGAAGTATTATTTATGCAGTCTCTAATATACAAGCTACAACTTGAAGTTGTTTGAAGTTTGAGGGCCTTGGGTCTTCTTGAGGTTACCCTTCACATCGGTCATTTCTCCCTTCTTGCCAATCACAGTAACATTCTTGGCCTTAGATAAAGTATCCACCACGTCACCAACCTTTTGACGTTTGGACGAAGGTTTGGACTCCTGTTTGGCCCTTTGTTCCTGTAATTCCTTTCTTTGGTTGAATTCCTTGGACCTCTTTCTCTTGCTAGCACGTCTCAACCTCTGTTTGTCTTCCCTGGACAACTCGTCTTTAGAAAAGGACAATCCTGACTTCAACTGCACAGAAGATCTGCCCTTGTTACCATCAGCGGCTGGTTTATCGTCCCCGATCTTGTAAATCTCTTGAGGTGCCAATGCCGACTCACTTGAAACATGCAAGGGTTGAGCATCTTCCATGGTGATAGCAGCAGCGTTGTCGTTGACTTTGATCTCGATGGTTTTGAACTGGTGAGGCTTGGGGATATAGTGGGCTGAACACAACGAGTCCAATCTATGGTTTAACTTGGTGAACAAGTCACTGATCTCATCGTGCTGCTTTTGTACTTCTTCGCTTACCTCTTTTTGGGCATCCACCTTATTGTAGTCGTCTTCGTACAATTCGGCTAATGACTTGTTGGATTTCTGTTCCGATAACTCGAACTTCTGTTTGTTGTGGAATTTGGAAATATCTGTGATAATACGCCTAGGCAAGTCGTTGAACTCGTCGCTCTTGATTCTCCTTCTAATCAACTCTTCCAATGATTCGGTGACTTCTTCGGTGATGATAGGCACGGGTTTCGAAGTTCTATCAAAATCAAGAGTAGCAGTTTCCGGGTCATCCAAAAGCGAATCTTGAGGTCTATGCTTGGCCTGGACTTCACCCTTCATAGTCCATTTTTTATCAGCCACGAGCTCAGCTTCCAATTTAGCTATTTCCGCTTGGATTTCCTGTTGTTGCTTCTCGTAGGAAGAAAGTGGTGCTGTGCTCTTTGCTTGTGCTGGTTGATCTTCGTCAGCAAAGAGATCGTTCATTGCAGAACCAACAGCAGTATCATATTCTTCTTCATTAAATCTGCCGTATTCCTCATCCTCCGCTTCATCCTCTTCTTCCTCGTTGTCCAGTTCCTCTTCATTCGCAACTTGACTCTTGGATTTTCTGATCACACCTGGCTTGTCGTAAAAGTCATCATAATATGCCATGTCCTCTTCATCTTCTTCCTCATCATCATCATCATCATCGTCACCAGAGCCGGCAAAGTAGTCGATTTCTTCTTCATCTTCATCATCATTCTCCTTCTCTAATGCTAAGATTTGCTTGTTGAACTGGTCGATGTCAAAAAATCCATCATTTAAGCCAAATGCATCTTTCTTTTGTTCTGTTTGGATTATTTCATCGTCTGAAGGGACTTGAGTTTCTGCCTCTGACCCGGAATCTTGCTCTTCGTTTTCTTCGTCGAATCCCTCGAAATCTTCATTCAAGGTTTTAACATCGTCATCGCTGAGCTGGGGTTCTTCTTGATCAACTTCTTCTTCTGCTTCTTCTTCTTCTTGCTCATCTTGGTCAGACTCGTCGATATCGTTTCCTTCGTCATTTTCGTCTTCACTGTCTATCTCATCGCTCTGGTAGTCTTGAAATTTCTCCTTCAACTCTGGGATCTTGGCTGTCAATAATGCTTCATCAACTCCGTCCAAGACCATCTTGGTCTGTCCAAAGACCTGGGTGGAGTCCAAACCGTCCACGTAAATTTCATCTAACACGGAATACTGTTTGGTGATGGGATCCAAGAACTGCTTCGCTAACTCGTTGAAGTAGCTTTTATTGGCGACTTCGTTCGAATCATCCGATTCCTCAGACCTGAAGAATGTGAAAATGTCTTGGGGCTTGCCCAGTAACACCTCTAATAGATCCTGTGCCATTTTAGTTCTTAGTGTCTATCGTTCCGTCTTCTTAAGATGGGAAGAGATGATTAAAAAAATTCATGGGCTGTATGCAGGCATGGTCGCATTCTGGCAAATCTCTATCGAAGTTCAGCTGGAAGAGTATCACGCTGACAAGAATGATCCTCGGAGCAACGTCCAGGTTAGCCAGATACAGGGCATCTGGAGCTGGATCTCATCCCCTTATTTTGTGGGGTGGCTTGAGACAGAAATCAAACTCGTCTGGACGGTGGCTCGAGAGACAATCCAACGATGCTCATACCAAACAAGCAAAGACGGAATACTATAGATCGCGTGCGGCATACAAGTTGATTGAAATAGATAAGAAGTACAAGTTGTTCAGTAAACGGACCACCAACATTGTGGACTTGGGATTTGCGCCTGGGGCGTGGACTCAAGTAGCCATCGAGAGAATGAAAAAACTAGGACATAAAAGTCGGATCTTGGGAGTAGATTTGATAAGCTGCAGTGCCCCTCAAGGAAGTCACTTCATCCAAGGAGATATCCTCTCCAGAAAGACACACCAGGATATACAGCAATTTTTCAGCGAAGAAGAGGCCCAGCCTGTGGACTTGGTGCTCAGTGACATGATGGCCAATACCTCAGGAATCAAGGACAACGACCATTTTGCCAGCATGGACTTGTGCGATGGGGCCATGATCCTTTCGTGCCATTTGTTGAAGGAAGGGGGGTCTTTGGTCATGAAATTCTACACAGGTAAGGAGGACCAAGTCCTTCTCAAGAAGATGCAAAAGATGTTCAAAAAGGTGTACCGCATGAAACCCGATGCCTGTAGAGATGAGCTGCGAGAGATGTATATTATTGGAGTGAGAAAGAATCAGCTAACTGTACAGGAGCTATTTGGAGAATAGAACCCTTGTGCGAGACCACATGGTGGCATCCCGGAACTGCCCAAATCATCAGGCACCATGTGATGATCCCTGTCCCGGAGATACTTGACACCTTCCTGTTCTGGGTAAGTTCCGACAATCTATGATAAGGCGTCACGTGATGGAACGTCTCCAGGCCCCTTCAGGGTTGCTTAATTGTGGCTGCCAATTGTGGCTGCAACCCCGGATAATGAATCACCATCAGGCACGGTGATCTAATCCAGTAGTTTGCGAAGCAGCCACGCAATATATAATCCGCCTCCGCCTCTATTCTGTGAAGTTGTTCAAAAGCACTCAGGATGTCTTTGAGCGGTCCACCCAATCCCGTGTATGAAGGTCTTAACGTAGCAGAAGTTGACAAGAGGCACAACTTCCGCCCTTTCAAGCAAGCAGAGCCTTCCCAAAGCAACATTAAAACTTTGAAGCTCGAAAGCATCGATCTCTCGTTGTTCAAAGAGGGTCCGGAATATGCTGCGGACAGGAAGAAGTTAGCAGATACTTTGGAAAAATCGATCTCCACCTACGGTTTCTTTTCTTTGATCAATCATGGAATCAGCGATGAATCGTTCGACCATATTAGATCCATTGCGCAATCCACTTTAGAGCTTCCTGAAGATGTTAAACGTCAACATTTGGCCGGTGCTTTGACATCAGACTCGGAGGATAGATCGGTTTCCTTGGGAGGGGAACGTGGGGCTGGATTCAAGCCCAAAGGATATTGGTCAATGAAGAATGGCGTGACAGACTCAATTGAGCTCTACAACTTTAGAGATATGACAAACGACAATTTCTACAACCCGCCAAAGCCATATCCTGAGATTGTGAAAGCACACTTGCCTGAAGTTGCAAGTTATTTCAGACATCTTCATAATGAAGTTCTTCGCAAATTGACGGTTCTCTGTGACATAGTTTTACAGTTGCCAGAGGGGTTTCTTTGGGAAAACTACTTCAAAATTGTTGATGGTGATGTCTACAATTCAGGGGGTGGTTTCGGAAGGTTCATGGTTTATCGTGGAATGAAAGAAGAAGACGAAGCCAAGGTAGATAAGAACTGGTTAAGGGGTCATTCGGATAGCACTGCTTTTACTTTCATAACCTCTCAGCCAATCCTTTCTCTCCAAATTAGAGACTACTATACTGGTGACTGGACTTATGTCGGGCACACTCCTGGAGGGTTGATTGTGAATGTCGGTGACGCTTTGGAATTTATCACAGGTGGTTACTTCAAGTCATCTATTCACAGAGTTGTAGCACCTCCAGAAGATCAAAAGCAATTCACCAGATTAGTGTTGATTTACTTTACCGAGCCGAAATTACCTGCCATTCTTGATCCAGAGCCACTCCAATCTCCTAAGTTAGCAAGTTTGGGAATTAACAAACCGGCTGAGTGGGATAAGATCACATTTGAAAAGTGGGCCGACGAGAAGGGTAGGTTGTTTGGTAAGAAGGAAGTTAATGACTCTCCAGGAGACGAGCCTAACTTGGTGCTCATGTATGGAAGACTACACGAAAGATGGCACCAGGCAGAAAGTAATTTTACACTTGAAGAAGCGAAGAAAAAACATAGAATCATTCAATTTTAGATCTCTATAAATACGAAGTCCACATCAACCAACGATATTTATGGTCTGTAATATTTGCTGTGCAGCTGCATTGATCATCAACGATTTTTCAACAGTCCCGCTGCAGGTTTGGCCACCACCTTGGTAGGTTGTTGATGAACTTGGAAATGCACTTTTGAAATTACCATATGCTTGTTGAGATGTTTCAGCAATTTCTCCAAAATAAAGGTTTAAGTCGCTGGGATCTTGTAAGTAGGTAAAGATATATGCTGCTTGTTTACCGAGGGCATCCTTGTAGTCCTGGCTAGCGGAGCCAGAATTGATAAGATCGGTAAATCCTGAAAACAAGAGATACACATACTCCAACTGGTTGTTCCAGTAGCCATTAGTGAAAAATGCACCTTTAGGATTCATAGCAGCTGCTGCCAACGTATTTGCTTGATCGGTCCAATATGAGTTGCCGGATGCTTTGGCCAATCTAACCAACACGCTCAAAGCAACACCAACGGTGTAAGTGAGCTTACCTTTGTTGACACTGTTACTCGAAGTGTCAACTCCATCATAGAATAGATGATCCGAGGGGTCTTGGAGGTACTTGAACATGTAGTCCATACAGTTCTGAGCAAAAGTGAGCAAGTTTGAGTCATGGTTCACGTCATAAAGCATCAAAGCAGCTAAAGCTGATTCGACAGTCGAAATCGAAGCAACATAGCTTTTTTTGTACTGCCAGTAAACACCCCCGTTTCCAGATGCCCATTGACTTTGCAAGAAGCTCACGATATCCTGTGCTACTTGCAAGTATTGTTGGTTGTTTGTTTGTTGGTACGCTTCAAGGAAAACCCAAGCTACCTGAGCATTGTCGTCGGTATAAATGTCTTCGTCTTTTGCAGTACTTGCTGAGAAAGCTTTCACGTTGGAATTCTGATAATTCAAGAGGTTTGAAATGGTTTGTTGAATTTGTTGCAGATTTTTGGAGTTCGTCACCGATCTACCTACCACTGCCTGTTCCCAAACAACAGGTTCCTTATATGGACCAGTACATCTAGAGTCACGGCTATTCCATTTGGAGGAAGACAGATCCCAGAATCTAGTCCACAACTTATCGTAGGTTTGTCCCGAATCTCCCTGGGACACGTACTTTAGTTGACCAGGCAGGCCTGAAGCAATTGGTGAAGAAGAACTTGAAGAGCCTTGAGGTGCAGCTGCACTGGGTATCGATTGGCTTTGCTGGCTGTATTGAGAAGCTTGGACAGATGGTTGAGCGAATGTCGAAGCTTGGTTTCCTGGTTGGCTTCCTGGTTGGCTTCCTGGTTGGTTTCCTGGTTGGTTTCCTGGTTGGTTTCCTGGTTGGTTTCCTGGTTGGTTTCCTGGCTGACTGGATGGCTGACTACTAGGTTGGAAACCTTGCTGAGTTGTCTGGGTACTTGTTTGAGCAGTTTGAGTGGCTCCAAAGTTGGGCTGATTTCCTGGCTGATTTCCTGGCTGATTTCCTGGCTGATTTCCTGGCTGATTTCCTGGCTGATTGCCTGATTGGGTGCTTGGCTGAGCAACGGTTTGGTAGACCGTCACGAAGGTGAAAGCAGCAGTAGCATGGGTATTTGCCGGTTGGTTGGCAGGCTGGTTCACCGGTTGGTTGGCAGGCTGGTTGGGTTGGTTGGTTGATGGGGCTCCTGGCTGGCCACTGGGTGCAAATGACAAGCTTGGAAAGTTACTTTGAAATTGCGAAAAAACACTGGCAAGGCCCGAGAAGATGCTGTTGGATAAACTGGAGAAACCGTTCGAGCCCAGCGATGCAGATGGGGCATTGGCAGTATCGGCGCGGACCTCGAGTTGCCTTCGCACCGGAGAGGCCGAGATCCCCAAGATTATCATAAATATCACCAACAACTGCATTTAGTGGTGCCAACTTTACGAGGATGTGACTAGCTTTTAAGCTAGCTCGCCAGCGAAATCACATCCGCCTACATGTGCTGCCCAGTCCTCGCAAGGCTTGGTACCGGGCATGCTACACCTCCTTGACTTCCACATTTAGGAATCCACATCGGAGCCATGTTTCGAGTTGTCCAAAATCCTGTAACTTAGTCCCCGGTAACATACCACAGTCGAGACTATGTGCACACTATTACTCAGTCAGGATAAAACGATTTTGAGGTGCGCTGCAAGGGCTCCTGAGGCGAAATGGCGCGGGGCGCACTTTGAGCATGAGCGAAAATCGAGAATCAACTGCCTCAACCCCACATAAAAGAAATACCTCATCACTTGCTAGTGTGACTGTTGTACCAGAGCCGAGCCAGAAACACGCCTGGCACAGCCACCATGAGCTACTTGAAACACCCCATCTTGACCAGCCCAGGCTCCTGGATCAACACCATCCACGCCAGCAAGTTGTATCGAGCAGGACATTACAACCTATCTGGCCCCTTCACACAGGCACTAGTGGACACAAAAGCCGACGGATCTTCCACCAGGTTTCCCAGAGGAGAAGTGGTGCAGCTAGCGGTTCAACAGCCGACCCCAGCCGGAAGGGGGGAAGGGGGCAGAGCCAAGGCCAAGTACTGGATCGCACCTGCCACTGGGGTTTACACCTCCCACTACATCATCAACAACCACAGGTACGTGGAGCACATGGCCAGCGAACGCAGGGATCTCCGGTTTTATCCCAAGAAGTTGGCCCACAGGCACGGAACATCGCTGAAGGGTGAAACAACCTTCATTCCAGATATCAGCGACGTAATAGTACAGGGGTACGTCGACACAATCCGTGCAGGATTGGCGAAACTTAACACCACGGATCATGAGCTTGTGCCTGGATCACAGTTGCTACTTCGGGACGAGGGGGCCTTAATAGATGTCCAAAACGGCAGCGCCACGATTAACATAGCCAAGCACCTTCCCGATGAGGACTTAAACATGCGTACTATTACCTACAAAGGAAATGAGGATTTATGTGACACCATATTACGGTTGGTGAACTACGTGAGTTAGATTATTGGCACGGGTCTGCATGCGGCCTATTTGTCTATTAGATTCTAGGGGCAACTCTGTTCACTTGGTAGAAGATTTGGGTCAAGGAGCCATAATTCAAGAGCGAATTAAACCCTCCTTTCTTCTGACAGCCGTTGAGAACAGAGCTGTACTGGTCATAGAGGTGTCTTGTTTCTCTGACCAATTCGTTCTTAAATAACCCATACGCATCATTTTGGTAACCTCCCAGAGGGCTGGTTAGTTCTAGGATATCAGCTAGTCCGGCATAAAAGTACACTGAATGATCTGGAGTGTCGTTGATATAGCCATCCGTAAAGAACTGGGAGTCAAGGTTACCTCCACCCAAAGAACGAACTCCGAGTTCTACAGCTTTTGCTAACCAATCTTCAGATTGGTCCCACTTCAGTAGATAGGCCAAAGAGGACATTGCAACGCCGACAGTGTACGTCAACTTGCCCTGGTTGACACTGCCGTCCGTGCTCTTACCGTCGTTGATGAATTTGTTCTCGGGATCAAGTAAGTTATCGAAAGTCCAACCAAGGCAGTACTTGGCAAAATCTATCAATTTTCTATTCTGCTTAACTTCATAGATCTTCAACGCGGACAAAGCTGCCTCGACCACCGAAATCAGGGCAACGTATTTGCCTTGGTAGTTCCAGGTGATACCTCCTATTTGTGGGTTCTTTTGATTTTCAATGAACTCGTGCAAAGCGATGGCTTCGTCCAAAATGGTCTTGTCTCCCAAAACGTTGTAGGCATCGACTAGTGCCCAAACAACTTGGGCGTCGTCGTCGGTATAGATGTCGGTATCCTTCGCTTGTGTGGCAGAATACCCGGCAACAGAAGCACTCTTATACTCAGAAAAGATGTCAACTGCTTTTTGGGTTTTGGAATCATCTCCCCCAAGCGCAATAGCTCTACCTGCAACTGCTACTGACCATAAGTGTGACTTATTTGTTGCACCACATACATCGACCCAGTCGTTGTGAGAGGTATCCCAGAACGTAGACCACAAGTTCAGCGATAACTCATCGAAAATCTCGGAGGTAGACACGGTTGGGATAGGAGTTTGGACCGCCTTGATAGAGGTGGTGTAGTTTCCAAGCGTATCTCTCTTGTCCACTTTGGTTGGAACAGCAGATGCTAGTGAAACAGTCGCAAGTAATGCCCAAAATTGCATCGTTTAGCGTTGATTCCGCTACGCTGCCATTGAACTCAATATATACTACAGTTCACAGTAATCAGGAACACCGTCGCATCTGAATTAGTCTTCGATGTACTATTTTTATTGTTTCGCAGTCAATTATTAGCAATGTTCAGGAACAGTCGTACCACGGAGAACGGGCCGATTGTAAGGGATGGAGCAAGCCACTTCGAGGCTACGTTTATCTGAATAGGTTAGGCAATTTGGGCCGGGAGAAAATGGACAATCCAAACATCCAAAATGCACTGGGTATACCAACAATAGACTTTCCTCAGCAACCACCATAAAGTCAGCAATACCTGGAATCGATTGTGAATAGTATTCAAGCAAGAGGTGTCGGCATGAATGGGCCAATTCTCGCCAGTAAAATGGATAACGAGCCATGAACCTTCCCAGAAGGCTTGGAAGTACATCTCGACATTTGCAGAGCCACTGGGGCCAAACAACGCTCATACGCAGACATTGTTCATATCACCAAATTCCCTTTATTTCTATTTACACAATTAAAAAAACCAAATTAAACCGCTTACAAGACCAATAGCAATTCTGTTAAGCACGGAATTAGGGTTAGCTACGGTACCGTCGTTCTTCTTGGAGCTCGACCTAGTGTTGGAGCTGGAGGCTGGGGCCAAACTGGCAGATGCAAGTTGCTCGGTCACAGGAGTTCCCGCACCCGAAACCCAGCCATTAAGATCACTGGCCTTAATGGTGGAGCCGAATGAGGTGGAGTTGGACACCCACACCACCGTGTTCCCCTTGGAGTCGAAGCTGACACCACCCTTGACGGTTTCATTGTATTTTCTGGGAATGAACCCGTCAATCTGGATTCCTGTTTCGATATCACCAGTACCCTGATAGTCGTGGATGGTGGTGAAAAGCTGCCCTGCTTGGGTGGTGTTCTTGACTTCAAAAATATCGAATTCACCACATCCAGATCTCCAGCATGAACAGTTGGCATCGAGCGAGTACTGGGCGGTTCTTGGAATGTGCGCATTCAAGAGCCAGATTGCTGGCATGTTGTAGTTGGAAATGGAAGTGTCGGAAGTGGTATCGTTGGGCATGGTGAACTCGAACAAGAACGTTTTGACGGTTCCGTAGAATCCGTGATAGGCAGGGATGCCTGATCTATAAACACCACAGTCGTTGTTGAGTCCCAGGCTCTGGCAGGTTATGTTGGAAAAGATCGAGTATTCATCGTTGGAGTTGAGGAGGACGTTCTCAGGCAACACGGTGGCGGAACTGGCTTTGTCTGTCCCCTTTGTACCTGCGTATGTCAAGGCTTTGCCAAGACACTTGGAGTCGTCACCAGCGGTTGTGAGGAAAGTGACGTTTTCGGCTGCGGATGAGGATCCGTCGTAGTATGCGATTCTGCTCCAGTCGGAGGACGAGTTCTGTCCATGGACGAAATTGTCGGCAACATACACGGCAAACTGGCTCAACACCAAGGGGCCCCTGAAATGTACAGACACTTCTTCGTTGATAGGCGAGTTCACGCCACTGAACGCAACTGGCTCGTTGCTCAATGCACACGAGCAGCTATCGGAGTCCACGTCGTTCAACTCTGCCACCATCTGGTATCTTCCAGAGTATCCAAAGTTTTGGAACTGGAGCACATTGGATTGCGGCTCCGAGGCTCTTCTGAAGTTGCCGAAATGGCTGGAGGCACCTTGCACTCCGTTGGCTATACCTGCGGCCAAGACTAATGTATCGATTCTCATGGTATTTCTATTTTTCAATTATCAGTAGTGTAATTCCGTCAATCAAGTCCCAGAGCTTCTTTTTATATCAAGGCTATTAATTATCGGTCTACTATTAATAACCTGATCCGAAAAATTGTGTGCACATCTAAGCCCCGCGGGATCAAATGACTACAGCCAGCACCCCTACACGAACGGAGGACGATAAACAAACACCACGGCGACATGACAACTGGTTGGAGCTGGCAGATCCCACTAGCTCAGTATCGACACCTGAAGCACCCGCTGTATTGTGTGCTAGATTGCTAGCAAGGCGTTGTAGGAGCGTCCGTGCTTAATTTGAGCATCGTAACGCCCCCTGCCTGCACCCAACATCGCTTCGCCTTGAGGGTCTTCGCAGCCGCGGACTGAATTCGGATCATGTGTGCACCCAAGGAGGCTGTACCAGTTTCAAGTATGGTTATTTCATCTCATACAACCCAAATGCTGGGATGCAAACTCATCGCTTGCATAGTTGACGGGGTCGAGGCTCAACCGCAATGGGCAAGTTCACCAATGCATTGAAGAGGGAGGAAGCTTTTAAGTTGATGCTTGCTAGCGCGATGCATACTGAAGCATGCATGTAGGAAGTCTGCATGTGTCAAAATAGACCGGTAATTAAAGTAACTTGACTCCGAATACAAAACAAGTTCCTTATCGCCAAGCATTGACATCATTTTTGAAGTGCTGGTTGATTTCTACAGATTTTGATATAAATTTGGAAAATTGTCAACAAGAATTTTGCTTCCGCACCAATACCTTGGTGGACCGAAAGAATATTAATTTGGGAGATCTAAAATTCTGAAATTCCGAAGCTCAGTATTACAATTCTCACAGAACCTTACTTTGTTAATGTCTTCTTGGTAATCCTACTGGCTCCAATTAAACATCGCGATAGATGATAAAGTACCCACATTCGCAATTAATAGAGAAAGTTAAATGCCTGATTCAACCAATAATATTGTCTCTTTGTGTGTGTAGTTAAGCATTAGTTCGTACTAGGAGAATGAGTAGAAGATTTTGCGGGCTGCTAAAGTCGAGGAGGTCGGACTTCTTTCTTTGTGGCTATAAGTTCAAACCAAGAAGCTTACTCCGTTAGAATATTTAGGTGCCATGAAGAAAGTTATTCCATCTTTTCCAGAAAAGACCTGGAGAAGCAGATTCTCTCACAAATCACCAGAACTGCTTCTGTGTATGAGTTTCGCTAATTCCAAATCACCTGCATTTGGGGATATGAACCATAAGATTGAGACACTCACTCAGAAGACTCACCAACGTGGGACACATTTCCTAATCTGTACAAAATTCTCTCAGTTCAAGATTCTGTATTTGGGGGGAAATTGAAAACAACTTGCATTAATGCTAGGTTAACCATTGGCGATGACTGGCAGCATTCGATCCACAGACATTTTGTTCGAAATTGTCTTTGTCTTTGAAACTTTGGATTTTATGCTTTTAAATAGTGAAGCAATTGAGGGTCAGAAAAATCAGTTGAAAATATTTCCTAGTTTATGTTATTATTCACAATGGAAGGTCATCAAGATGTTTCAGCTTCTGGTTGGATGACATAATTGCAATCATCTTTAAAGTGCAGGGGACTTATGTTTTCTTCGGGTCAAGTTGAATTCAATTTTTTCAAAGAAATTTTTGAGGCGAGAATTTGGCATAGTAATAACCAACGAAATTGCTGAAAGAACAAGACAACTGCTTGAAAGTTCAGAAACGTACAATGTCTCCGTTTGGATTCGTTATTGCTTGTTTAACATCCAATCACTCTCGAAAAATTGTGTGTGGCATTTATGAGATCTGTACCGGAAATTGTATTTCCTTCAATAGCAGCAAAATAACTGAAACTTTGAGGTCAAACTGGGCAACTTTTTAAAAAAAAAAATTCATGTAATTAACAAATTCTGTTCACATACTTCTCAAAATCCTCAACAAATATGGTTCTATGGTCTAGCGGTATGACGTCTCTCTCACCTAGAGAAGGTCTCGAGTTCGATCCTCGATGGAATCATTTGTTATTTTTTTCATTTTCTTTGACCATGCTATCTACTACATTAAATGGTGATGATGCTTACGAAGTATCTTTAATTCACAGACCTGTATTTTACGACTAAATATACAGTATATGCTAATTACTAACCATTCTATTAATCCTCTTCATCACTTGTAATTTCCTCATCAGAAGAAACTATATCATCATCACTCATAGCCTCCTGGTGACTACCACTATCTTCATCATCATCCGCATCATCTCCACTTGGGTTAACTTCAGACCATTCAACATAGTTTTTACTGATGAGTGCTTTGCAAGTTGGAAGAACAAGAGGATCAAAAGGGAAATAACCCTCTAAATCTAAAAATTCTTGTTTTTGCTTGAAGTTTGCCACTGCGGAAGGCAAGGTGGCCTTACCATTGGTTTGTAACATTCTTTCCCTTTTGTTATGCTCAATAATCGAATAGCAGTAACACACATTCAATTTGGTAGCAAGCTTAGCAAAAATATAAACCACAGTCTCATCACAAAACTTCAATGGGTTAAATTTGGCAAGAATGACTCTTTGGAAAAACTTGTCCAAGTCACATTCCCATTCAGAATCACCAAATGACTGATCAGCAGAAGCAGGCTTAGAGCTCTTGTACAACAGGTCATGTCTAAAGCAAAAGATGTACAACAAAGCTTGGAATGCAGCATAGAACAACTTAAACCTTTCCATACCTCCCGTCTGGTTTCCCTTTTGGTTGGAGGCTCTTTGTGAGTTATCATCTTGATCATAAATTTCACATTCCCTCTCCAACATGTATTTGTTCAACCAACCAACTAAATAGCTGACAATAAATACAATTTGATGTCTTGACAAGTTCTTAGCCCTTGCAATATAAGATGACAAATATTGCATTGCCTTAAGTCTTTTCTCCAAAATCTCGTTGGTATTGAATGCAACGTCGATAAGCAAGACAAGATATGAATCAGCAAGTTCCGGCTGATATTGGGAAATATGGAAAATAATGAATTGAATTGATTTTGTGAAGTGAGTAGGTAAGATATGACTTCTAAACAAAGAGGTAATGGTATTGAACAACGGAACTCCATTACCTTCATTTAATTCCTCTTGTGTGAATGAATTGGAAGTATTTGTTAACAATAAATTCATAACCGAATCCAACTTCGACAGGAGCTTTTTAATGTTTGCAGTGGAAGTAATTGGATCGATTAAATACTCCAGATCTCCATCGAGAACTTCGTCGATGTCACCTATTACATCTTCGAGGACTGATTTATCTCCGGCCTTTGTTTCGTCGGTATCAACACCCTCATCTTCATCATCTTCATCATCCTCATCATCCTCATCCTCATCCTTACCGTTGATTAACTCTTCAATCTCGTCATCATCCAAGTCATCCAATTCGTTTTGCAACTCGACATCAAGTTTAATGCAACATTCGATGATGAGTTGCCAAATATTGAATTGGAGGTCTGGACAATATGTGATAATTTTCATCAAATTCTGAACGTAGTTGGTTAGCTCAGCAGTGTTGGATGATAAATGATGTGGAAAATGCTTTTGTAAAGTTTGAGGTAATGAGTTAATGCAGGTTGGAATGAATTTGATGAGCTTTGATAAGATCTCATGATGCTTGTTCAATGCAGCAGGAGCTGGCAAGCATTCAGACCTGCTAAACTCCCCAACAAGTTTCTTGGTGACCTCATGCAAGTATTTGGGAAAGGAGGACACCAAGACACTAATGAACCTTGAGTATAGGTCGGTGAATTGTGAATAAGCCGAGTCCTGCCTGCTTGCCACATCGAGCCATTTAAATTCAAGCACAGCCGATATCAATTCATGACATGATTTGTTATCAAGTTTTGAGACATTGGATATCAACCCGTTCAAAACCACGTTCATATGGGCAAGGGAAATGGCATCCTTATGAGTGAAGGGTAAGTTTATCTTGGAAGTCAAGGAGTTGATCGGCACAGGATCATTCTAAACGTTAGTATAATGCCCACAAATCGTACCCCCTAAGATTCACACGACTAAGATGTTACCAGACTGAACCACCAGTCCAAGACATCATGAAAGAACGAAAGAAGGGTATAGGTAACACCAAACAACTGTACGTACTTTGTCCAATGAGTCCAACGCAGACTTAACGTATGCTGAATACATCTTTTCTGAAAAGAAGTTACTGGCGGTAGCATCTTCTGGTATCTCCTTATTTTCACTTTTGAATTTCTTATTGACCACTCCGTCCTTTGTTTCAGGAACTCCGAGTGATCGTTTACGGGCTATAGGATCATGCACGGACATTATCATTATGTTCTTCTTACTGGGTATTCTTCATCTAAGTCCTTAACAGATCTGTTTGATATGAGAAGAGATGATTACAAAAATGAATAAAAAATGGTGAAAATGTCGCATTACCGCTTGATTAGGTAATTTTGCGATGGGAGGGGGGCCCATCAACTATATATGAGATGCTTCGTGGCCAAGCCTTAGATAATTCGAGAGTAGACAATCCATACCTCACAAGTGGCCTTAGAGCTCCATTTCAGAGGCACATTCTCTTGTATGGTGACTTTTCACTGGCAGTTGTCTGCTGATGTATGGAAACTGTGGCACTGATACCACTTCCACTATCTGCAGGAGCTACTCTAGACAGATTTCGCTAGGGCCAATTGATTTGGCACTATCAGCATGCAATCAGAAACCAGGAAACCATTGGAGAAAGTAGAATTGCATTCGTTGGTACTCTTCAATGTGTCTGATCACATCGTCCGCGGGTCAGAGGGAAAGTTTGGCGTGCTTTTGGGTGTTGATGACGGTAACCAAATAGTTGTACATACCTCCTTCGAAACATTGGTGGTTGCATCTACAATAGATCAAGAATATCTTCAGAGGAGACTCGATCAATTCCGAACTGTCAATCCCGCATACCATATTGTGGGTATCTACAACATAAATAACAGCACGTCTCTCAACTCGTTAACCATATCCATAGTTGAACAGACCAAACAATGCATAGGTATCAACGGCGCATTGATTTGCTCTGTTTTCGATAGTAACGAGCTCAGGTCGAAAGAGAGCACAGCTGCGTTCCAAAGCTACTTACTGGGCACACTCGAGCCGTTAAAGACTGTTGTCCGTACCAATGAAAGTGAGTTTATTGCCACAACAACTGCAGTAAACCACCAGGAGTATTCCGGTAGCACAGCTGCAGATGAGGGTCCCAGTAACGTAGAACACAAGGAAAACATGGCCATGACTGTCAATCAATTGAACGAGAAGGTACTGAAGGTAATACAATATTTGGAAACTAGTTCGGAAGCTAAGACGACTGAAGATTCGGCAAAACGAAATGAGATTAACAGGCTTGTTGTTCACTTGTCCAACAAACTAGACACGATCAAAAGAATGGGTTCCGACCGGTCTAATGCTGATCAGGTAACACTTCAAACCGCACAGCTCAGTCTTCTCACAGAACAGCTAACAATTTTGGATAATTTGAAGGCTCAAATTACCAAGCATGTAGTGTGGCATGGTCTCACGAATAACAATACCCGTATATAACTTTAACGTAATGAACAAAAAACCTGAATGCCTAGTTAAACAAAGGATAGGAAAAAGAAAAAAATAATGACTCCTACGCGATTCGAACGCGTGCATCTTTACGATAGTAGAACTTGAGTCTACCGCCTTAACCGCTCGGCCAAAGAGCCATTTTATAAACATTCAAGTTCCGGAAAGAAACATCACTTGTATAGTATAAAAAAAATCATAAAACGCTCACGCTCGGGGTATTTGGCGTCCTTCGGGTCAATACATAGTTTAGAGGGTAGTAAAAGTTCTTTCAAAGGAAAAGTAAAACTAATAATCCGTTAAAATCGGGATACACTGTTGCTTGGGTAACTTTGGCCAATGACTAACTATCGATACATCTGGAGAGTTGATTGTAATACATTTCCCATTAGTAGATAAATAGCATGTTTGTATCAAGTTTACTAAAATGATAACCAGCAGGTAATTTACAGAGTGGTCAGAAAGATTCAAGGATAAGAACAATTTTAAAGTTTCTTGGCTATAGGTTCTCTTGATTAATTATTTGATCATTTCTTATTAGACAAATGAATATACTCATTACCTCCTTGATAGTACAAAGTTAGTTTCTGAATTAAGTTTTTGTTAAAATTTGAACATGAGATTCTAACCTAAAAAATTTCAACACCTTTGTAATCTTAAAACTCGGTTCCCTTTCATAACTAATATAATTCCTGTTTAAGCTGTGTAAATCAAACTCCGAAAGGTAGTTGTTAAGCTTCTAATATATTAGATTTATGATAAGTAACTCCTCCGGAGCTTTCTAATTATCACTAACATGTAGCCCGGCTCATCACGTCAGTATGTTCTTATTTGAGCTGCAATCATTGAAAATACTATAAAATTGACCAAAAACAATCCCTGATTATCAGTAGTAACTTCCACTCTTGAGAGATTGTTCATCCATGGGGTGTTGCTTCTATTCGATGGTCACTACCAATTGTATCTGACATTGTTTCGGGTGACGCTTAGATCCACTTTAAATACATAATGACTTTGATGCCCTTGAGTTCAATATTGTTCATTTCAGGTTTAAAATAGACACCTTGTTATAAAATGGAGACGTATAAAAGTTTTAGTTTCCTTCTAGATTTCTTCAAACTCTCTCTAAAGGCTTCATGGTAGAATTTATTTCTACAAAGCGCATTGATTTCCATTTAGTAATCGACTCAATTATTATTTTTAGTTAGTTAGACACAATAAAAAAGATCAGACAGAGTAGTGTATGTTGAATGATACACCCAGCCTTGGGATTTTGGTCAATTCAGGAAACTAGATGGTTTGAGTGAGTGACTTCGGGCGCACAATATTCCCTTCAATCGAACGGTTCACACAAGAATTCCAAAGAACGCCATGGGCAATGTCATTCCTGAAAAATTCTCCTCTATCCCTTATTTGGACCAGTGTGTTACTAGCTATCATATGACAAGCATAATGCTTAGAAAACAGGGACCGATGTATGGCACCCCGGTCTTCAGCAAAGCTATTCCTAACAAATATGCGGCTATTAATGTTCTACAAATGATCCAATCTACGAGCGTTCTGGCATCGATATTGTGTAATGATCCTCGAGGTAATTCGAAGAGAACCCTATGTAAGATTGGAGACGGAGAGGGTCCATACTCCAATACAATTCATTTCAGTTAATGTCAACATTCAGAAACTTAAGCACCGAGGTAGAACTCCTTTTGAGAGTGCATCCAGATAAGAGACAAGATACTGACGATTCCTGGACCAGCAAGACCCTTGCCCAACTTACAGGTTCCGAAAACCAACCACTCACTGAAAAAGTGGCCAGCAGCGACAAGGAAAGTCCATTGGGTGAGTTGAAAGATTTGGGGGTTGGTCACGTAATAGGCCCCGTAAAATCTAACAAGTGACGAGATAAAGGTCCATGTTCCAAAGGTTCTAGCACTCAATCTGGTGACTTGAGGAGTGGAGTGACGAGAATTGGCTTCCTCTTCGTATACCTTTCTAGTCAATGATAACTCGCTCGACTGGTAAGTTTGCACGGAATTGAAGATGGAAACAGCAGAGATGAACAACAACCAGTATGGCAATTTGCCCCCGCTTGGGGAGTTGGGTAAGTATGCTTGCAAGTAGTCCATGTTAAGGTAAAGTATGAGAATTGTTGTTCATTCGAGATCTGCAAACTTCATATCTAGCTTGCCGCGAATCATGAAAATCAAGCTTACATAATTTTTCAAATTTGATCATTATACGTTACAAAAGGCACTAATAAAGCCCTTACAAATACTGCAAGCACATACTAAAAAAATTGACCAACACAAACAAGGGATAAGGGGTTAGAGAAAACAATGAATGGCCAGGTTATGGCAAACAGTTAACACAAGATTTACCAACAACGGATGGTTTGTTCACTAGATCATAAAGTTAAGGTGAAACATGACTGAAGCTTTGTATAATGATTTCAGTGTTCAGCTCACTTTGAGGCAGCAACAGAGGTAGGGTGTTGAGAGGCAGAAGCATTTTCGTGGGTTCTTGGAGCAGTAGGATCATTTGACTTCAAAACTTCCACAGCAGGACCCAATAATCTTTGGAATCCAGCCTTGCCTAAAGTTGCAACGATAACGTGGTCCAAAGCTTCCACGGTGGCTTGTCTAGGCTTGTCGTTCAACAAAGCAATCTCACCAAAGTAGTCACCCTTAGTCAATTGTTTGATCACACCAGATTGATTGTTGTAAACTTGACAACTACCACTTTCGATGAAGTAAAAGTTTTCACCTTGCTCACCTTCGGTGACAATCTTGTCACCCTTCTCGTAGATTTCAGTACTCAAAGCATCAGCTAATTTAGATCTTTCGTGGCTCGATAATGATTTCAACACTTCCACATCCTTCAAGAAATCCTCGTACATCAATCTTCTGTTGAAGGTGCCCTCCAATAAAATACGACGGAAGGTCAAACGGTCCAAAGCCCAACACGTGACATCGGTGGCAGCAACAGCAGTGGCAGCTCTTGGAGAGTTGTACATCAATGCCAATTCACCGAAAGATGAACCTTCATTGCTAGAGTTGACTTTGGAGCCATTGACGTAGAAATCAACAGTACCTTTTTCAATGATGTAGAAGTAATCACCTTCATCTCCTTGAGTAATGATTTCGGTGTCCTTGGAAAAGGTTTTTGGAGACAATGCTTCGATGACCGTTTTCTTAGAAGTACCATCCAATTGTTGGAAGAGGAAGTTTGAGGCCAAAGTTTTTGACAAGTCAGCTCTTTGGGAAGAGGTAAGGTTGTTGGTTGGAGGCTTCCAAGAGTCAGACTTGAACTTGTCAGGATTTAATGCTTCAGCAGAGACAGAAGTTCTTCTATTAGCGTTGAATGCAATTGGAATCTTGGATAAACCTTTGGCAAATGGACCGGTGGACTTACCAGGGAAAGAAGAACCTGAGGTGGTTGTAGAGTCACTAGGATCTACGTCATGGTCGTGTTTTTGGGGGGCTTGGTGGCTGACATCGAAGTTGTTCTTGAATAAGCCAGCCTTATTGGAGGTCGACGATTCGGGAGCACCGGCAGCGCCTGGACCGTGTGGATCATCGTCATTGTGGTTAGAGTGGGGATCGTTGTCGCCAAAAGGAGACTTGAACGAAGGTTGTCTGTCAAGAACGACGCCGCTTCCGAAAGAGTTGATGTTGACGTTTTCCACGTCTGGGAACAAGTTTATGCCAGCAGCTTTCGCCTTGTGTTGCTGTGACCACAATTGGGATCTCTGTGATTGTAACTTGGTGTTGAAGTAGTTGGCACAGAACTGCAATATGTCAGAAGGGTTCTTGGAAATGATATCCTTCTGCAATTGGTTCAACTCGTCTGTTATGAATTGCTGTTGAGCCATGATGATGGGATGCTGGGTTGACGATCGATTGGTAAGGTCAGTAAAAACGATGTGAAGCTAGATCTTGATTCTTGATACGTCTTAGATACGTCTCAAGGGTTGAGCAATGGGGGAGTCTGGCTAGATATACACAGAAAGAACTCGGGTGGGGTTTATATGAAGGATCTAGCAAGGTTGATCAATAATTGACGGGACGATAACCTGGATAGAATTGCTTGATCGGCAGCGGTATGTTGTTGGATGGAGAGGGGGTAGTCGTGCAAGTGGCGAATGGTGTCGGGGAGTTGCAGGTTGCTGGAGAAGAGCGGGACTGCAGGTTACACTCCGAAACTGGCCACCGTTAGGGAGGCCAGACAGGATTGGCCAGACTGGGGGTGGTCTGGTGATGGTCTGGCGTTGGATCCGTCTAGGGCATATTGTGCTGGGTGGTGTGGGGGCAAGTGTGTTCCTTGTTGGCAATGGGCCATTGGGTAGGATTTGCCACCAGGTAGAGACGGCATACAAACGGGGCCAGTAGCCACGGGCGAAATACGAGCCATTGGCATAGAGGATCGGAATTGGCATGCCATTTTCGGGATGTCCCACAATCTTCAATTTATTCACGGATTTGATAAATTACTAGAGCTAGTACTGGATTACGGGAGTCGAGCCTTTTTGAAGTACGGGAATAAAATAATATCTAAAATACCATTACTTCATAATAATATTCGAGACAAAGTTCGCCAGTACCGAAATGATATATTTATATTTTAGTGTAGTTGCTAGTTTGAAGCGAGGCCCAATTCGGGTGACTGCAAACCATTGAGCGTATTATTCAATTCAGTGGTGTAGTTCAGCCGGTATGGCCCCGAGGCAAAGAAACGTATTAATATTTCAGTGGCGCTAGTTCAACGGGACCAGACTGAAATAATCGTACTATTTTCTTCCATGCCTACCAGTTGATGGTTAAAGCGAACTGCTAGCAATTGAAAGGACTAAAAGCCATGAGCTCAAGTGGGTGCTGGTTTCTCTGGCCAGTTTTTACAGGTAGTCTCTACCCTTGCCAAATTCCCTGAAAACGTCAAAAGAATTAACCTTTCCTGTCTGAGAAATTACCGCCTCCCAATGTCTCTAATTGGGCCATACCGCAGGAACAGGTGTGGCTGAAGTTTCAGCCACCCCGCTCAAGAAGACGGCTCGTAGTGGCACCCTTCGCAGCTCTCCAGGTTGCTAAACTGTAACAGAACCACACGGTAACAATCACGTGCTTCCAGTGTCCCCGCGTGACACCCCTACAAAATGACTGGCTCAACCCACTCCAACTGCCACAGCATGGTCTCAAACCTGACGGTGCCAGTCACATGACAGCCGGTGCCACCTAATAAGATCTCGCACCCCACCACCCAAATGCCGGTGTTGCTCGCTCCACGCAGGAATTGTCGCGGCGCCAAAGTTCTATATGCTTCGTTAATGTTCTCGTGGCCACTTTGGTATGCAGGACGGAGCGCCCAATTTACGTGTCAATAACTTTTCAGGTGATTATTTAAAACCTCCATATTGTTCCAGAGTTCATAGCTAGCATTTGTTCACAAACGCTTTTCGCTTCTCCGACTCTGTTCATATACGCTGGTGCCCTATCAAGGAACTAGAACGACCTCAACTTGAATTCCCCCTGCAAAGAATCCCACGAAGTCCACCAGTAATCCAACCATGTTCAAAAACAACTGGTTGCCACAAGTGTGCTTGTTGTACGTGGCGCTCGCCCTCTTGGTGCCTTTCCTCGGCTCCAAGAGCCCTATGGCGCTCGCTGCTGCCGATGACGACAACACCACCGAGAGTTACGGTACTGTCATCGGTATCGATTTGGGTACCACCTACTCGTGTGTGGGTGTGATGAAGAACGGTAAGGTTGAAATCTTGGCCAACGACCAAGGTAACAGAATCACCCCATCCTACGTTGCTTTCACCGAAGACGAAAGATTGATCGGTGACGCCGCCAAGAACCAAGCTCCTTCCAACGTCGAGAACACCGTGTTCGACATCAAGAGATTGATCGGTTTGAAGTACAACGACGACACTGTCCAAAAGGAACTCAAGCACTTGCCATACAACATTGCCAAGAAGGACAACAAGCCTGTTGTCAAGGTTGAGTTCAATGGTGAGGAAAAGACTTTCAGCCCTGAAGAAATCTCAGGTATGATCTTGGGTAAGATGAAGTCCATTGCCGAGGAATACTTGGGCAAGAAGGTTACCCATGCTGTTGTCACTGTTCCAGCTTACTTCAACGATGCTCAAAGACAAGCAACCAAAGATGCTGGTACTATCGCCGGTTTGAATGTTTTAAGAATTGTTAACGAGCCAACTGCTGCTGCTATTGCTTACGGTTTGGACAAGACCGATGGTGAAAAGCAAATCATTGTTTACGACTTGGGTGGTGGTACCTTCGATGTTTCCTTGTTGTCCATCGAAGGTGGTGTTTTTGAAGTCTTGGCTACTGCTGGTGACACTCACTTGGGTGGTGAAGATTTCGATTTCAAGGTTGTTAGACACTTGTCCAAGGTTTTCAAGAAGAAGCACGGTGTCGACATTTCCTCCAACCCTAAGGCTATCTCCAAGTTGAAGAGAGAAGCCGAAAAGGCCAAGAGAACTCTTTCTTCTCAAATGAGTGTCAGAGTTGAAATTGACTCCTTCGTTGACGGTATTGACTTCTCTGAAACTCTTTCCAGAGCTAAGTTCGAAGAATTGAACATTGCTTCTTTCAAGAAGACCTTGAAGCCAGTCGAGCAAGTTCTTGCTGATGCTGGTGTCAAGAAGTCCGAAATTGACGATATTGTCTTGGTCGGTGGTTCTACCAGAATTCCAAAGGTTCAAGAATTATTGGAAAACTTCTTCGATGGTAAGAAGGCTTCTAAGGGTATTAACCCTGACGAAGCTGTTGCTTACGGTGCCGCTGTTCAAGCTGGTGTTCTTTCTGGTGAAGAAGGTGTCGATGACATCGTCTTATTGGATGTTAACCCATTGACCTTAGGTATTGAAACCACCGGTGGTGTTATGACCACCTTGATCAACAGAAACACCGCTATTCCAACCAAGAAGTCTCAAATCTTCTCCACCGCTGCTGACAACCAACCAACTGTGTTGATTCAAGTTTACGAAGGTGAAAGAGCTTTAGCTAAGGACAACAACAAATTGGGTAAGTTCGAATTGACCGGTATCCCACCTGCTCCAAGAGGTGTTCCTCAAATTAAGGTCACCTTCTCCTTAGATGCCAATGGTATCTTGAAGGTTGAAGCCATGGACGAAGGAACTGGTAAGTCTGAATCCATCACCATCACCAACGACAAGGGTAGATTATCCAAGGAAGACATCGACAGAATGGTTGAAGAAGCTGAAAAGTACGCTCAACAAGATGCCGAATTGAAGACTAAGATTGAATCCCGTAACTCCTTGGAGAACTACGCTCACTTGTTGAAGGGTCAATTGGCTGACACTTCCGAAACTGGATTGGGAGGCAAGTTGGATGATGATGACAAGGAAACTTTGGATGATGCCATTAAGGAAACCTTGGAATTCATTGAAGACAACTACGACACTGCCACCGGTGAAGAATTCGATGAACAAAAGACCAAGTTGGTCAACATCGCCAACCCAATCACCGCCAAGTTGTACGGTGAAGGTTCCGGCGCTGGTGCTTCTGGTGATGCTAAGTTCGGTGACGACGATTCTGACGATGACTTCGAAAACGATGAATTGTAATTGTCATCTTTTGCTAGTGTAAAAAATATAAACTCCAGGCTACTCTTGGACTCAGTACATATAATATTTATTGACTTGCTTGTAGCGTTCTTCACCGTTTTGTTAACAGCTGCAAGGGTATTTGCAACTTTGATAGATCACGTGTTCATGGCCATCCGGAACCTAAAATTTTTTCTATTTCCTGTTAGAGACATATCATAGGTACAGTTCCAGCACGACAAGTATTCATTAGGGGGATTCCATATCACTGCTAAGACCTTGAAATTATCATGTCGAATAGGAAACTCCAAAAGTATGTTATAATCTCAACATTTTCAAGGAACCGGCTTATCTGTTGAGCCCGACTTGATTCGATCCAATCAAAAGTTGACAGCCGATCACAACGAATGTCTATTGTGGTGATTCATGGGCTTTCTGACTAGTGGACTTTTGGCCAAGCCGAATTGAGTCACTACCTAGCTTGTTTCGAAGCGGATCCTATTGATGATCTCAGTGTTGTACCATCAGAAAGTTATGAAATTTTTCGGCAGCAGTACTAACAAAACCAGGGAAATTGATATAGTATTCAAGAAAATCCAAGAAGGATTGCATGAGTTCAATTATCATTATGATAGATACGAAAGCATCAATACCGAGGGTGACAGCGATAACCAGCGAGAAAAAGAAAAGTTGGAGAGTGATTTGAAAAAGGAGATCAAGAGGTTACAAAAATTCCGTGAACAGATCAAGATCTGGCAACTGAATGAAGTAATCAAATCGCTATCCTTGTCATCTTCTACTTTGGCAACCAAACTCAATGATAACAAAAAGCTTATCGAAGAAGCCATGGAAGTGTATAAAGATGTTGAAAGAACCTCGAAGTTGAAAACCTTTTCAAACCAATCGATATTGATGGCATCGTTGGAAAACACCACAAGGGATGACGACGACGATGATGATGATGACGATGAGGACTTCAATTTTGATGACAATGATTCAACGGAGGAAGACGAAGAAGATACCACATTGGGTCCAGAGGCAGTGGAAGCTATCAAGTTCTTAAAGGATATCATAAGTCAGATAAGTGAACAGACCAAAAAATTGAACAGTGAATACGAGAAGTTATCCCAAAAGAAGTTGAGGAAGAACAATTTAAGCATCATTGAAAGTAAGAAGGAGAAGATACAATCAAGCAAGGATCTCAACAAGTTTCATACCAAGAAAATAATGAAAATCATCAAATTATTGAGATCAAACAAACTTATTGATACCTCCTTAATATGGGTAATCAAGGAAGATTTGATCAACTATGTGAGCTCAAACTCCAACTCAGAAAATGCTGTGGTCAATGACTCAACCTTGTATGATGATATTTTCAATCTGATAACCCCTGACGATGACTATTCCGAAATACATGACTCAGAAGTCTTCTCCACTCCGGTCAAAGAGTTGCCCAAGCAAAGTCAGATATTGCTAAACGGTTCGAATTACTCAAATGGCCACGCAAAGGATATTTTGACAAGTGAACTCACATCCCAGAACGATGCTTTTAGTCATAAAACTCCATCACCAAAACCAAGACATGTTTCAAGCCCAGAGATTTCGAATCCAGGGATTATCAAAATACTTAAGCCGGCAACTACTCCATCCAAACCAATTGGGGGATTGAAATGGTCTGCTGCTGCAGTCGCAGGTATACTCGATTCTGAGACCATGAAGCCGGTTGAGGTTAAAACGCAAAGTGTGACGCCACAAGTACCCATGAAAGTCGAAAGCCAGAAGGACTTGTCTGTGAAGCCCATAATCAAATCTGCATCAACAACTTCGGAAGGTTCACAGGAGGGAAAGATCAGCAAATATGTGCAGGTATTGAAGAACTCATCTTTATCAAGTATAGAGTTGAATTTATTCAGTGATCCAAACTTGCATAAATTACCACCAGGAATGCAAGACCTCATCATATCATTCACATCAAAAAGAAATAACTCGCATGATTTTAGGCTACTTTATGACTCCAATGAATTCAATCAATTCGTGAGCCCAATTCACAAACCCTATTCACCTCACCAGATCCAACCACTTCTTAACAACAACTATAACAGTGCCCAATTTAAGCCTCCTTTGCAACTATTCAAGTTACAATCCTACTGGAATAAAATTAGGGCAGGAGATCAATTTGAACAATTTTTGATAGAGTTGGAATCACTCACAGCTCAGAACAATGTTGAAAATGGTCCAATAATCAACGAATTTGCTTTGGTATTATTCTATGGTTATTACTATGGTTTGACTCCTATTGAAAACCTTATTGCAGAATCCTGTTTGTTAAAATTAGGATGGAGACCTTACAGAAACAGGATCGATGATTCACTCAACAAAACCATTTCGCCTGGAAACAGTGTCAAGTTTTCGGGATCAACAACTGCATCGAGTAATTATCTCTATTGGTTCAAATGTATCAAGTTGATATCAACAGAAGAAGCTACTGCGGTGGAATATGGGGACTACCAAGTTTTTGATTTGTCAACTTGGGAAATCTTTGTTAAGTTCGGTTTCAAGTTTGACAATAACTTGAGCCAACTGGCCCCATCGACAGTTCTCTGTTGATTGAGTATCAAAAACCAAAGTTTAAAACCACTCCATAACTAGTACCCTATGAAAAACACTTTACAGTAATTCACTTTTCATCCAAAATAAAGAACGGCTCCGAATGTATATTTCCTTCTGTAGTTTCATTGCACTCCGATTGAAGAATTTCTTCCGGATATAGTTCGCTGTGGAGGAGACTCACGTCTGACTCTAGCATGGCCTCGCTCAACAACTGGTGATAGTTATACTTTTCTCTACCATTAGTGTGGTTCAAACTAGATTCAGGGGTATCCTCCATGGGAAAATCATTGGAACTTAATGCCACACCTTCAGAAGAACCCTCACTCAACATTGACACTTCTTCGCGGCATTGGTACTCGCTGTGAGTCCCATTCGCTGAAATTAAGCATGGCATTGACTGAAAACGGTCCTCGTAGGGTATCCATTCGACCTGAGTGTAGTTTTCGAATTCTTTACTATCAATCCCAAAGAGTTTGAGGGACACTCGTTTTATTTGAAACTCATGCACAATAGAAGCTAAAGATTCCAATTTCTCCATGAGCGGCGATGAAATGTCTAGAAGTTCAATCTCTATTGAAATTCGGTGAAGAAATCAGCTTGTGGATACCTCAGAATGCTGCAAAAACTGAGTGAGCATTTCAAAATAGGCTGAGTCAATAGTGAGAAAGGTAAATAACCTGCAAGATTCTCCTAAAGACCGTGGTAGCAGTTTCTATGGTTTACTAATTACACATTGACTGTTCCTTGAAAGCGAATTATGACAAGCACCAGGACCTGAAGCAAATAACACCTGCCTAGCCGATAGCAACTGCCCCCAGTAGATGTCAGTCTTCGGTACACGACCCCACCAAATGATCCGAGGACAAAAGAATCATCTCCACATTTCAAATGTGAGAACACAGCACCCTCTTTCCCAGCAAGATGGAGTACTATTCATCTTTGGATGCATCACAGCTCGACTCGGAGACACCCACGCTCTTCGAGTTGATCTCGGCTGGCCAATTGGAATCGTTGTTATCGCCTTCCTTGCGGTACATCTTGGTGCACTATGCTAGCAAGTATCCTTACTACCTCTTGAGGGTCAATAACCACTTTGACGAGCTCAACCTTGCATTCCGAAGCTTTGTGGAGTGGTACTTCTTCAAGTACTGGCAAGGCTCGTTCACTGAGAACTTTTATGGGTTGAAAAGAGTAAACCAAACTCCTATCTCCGATTCAAAGTACAATAGTGGAAAGTTGACCCAGTTGGTGCCCTCAATGATTGAGGAAAGAAGGGCATTGACTGGGTTTCAGAAGGCAGTCTCCATATTCGAAGTTACTGGCGTTGCTTACATTTCAGAAAAGTTGGAATACTTGCATGAAACATGGTACACCAAGTTCATCACCAATCAACTCAACCCCAGCGAGGGAAACACTAACGAGGAAAACCTCAAGATCAACTTGAAGAGGATATACGTTCAAGTTTTTCCCTACTTGCAAAGCACATACAGGGCTGGAAACCTCATCACCACATTGATGTATTTGAGTGGAAAAACCAAATCACCTACATTACTAACCTATTTATTCAACATCAATTACTCCAGATTGAATCTGTATGACTACTCCAAGAACGAGCCTTCTGTTTCCAGCAAGTCGAAGACCAAAATTAATAAGGTCTCACCTCCAACAACCCTCGATTATATTATAAGGCTTTTAACCAAGAATTTCACTAGGCCATCGTGGAAAGTAATCAAGTTCCTTTTGGGTACCTTTTTCCCGGTTGCAATTTTCTCGTTGAAGTTTTTGGAATGGTGGAATAACTCGGGATTCTCATCCAAGCTCTTGAAGAATCAGGGTAATGTATTGGATTTCACATTACCCCCACCATCAACTTTGGCCAAAGCCTTAAGGGATTCTAGAGGTGCTCAAAGCGAAAAGTCCGTCACGAACAAGGTCTACCGTTCTGGAAAAACATGTCCTTTGTGCAAAAACGAACTTACGAACCCTGCAATTATCGAGACTGGTTACGTTTTTGACTATTCATGCATTTATAATTACCTTGAAAAATCGCATATTCTAGTCTCAGAAAAGGCTAGCAGGAAATCTGATAGTGCAAAGCAAGATGATGATGATGATGATGATGATGATGAAGATGTTGACGAAGACGATGAAGACGATGGAGAAGATGAAAAGGGCGAGGCTGGAACTTCAAAGGAGGTGGAGAAGATCTCTTATGACATTAACAAGGGTGGAAGATGCCCTATTACAGGTAGAAAGCTATTAGGTTGTAAGTGGAATGCAATTAAGGAGGAATGGGATATTGAGGGTATACGAAGACTTATATTTTAGTATAAAATAAGACAAATTCATGAAGTCCAAAACAGAATGCTTCTGACATCTTCACTGATGTTGGAATTATGGTGCGTTTTCGTAGATTCGTAGGTTTGTAGCCTCTCTACCAGAATTCATTCGGCGATCATACTGTAGACACGGCAATATTTCACTCCGAAATGTACGTAATATCAATTGTTCAGTTTAGGGTATACAATTACGAAAATTGCCAGAATATGCACTAAACAGATTACTGGTGCTACGAATTTAGCTGTTTCCGCCCAATATAAAACACCAACGTGATAAGCTAAATTAGCCACATGCTTGGGAGTAGGCTTAGGACTACCGGTAATTTCCTGGTGACGATAATGGCACTGGTCCACGTTGGCATACCATCACGTGAATTTGCAGCAGACAATAAGTGAGGGTCAAATCTTGATCTGAATATTTCCCTACCACCACCATGTCTACAGATAACACCTTGCAAGCAATCAAGTTCGACAAGGAGCAGGTCGCTTTGTCAATATTGGACCAATTGTTGCTTCCTTACCCCACAACATACATTCCAATCAATACAATTGAAGATGCTTTTCAAGCCATCAAGAAGATGCAAGTAAGAGGAGCACCAGCCATTGCGATTGTGGCGTCGTTTGCTGTTACTGTTGATACACATTTGCATCTCAAATCTAAGGACCAGCCAAGAACGGTTGCTCAATTGGTTTCCTCTATCGAATACCTCATTACATCACGCCCTACTGCAGTGAATCTCTCCAATGCGTTGACTGATATTAAGAAGTTGGTCTTGCAGTCATTCCAGCCAGGTGACGAAGTCACCAGTAAGGTGTTCGACTTAATCTACAAATACTCGGTTGCATTGTTCGAGGACGACCTTGCCAACAACTACAAGCTTGGAGATAATGGTGTGAGCTATATCACCAAGATCTTGCAACAACAAAATTTTAAGGGCCCCTTCTCAATTGTTACTATCTGTAATACCGGGTCCTTAGCCACTTCAGGTCACGGGACTGCCTTGGGTATTATCAGATCTGTTCACCAGCAATTGAAACAGGATCTGGGTAAAGGATTCTGGCTCGATCAGGTTTACCCATGTGAAACCAGACCATACAACCAGGGGGCAAAATTGACTTCATACGAGTTGAAGTTCGAAAAGATCCCTTTCACATTGATATGTGACAATATGGTCACCTCCTTGATAAATACCTTGAATGTCCAGAAGAAAAGTGTTAAGTCTTCCTCTGCGCCAGTCAAGTTCATCATTACCGGTGCAGACAGAATTGTTGAAAATGGTGATTCTGCAAACAAGATTGGTACCTTTCAATTGGCTTCCATTGCAAACCAGTTCAACAGTAGATTCAGTGAAGAGGAAAAGATCAAGTTCATTGTGGCTGCCCCAAGAACTACCATTGATTTTGAAACAAAGACAGGTGAGGATATCGTGATTGAAGAGCGTCCTAGTAACGAGTTAACCACCTTAAAGGGTCCGGTGTTGAGTGTCAATGAGGCTGGCGTGACAGAAGTTGGAGAAAAGCTTACAGTAGGAATAGCTCCTCCTGATATCTCGGTTTGGAATCCTGCTTTTGATGTGGCTCCTCATGATTTAATCGACGCGATTGTGACGGAGGATACAGACGCTTTTGTAAAGAATTCTAACGGCGAGTTTAATTTGAGAGTTTAAAGTGTATAATTCTATAATTACTATACATTAATGAGCTAGCAAAGCTAGCGGATTGCGAAAACTGAGAACATTGTAAAACCATAGTTTTTTTGTTTTATTGATCGTATTAGTTCGATTCACCTGATTTTTGTTCCGGTTGTTGCTTAGCGGTGTCAGGAGACTTTGTTTCTCCTTCGTTCTCTTTGGAAACACTGGAGTCTTGATTTTGTTCCTTGGCGTCTTCAGCCAAATCGGAACTCTGTGGAATCACATCTCCTTCCCTCTCAATCGATTGTTCAGAAGAATTTCTCTTCAATTCAGGATCATGCTCAATTACTTCTTTATTCACATTATTTTCAGAAGCGACTTCCGTTTCTTTCTCCATTTCTCCTTGATCAGTAGACTTAGTGACATCTTGTATTACTCCAGACTGGGGCAATACAACTTCGGGCTTTTCAGGGACTTCAGGAACTTCAGGAACTTCGTTCTTTGCTGGTAATTCGGGTTTTTCGTCAACATCATCTTTTTGGGGCACAATTGGTGAGCTGTTTGAAGTGACTCGTTCTAATTCGGACAGTCTTTTTTCATTGGCTTCAGTGGCAGCAGCTTGGATATTGTTTCTCATCACCTCATCCATCTTCATGTCTTCTTCAGTGGGCAACGCATTGACATTTTCCCAAATAACCTGCCCAGAATTACCATAGCCTGGAAGCTCACTCAATTTGACTCTGAAGTAATCAATGTCTTTGAGTAATGAATGCTTTTCATTAAAATCCTTAAATTGAGGAAGTTGGGTGCAGAAGCATTCTATGAACAATTTCTTATAGTTATCAAAAACTTGCAGTAAGATTAAGGAACACTTCAAGTCAGGCAAATATCTGAACAATACCTTAGAGACAGTTAAGGTATCCTTTACTAAGGTCTCCATATATGGATGACATTGCTTTGGATGCTTAATTGGATCTGAGAAATCAATCTTAAGAATAGTGGCACAATGATGGGTGGTACGATCGTACATAATCGAAACCAACTTCGAGAAAAGTTCATTCTCATGATCCTTGTAGTTACTAATTACCCTGTCAAAGTTTAACTCATCATGGTTTATCGAGCCTTCCTCTCTAGCACGAGGCAAGATATTTTGAATATGACCCAAAAATTCGATGTTGAACTCGACGAGTTGGATACATAACGCCAAGTGCTTGGTAGTGATATGCTTCAACCCTGCAGTTCTGGTGGCACCCGCGTTCAACACAGCCTGGGAAGACTTAGAATTCATCAATTTAAAGTAGTTTAATAGGTTGTTTTCAATAAGAGAAGCAGTGTTGGGAAAAACCTTGGAAATGATAATATAATCTCTGACTTGCTTAAGGGACTTTCTAATCAATTCGGGGACTAAGAAAGTTTCTTCCTTAATGCTCACTTTAGTTATTGAAGAATCAACCGCGGTGTTATCAGACGCAGTAGATTGTGCATCTTCGTAGAAATCCATTACTCTCAACCAAGAATCTCCAGAGAATCCGCTCCTACCGCTGTTAGCAATAAATTCTGAATATCCCACAAGTTGATCCACGATTTCCTGGCACTCAGAGAGGCTCTCGGGCAGAGTCAATTCCTTCCATACTTCACGATCGCAGTCTGCCACAAGTGCCCTTAACGAATTCAGGTGAAACCGGTGTACAAAGTAGGTGACGTGATGTTTAAACCATTCACTTAAAGAACTACCAGCACCACTCGAATTGAATCCAGGATTGATTAATTCACATTCCTGCAAGTATGATGAAGAAATAGCATACAACCGAAGATAATACGCAACAGGAAGATCGGCAGTTTGCTCCAGCCGGACATTAATAACCTTGGTCAACCGAATCTGGGTCAATTCAATGGCCTTGTGAATAGATGTTGTGATATCCAAAGCCATGACGTCAATCGTTTGGGATAATGAGGGTGGCAACGCGGTCAATGCTAAGTCCAATAAAGTCTTTTGATGGGCTGTAAGACGGCGCAAACATTCTGAAAGGCTGGCATATGTCTTGGTGAGCATGCTTTCAAATTCTTTTGGCGTCAATGATTTGATATTAGATGACAAGGTATTTGGTTGTTGAGGATTTGATGATTCTGGCGGTACAGACGATGATCTAGATGGAGCATTGGACAGATCCTGTCCTTGGCTATTCGCAGTTGGCAAGTTATGTTTAATGATATTCTTGATCTCATTAATAATTCTATCTTGATATGCAGAATATGCTTGAGTCAAATGACCAGATTTGATCAAGTTCCTGATATAGTGTGATAAGTTTTTCTTTTGAAAATCTGATATGGAGAGGTACGAGTTATTGATTGATTTGGAAGCATATTTTCTTGATTTATCAGTAGACACGTACATCCTGTTCAAGGTATCTTGAGTATCAACCGAATTATAGTGATCTCTCAAGTCCTCAAGCAAAAGATTTATGAAGTCATTGATATAACCCTTGGAGCACTCACTCTTCAAATTTTCAAGATCATTCCTCAAATGGACTAGGGCAGGTAAATGAGTCAAATTGACACTAGGAAAATTAAATTTGGGATATGATGCCTTGATCTCTTCATCAACAATTTCAACATGTTCTATACCTTGGATTAGACTTTCTACTGTGACGATTTCATTCAAGCACTTTGAATAGTTGCCATTATTGAAGGACCTATTGGCAAGGTCATTGATAGACACGATATATTGCAATTGGAGCAATGAAGATTCCAAACGTTCAGCATTATCTCTCTTTACTAAATTGTCCAAAATTGTCAATCCAGTAGCGGCGTGATTCTGTTCCAACTTCTCCAATTTTGTCAAGACACTTTGAAACTGGTCCACGCAACCCTTTGACTGGGACTTAATCAGCTCGATATCACCTAGCGTGCTGAAGAATGATTCGGAAGACTTGGATATTTCCTTGATCAAATTTATCTCCACAATATCCAAATAATGGGAGAGCTTGTCCTGAAGGTCGTTATTATTTGTCAACTGGGATGTGGAATCATCGAATTCGACGGAAAGCATGCTTGAATTTTCAAGAACACTCTTGAATACTCTGGGGTCGTCCAACCTGAAATCCGGATCGGCGTATATGGAAGGAATAATTGACAAGTCCTCGGCACTCAGGTCTTCGCCAAAGTTCTTGATGGAAGACGACGCCGACGGTCCATCGCTGTCGACCGCTGCTTGCTTGACAAACTGCTGTAAGGTGTCCTCAGTCAAGAGCTTGTAGCTCAGTTCGAAGTTTCTGTAGTCGTCAATTACATTCTTGACGTAGTCGTTTTCCAAGTCCTTGTTGTTAACTTTCTGGGCAAGCTTCAGCAACTGGATCTGGGGAATGTCTTTGATGGATGGAGCTCGCAAGTTGGTCACGGTGGTGGCTCCGCCGTTGATGGTGACCGAATTCTTGGGGCCCCTATTCTTGTTGATGCGAGCAAGATCAGATGCAATGGTCAACTCGTAGATGGAGTTTGGTCCCAATGGAGAGAAGGACTTGTCATCGATGGTGGAGGTGTTGAACACATTGAAGTAGGCCGATGACAGGAACGTGCTATCGGCATCAATGCTGTTTCTAAACGAGGTGGAGCCTGATCTCTTGGGGAATCCAGCACCCGATTGGGATACGTAAGACCCCAACGAGTACTCTGAGCCATTGGCCAAATCATCATTGAGGTCCACGCTGCCTTCAAACGACGGCCGGGATGTGCTGGGGTCCGAAGCGTGCAACAGGAATGATTCTCGTGACATGTGCCGTTGTGGATAGGCGTGTTGATATGGGTGGATATGGAAAAACGGAGGTCGCGGGGGAGAGTCGGTGGGAAGGTAGGGCGAGGTGGTGGAAACCGTGCGAGGCTGGTGGGAAATGCTAGGGAGATGGTGCGAAGTTAGCGAGCCTAGCTAGGGCACTGGTGCACGGTTAGTGCGAGGTTAGTGCGATGTTAGTGCGTGGTTAGTACTAGGTTAGTGCGAGGTTAGTGCGATGTTGGTGGGATGTTAGTACTAGGTTAGTGCGAGGTTAGTGGTGGAAGAATGCCTGTGCAAGCTAGTTCCAGTTAGTTGCTGGTGGTGCACCCTGTTGCCTACAGACACCACTACTGCGACGTTGCTGAGCCACCATCGTACTCATAGATCTCGCTTAATCACCTCGTAGGGTGCTCCTGGCACCGCTATCAAATCAGACCCCGCGCACAGAGCCACATCAGGTGGTGTCGCCAGAGTTGCAGACCCGCGACAATATTTGCTCACAGTAATTGAATAGTTGAAGCTGACTAATTTTTCACCACACCACCCATCCAAACATGTCCACCGAAGCCCAACCAAACCAACAGACAAAGCCCAAGCCATGCTGTGTGTGCTTGGATGAGAAGAAGCAAAGAGACGAGTGCTTGTTGTTCAACGGCCAAGAAAGCGGAAAGTGTGACTCCATCATCAACCAGTACAAGGCCTGTATGAAGGGCTACGGCTTCACCACCAACTAGATAGCACCGTGGTGGCTTCGAAACGTGCTGAGTGGCATCGCCAGGCGCTGCTTGTAATTAGTTCATTAATTGTTGTATATAGAAATGAATGCTACTTGTCATCATTAAGTACTAGAGCGTAGAGGGCACTGGCCCAGCATCTAAGCCCGCATGCTTACTGCTAACAGCAAGAGCTATCAGCCTAGAAGCTAAGCATCGAGCTTTATAGGTCTATGTGGTTCGTTAGCTGGTCTATACCTGGTAAAGGTTGGTAGGAATGGTGTCGTTGCCAGAGTATAAAGCTATACCTGGTTGAACGTCCCGTAGGATTTGGGGGGTTCATCACCGGTGAAGGTGCTGATACTGCTGTCGCTGTTGTTGTTGGGGCCTGCTTTGTAATTAGCGTGCTCTTCTTGCTGGAGGTAGTGGGCAGCCTCTTCACGTAGCACGCTGGCAGGCTCTCCAGGCAGATGGTGCTCGTGCTGGATTCTCTTGTTCACGCTCATCCACGCCTGGTTCTGGATGAAGTTATCAATCAACACCAACTGCAAGCAGTTCATGACGATGGGCACCACGAACATCACCACGAAGATCTCAAACTCGTCGGGGTACTCGTCGAGCCAGAGTAACAACACGTGGCTGGTGAACCACAAGAGCTGCTGCTCAAAACATTCAACGATGCCGTAGATCAAAATCTTCGTGATCATCAACGAGATGAAGTAGATGGACAATTGCTTCAAAAACGCCCGTGTCGACGGCTTGTTGGGGTCGGGACCATAGTTTCCCGAGTCGATCTGGGTCATGTGCAAGTACTTCTTGCTGAACTTGGTCATGGACTGGAAGACGAGGTACAAGATGTACACCCCTATCGTACAATCAAACACAATGCTGAGAAAGTACCAGTCACAGGGGTCGTCATCCACGTCGGATTCGGGGCTGTCCAAGTCCAAGATGCTTCCGTTGGACTTTCTGGTCTTCACGATCGACAAGAACACGTTGAAGACGTGGACTCCCAACGCCCCTATTAACTGCTTGAGCACATCAAAGAGCCACACTGACCACGTTCTGCGAATGGGGAATTCGTAGTAGCGTTTGACGAGCAATGACGAGAGGCACAAGAGACCCAAAACCGCCTGAGTCAAGAGCGAGAATGTGCCTATCAACTCACACTTGCCGTCGTCGTTATCGGAGGGGCTGTGAGCGGGAGGTTTTGCGGACGCGATGTGGTTATCAAATGAGACAGGGAGAATAGCGGATAACACGATAATGGGGAGGCTCAAGAGCTGGGCCACCGGTAGACTGTTGCAACTCAACATGCTGGAGGAATGTAGCGGTGGGAGGACGAGTTAAGCGGCCATCAACAGACGTAGACCAATTCAAAATTTTGGGTCAGTTGCTATCTAGAATAGATGTTGGGGTCGTGCGGCGGTGATCATCACGATGGCAAGGCTGAATTAGGGTGCTGGTAGTGTAACCAATCGTGCAACTAGTGGTGGCAAGGTTGTTGCAAGTAATGGAAGTGGCAGTACTGGTGGTGATGTACGTAGTGTGTAAGTAGTGTGTTAGTTTAGTGGTGTGCTAGTACTTGTACTTGTGGCAGTGGTAGTTACTGCGAATTGTACTGGGAGGTGTTTGTTGGCTGCAAAGGCGATAACAAATGTTGATGGGGTCATGAGTCTCCGTTACTGTTGGACCCCTTTTCTCTGCTGCCGGCTAAAAAGGGCTTGGTTTGGCGGACTTACAACAATAATTATGACTAAAATCGGTAGTATGTGAGCACCCAACTGGTGTGAGATCATGAGATCAGATGTTGGGTCATCTCGCTGGGGGTCTATTTATGCCAGTGAGTTCGTAGAACTATCATCAAGTAGATGCTTGACTCGTTTCCCTCTCATAATTGTAGCTATATTAAGTTATACTGTTGTTTCACATGGTGCAAGAGGTGCAAATGTGCAGATACTAATGCCATTCAAGACTAAGTAGTATATTTTTATGTTAACAATCAATCAGCAACGAGAAAGCTTGCTAAGCAACGATCCACTCTACTCTAATCCCAAATTTCCTTACCTGTACTCTAATCTCCAGTACCAGCACCTGCTACAAAACGTAAATCATTAGTTCAATATAGTAATGGAACTTAAAATGCTACGAAATTGTATGATTTACGAATCTAGTCTGATGGGAATGTCATAATTGGTGGGTAAAGTCAAAAATTCCGAGTGGTTATTCTCAGATTTATGTGTGATACAATGGTGGACTTTGACACCATAAATCAGAGTTGCGTTTAGTACAGCTGTCTTATTCGTACTATTATTACTTCGAAATTTCTTCTATTTTACCACAAATGAGTTCTTGCTTCCTCTCAAATACAACTCATCTCTTACTGAACACACTTTCTCCAGGATCGACTACGAGACCATTTACAACGAGTAGAAGCTTTGAATTTAACACGTATATTTTAGAACCGTATCATCTCATTACAGACGGGGAAAAACTGGCCCGTCCAGGTCATAACTTGCATTACCATTATGCATCATTGCTACCAGAGTTCACATTCTTCCAGCCACCCAAAAGGTGATTGGCAAACCCCTTGGCCAGGTCCACTATTTTGCTCTTGCCTTCCTGATTAGGGGAGCTGACGGGTAATTCCACTGGAGAACCCTCCGGAGTGATATTCCGGATGCCATTCTTGCCAGCCACTTGCGAGAGCGAAGCATAGCTTCTGACATAGTTATCCGCAGTGTTGGAATTCGAACTGGTATGCACTGGTGTGTGCTCCAAGAACTCATCTTCCGACTCAGAGTCGGTGTCAAACATAAATGTGTTCTTGGATTTGGAGCCTAGGTTGCTGGAAATTCCCGGACTGGATGGGGACTCTCCTGCATTAGACTCAGCTAAGGGCGGCGTAGTGTTTCCCAGGAAAGCATTGGTGGAAGTGGTGTGAGGGGGTAATGGTGAAGCTTTCTTCTGAGCTTTGGAGTATTTCTGGCTTTCAGGGGATGGTGAAAACGCATGCGAGTTTTGATTGGCATTAAAAAACTGGTCAGATAAGGAGATGCTTGATGCCTTGGTTAATCCAGCTCCCCCAAAAAATTGGTCTGACAAAGAATTACTCGAAGCCTTTTGTTTGGTCAAGCCGTTTCCTCCGAAGAATGATTCAGACAACGAGTTTGACGAATGCGGCTGCTTGGTAATTGAAGTCGTTGAATGGTTAGGGTTAATGCTGGAAACAGGAGCGGAAACTGGCTGTGGGTGATTCAAATTGGTTGGAAAGTGATTTTCAGGCTCGTTAGGCGTAAGGCCCTCCTTGTTGAACACCAGTTGCGCTAATGACTGACTGGACCTTCTGGCCCCAATTGATAACGTTTCCCCATCGGAGTCGGAGTCCGACTCCTCCGAGTCACTCAATTGAAATGGCGATACCTTTGGTTTATGCTTGTCTTCATATGCTTGTCCTGGTTGATTGTTGATGTTGTTGCTATGAATAATCGAGGGATTGATGATAGGCATACCTTCGGTAGGCGAGCGGTATTCATCGTGTTCAATAGATTCGTAGTCAAAGTTAGAACCCAAAGTAATATTTTCTGGAACATCACAGACCTCAGGAACTTCCTTCTTGTTACCGTAAATAGCATGATTGGGGTCAACGGTATACACAGTATTATAATCATAGTAGTAATCGTACCCTCTACGGCTATTATTGTCAACATTATGCGACAAACTTGAGGTGTATGGATTCTCTTCGGTACTCTCCTCGTCGGAACCGTAGTTTAACGTGGTTGGTGGAAGTAATTGGATGGTCTTATACATCTTACTGTTGGCGGTAGAAAGTGAGTCGGTGTCTTCGGTATTTTCTGGCTCTCTCTGGCTTAGATTAGCATTATTGTTGGAACTGAATGGGATGTTGACGCCTGCAGGATGAGTAGAAGGTGATTTAACATTAAGGAAGAAACCACCTTCGTCGTCTTCGTCATCATCTTCCTCGTCATCATCGGCATCACCTTCGTGCGCGTCATCATCACTATGGTAATACCCAGGACGACGATGGTCGCCATAGGTATAACCATTCTCTTCTTCGTCAGAACCTTCGTTGTCATAATAATATCCTTGATTCATACCACTGGACTCATCATCGTCATAACTATCGTCGTAGTACTCATCGTCGTATTCGTCATCAGAGAAAGTGTCTACAGCAATACACTGCTGGACTTGGTCGTTGAAGTGGATATGACGATCACCCTTTGCAACTTCGGGCTGATCTTCTAAGATTGTAGCAGTTTCCAGGTGTGGAGGGTCCAAAGTTGCCAATGGTGGTGATGAATCCACCAAGGCAGGCTCATGGGTGGCAATCTCAGCACCTTCTTCTACAGCTTCATTAGGTACCAGCTGAATGGTCTCGTCGGTGGTGTTGGAAGTATCGTTTTCAGGAGCTTTCTGAGCTAAGTTGTTAGATGAGTTTTTCTTGATGAGATTCTGAAGGTTGACGAGGGAATTTGACTGAGAACTAGCTTGAGCACCACTCAAGCTTTTATATTGAGAGTTTAATTTTGCAGAAATGGCTTCAAAGTCATCATACTCGGGGGTCTTTGTATCTTGCTTTTGTCTCCGCTTCTCTTCTGCTTGTTTCCACTGCTTCAATTGTTGGATTTGCTTCTCTCTTTGCTTTTGGTACATCTTGTTGGTGGCTAGCTCCAACTTTAGCAAGTTGGACTGACTAATAATCATGTCCTCCACGGTTCTTCGTTTCAAAATTGGCTTTGGCCCACTACGTGAGGCGTTCTTGTTAGGTATGGATATATCACCTGCAACCGCAGAGGTGGCGGTTGTGATGGCCTCTGGCTTGCATTTCTCATCTTCGTCCTCGCCGTTGATGTTTGTCACCGAGAGTGAGTGGTTGTCTTTCAAGATAGGGCCATAAAGCCAAGTGACGTCGCTATCTTTTGACCAATTGACGACCTCGGGACTGATGGTTTTCAAGTTGCATCGTCTCTGGGCCCAAGTCCGCCAGGAAGCGTTTTCCAAACGGGCGGAGTTGGCCACGTCCTTCCGCTTGGAAATGACGTATCGCCAAGACCTCGAGATGTCAGAAACGTCCCACTGGTGTGAAAAGTAGTCGACGTGTCTCGAGGGCTCGTTGGCTATATCTGTGTCGTCGTGGGGTAGCAACTCAGGGCTCTTGAACGAGATGGCGTTGGAGTCGAGGATGGAGTCGTCTTCGTCGTCGTCAGGGACGTCCAGCGGGTGGGAGGAGTCATTGGCAGCATCCAGAGAGTGGGAGGCTTTGCTGGAATCCGGCTGGGCGTCCTTGTCGGGCTGGATGAATTCGTCCAACAACCCCAAGGACCGCGTTCTCTTGAGTTTGAAGGTGGTGTTTTCGAAATGAGTGTCGTCCTGGGCATCCACGTGCTGGGACGTGGTGGCGCCTCCAGCAAACACTTCGCCTTGGTTTGGATGTGAGCTCATGGCCACTGGAAGGATGGGTATAAATAAGCCGTGACCTAGAAGCTAAGGGCAACGGAGATAGGAGGGAGCAGGGCCAGACTTGGAGGAACACGGACAAGTCTAGAGGGGATTCGGTGGTGGGTGTGCGAGTCGTGCCGTCGTGACAGAAGGATGGATGGTGGTGGCGATGGGTGGATTTGTCTAAGAGAAGAATCTATTAGTGGAGAATCTCTTTCAGTGCTGGTGCGAGATTGAGATTTTGGCTGGGAGGAGTCAAGGAAAAAATGGATGCGACACTAATAATCTGGAGAGCGGTGGAGGGCAGACAGACACAACTTATAGAAAGAAAGAAGGGAAGACAGATGGGCAGACAGATAGGAACGAATCTCGGGGGAAGTGGATCCTGGGGGAAGCCTGACTTGTGACGGGAGAGGGCTTAGGAGACCCGGGGGTTCTGGGTTGACAGGCTGGGGCTGTATACAGGCAGACTGAGCGGAAGAACTGCACTGGTGGGGGCAACTGGCTAGTGATGAGGCGGAGGATGCACAGGGAAGGGAAGGGAGATAGCAGGGTGCCGGAGATACGCCTGGCGGCAGCTCCGGGAACCGCCGTAGCAACCGTGGGGCCCTGGTTGAGAGCAGGAGATCACGTGACTGTCGGGCCCCGTGGTGCGGATTTCCCTCCCTCCCGATGCAACGTTGCATCGGTGCCCCGGCCCTGCGTTCCTCCGCCTGTCCCCACTCTGCTGGGCCACCGGAAGCCAAATAAGCCTCCCCCACATGGTGCAACGTTGCATCCCCTCCCTCCCTGCGGCCTTCCCCAGATCGCCCAATAGGAAGCCGCGTCCAGGCCACCCAGAGCGTGCGGCGCCCGCCCCCCCCCCCCCGGACCTCTACCCCCGAGGCGGCCTCGCGCGTGCGGAGGCATCCAGCCATAGAGCCATATCACGTGCCTCCCCACCGTCGCTGGCCACTATCACATGCTGGGCCCAACGGTCGAGCTATCGACCTACATAATCTTTGTTTCGTGGAGAAGCGATAATATATAAATCTCGCATATCCTATTGTGGTTTTTCAACCTGCAATCAGTGGCTCTCGTTTAGACTACAGCTTATTTATTTCCTTTCAACTACAGCTTGGCCATCGCTCCATACTCACTAAAAATGGAGTTTGAACACCAAGACATGGAGTTCAAAAAACACGATCTTGCGTTCTCGTCGGCTGCCGACGCTGAGCCAGGGTCCAAGCGCGAGTCCACCGAGTCGTTCGACCTCACATCCTCGCCCAGTTCCGGCGCAAAACCGTCGGGAGGCGAGTTGAAAAGAACGTTTTCCACCTACTCCATCATCTCCATCGGGTTTGGGCTCACCAACTCGTGGTTCGGCATCTCGGCCTCCTTGATCACCGGTATCCAGTCGGGAGGCCCCCTCTTGATCGTGTACGGCATCATCATCATCGCGTTTGTTTCGTACTGTATTGGTGTAACTCTTTCGGAATTGTCCTCTGCCATTCCCTCTGCTGGTGGCCAGTACGTGTGGTCGAGAGTTTTGGCGCCTAAGAAGCACTCCAGCTTCTTTGCCTACTTGTGTGGCACCTTGGCGTGGGCTGGCTCCATTTTCACCTCGGCTTCCATGGCCCTAGCCATCGCTAACGAGTTGATGGGATTCTGGGTGCTCTCGCATCCCTCTCACGAGGTCAAGAAGTGGCAGCTCTTTGTTATCTACCAGCTCATCAACCTCTTCCTTGTCTTGTTCAACTGTTATGGTAAGTGGTTGCCCTACTTGGGAACGGCCGCGTTGTACACCTCGCTCACCTCCTACGTGATCATTCTCATCACAGTGTTGGTTTGCTCCAGAGGTAACTACAACACCGCAGACTTCGTATTCACCACCTTCGAAAACAACACTGGCTGGGGCTCGGCTGGAATCGCCTTTATCGTGGGGTTGATCAACCCCAACTGGTCGTTCTCGTGTCTCGACTCAGCGTGCCACTTGGCTGAAGAAACTGAAAAGCCCAGAACTGACATCCCCAAGGCTATCATGGGAACTGTTACCATCGGCTTCCTCACCTCGTTCACCTACGCCATCGCCATGTTCTTCTGTATCCGTAACTTGGAAGACATCTACAACTCTGGCACTGGAATGCCTATTCTCGACATCTACTACCAGGCTCTTGGCAACAAGACTGGTGCCATCTGCTTGGGGTCCTTGATCTTCTTGACTGCCTGTGGGTGCACCATTTCGTGCCACACCTGGCAGACAAGACTCTGCTGGTCGTTCGCCAGAGACAACGGGTTGCCCTTCTCCAAGTACTTGGCCATTGTGGACCCCAAACTCGGAGTGCCTTTGAATGCCCATCTTTTTTCGTCGTTCTGGGTGGCCATTTTGGGGCTCCTTTATCTTGCTAGTGATGCTGCCTTCAATTCTATGGTGGTTGCTTGTATCACCTTCCTTTTGCTCAGTTATCTTGTTCCTACAGCTGCTCTCCTCTACAGAGGAAGAAACAACATTAAGCACGGTCCCTTCTGGTTGGGAAAGATCGGTCTTTTCTGTAATATCGTCACCGTTTTCTGGGCATTTTTTGCCTTGGTTTTCTTCTCCTTCCCATCGTTCATGCCTGTGAACGCAGGCAACATGAACTATGCCTCTGCGGTCACTGCTGTCTACATTATCTGGGCGTTGGCCTACTGGTACTTCCCATACAAGCCATGGTCATGTCGAGAGACATTTGCTGGTGGTTTGGGCAGCAATGAGGAGGTGGAGTTCCCAGACGTTTGTCACGATAAAATCTTGTAGATATGATTGTCGCATGTAATTATAGAATAATATATACCCAAAGAATTAAGTGCATAGTTTAGAGGTAAAGGGTTTTATTCTCAACATTTAGCATCTGGTTAATAGCAAAAGTTTAATATTCATCTGGTTTAATAATACTGTATAACAAGCGTGGGGTGAAATCGGTACTGAAGCTGGCCTTGGCTAGAACAGGATCTGGCTTAAATGATAGGTGTATGTTTAATCAGTATGATATGGTATTGCCTTCCGTGGTTCGAGCAGGAGCTGGAATTAATGAACTGAGCACCTTATTTTAAGAACAGTTGATCATGGATTACATCGCGTTCAAGTCCTTGCTCAAGCTGGAGGACTTGTGGGTTTGATACTGAACAAGTGCAATTTCTTCAAGCACTGTATGCTTTATTGGGGTCAAAATAATATTTTAGTAATTAATTAATATCCGTACTAGACTAGATAATACCTTCTGGTTTCACCCTCTTGGCTAGGAGTAGTTTCGTAATCCACCTTAGCCGAACCCAACCTAGCCCTATAGGTAGGATTCTATGAATTTGGTGCTGGGAAAGATACTAATTAGTACAATGTTTTCTACCGATTAGGTATAAACTATATTCCATGAGACCCATCAGCAGTCGACGACTTTAGACACAATTTCGTAAAATAATTACACTGGCTATGTTCGCCAAATGGACATAATCGACCAACCAAAACGCTAGTTGGTTCTACTGTCCTAATACAGAGGTTCCTGTTTCCAAGCAAATGTGCCCAGTACGAACTGTTGACGGTACAAACTCATCAGATTTCACGTTCTTCCCCACAGCGACCTTGTGGATAAACAGTATCATTTTTCCACAAGAACTTCATCGCCTAATCTACACATATATGCACCTCCTGACACCTCTCTTTCATCATTATCCAGACAGGTTCTTAAAAGTTGCACGTTGATCTTTCCATACACAATCGCATCTAATAATGATAGGGCGATCCCAGTCCACGATACACAACAAGTCGGTCCATGAAGCCAAGAACTGGCTCCACTAGCGGTCCGAGGCATCGCTTTCTTAGGATCCATTTCAATGCACTGTCTAAGCGATGGATTACTTTTGGACAAAGTTAATGAGGAAACATTAATGGGGGCCGCGCCAGTATTTATAGTGCTGACACTGGCCCACCGTCCCATCGCACCAGATTCCGGGTAACCCTCGCTTGGGACCTGGAAAAATCATGGAAAATAGGGCCCCAACCACGGTTCAATTGTAAACAACAGACATCTACCTGGACCAGTGTCGCCATTGCAGTCTCGTATTGTTCGGAATGTCTCTCTTCGGGCAAAATAACACACAGGCGCTGAACACCGCCTCCAGCACCGGTTTCGGCGCTGGATTTGGTGCTCTGATTCAGAGCAACAACACCTCCACCGCACCAGCCAAACCTGGCCTCAGCCAAACCAATCCCAGCACGAGCACCACCTTGCCCACATCAATCAACTCGGGGTCTTCCTCCAAGCTCTTGAAAGATTTGTTGGAATCCGCCCACAACTTGCCCAAATCAGATAACCTTGAACTTGGATCGATTCATCTTACCTTGAACGAATTGCAAAGAAAGTCCCAGCTTTTAAGAAAGAACGATGGCTCCAAAGACGTAAACTACACCAAGGCACACTATTTATTGGCCTCCAGTGGTATCAACGCCGAAGAAATCGAAAACGAGCTTGGTTCCATCCAATTACCTCCTCCTACGGATGCATCTGCCTCAACATCTGCACACTTGACCAGCCATGGTGCTACAAGTCTTTCGCCATACGACAACCTCGAAAACTACTTGGTTTCTAAGAAGAACGAAAACATTTTGAACACCATTGAACAGTCATTAACATTGGCCTCCAAAGATTTCGACAACTTCATCAGTTCAAACATCTCAATTGACTGGAAAGTCAGAAGGGACGAATTGAGAAAATCTATTGGATTGAGAACCAATGGCAACAACACTCCTCAGGCCTTGAAAGACTCTATTACTTGGAACCAATCAGTCCCTGGAACCTACAGCATGTTAGCACCAATTAATAGTAAGGGTTCTGCTTCCGTTAAACAAATATCTAGAGATAAATTTGAAAACCATGCCAAGATCATCTACCAATTAAACGAGGCCAGATCAGAAAGCTCCAACTTCCTGTACGGTTTGAATTTAATCGAATTGTCCAAGTTCCAGAACGATTTGAAATCCAAACAAACCGCAGAGGTATGGAAAATTCTCATTGACTTGACCAACGAAAAATTCTCGAAGACTAACCAAGAACAAAAGTACTTCCAGTCATACCAAGGTTCAAATGATGACGAGTTATCTTCATTGCACAGAAAAATCATTAATAATAGTAAAGCATACTTGGAGAACGAATTTTATAATTACATTGAGCAACTCTATCTCAAAGACTCCAAGAAATCGCCTCAATTCACCCCTGCCACAAACTTGAACAAAATCTCTTTCTTCATTGAAAAGATCATCTTGAAGAATGATTCCGAACTGTTATCCAAGACCTTAAATGTCAACAATACACCAGTGTGGGCTTTGCTTTTCTATTTAATAAGAGCAGGTTTGTATAATGATGCCTTGGAATTCACTCTCAAGAATAAGGATGTGTTCAACAAATTTGATTCTAACTTCCCTGTGTACTTGAAGAAATTTGTGGAAAGTGAAAACCATGTTATTCCATCAGAATTAAATCAAAGATTGCGTGCAGAGTTTACCCAGCAGTTCCAATTCTACATCAACGACTCGACCACTGGGAATGTCGATGGTAAGTTTGATGCTTACAAGTATTCAGTTTACAAGATTATTGGAAAATGTGATTTGAACAAAAAATCCTTGCCACAGTCCATAAATTTGAGCATTGAAGATTGGTTGTGGTTCCATTTGTCAATTATCAATGAAAATCAATTCAACAACGAATCGCCTCTTGTGTTTGAAAACTACAGTTTGGTCAACTTACAACATAAAATCATAAGTTTAGGACCAAAGAACTTTAACACTTCCTCAAACAATCCATTGTACCTCAAGACATTGATTTTGGTGGGTCTTTACGAATTGGGTGTCCAATATGCTTATGAACAAATCAATGAGTGTGATGCTGTTCATTTAGCGATTGGATTAAACTATTATGGTTTGCTTAAAACACCAAGCTTTTCTAACAAGGACGAGTTATTAGTTATTCATAATAACGAGTACATGATCAACTTCAGCAGGTTGATTGGATCGTACACAAGGACTTTCAAAATCAGTGATCCTAAGGTAGCCTGTCAATATTTGATATTGATTGCACTTTCTAAGGGAGGAAGCTCAAGAGAGGAACTCGATAAATGCCATGAAGCATTAAGAGAATTGATCTTGGTATCAAGAGAATTTGGTATGTTGCTTGGAGAGTTGAACTCTTCCAATGGAGTAAGAGTTCCTGGTATTTTAGAAAGACAAAGATCACTCATTGGGTTGGAGTCTTTGGATTCTTACTATAAACAAATTATTGAGATCAGTGCCATTAAGTGTGAGGAGGATGGAAGAATCTTCGATGCTTTGTTGTTATACCAGTTATGTCAAGAGTATGATACTGTGATTTCTTTGGTCAATAAGTTACTCGCTGAAATTTTGTCGTCCACTGAGTTGGATAAGCCAATCGTAGAATTCGGCAACTATGAGATATTCAACGGGTTCAATGACGGTAGCAATGGCAACAATCAACCAAGAACTGATACAGTGGATAACAACATAATACTATTGGCTAGACAGTCGATGGAAATTTTCAAGAACAATGGCGTAATCATGCAAAAGATCGGACCCCAAATCAAGGATACTTGCGACTTATTGTTGTCAGTCATAGATATTAGGGACATATTTTTGAGAAGAGATTGGAATAGAGTCATCAACGAAATTGCTAAGCTAGGATTGATTCCTATTGATGCCAATGATGACTTGGTGAAGATCAGAAAATTGACGGAACTAATTCAAACCAACCACATGGACGATAACTTGATTAAGATCATTCCTTCATTATTAATTATGATCATGTCCGCAATCTCTCAATTGAATTACGAAATTTTGACTAGGAGATATCAAGCATTAGGCAACGAAAGGGAGGAGTTGGCGAGATTGAAACAAATTGCGAAGAACTGCATGATTTACGCCGGCATGGTGCAATACAAAATGCCTAGAGAAACCTACAGTTTGTTGATCAATTTGGAGTCCCTGTTATAAGAGGACTTCAGACTTTGATGCCCTGGCAGCAGTAAATTTTATTCTGGAGAACCATTCCAGATGTATGAAACATGCCTTAGTAGAACTACATAGATCTATAGCTCATTTTTAGTAATTGTACACGACCAAATATCTATTGGAACACTCAAGCAAGAACTATACTGGAGCAGCCATGCCACCAAAGAAGAGTGTGGCGAAACAGTATACGTTTCCACAGAACTTTCTCGATGTATCCAACTCCGCCAAAACACAATTTTTCAAGCCGCAGCCACAAATAGTCGTTTCGGACCAGATTATCACCATCAATAACTTCTTCTCCAAAGAATTGTGCAATGAGCTTATCAAGTCATTCGAAAAGGGTCTTGGGCTCGAGACCACTCCTCTCATCAAAAGCAAGGAGTATGCTCTCCGAATCAACGACCGTGCAGCCGTGAACGACTTTGGGGCTGCACAGGCGATGTGGAGCTACTTGAGAGATATTCTCCTTCAGGAAGTGGAATACGAAGACGAAGAGTTGGAGGAGATCAATGACACATTCCGCGATGCATGCGGGTTGAATCCTCAGTTGAGAGTGTACAGATACAAAAAGGGCCATCATTTCAATCAACATTATGACGAATCAGTAGTATGTGCTCGTAATGAAAGTGGAAGCTTGAAAGGACGGACCAAATGGACGTTATTAATATACTTGACTGGAGATGATGAGTTTGAGGGTGGAGGTACTATCTTCTACCCGGATTACAGAGGTGCTGAACCACTAAACGTCCATCCAAGCAAGGGAATGGCATTATTGCACAAACATGGCGATGACTGCTTGAAACACGAAGGAGAAATAGTACGTAGAGGTGAAAAATGGATATTACGTAGTGATGTGGTTTATGGGATGGGTAGTCGGTGATTTGTGGATCAAAGGATAAATAAGATTATTTTCTGTATGTAGACTGTAACGAAGAGATCTTCTATTATTGAAGACTTCTATCAGGCCAGAGTACATCTAACTTGCTCTATAGTATGACCTTCTAAGTGTATATTAACGGATCATACTTCGTAAATTTAAACTAAACTTGCTTGCCTACCAATTTGGAATTGAAGTATTCTTCAATTTGTTGCACTAGAGTGTCAACATCCTTGTGTTGGGTTTCTATCCTTTCCTTGACCCAGCCACTTAGCTTATTTTGTATCTGGACTTTCTCGAATCGATAGTCAATCAAATATATACTGGAATAGTCGTTAATGTGTCGGATACTTCTTCCAATACTTTGGTTGACTGCCCTCATACAAATGTTCTCGTAGAAATTACGAGACGCTTCCGTGGCCTCACTTCTAGATCCGCCCTGTGCGAGAGTGTGGCTTTCTATAAAATTCCTTTTGGCAATTATCTCGCCGGAGTATGCATTCGGATATGGCAATCCTATCATTATCACTCCTCTTGCCAAATCGTCCGAAAAATTTATTCCCTCGGACATTTTACCCCCAACCACAGAGAGCAAAAGTGCCCCTTCTCTATTATGAATTAAACCTGAGTATTCTGATATTACCCCTTCAACGGAAGTTGTTTCTTTGGGTTCTTGAAAGACTGTCTTAATATTTGACAATCTCTCATATATTTTTGTAGTAGAATCCTTCCAGGCCTTAATGACGAAATCCAAGTACTTGTAACTGGGGAAAAAAGCCACTACTCCGTAAGGAATGCTTTTGCACAACTTCAATACCACTTCACCGAGGTTTTCGAGCATGTTGACATTCAGTCTTCTCTCAAACAGGAAATCAAACTGCAATCCTCGGTAGCTAGTGATAGGAAATACTTTCAAGTTCTCTTTTGAAATAATATGACCACAGCTGAACTTCTTGATTTCGGATTGAGCAACGTACGGGAATAAATAATTGACGTAATCCGACATAGGTTCCATCGTTCCTCCGCACAAAAGTACACAACGAGCCTTCGTCACTATACCCCTGAATACTTCACTTGGATCCAATAACATATAGTTCATGGATACGACACCATTCGGGCCCTTATCCCAAAATAGTCTGCCTTCTTTTGACGGGTTTGTCAAACATTTCAAAAATTTAACGATTTTGAATAGTAAAGGATTAGAGCTGCTTGTCTCTACCTCTGTAGTCTTCTCAAAGTAAGATTCAATTTTGTATGCAATTTTAGTTTCGTTCAAGAATGCTTCCAATTTATGAATGTTGACGAGATCAGCATTGGTGCCCTGGAACAAGGCATCCAACTCTATCTGTTCTCCTGACTTGACATTTTCTTCTTTTTCATTGATAAAAGATGTTAGTAATTGGCAAAGTTTAATTAATTTCATCAAGTTTATCCGGTTCCCACTATTCAACCGTTTGATGAACTTCCCCAAGTAAGTCTTTAAAGACTTGATGATAAGTTCTATTTCTGCTCTTGAGATGCTCACAGAATGGAGTGCATTGATAACATCAAGGACGTTATGGGCCTCGTCAATGATCACTATCGAATCAGTTATGTCCAAATTCAAGATTAGTCTAGTGGACTCTTGCAATATCATTTGATAGGGTAACGAAATAATTTCTGTCTTTTCGATTCCTTTTCGGATGGAGTAATAAGGACAAACTTTAGTTTGCTGTCCTAAATCACCAAGCTCTTCGATATCATGGATTTTGGTAAGACTTAAATCGGACAATCTGGTCATCAACGAAGAATTAGAATAATCCTTCGGTAAGTACTCACAGCCCTCCTTAGACCCTTGAAGGTCGATGCAGGCATCGTTAATATTTGAGTCATTCTTTGAAACATTTCGAACCTTTGGATTGATACACAACTGTTTCCTGGATCCAAAAGGGAGGTATTTTGTTCTCTCGGTTACATCGTCAAACGAGGAGTGGAACTTGGTCAATCGCAACTGGTGGGAAAATTGGTTTAACTGTGAGTGAGTTCTCGATGTAAAGAATATCCTTATAGGGCATTCCTCGGTTTCCACGGCAACATCGTCCGAATTAATTTTTCCAAGCAACGAGTTTATTTCGTTTTGGATCCTCGAATTTTCGTCTTGGATATCCTCTGATTCCTGATAATTTTTGGGCAAGAAATCCTCGTCGTTGTACTCGGACTTTATCTTTGGTCTCTTTGACTTTGCATTCAATTTGTGAGTAGTCTGCACATTTTGTTCCAACTCGTTCTCGAGTGTGTCCAAATACTTCTCGTAGTCTTTTATTCTGGATTTAGAGCGTTCTAGAATATTAGAAGTGTAGTCATTTTTCACCCACTGTGGCTCGTCTTCGTCAGAATCATCCTGTTTGACCTCGTCGTATTTGTGCTTCCGCTTATAGTTTCGCAACCATGTCATTGACGAGCAGATGATGGAGAGGGTTTTACCAGTACCTGTGGGGCTTTCAAAGATCCCGATTTTATAGTTGTTTTCTATGGTGTCGTAGATAGCATCCATCAAATCCTCCTGGATTTTATAGGGAGTAAACGGATGACTGTAGTCGATGGTCATTTCGAATGTGAAATGCAGTTTCTTGGGGTAGTTAAACTGTTGTATGGATGAGATGTCAGTGGAGATAACAAGATGTATGAGGAGGGATGACGGAGAATGATACGATTATCAGGAAATACGATGAGATGTGATGGTAATATCGGGAGGAATGATGAGATCCGTATTAATGTTACCAAATGGATGATGAGATACTCAAGCGATGCGAATGTGGGATTCAGAATTCTCCATAAGAATGAAGTGAGTCTCCCGTCGGTGGTGTGGAATGTGGTCAAGGAGTCAATCTGCCAATACCAATGAGATGAGGGTCGCTAAAATACTCAGAACAGCAGGGAGAAATTTCGATTCTGCACGCAATCAGTGGTCAATTAGCCAGCAGTATCACTTTCAGGGTAGAGTATCCACCGTCGGTATGCTCACAACAAGGAACAACTCGAATTCGATGGGGATGGTTCCACGAACAGTCAGTGCAACTTCTCACCACTCGCAATTATTTGAACTTATCTCACTCCACGTTGGTGCTGTGATCTCCTGGGAAGGCCGTACAATGTCAGCGCAACCAAAGAATCCGTACACACACCAGCAAGTAGTAGTCAGCAAAGGTAGCCGATCTACTGAATAGAGCAGACTCAATATCAACCTCTGATAGTGGGTATGCCTGTGGTCTATATGCAGAAAATTTCATGTCGCAACATCCAGATAAAAGTCACACTACTCCCTAGAAAACCATCCTACTTTAATTCTTATCATCTGGTCAGCCTGCGCCAGCCTAGTCAAACGGATCCCATTCGAATGAAACAGCACCAGCGCCATGTTCTCCTCCAAACGGCCAAAGTTCTCCTTCAACCTCACAATCCATGAATTGTCCAACATCCCCCAGACTAGTGGGTATTGCTACATCGAGCTCCAGATCAGAGACGGCAAGAGCTTGCGTCCCTCGTTGACCAAGCTCATCCATGGCCATCGCCCCAACACAGATGACTCTCCCAAATCCAAATCTGGCGATAGTGATACCAGTTCCCAGTCCTCGCTCGTGGAGGGCAGCGATGGCACCTCCAGCTCGGGATCCTCGGGAAACGTCTCCACCACCACTTCCAGCAAGAAGATCCACAACTTCAGGTGTCCCTTCAACTACAACTTGAGCTGCAACTTGCGCTTTCCTTTCAAGCGCAGAGACAACCTCATCGGAAACAAGTACTTGTTGATTAGAGTGTACTATGTCAGTGACATACCTGGACACCACCGCGGATCCCCTTCCAAGATCGAGACAACCGAACTTGGGCGGTTGGAAATCAACTTAACAGAATACTTGAACTTCAAGGAGCCATTGACCTCGAAATACTTACTCAAAAATGCTAAAGTCAACTCCATATTGAATATGACGATTGACTTGAAGGAATTGCCTTCTAACTACGACTTCCACACCCAGCTTCAGATCAACGATGCCGTCACCCACACCCCCAATAGCACAGTCAATAAATCTGGCACAAAAGAGCTAAAGAGGAGTGATACTTCAGGTTCTGGGAAGTTCAATGTCCCCCAGTTTGATCGTAAGAACGTATTGCGTGGATTATCCAATGTCTTGCCTGACAATGGGACTTCTGCGTCTGCTAGTTCACTCTCCGAGGACTCCGGATACGAAGAGGATGAAACCTCAAAAAACGAATCAAACAACGCCAAGCACACCCGTACAGTTTCGAAATCGTCCTCGAACGGTGCTTTGAACAAGTCCAAGAACCATAAACATGAATCCAAAGCAAATGACAATGATAAAGGACCGTTAATCATGGACCCAATTGTTACTAAACTTTACAGCAAGATATTGGAGAGTACCTGGGATCCAGAGTTGTCAGTCTTGTTGGACTACACACCAGAAAAATGTATCGATGACATTTTTGAGAACCCGGAGAATCCAGTTGGTTGGAATAAGAAGTTGAATGAATCATATGAGGAATGGGCCAAAGAGTTCGACGACGAAGATGAAAATGTCCGTCAAATCAACGGTTTACTCAATGAGATGGTTTACAGGGAAGATTTAAGAAGTTGGAATATTAGTGTGAGTTGAGTAACCAAACTCCGATAACTCATTTTTGAGTGGTAGGAATTGGTTTGGGGTTCACAAATGTTGTTCTTCACCTGATTCCTAGTGTACTATGATGTAATATATGATGGAATAGACATAGAGATTACCAGGATTATTATATTATTTGTGTTATACGAATGGGTCATTTTACGAAATCGAACTTGTGTAATAGATTTTGAATGGAGTATTAATTTATTGTAGCATAGAAATATACGTAGCAGATTTAAAGCGTAGTTATTATATACTGATTGTGGCTATACTACTGGAGCTCCGTGGACCCATTCATTGGAGTGCTTCGGTCCTATCCAGAGTGCTTCGGCTCTCGATTATTGCAACTCTCGATTATTGCAAATAAGCTCTATGTCGAAATAGTCAAACTTCTCCTTTTCTGTCCCATAATGTCTTGTGGAACCCAGTCTTGTGTGAAGTATCCATGGTATTTCTATTGTCACTTCTGAAAATATTTGGCCTAACTAAAACTGATTTATTCCCAGACTTGCTGTACCCAACTTGAGTTCTCAATTTCAGAGAAACATACGGTAAATATTAACAATAATTACAGTTCTTGAATTCACAGAACTTTTCCTGGCAGCTGGGTCTGTAGCATCGATATTTGTTGAGATTGTACATCCCCCTAAGTCTCCCTCTGGCAATTATCGAAGGTATTGACATTACGGATGGTGCTACCAGCTCAACTCCTGCTGCATCTTCGTGGATTTCAAAGGTCATTCGATAGATAGATTTGGACCGCGTTGAACAACAGGCAATACCAATTACAGATAAAAATTAAGGCTGGTGCTCAAAAGGATAGGGCGACACAACTACATTTTGCACCAACCACAAATACAAAAAAAAATGTATTTCCCAGAATCCCAACTCGAAAGTTCCAGAAGGGATAAAGTATGAAGCCCAAGTTATATAATACATAATCAGGATGATCCAAAAGAATTGAATGCATAGTTGAAGGGTGGAGGCCATGGAGGATTTGGACAGAAATAATCAACCAAGCCCGGTAACAGAGCCGAACCGGTCCCGCATCGGACCACGAAATGTAAACTCTGTTTTAAACACATATCTTTGGTTGAGAGCTCCTTTCCATGTTGTCCATGCCCTATGGATCAATCAGGGCTAGATTCCAGTCCATTGCACGTTACAGACCCATCCTCATTTAAATGCCTTGACGGGGACTTTGATTGTTGCCTTGCTGATTATAACGACGGTTGTTGTAACCACCTCTACCTTGACCGAAGTTTCCTCTTCTGTTGTTATTGCCTCCATTGCCGACGTTGTTCCTTCTCTTTTGATTTCTGTTTCTCTGCTCCATGTTCAAAATGTTTTGTTCCTTGGCATGATCCATGATCTAAACGTTAGTATTGAGTCACCATGTAGGGTCCAAACGGTACTTACTTCTTCTGGCAATCTTAAATATTTGATGTGGATACCACGGATGTAGATCTCTGGGAGTTTCAAGAACTCGTCTCCGTTGGCAGATGACTGGATGACATTCTTCAATGTCAAGTTCATCCACGAGTCACAGTTCACTAAGTCCCCATTTAAGGTCTCCCCATTCTTCAATTCGATCAATACATGTTTGGTTTTGGCTGCTGTCAATAAATACAATGGTAACTATAAGTTAGTATACTGAATCACATGGTAAGTTTCCTCTGGTTCTTGAAGAAGATAATGGGCCCATTTATTGGGTTGCAATTGTGGTGTCGGAGAGAGTATTTCCAGTGGCAAACTTCATTACTGGAATCACAGATTGCTTCGCATGGGGAATTTTCTTGAAAAGGATGCAGAGGGCTGGATCGGAAAGAACGACATACCATTATATGGAATGCATCAAATTCACTAGGTAATAGTTGTTGGAGGTGTTGTTAGCTATGTGAGGAATTTTTTCCAACGACATTTCCTGGCTGGTGCACGACCGAGTATGGAACAGTATCAAGGAGTGGTTGCTATGTCAAGGAAAAGAAGTTAGAGGGGATGTCGCACGCCAGTATCGCCTTGGTTGTGTTGTAGTCTGGCGGCATATTTCCATGGCAGTCTTTTGAATACAGAGTTGTAAGAATGGTTTTTGCAATTGCAGTAACACAAAATGAGAATTTGCAAAGTAGTTAATGGTCCATTTTCTTGTATCAGTATGAGTTTTTGAGAGAAACATCCTATAGTAGAGAAATACGGGTGGGTCCTCTTTCTGTTCCTGGGTGATTAGGAATAAGAACTCGAAGGTTCAGGGACTTCAGTCCCCCAAACCCATCCTCCTTTCTAAGCAATACTTAATGATCACATCATTAGTACCTTCACCTATAGAAGAAATGGGAAAAAGAATACCAACCTCAAAGTGTTATTCTATTTAAGCCATTGGCTAAGCTCTACAAAGATTCATATGAAGTTCTTTCAAGTCTTAAAATATTAAATCACGATGAGTTTCTAAAAGTTACCGAAGTAGCTAATCCTAATCTTCAATATACTTTGCCATTATACTACACTTCAAGCTGATTTTTCCAGTACTCCTCTTGAAAATAAGTGTAGGGTTCTTCTCCAAACACAATGCACCTTTCCAGTTAAACACATAAACTGATATTCAGCCAGGTTGTACAATGCATCCTTTGTTTTTCCAGATCAGGATCAATACTATTTCTTCAGGAATTTCTGATTATTTGCAATAATTCAAAAATCCTCAATTCTTGTAAAGTTTATAGAAAATCAAATAATACAATCCTTCAGATTGCCTTTCCCCCAACAACCAACCAGCCAACTAATCTACCAGATAATTGGCTCTTTCGTTTCCCCACGCACGGTTGTCTTATCTACGCACCACCCGTGTTTTGTTATCAGATCACTGATCTTTTTGATAGTGCGAAAGTAGTAGACACCATGGGGACATTACTAGACTTACCAGACGAGGTGCTCTTCTTCATCTACCGCAGCCTCGGGACCCAGACGCTCAAGTCGTTGCTTCTATTCCAACAGCTCCAACGGTCGGTTTACTGCTACTTGTACGAGAATTCCAAGTACGTGCTCCAGTATGACCGATTCGGACATCAGAGGGGGTTGAACCTCTTACAAGCTCGCAAGTACCAACGGCACCTCCGACGTTTCAGACACCTACAAGTCAACATATGTTTGCGGGAGGGCGAGGATGTCAAGAAGGTGGTAGGGGAGTACGGAGAATTGTGGAGGGCTCACCCACCAGGACGGATCCGTCGCCACATCGACTTGTTGATCCATGTCCACTACACCCACTCGACGTTCAACAGCATCAAGGACGCCATGCTGAACATCCGCGAGGTATCGGAGTGCTTTGGCCGCAATGAGGTCCGGGTGGACTTAGTTTTGACCAAGGACGAGTAGGAGACCAGTAGGGGGCTTTGCGGATCGGCGCCGATGTGGGAGGGAGTGATAGGCAGGCAGGCACAGCACCGGAGCTGTGGCCAAATTACGAAGATTACGGGAGGGCAGACAAGGTGGAACGACACCACCAGCATCTGGGTGACAGCTTAGTGCTTGACATGCTGTATGCTGTGCATGTGACAGATGTGTCTGAAGTGGCAGCCGTTGTGGATGTGACAAATGCGTGCGGTATTCTGTTTGCATCCACGGCAGCGCGAGGCACCGATTGATTGCAGATCGGGAGGGTGCTGACAGATATGTTGCGTATGACGAGGGGAAGGAGGTTATTTTGAGGATCTTCATTAAAGTGGTGCAGGGAGGGCAGAGCTGAATTTGCTGGGAAGCCGGAGAAGATCCCGTGATGGTAGAAGAGAGTTTCCCCTTGGGAGTGTGGGATTAGTTTCCACTCATTGTGGGTGTTATAACAGTCTAGGTAGTTTGTGATGTCACTCTCTGTGTTCACGTCACTTTGTGATGCCACTTCATCTTCTGATGCCACCTAATCCTTTGATGCACTTAATTTTCTGATGCCACTTAATCTTCGGACATCACATAAATCACTCAAACGGGCGAGGATGTTCATGCTTGTCTCACAGTATCTTGTGCTCATGAACAGTTCAGTAATTTACGACACACTCTACTGCACCATGCACCTTGTAGCCACACTGCACCTCATAGCCATACCGTTGGCCGTTGAGGTGTCAACTACGGTACCACCGTTAAGCTGTCAACACCCACTCCCCTATTGGATCCAACCACTGCTTCCACCAGCTAAGCCTATACTCTGTCGTAATATGCTCACTCTCCCTCTACAGCTCCTCCTCTCAAAATAAATGCGATCCAGAAATAGATTTCTCATCCCGCCATACCTACGCTGCCTCCACCACCACTACACCACCACTATACCTCCACTATATTTGCAGTACATCACTACTACTCCTCCTCCTCCTCCTAATGTCCCTCTAGCATGCTTCTGCCCATCCTCCTCCTCACCCTCCTAACACTAGTCCGAGGCGATGAGACAACTGCCATCATCAGACGGGACAGCACTCCCAGCGTCGGCGCAACCAGAACGTCGTCACTGGCATCGTCATCATCACAGGCGGCTCCGTCCACTACATCTATGGCCGGCTACACTTCCCTCCCCAGAATCTATCTAACCGCCCTGAGTGGTGACGCTGCCTACAATCTCCACGCCCGTGTAGGCGACGTCAACCACGGCCAGGACATGCTGTTGCGGTTGGACATCATCCAGCCAGAAGGCTGGGTCATGAACGCCAACTCGTTCTACGACTGCTCGTATTTGGACTCCTGGTTCGACAGCGAGGAATCGTTGTTTTCCATTTCCTCGTACCCGCCGCTGCTTACCCAGGCCCCTGAGTACCGGGCTACCATCTGCGCCATGGGAGGACGCTACACCAACTCGCTAGCTATCGGGTCCGGTCTGGCAGTGTCCACGTCCGTCGCCCAGCCAGCACCCACCGTGGCAGGCATCGCCAACGACGCCCCCCACCGTCTCCCATACTTCAACGGCAACAACGTGCTGGGGGTGTGGCAGACAAACAACCTCAGCATCAACGTGTCATCCGAAGCCGTGCTAGCGCTCCTGGACTTCACGTTTCTCGATGCGTCCATCTCCAACCTCTACTACGGAGGCCTAGGCCTCGCGGGCAACCCTCGTGGCTCAGGCTTCCTCTACGGCTTGCGGGACAGGGGTGTGATTCCGTCGCCTGGCTACTCGGTGTGGTTCCAGAACAGAACCATGTGGGAGGCCAGCGAGGGTGTGTTGATGCCTGGCTATGTGGACGCGCTGTGCTTCGAGGAGCCGTTCTACTCGTACCTGATATTGCCACACGAGGGACCCACAGACAGTGCCCCCGACGTGATATTGCCAGCGTTGCTTCTCGACGACTTGAGCGTCAAAAACACTCAAAGTGGCCAGACAGTGTCGCTCAAGACCAACAACGCCAGCATTCCCGTGGTGTTGGACACCCGCTCGTATCTCACCTACTTGCCAGTCAACACCATCATCAACTTGGCGATGCAGGTCAATGCGTTCTACAGTGAGGACGTCAACCAGTGGTTGGTGGGGTGCGACAGGTTGAAAAACGCCTCTGCCACCGTCAACTTCCGCTTCGACGACTTGGAGATCAGTCTCCCATTATCGAAGTTCATTGCCCCATTCTACTACGATGACACTACCGTCAAGTTTCCCGACGGCTCGGCTGCGTGCAACTTCTTATTCCTGCCCAGTAGTGTCATTGGATACAACACGTTGGGGCTCCCGTTCATGAGCAGCATCTACTTTGCAGTAGATAATGAGGGTAGGAACATCGCTATTGCACGTTCAAATGCCACCAAATCTGGAAGCATAGACTTCGACCCACCTGCGTCGTCGTTGAGCACAGTTCTGGGCCCAGGCTCGTTCGAAAACGCTACTCTTGCCGAGAGTATTGCCTACATCACCTCAGGCTACATCCCGTTTGCAACTTCAAAAAGCAAGCCTTCCACCACCTTGACCATCACGCGTGTCCAAGAAGACGACGAGTTTGGCGATGGCGGAAACGTTCCCGCCAGATTTTCGGGCTACATCAGTGACGGGGTTTTTGTCACACATCCCAGCGGGTACTCTACCTCGACATTACCGGGTGGAGCTCCAACAGCCGGCTCTGCGGGACCTTCAACAAGAAGCCACGGCAACAAGATTCGCGTGCCCTTCGCCATCATCACCTCAAACTTGTGGAGGGAAGTATATGTGTTGGGATGGAGTTCTCTTTTTGTTTTGGTGGTGATTTGTGCCATGTGAGGATAATTGTATTATATTGGATAGTAGGAATAAGAAAATTTCTAGACTATAGAGTAGAATGAGACGTAGTATTAGGCGTAGGATAGCATCGTGTGTTATTTGAGCATATCTGGAGACAAAAAGAATAGCATCATGGAGTAACTTCGAGTATATCTACAGAACTATAACTGTATCGTGGGGTTATTTGAGCCTAATCCTCTGGGGACCCAAAATATACTATAGAATTGTGGGCTTAATTTGAGTATAATTCTCGGGCTACGAAAATTAGTAGCATCATGGGAATAGTACCCTAGCATAGTACCTCTAACAAGATACAAGGCCTTTATCTGGCTTGTAATGAACTGGGTCTGGTCTCTATTAGTCTATACACTTAAATAATTCACACGATGATGGGTCTTGGATTGTTACTTAATCGTGGCTCCACGAGAAGATGCTCATATAAATCATACGGGGTGAGTGGTGGGTGGATGGCATCCGTGAAAGCAAACCTATGAAGCCTGGAATATTAACTGTGAACATTCACGATGTGGAACTTGGAACTGTCTATTGTGTTGTGATACCAACGGAACATGCGGTGAACGATCAGTATATCGTTTTGTGATACCAACGAAACTTGGTGGTGGAATCAGTCTATTGTATAAATCACCGAGAATACCAAAAAATGGGACACAGATCCCTTACTTGCTCCTGTCATCCATTTCTATATCGTCCTCTGTTTCCTCATCCTGATTGACACTAGCATATTCGTTCAACAGCCTGTTTTCATGGTACCTGTAATAATTATACCACAAGATGTCCATGAAGGTTATGACCAACCCTACGCAGTTGATGAAGCTGAGCTTGTCTCCAAATATGATCGAGCTCAACACGATGGTCAACAATTCTTTGAATATGCCGGCAATGGACAAGGTGGTCACCTGGGAAACACTCAATAGCTTGAACTCGCACAAGGTCATCATGAAAGCCAATATTCCAGGAATAATCATGAGAAGAATTGTGCCAAAGATACCCTTGAGTTCCCAGATTGGCGAGGAGATGAAATTGGACCAGCCTTCAAAGATCAATCCAAAAAGGAAGAGGGTGATGCACATGGAGGGGGAGATGTAAAAAATGGTGGAAATGGGGTTGACGGTGTAGGGGTTGCGCTTCAACAACAACTGGGTGAATGACCACCGCAATCCCGATACCATAGATGCAGTGAGAACCATGAATATACCCACCACGTTATGGTCATCGGCTGAGTCGACGTTGTCGGGTTTTTTGACCATCATGACCACCGAAACTGTCATCACGAGCACGATAATTACCAAACGCCAGTTGAACTTCTCGAGCCGGAAAAGTAGTCCGAACAACAACACGAACACGAGCGACGAGGTCTTCAACATGGTGTAGAGACTCAACGAGATGAAACGGAACGATACGTTGGACAAGCCGATATCACCACTGGATGCCAACGAGCAGGGCAAAATCTGGCGTCCGTAGGTCCAGAAATCGATCCGGAACACGGCCCAGAACCTGCGCCAGCTCATGGCCAGCGAAGTGGGTTCGTTGACAGTGGGATGGAGGTGAGGTTGGAGGTAGAGCACGCCTGTGCTGAGAAAGATGAGGCAGAACTGGTGGAATGAAGTAATAAGAATGGGGAACTTGAAGTCAAGACCCTTGCCAAACATCCACTTGTTGTAGATGGAGATGGACAACGAGAAGAGGTACCAGCCTGCAATGTAGACAGCAGCCTCGAGCAGTTTGGAGGGGGGGTTACGTACGCCTGACATGGTATGGAAAGGGCAAATAACGAGTGGATTCTGGGAATAGGTTGAAGAATACCTAGGAAATAATGGCTATTTCAAAGGTTATGGTGGCCTGAGACGTCAGTTGTCTTGTGAAAGATGATGATGGAGGTCTGAAAGTAGAGCCTGGTGTGCGAGAGTAATTCCTTGGTGGAGCTCGTGAAGTAATGCCTGGCTGGTCGAGCTGGTATAGGTGGACCTGGAAATAGAGCCTAGTGACTGGAGGCTTGTGGAGTAGGGTGAACAGTTGCGCCGTGGAATGGGAGTTTTTCTGGGCTGGCTGTTAATTGGCCTAAGTTATGCCCTGGTGGTAAGGGTTGTGACAGAAGCTTGGAGTTGGGACAAAAAGACGAGTAACTCGTGAAAATAATGTCTTGGTGTCTCGAAGTAAGCTGGAGGGAGTTCTGCCTAAGCCGATGGGAGGATCTGGGGGTAGTAAAGCCGATGGAGGTATCTCGTAAAAACAAGCCTAGTCTCGTAAGAATTCGCTTCGCTTAGATTGAATCCTGTAGGAAGAGAGTGTAGGCTCGTGGACAGAAGAGTCTATGGGACAGTGATTCGTGGTCGAGCTCGTGGAAGAATTCCTTGGCTGGGGTAATATCGTGGTGTCTCGTGGAAATGCCTGCGTAGCGAGTGGTGATTAGTTGACTCTAATCGTGGCCTCGTAGATGTATGTCTGTCTAGTGAAGTATATCTGTCTCGAAGTATACCAGTCTAGAGAGGTGCCTGGCTAATGAGGTACGCCTTTCTAGTGCAGTATACCAGTCTAGAGGTATGTCTGTCTAGTGATGTCTGTCTAGTGGAGTATTCCTAGTCGAGTGAGTCTTCCCAGTCGAGTGAGTCTTCCTGGTGAGTGTTCCTCCCTAGTGAGTCTATCTGGTGTCTGCTGGTGGGAGCCTGATGGTGAACAGATTGTGGTATCGTCTAGCAACTCTGATGAACCGTGTCTCTTTAAAGAATTGTGTTGGCTGATGAGTTTCCAGTCTAATGACTTTTGCCTGGTGAATTATTCCTAGGCTGGTCAGTTCTGCCTGTTGTGACTGGCTCGTTTGTGCCTCTCGTTTACCTGCTCGTTGCTTGGTCTATTCCTGCGAATTCCCGTCAGGCGCTTGTTCGTAACACACGCACTGAAATTCGAATGGATCACCAAAATCACCAAAAGGTCACCACAAGCGCCAGGACCATAAGGCACCAACAGGCACCAGAAGGCACCAGAAGGCAGATAGACCAGCACAACCATCACAGTATCAACCCACCATAAGCACTTCAGCACTCCTCCAGCACTCCAGCACTCCAGCACTCCATAGTACTCTATCTCCACCCATGTCCAAAAACAAAGACCCGGCTTCCTTGCTCAACCTCCAGCGGGAATACATCCTCGCCCAGATCAAGGAGGTCCAGCGTCCCGGCACCTTGTACAACTTGATCATCGACGACAAAACCGAGCCTGTGATCTACCGAGTCCTCACCAAAGAGAGCTTGTTGCGGGTGGTCACCAGCATCGAGAAGATCGACGCCAACCGCAAGCAGAACACGTTCATGGAGGCGATATACTTGATCGACTTGACGGTCTACAACATGAAGTGCATCGTGGCTGACGTGCAGACCAACCGCTACAAGGGTGGCCAGGGCCTCTTCCTCCCCATCCCCGACCACGGCGAAATCGCACACTTCTACGGCTCACCCAACTTCATCAACAACCCCAAGGTGTTGGGGTACTTCGAGGGCGGCGCCAAGATTCGCTACATCAACAGCAACTTCTATCCCGTCGAAACAAGGGTGTTTTTGACCGACAACAAGACGCCCAACTCCATGCCCATCTACTACAACACCAACTGTTCAGACTTCGTGATCCCCCAGGTCAAGTTGGCTGCCAAATCCTTGGTCAACTTGATGATTATCACTGGTGAGTACCCGTTGATCCGGTTCTACTCTCCCAAAAACGCCATCCACCAAGCATCGAGACTCCCTGAGTTGATCGCCGACGAGTTCCAGAGACAGATCGACGACTACGCCAGGTTGAACCACGACTACCCTCCCCCTTCAATTCAAGACAAGCCAAGGTCCATTTTGTTGATCAGTGATCGAACCTTGGATTTATACGCCCCATTGTTGCACGAGTTCAGTTACCAGGCGTTGGCCATGGACGTGGTGGAAAGCTTGGAACGAACCGGAACCTACAAGTACTCCACCGAAAACGAGCGTGGCGAGGTCCAACGGAACGAGTCCAACTTGGACAATGAGGACGACGAGGACTGGGTCAACCTAAGACATTTGCATATCATCGAGGCTTCAGAGGTCATCATGAACAAGATCTCCGACTTGATCAAAAACAACCCTTTGATGGTGGACAGATCCAAAGCCTCGACCTCCAGTGATTTGATGTACGTGGTTGCCCATTTGAAAGGCTTTGACGAGGAAAGAAAACAAATCACCTTACACAGAACGTTGATTGACGAGTGTCTTGACATCAATTCTTCGAGAAAATTGGCTGAATTTGCGGCTGATTTCGAGCAGACTTGCGCTGCCAAGGGAACGAGTTTTGAAGGCGAAAGAAATAAGCATTTACATGACGATTTGATCACTTTATTGGCAAGAACTGACTTGCACGTCAATGACAAGATGAGATTGGTGTTGATCTACGGACTCTACAGGGGTGGCTTGATTGAGGCTGATTTCGTGAAGTTGGTCAAGTTTATTGGGGTTAACGACCGTCAAATTATCTCGTTGATCTCCAGATGTTTCACTAATCTTCACAAGTTGGGGTTCCCCATAGTCAGAAAGGATGTCAAAGACAAAAGATCCGAAAAGGAGATGTTCCACACCATCACCAACGAGGGTACCTACAATACATCAAGATTTGGTCCCGGTATCAAGAGAGCATTGCAAGGCGCATCCAAGTACCAGTTGGATGAGGAGGAGTTTCCGTACTTCAGAGACAAGCCACTTGAGGATGACGTGCCCACCAGTGGATCCTCTACCCCTACCCAACCTAATACTTCGTTGAGAAACTCGCGGATCAAGGCTTCATGGGCCCAATCGTCTACACGGATCAATCTGAGCTTATCGTCTCTGATGAGACCAAAGCAGCGGATCTTCTGCTACGTGGCGGGTGGAATCACCTACTCGGAAATCAGGTCCATTTACGAACTTTCACAGGCTACCAATAAGGACTTCTATATAGGATCTGAGTCTATTTTGAAACCAAGGGACTTTTTGATTGGTCTTCAAAGCATCGACGATATCAAGACGCCTGACGACTTGGATTTGAACATCTTGAAGGAGTTCCGCCGTCCTCGGGACCCACCCAACTACTTGTTTGAGTCTGGACAGCCCAAGATGCCCCAACAGCCTGCCATGGGTGTACCAAATCTTGGACCTGGGCCTGGTTCAATGCCTGGCGGAATGCCTGGCGGAAATCTCAGTGGAGTTTCTAGCACTGTTCCTGCTCATTACCAGAAGAGGTCCAATACGATACCAACAGAGGCTCCGTTGTCACCCGAGAAGGAGAAGAAGAGATCGAAGTTGAAGAAGTTGTTCAGGTAGTTGTTCAGACATTCGAATCATGCAGTTTACAGAATCAGTTAGACAAATAGAGCGAGTTGCGAATAGAAGATTGAATAGAAGCTCCGTGTAAAATACAGCAGTTGTGCATACGACAGGTGATTGGAATAGCAATTAGTTGATTCTAGCGCGATGTCGATGTCTCCGTAGAGCTGTACAGGTCTACGTTGTATAATCCGGATTGAAAAGTGTCGCTTTTGTGTTTAAAAAGAACGGGGGCTTCGAATCCTCAGTAGAACAAGAGAGATAGTGAGGAAACGCAAAATTTGCCAGATAATTACAAGTTCTTGGACTTCAGGGATCTTCAAAGCCAATTGATCATATGATCCAATGGTATACTAATTCACACTACTAATTTAATTGAAGGAAAACACGAATTATGAATTGCGGAACTCAGAAACCAGGTCCATGCGAACTTTCACAGGCCAAAAGAGATAATCGGGCGTAGCATCATAATTAACTAAGTCAATTGAATTTCTTAAAGGAAGAATTTTGGCCAGCTTCAAGTATCGAAACCACGACTGGTAGCGTAATCTATTCGGGTGCATTGCGTTTGTCTCGCTGCACAATAATGCGAATCCGGCGTGGGGAATCAGCCACAGACAATATCATGGTGGAATCTCGCTGCGATTTCGTTAATTTACGAGCTAAATTGAGTGGTTGGGTGTGGTGAAAAATAATCAGGGGAGTATCGACTTGACGTAATTACGCAATCTTCCATCAGGAACTTCCTGGAGGCTGCCTTTGGGCAGTTTCCGGGGTCGATGTTTCGAACATTGTACCAATTGTGGCCATAGATTCTTATCAGTAACCAGCATCAAAAAGCAGTTTCAGACTAGCCCCAACCTACTGAGTGAATTCTGTCAGACACCTTCTGTCAGACACAATTTCCGCAATTGTGCTTCGTGCGTTATCGTGCTCTATTCATTAGTAATTGAACGGAATTGACCAATGGTCCCGTGCTGAGTCAGCTGGCTGGCTCCGGAATCCGTTCAAACGCCGGCTTTATCATGTAAAATCCAGGAGCCGTCAAAAGTCCGTGCCAGCGCGGGCTCGAAACCCGCAGTCAATTAGTGTCTGAAGACTCTATGGAACGCTGGAGACCCCCACGAGGCGTGGAATTCACAGGCCTCCTTCCAGAAGTTCCTGGCACGCTGTAAGCCCCCTCCAGTGCCCTGTACCGATTTAGCGCCCCGTGGTGGCGTTCATCTGAGGTATCTGGTTTAGAAGATCCCCAGAGCGGCGCGGCTCAGACACGGGCTCGCAACCCGATTCACGCGCCCGGCTGGGTGCTAAAATGCTAACATGCTAAAATGCGAAAATGTCGGAACCGCCAGACGGACCGCCAACTACCGGAAGATCGACAGTGCCACAGTGACGACGCTGCTGGGGGCTCCCAGAAGCCCCAGCGGCCCTCGCCATCACTCGTGCCGTGCGCCACGCGCTCCCCCCGCCGCCAGCCCGCCCATCGCCTTATCACTGCCAACCCGCATTGTTCCCAATTGGGAGTGCTTATTAATCGGACTACGACATCTCGTCCTACCAGCTAAATTTCATACAACTTTCTCATCCCTGCTCTTTTCTTCCTCCACAGTCGTTATGGATCAGATAGACACTGGAATCAACGCCGTCCGCGCAGGTTCCCTCTACGGAAATGGCTGGGACTTGTCTGGACACCTCCCGCTCATGTTCTTCGGACAAAGTGGCGATGTCGCTCCCATAGCCGCCCACAACGGGTCGGTGCCTTCAGCACCAGCAGGATTGTTAGCATGTTCATCGCCTGATGGATGGGGTCCATTATCTCCCGTCTACAAGGACTTCACCCCCTGCTTCCTTCAGGGTGTGTTGTTTGGGGGCAGTGCCTTGCTCATGGTGCTCGTGGGTCTCTACCAGATCCATGTGCTTAGAAACAGAAAAATCACCTCCGGTAACAGAGTGGCATGGTCGTTCTACGCCAAGTTGGTATTGGTGGCAGTCCACTTGGGGTTCCAGGTGGGTTTGTACAACCTCAATGGCGAGACAGGCATCATTTCTACAGCATTGGCATTGAACGCAGGTGCCACCGTGGTGGCGTTTGCCATCCACTACATCGAGCAATTCAAGGCCACCATCCCCAATGGCGTCTTGTTGTTCTACTGGCTCTTCCAGATCATCTTCAACTTGACACGCGTGGTCAACCTTAACTTGAGAAACCAGATCCACACCCAGTTCGCCAACTTGGTGATCTTGTCCACCTTCAGCTCGTTGCTCGTGCTCTCAGCCGAGCTCTACTTCCCCATCACCCCCATCTCGTCGTTTGCGTCGCCTAAGGTTTCTCCCTACGACAACGCCAACATCTTCTCCAGAATCACCTTTGAGTGGATGGGTGGCTTGATGAAGAAGGGTTACGTTCAGTACTTGACTGAGAAGGACTTGCCAACCTTGCCTGCGGAATTGAAGGCTACCAGAACCTCCAACGAATTCTACCGCTACTGGAGAGCCCAATCCAAGCCTTCATTGTTTTGGGCCTTCTACAAAGCATTCGGTGCTCAATTCGTGTTGGGTGGTGTTTTCAAGGGCTTGCAAGACTCCCTTTCCTTCATCCAGCCTCAATTGTTGAGATTGTTGATTAATTTCGTTAATGACTACTCCAGATCCGTCAAGGAAGGCGAGCCTATTCCTTTGACCAAGGGTTTCATGATTGCAGGAAGTATGTTCATCGTCTCCGTCACTCAAACCGCTTGTTTGCACCAATATTTCCAAAGAGCCTTCGATTTGGGTATGAAACTCAAGTCCTCTCTTACTTCCGTGATTTACAGTAAAGCATTGATTTTATCTAATGAAACTAAACTGGAATCCAACACCGGTGACATTGTCAACTTGATGTCGGTTGACACCCAAAGATTGCAAGACTTGGTGCAAAACTTGCAGATCATCTGGTCTGGTCCTTTCCAAATTATCTTGTGTTTGTACTCCTTGCACGGTTTGATTGGTAACTCCATGTGGGCCGGTGTGGTCATCATGGTGGTTATGATTCCTTTGAACGCTTATCTTGCCACCTTCCAAAAGAAGTTGCAAAAGACCCAAATGAAGTACAAGGATGAAAGAACCAGATTGATCAGTGAAATTTTGAACAACATCAAATCCTTGAAGTTGTATGGCTGGGAACACCCATACTTGGAAAAGTTGAATGTTGTTAGAAACGAGAAGGAATTGAACAACTTGATGAAGATGGGTGTTTTCAGAGCCGCTTCTACTTCCACTTGGACCTTGGCTCCATTTTTGGTTTCTTGTTCTACCTTTGCCCTCTTCGTGTTAACCCAAAGCGAAAGAAGTTTGTCTACTGATCTTGTATTCCCAGCTTTAGCTTTGTTCAACTTGTTGCAATTCCCATTGGCTATGGTTCCTAACGTCATCACTAACGTCGTTGAAGCTCAAGTCGCTGTCTCTAGATTGACCAAGTTCTTGACTGCTGCTGAATTACAATCCGATGCCGTTGTCAAGGCTCCAAGAGCCGAAAAGATTGGTGACACTGCTGTCTCCATCAACAACGGTACTTTCTTGTGGTCCAAGGCCAAGGGTGACCAAAACTACAAGGTTGCTTTGTCCAGCATCAACTTGGAAGCCAAGAAGGGTGAATTGGACTGTATTGTTGGTAAGGTTGGTTCTGGTAAATCTTCTATCATCCAAGCTATTTTGGGTGACTTGTACAAGTTAGATGGTAGTGTCAAGATTCATGGTAAGGTTGCTTATGTTTCCCAAGTTCCTTGGATCATGAACGGTACTGTCAAGGATAACATCTTGTTTGGTCACAGATATGACCCCGAATTTTACCAACACGTCTTGAAGGCATGTGCCTTAACCATTGATTTGAAGATCTTACCAAAGGGTGATCAAACCGAAGTTGGTGAAAAGGGTATTTCTCTTTCTGGTGGTCAAAAGGCTAGATTGTCTCTTGCCAGAGCTGTCTATGCTAGAGCTGATGTCTATTTGTTGGATGATCCTTTGAGTGCTGTGGATGAACACGTCGGTAAGCATTTGACTGATCACGTTTTAGGTCCAAATGGTTTGTTGAAGACCAAGTGTAAAGTTTTGGCTACCAACTCTATTAATGTGTTGAGTATTGCTGACAAGTTGCATATGGTTAGTGATGGTAGACTTATCGAACAAGGTAGTTACGAAGATATCATGAAGCAAGACAACTCTAAGTTGCGTCAATTGATCAATGAATTCGGAAGAAAGAAGGAAGAATCTCCTTCCAAGACTGAAGAAACTGAAACCGATGGTACCAAGAGTCCTGATGTTGAATTAGAATTGGACTCTGATTCTGATTTTGAAGTTGGTAGTTTAAGAAGAGCTTCTGATGCTTCTTTGAACTTTGACGATGCTGATGAACAAGAAGAAGATGACGAAACCAAGGCAAGAAAGGAACATTTGGAACAAGGTCAAGTCAAGTGGGATGTTTACAAGGCTTACGCCAAGGCATGTAACCCTCTTTCCGTTATGGTTTACTTGGGATGTGTTATTTTGAGTATGGCTGTCAGTGTTGGTTCTAATGTTTGGTTAAAGCATTGGTCTGAAGTTAACACCGAAGTTGGCTACAACCCTCACGTTGGTATGTACTTGGGTGTCTACTTTTTGATGGGTTTCGGATACTCTATTGCCACTTTACTTCAAAACGCTTTCATGTGGATTTTCTGCACCATCCAAGGTTCAAGAAGATTGCACAATCTGATGGCCACTACTGTCTTGAGAGCTCCAATGTCTTTCTTCGAAACCACCCCAATCGGTAGAATTTTGAACAGATTTTCAAGTGATGTCTACAAGATCGATGAAGTTTTGGGCTCTGTATTTGGTATGTTCTTCGCCAACAGTGTTAGAGTTCTCTTCACTATCGGTGTTATCAGTTTCTCCACATGGCAATTTGTTTTCGTTATTGTCCCACTTGGAACCTTGTACATTTACTACCAGCAATACTACTTGAGAACTTCTCGTGAATTGAGAAGATTGGATTCCGTTTCGAGATCTCCAATCTTTGCCAACTTCCAGGAATCTTTAACTGGTGTCTCTATTATTAGAGCTTACGGTCAAGAGGAAAGATTCAGATTCATGAATGAACACAGAATTGATAAGAACATGAGTGCTTATCACCCTGCTATTAATGCCAACAGATGGTTGGCTGTTAGATTGGAGTTCTTGGGTTCTATTATCATTTTGGCCTCTGCTGGTTTATCTATTCTTACTTTGAGCTCAGGTACTTTATCTGCCGGTATGGTTGGTTTGTCTGTGTCTTATGCCTTGCAAACTACCCAAGCTTTGAACTGGATTGTCAGAATGACCGTTGAAGTCGAAACCAACATCGTTTCCGTTGAAAGAATTTTGGAATACTCTGAATTAACCTCCGAAGCTCCAGAAATTATTGAAGATCACAGACCATCGAAGGAATGGCCAGCAAATGGTGAAATCAAGTTCCAAAACTATTCTACCAGATATAGACCAGAATTAGACTTGGTTTTGAAGAACATTAACTTGGACATCAAGCCAAGAGAAAAGATCGGTATTGTTGGAAGAACCGGTGCTGGTAAGTCTTCGATTACCTTGGCTTTATTTAGAATCATTGAAAAGTATGGCGGTGACATTGCAATTGATGGAATTGACACTTCTTCTATTGGTTTGTTAGACTTGAGACAAAAACTCTCTATTATTCCACAAGACTCCCAAGTCTTTGAAGGTACCATTAGATCGAACTTGGATCCAACTGATGTTTTCACTGATGAACAAATCTGGAAAGCATTGGAATTGTCCCACTTGAAAGACCACGTGAATAAGATGTACTCCCAAAGGGACGAAGATAGCACTATCGAATCTGCTTTGGATGTTGCCATTCAAGAAGGTGGCTCTAACTTGTCTATCGGTCAAAGACAATTGATGTGCTTGGGTAGAGTCCTTCTTAAATTGACCGAGTCTAACATCTTGGTTCTTGATGAAGCTACTGCTGCAGTCGATGTTGAAACTGATAAGATTCTTCAAGAGACTATCAGAACTGAGTTCAAGAACAAGACCATCATTACCATTGCTCATAGATTGAATACCATTTTGGATTCTGATAGAATTATCGTTTTAGAAAAGGGAGAAGTTGCTGAATTCGACTCACCAGCCAACTTACTTAAGAAGAAAGACAGTTTGTTTTACGCCTTGTGCAAGCAAGGTGGTTTCGTTGACGAATAAGGAACAAGCTTATAGTTGGAAAATTCTCAATAGAATCGATAACAGTAATAAAAGTTTAAGATATTCGTACTATGTGCACAAAGTGAAACGTTCTTGGAACTATTATGGCAAAATGATGTCAGAAATAAATTAATATGCTATAAACAGAATTATTATGTCTATAGGAATACAAAATTTAGTTACGTATGTTTTGGAGGCCTTTCTGTACAAAATTAATCAAATTCTCATCAAGTAACATTGAGATACGGTTCGAATATTCAGTACTAAGCTTCCAAGTATGCAAATAAATGTTCTTCGGTATTATTTTAGTTTGATTAATACTTGCAATTCAAACTGACACTACACCTTTAATTTACACTACCGGATACTTTACTGCAACACTCATCATTGACTTACATTGATCTTTTTATCTGAAAAATAACGACCTAAAGAACACAACTTATCGAGGATCAATTATATTTTAACCTATATAATACAGAATTATTTAGGTTTCTTCTTATGAATTAAACGAGAGTTTTAAGTGAAATGAACTGGACGTACAACATATGTGGAGTAGCCCACTTCTATTACTATGGTACATTAATGTTCACTTCTCTTTCTCAAGGTGTTGATGTAGTACAATGGATAGAAGTTCTGACGGGACTCCACTTGGCAGTGGTTTCCTTCAGTGATCTTGGTGCCCATGTTTGTGGAAGCCACCGATAATTGGCCGTCAGGACCCAAATCGTAGAGTTCCACAAGATCACCTTCCTCTCTGTCGATGGATGCGAAAACTCTCCCACTGGTCTCTTCCAAGCAAATATCTATTATGGAGTCCTTGGTCACGAAAGTTTGTAAGTGCTTGACGGAGAAGTCGCCTGCAATCTCGAAGGTCAAGATGCAGTTGGTGTTTTCGCACAATACAAGCAAGATCTTCTTGTCGTCCACTGAATGGGTCAAGATCTTGGTGATGGAAATTTCCTTGACCGAGTCAGGCTTCAAGAATCTCTCTGCTGGCATGTGGGCTTCCGTCAAGTATGGAGCGATCAAGTCTCTCAATTCTATCTTGGCAAGTAACTTGTTGTCGTACCACTTCCATAAGCAGAGATAATCGTCACCACCACCACTTATCAACAAGCTGGGGTCATACGAGGGAATGTGCAAGGTGGAAACAAACTCATGGTGGCCAAATAACCAGTTTTTCACCACGTACGCTTTGGGATAGTTGGTGATTCTGATGTGCTCATCTCTGTCTCCAGTCAAGATAAACTTCTTGCCGTTGAATCGGGTGAACTTGACATCACTCAACATCGAGACGTGGCCCAAAATCGGAGTCAATGCCTTCTCGTCCACTGGTGGCTCGCTATCGATCGTGGTGGCATAAACGTCCCCAAACTTGTCGGCAACAATAAGATCCGAGTCATCTCCGATTGAAACAGCACATGGCCGCTTGGGGAAGATTTGACGCTTGATGATCTTCAAGCAGTTTTCGCTGTTGGCCAAGTCGACCTCGAAAATAACCGCAGCCTTGTCGCTGTCGGTAGTTCCCACCAAGTACTTTTCATCCTTGGATAAGTTTAATGATCTGATGTAATTGTAGATGGGAGTGGCTCCTTGAATAGGAACAGGTGTCTTAGCAACAGCGACAGGTTTTGCGTCGTTGTTTTTGAGCTTCTTGTCTCCTTTCAGCTCTTCTACACTTGCGACCTTCTTTTCTTGTTTCTTCGATGGGACAGAAATGTCGACTGTATCGGACCACGAGCCCACAACGTTACCATTGGACAAATCATAGACTTGCAAATGGTTCTTGACGGACACAAAGAGGTGCGTTCCTTTGGAGTTGGCGAGGAGGAGCTGGAAAGGGTGCTTCATGGTTGGGTTCCCAATATACACTGAAAATTCCATTAAGATGAGTCTACGCGTGACTTCGAGCACGTGATGGCATCGCCCTTATCAGTTACAATATTGTATGTATTGAATAGTGGAACAGTGAATGGTTTACGTTATGTAACAGTTGTTGGTGTGGGAGGGCAATTGCAGCCCTGGGCACTTTTTTTTACCAGTATTATTGAGGGCCAAGTAGTATATCACCATAATTGTGTTGGTTAATATAAAATACACCAGCCTTCTTACATTTAATAGACGGTGACTCGTTGTGCTTAAGATAGCTATAGCAATGCTAATACAGGGATATTATTATACACATCTGACTAAGACTTCTTGAACCCCCAGCCAGTATTCCAGATGCTAAACTTCTTGTTAGGCTTCTGGGCATCAGTCTCATTTATGGTCTCATAGCCCTCTTCGGAGCCGTCCTGGTGGGATTCGTCTTCTTTGCCTGCACTTCCCAGAGCTTCATTTTGTTCACTGGGGTCGTTCGTTTCACCCTTGGCATTGTCGTCAGTAATGAATTTCTGAGCCTTCGACCTATTCCCTTGTTCCAAATCCTCCTGTGGGACAGTAGTCTTGAGCTTGAAATTGTTGAAAAAATTAGAAATGTTCTTGTATGTTTGGTTAGTTTCCGATATCTCCACTCCTAAATGCTTTGGATCTATAAAGTTGAAAATGAACTCATCAGCCATGATATTCCAGATTTTGAAATTGTTGGATTGCTTCCATACCTCAATAAACTTCTTGTTGAACAAGCCTATATCCCCGACTCCATACGGAATGGTTCCATCGGGGTTGGCAAATCCTGGTGGGGGTTGCTTAAACTTATCAGCATATTGAGAATACCTCATCGTAGCGATTAAGCTGCTGAGGTAGTCTTCAAACTGGTATCTTATGTAATCGTCGTTTCCAATGTAATCATCCTCCTGGTTGTTCATTGTGCTGATCATGTTATTGATAAACTTCTTATCATTGTGACTCAAGGAAAATTCCTCGGGCTTAGTCTTGGGATAAGTCAACTCATCAGTATCCAAATTGACAACTAAATCAACCTTGAATTTTTCTGCCTGATTAATAAACAATAAGTTTGAACAACCGATCATGTAGCTTTCGACGCTCAATTCGTCGAGTTGTTGCAATGGTAAGTATGGGTTCCAGAATGAAGACTTGGTATTGAATATTTGCAATGGTAAGCCAAAAAATCTAAGCATGGACTTTCTATTGGTGGTGTTCAATGAGTTGGGTTTTGATAATGGACCATTGGTCTCAATGTAGTCAATGAGGGGACACCCCGAATTATCCAAACTGTTGATTAGGTTGGGGATCAAACTGATTAGATTGTTTTGAAACTGGGTTAACACTTCTAAGTTATTGTTGGAGTAAATTATGATCTTCTTATCCAACAATAATGCTTTAAAAATGATCAAGAAGTTGGTTTTGAACTTGAGAATCGAGTTTTTAAGATTCAAATTTACAAAGAATTCCTCTTCCTCCTTCAAGTCCTTTTGTTCCTTAAGCAATTCGTTATGAGGGGACTCCTCTAATTCGTTGTCGACCAATTTGTAATTGGAATTCAAGTTTTCGAACAAGTTCTCCAACAAACTAACGTTGTGGAAATCGTCCTGTTCAAAATAACTTTTTGTGATGATTGACAACTTCTCTTTGATTTTATTAAAAATGGGTTGTTTCCTGACAATGACCACGATGGCCTTCTGCACGATGGACCTGGTTATATCTTTGTTTCTGTCAAGTTCCTCCTTGGATAGGTCGCTTGTCTTGACCTGTCTCACGCATGAGCACCCGAAGAGAGTTCTCAAGTTGCGCGGATCGCCCTGGAACTGATTCAAGTCCTTCATGTCGTCGATGGACTTGCCGGACTTGAAGTCGTACACCAAGTTGAAATTGGAGAAGGTCTCTTCAAACAAGTGCGAGCCATCTGGCAACGCCTGGAACGACAAATTCTTGAACAACCCGTCGCTGAACTCGGTGTGGTAGTTGGATTTCCACCACTGGACCTCGGGGCCTCTCTGGTGGTGGAAATCGACCACGCCCACCGCGAAGATCATGTCATGGGACGAGTCTGGTTTGGGGATCGACACGGGGTTTGGCGAGATTGGCAAGTTCTTGATGTGGATCCTATCGGTTGCAGAGGTTCCTGAACCAGTTTCGACGGCTGTGGCGCCAGTCATGGACCCGTACAGGCCTCTGGAGCCACGAGAGCCTGTGGAGGGACCATCTTGCGAATTGCTGCTGCTGACGTCGGATTCCGTGCGTGCTACCGACACTCTGCTGTCTCTATTTCTGCCGCTGCTTCCAAGACGGATTGGTCTGCACTGGAACTCGTCTGGTTTGGGCTTGGAGTTAGCCGCTGTACCCAGAAGACGACGAGAAGGCGATGAAGGAGCAGGAGTCGACGACGCAGACGAGATGGACAGACGCTTTTCGTGATGGCGCTTCGCTAGTCTGATTGGCTTGATGTGGAACTCCTCTTGAGGGTCTCTGGTGGGAGTGGTGATGGAGGTTGTGGTGGTTCTGGTGGGAGAGTCTGCCCACGGACTGGATTCTGAGGTGGGAGTGTCGATTCCCAAACCGACAGGCTCGTTATCGGGACGAGACGAGGTGGGACTGATTCGAGTCGAAGAGTCCCCATCCATGGCAGCGGGAAACGGATCAGTGGCTGTAAGAGGAGAGTGGTGGATCTAGTGTGGGAGAACCTGTGGGTAGCGCGCGGTAACCTGCAAACCGATCTGGAGGAAGGAGAGGAAGGAGAGAAAGGAGAGAAAGAGAAGTACGTATACGGGAGGTGGGGGAAGATCAGTATGGTAGTTAAGGGAGGTGGAAAGGAATCGACGGTTTATGGGTGGTGGAGTGGAGAGGACGTTGTGGGCTGACACCGCCGTATGAGCTCCAGGTGATTCAGAGACGGCTGGAGACGGCTGAGTGCGAGACACCGCGACATCACTAACAATGCAACGACAAATGTCGGTTTGGAGTGTCAGACGACGGGCGAGGCCAGGGCATGATGTTAGTGCCATTGAGGAGGGATGGATGAGTATCGAGGCGTTGAGTGTAATTCCAGGAATATACCAAAATGTCCATGTGCATTTAGGTGGCGAACGATTGATATATCTGATCAATTATTGTCATGGGCTTCTTTATATAATAAAATACACAAGCTTCGTGTGCGTTCTACAGGCGTAGTTTATTATATTTCTGTCAAATCATTGCATGGAGTCTATTTAAGAATATTACGTCAACAAAAGAAGTAAAATACGTTGGGCTACCATACTATATTTAGTAAATATTACAGCAACTAAATTGATTACGAATAACTACTGTATAAATAGTACTACAGTAACAGAATTGATTGCGAAATATGTGGGCAGACACCTCCAGGGGCAATCACCACTCAGACACTCCAGTGGTGCAATGCATATTCCCATGCTCGTTTGGGGCCGGGCTTTATTATCAAATTTGAAACTAACCTGCGGCCTGTCAATGGCAGCATGAAGGTATTGGCATTGTACTACAACAGAGCTTCCTCGATATTCGGGAGCAGACAGCTAGAGTTGTCAAATTCCGTCGACGATTGCGGGGCCCAGACAACTTTGGTGATGTTCTATACCACGCAGAGGGCTATACAGCCTGGTGTCATTGCCGCATTCAGCTAGTTGCATGGACCCTGTCAGACACGACATTTATCAATTTTGGCACAGTCTCTTGTCATTAGCTATTTATACATGGCCCCTCTGGATCCCCACAATTGCCTTCAGTAGAAAAGCAACGGCCCGCACAAAGGCCCATTGTAGGATTACTACACATCCCTTCTAGTGTCAGATCGCTGCTTCCAGAGCCAAAGCCGTCGTTCACCTCCTCTATCCTTTTTAAGCTTGAAGGAGTGTCCGATTCTGAAACCATTCATATTCTAGGCCCAAATTCTCAGTCGGTGCAGGCAGTTGGGAGAAGCTGACATCGGCTAACCAGCAGACAGTCACTACACACGGCTATACTGCTCTCTACTGCTCACTATCTCCTGCTTCCTCCTGCTTCCTCTCTGCTCCCTCTCTCCTCTACCATGGTGGCGCTGTGTTATCAGCACACGTGACCTGCCTGGAGATCTCCGGCCCTCCCTTATAAAAGCCAGGGAGCCCCCAAAATCCACCGACATTCTAGCCCCTCCCCCACAAAATGTCATTTCAAGAAGGCGACCAGTTCCCCAAAGACGTCACATTCACCCACGTCCCAATTGACCTCGCTACTGTCCAGACAGCCAGCGCATTGGCGTGTGAAATCCCCACCCCTCTCAAATTGGACAAATTGTTCGACCAGTTAGCAGACACTTCCTCCCCCAACGTGGTGATTGTGTCTGTGCCAGGGGCCTTCACTCCCACGTGCACGGAAAACCACATTCCTCCTTACTTGACCCACTTGGCTGCTTTGAAGAACGACAAGAAGGTAGGTGCCTTGATTATCATCAGTGCAAACGATGCGTTTGTGTTGAACGCCTGGGGCAAGTTGCTCATCAAGAACGAAGCGTCAGTGTCGGCTTCTGGCGACTATCCAAGGGTGATTTTTGCCAGCGACCCTGCCGCCAAGTTCAGTGCAGCCCACGACTTGTCTGTGGATGCCAGTGCCAACGGAATGGGCATCAGAACTGCCAGATACGGCTTGGTGGTGGATGCCAAGTCAAGAAAGATCAAGTACTTGGGCAAGGAGGTCGAGAGGGGTGTCAAGCACAGTGGCTACGAAGCCGTGACCTCCAAGTTGTAGTGGTAGTAGCGAGGTGGGATAATTCCACTAGATAGAATGTCACTGATTCCACCACACAATGAGTAGTCATTGGGCTGTAATTAGTGCGTCGGTATTACACATATTACTGGTCAATTTTGGCCATTTTCGGCCCATTCGTCGTATAGTTCACCAGCAGTGTGTAGATTGACTAGGCAGATCACTGGGTATTTTTTGTAGTACTGCATTGATTGCAATTAGTCGAATTATTCCCCCTAAGTTGAAGAATTGGATTGGATTTATTGCGTTCTTGTAGTATTAGCACTGTTTAGTCAACTACGATACTCCAAGACACCAAAATGACATTGCGAGGCAATTGACATTGATCTTTCCAAGGCAATTGGATAAGGTAGCCCAGGCTAGTGAAATTTCACTACTTTTACCGTAGTTAACACCTAAACCCAGAACAGCGAAAAGAGGTAATTTCACTACCGTTGGATAACACCTCTTTAGCACCTCTTCAACATACTGAGCCCAACCTATGGTCGAAACACTGAAATCGGGACAATTGACCTGCGTCTGTCCTCTTCATTCACTATTGAAATTTCACCAGCAAGACTAATAATCGATCCCCACTCAACAGATGTGGTTTCATTCGCCGATTGAACTCTACCGGAGAGATCCGTACTCATCAATCTTGCCAATTGAAATGCACCAGTGAGTCCCATCAATCAATTCCTTATATTCCTACCAGCAATTGCAGTTACGCAACCAATTGGCTACCCATTCGCTATTGAAAATTCGCCAATCAATCAACTGCCTACTCACCACTCATCTTCAGCCATTGAGTAGGCATCCTACCATCTACATCAGTCAATTGCAGTCAGTGCATTACTAAAAACTCCTAACTAGCTTACAATTCACCGGAAGCTTCGATGGTGACTCTGGCTTGAGTGGCACCAGAGTTGGAACCGAGGCTTTCGACCTTTTGGACAATGTCGTAACCTTCAGTGACTTCACCGAAGACAACGTGCTTGCCATCCAACCACGAGCATGGAACAGTGGTGATGAAGAATTGGGAACCGTTGGTGTTTGGACCAGCGTTAGCCATGGACAAAAGACCTGGTCTGGTGTGCTTGGCAGAGAAGTTTTCGTCAGCAAACTTTTCACCGTAGATGGACTTACCACCAGTACCGTTACCTCTGGTGAAGTCACCACCTTGCAACATGAAGTTTGGAATGACTCTGTGGAAAGCAGAGCCAGCGTAACCGAAACCCTTTTCACCAGTGCACAAGGCTCTGAAGTTTTCGGCGGTCTTTGGCACAACATCGTTGTACAATTTGAAGGTGACTCTGCCCAAAGGCTTTCCGTCAGCAGCGATATCGAAGTAAACTTGGGACATTTTTGGATGATGGAGCAATTGAGAAAACGGCAAAACGTCCACTTTATATGGATGGAAGCTGGAGGAAGGATTCGCTGGCGGGGCTGTGTGCAGGAGTGGTCCGGGAATGGGGGTAGTGTCTGGAGTGTCGGCGTGGGCGGTGTCTGCATGGGATTTCTGCAGCAAGCCGACAGTTACATCATGGGCGTGCGGGGCCGCGAGCCCTGGCGCCAGCCGGTGGCCCCAGGGGCGAGATCCGGCGTGCGCCTACCGGTAGTGCGCTCGCCGTTTTCTAATCGTCGTGCCCCCACCGCTGGGACCAGCACGTGGAGCCCCTGCTGCACCTTCCTGCACCTCCCTCGCCTACCTCCGCACACTGCCTCCATGTCACTCGTAATTTACGGGCCCAAGTCTGCCCCCCACCCCCCCTCTCCTCCTCACCAGCATCACCTTCCCTTCGCCTCCCGGTACCAGCACAATCCCGACTGCGCGCCCCCACTGGACGCATCAGCCCCAGTTCACACCCAGTAGTATTAATAGAAACCAGCCGCATCTCGTTTGCGATATTTTCACGTCAATGGCGTGCCACAAAACGTCTCATTAGCCTTATATATGCTCGCTGCGCACCAAAATTAGTCCCCACGCAATCATGTTCAACAACTACACCCATTTCGTGGAGGTGTACATGTGCAGAGTGGTGCACAACCCGGTGGCCACCTCTGTACTCCTCCTTTTGTCGGGGTCTCTCGTCCACGGAGCCCATTTGCAGCTGGTGGTGCGTTCGCAACAGTACGAGCTCCTTTTTGCCGAGGACTACGTGCTCGATCTCATTTCCAATGCCATCAACTTGGTGTTCCTCTTGCGGTTCCTGCTTCAATGTCGTTTCCCGGTTGCTATCGAAGCCGTGCTTTTTTTGGCTCAAAATTACGGGTGCTACCTGCTTCTTACGGACCACGAACGGTCGTTTCTCTATGGCTCTGGCGTGCTGACGGTGTTGAAGGCGTGCTTGGTGGGCCAGATCATGTTCCCCTACCTTATCATGGTGATGAACCTTGTGGAGTGGTGGTGGGGTGGAGAGGAGGGCTCCAATGGCGAATTTCCTGTACATGATAACGATATTATGGCAAATGAGAAGCCACATACTGGTTTGGGCAACATTGAAGCCTACAGCTCGGTTGGATACAAAGACGAGCCATACCCCTTCCTTTTCGAATGCAACAACAACTACCTTCCAATCTTCGTCAGCCACTCGTTCCTCTACATCAACACCGGCTTCCCATTGTTGGCAGACACTGCCGTGTTGCGCAATGCCTTATTGGTGTACACCCTCAGCGAGTTTTCCATCAAGTTCTACTGCATCTACAAGTTCATTCTCTTCGAGGTGGGAACAATATTTGGCGGGGTGGAGCGCCAGCTCCCGCTCTACACGCGGGGAAAGCTGGAGCTGGTAAACAGGAATAAGGGGCATGGCATGGCAGTTGCGTGCTGTATTGGAGTGATGGCGTTGGATGGGGTCTACATCGGGCTAAGTATATAGTAGGGGTAGGGATTTACGGGTTGCGCTAGGTGCGTATAATAGACGGGGTGGGCATGGCCGTTAGGTTGCATGACGCACATATGACAGGGTTCTGACAGAAATGATAGATGTATGGTAGTAAGGATATTTGCGGCGTCTACAGGGACTAGGGTCCTGAATTATGGTCGTTGCGGGCGTACATACGGGTGCCACGTGTGTGGGCTATATCTATAAGTAGCGACAATGGCATATTTGCCAGTTTGATGTCACGCTATACTTCACGTGAGGTCCGGCTCCCCGTAGTCGGCAAATGTATGTTTAAAGTAGTTGACCAATCCCCGCGAAAGCTTGATGGCTGGCGTGTCCTCCTGGACAGCTGCCAACGGCGCCTCCTCTAGCTCCGACCCGCTCGTGTCCAGCTCCGACTCGTTCGCGTCCAGCTCTGACTCGCTCATGTCCAGCTCCGATTCGCTAGCCTCTATAACTGGCTCTTCCACGGTCTCTTTTCCGGGCTGCACCCTCTCCAATGCCTGTCTGCGGATATCTTCGTACTGCGCAGTCAACTCGGCCTGTTCCTTGCGTGTCTGCTCGAGGTAGAACTGTCTTTCTTCCTCCTCGAGCCTCCACACCTCCAACACGATCGCGGCCTCCTCTTCGGTATACACTCGTCCCGTGGTGTGTAAGTTGTTGTGGGTCATGAGGTAGGTGGCCAACGCTCGCTCGTGCACGCGTGAATCGTTGTAGTCGCTTTTCTCGAGACGTAGCTCCTCCTCGCGGTTCAAATGCTCCTGGATCATCTCGTACTCTTTGGTGCGACCCTCGGATAATGCATCCATCACCTTGCGCTGACGGGCCCTGAACTGGTTGCGGTGCAACGAGTCGACGTCCACGACGGTGGGGCTGTTCGCTTCGTTTGCCTCGGCTGAAATCCCGTGGGCCAGCCCCAAGAACGGATTTTCCACTGTGAATCCTGGCCCAAAAACCTCCCAGTCGCTTTGGAGTTTGACCCACGGAAAGTAGTTTGCCTCGTAGTTGGCGTGGTTCAAGAAGTACTGCTCCACCTCGCCTGGAGGCATGGTCCTGCCGTTGGTCATGTCGTCCACTACGTTCACCTTGAGACGACGGTGCACGTCGGCCCAGTATCGGTTCCAGTTGAACCTGTGCTCCGGCTGGACGTATCCGAGCAGTTTGACAGCTGCTACGATGTCGGAGCGGGTGACCAACACGGAGTCGGTCAGACGGAGCATCTTGCGCTCGGTGGCCCGCAACACGATGCGTTTAGTGACGATAGTGGCCAATTCCTCGAAAAATGCCAACGAGCGTATGTGGAGCTTGGGGGCCAGTTTGGGTCCCCCCTGTCTATCCACCACGTTCTGCTGCCAGTGCACCTTGGCTGCGATGTCGTCCATGTGCTGGTGGTCAATGAGATGCGCGTCGTGCACCTTGGTGTAGGCATGCCAGCTCTTGTTGAAGTGCCTGGCAGTGTCGTTGAGCCTCATGCGCTCTTTGAACGAGATAGGCTCGCTCTGCTCCTCCTCAAACTTGATGAACTCCTCACTCATCTCGTAGGCTATGGGCATTTCGTCGTAACGGAGCAACCCGTGGGCGTACTTGGGGAGACGGATCGACTTACGTCCGCGATGCTTGTACTTGAAATAGCGTGCTCGATTGCGTCCGTACTTGCGGTGGTGGAGCTCACGACGGAGCATGTCGTAGTATGTCAAGATCTCGGCCTGGCTCTTGGTGGGAACGTGTTCCTGGATGAGATCCACCCGGTGGATGGAGTACAACGCTAGTGCTCGGAAGAAGTTGTCCTTTTCCACAACGCTCCACACGCTCCCAGGCTTGCTGGTGTAACTGTGGTAGTAGATGATGCCGTCGTTGGTCACCTTGGACCCCAAGAGCCTCATGTCTCGCTTGGAGTTCGGAATCGGGTTCAATGTCTCTTCCACATGCCTATTGTAGAACTCCACGTAGTTGGGGTTTCCGCGAAACAACCTGTTGTTGTTCACGTATCCTGCTGTCAGCTCCGGCTTTTCCACTGTGAACATGGGAAGCTCTGGCTCTGGCTTGACTCGGACTCGTTTGGGCTTGCGTGGCACTGGTGATGCTGTTCGAGGTCGAGACTCTGCCGTCTCGTATGCCGAGTCTGAGGGCGAATCCGACAGTTCCAGCGCTTCTGACGGTACTATCGGGGCCATGGCCGTGTGGGACGACGGCTGCAAGGCCCTAAGCTGCTCGTCGATGTTGGTATCCTCCGTCATATCATATCCTAGTTGAGATGGATGTCGCAGATGAGATGGGTTTCTGGAGAAGTGCGACATAGAGTGAGACATTGGAAGGACTAAAGGAAATGGTGAGTAATCATTAGATTTAACAATACGAACAAACGTGTTTTAAGTTGAGTTAAGGGTTTCTAAATGTACAGATTCAGAGGGAAAGTTAGTGATATTTATGATGTCAACTGATTTATATGGAGAAAATCAATTCATTTAGGTACTAGGGAAAATAGAGGTGGCTTAAGTGTGGATCAGCACCGATTTGTGGCTTACGGTTGATTGACTAACACATGAAGGCTCCGTCACCTGACGACATTGTATAGTAGATTTGGTGGTAGTTTCGTCAACGATAATACAGTAGTTCGTAGTTCAATATCCAGATATTCTGGTGGGGATACAGCACAACTGCACCACTCTTTACATTAAATATTCTGTCCCAATACTTTCCTATTCATTTACTCTTCTTCCATGAGATCCAAAGCCAACCTTGTAAACTAGTACAGATAAATGTCGCGTCTCTATCTAGGATGTACCCAAATAGGGTGTAAAACGTCTCCATACTGGATGCTGGAATTTTTTGGTCTAAATAGTCGTATTTACTCTAGGAATAATTGGTAAATCCCTACACACTGTCCTATTTTCCCAACAATAGTATCTATTCTGAACACTAGAATTAAAAGCTATGCAATATTTATGGATCGATGGAAACATTGAGGAGCTGCAATCAACCCTCCCCTGGGCTTTTTAGGTAAAAAGAGAGGTACCCTGAGCCTACAAATTTTCCGAATTTTAGTATCCATCAACATCCATTTACAGGTGATATTTACTCGGGATTTATCTGAAACAACTCTCAAAGCATGTGGCAATCATCATGTTCAAGAACTTGAAATGTTTATAGAAAACGATTTTGCGCCCAGAGAATAATATCTATACTTTTAGTCGTGGACTACTATTATACCAATTTTCCAACAGAGAGAGCATTGATAGCTACCACCCTCAAGAAGAGCCATAATAATTGAAAAGAGAGAAATAGGCTAAACCCGAAAACTACTACAGTAATAAGTTGACAGATAGATTGGAACACTCACCCTACAAGTGCTGCCATATAATAAATTAAAGAGACATTTGATACTCTACAAACAACTGCTCTAATAATAAAACAGCCAGATTACTCGTCCGTTATCCACATGAACTGCTTTAGTAACATGGAAAATTATTAGATGGTCTACCAGAAATAATACAGCAGATTATTGGATCTACCTACAACGAGTGCTATAATAATACATTAGATGGACAGATACTTGGCTATAAGTGACATAGTGTACAGATATGCAGAGAACGAATAACAAGTATGAAGGTTTGGAAGTATTCTCCAAATATTAATAAGTGGTGGATCATAAGCTTGGAATGGAATGACATCGAATTATGACAAGCTTTCCATAAAATTAGACACAGGAATCTATGATGATGTCAGCCTGTCGAGTGCTCACGACAACTTGGTCTCCTTCAACCGAGTGTGTGCATCCCTGACCTCGTCATCCTCGTCGTAATCGGTGTCCACCCACTCGCTGTCGGACTCGTCGCTGTGATCCTGCGGGTTCAGGTCCAAGCTTTGGAGCATGGCTGGCAAAAACGGCTTGGGTACGTCCTCAATCACCTCTTGTCTGTCGTAGTATATTTCCACGTACTCCTCGGGAACAAGCCCGTTTTCGCCAGACTCGGGGTCCTCGGCCACTAGCCAGCCCTGGCCATGTCTGTAGGAGATCCATATGAGCTGGCCTGCCGTGAGGCCTACCTCGTTGTCGTTTTCGGGCGTGAAGTCAAAGAGAGCAATCGCCTTGCGGTTGATCTCGTCGTTGGAAAAGGGCAGCTCGTCCTCTATCGCGTGGTGTGGGTCGTTATAATCATTAAAGTCGTTATTGCCGTTGTGTATGTCGTGGTCGTCGTCATACTCGTGTATGCTGTCAATCAGGTGCTGGTTCTTTGCGCCATACTTCAAGTGGTTTACTGGCGAGATGTACGGATGGAAGTCGCCGTATGCATCGTCCTCGTCAGACTCCAGCTCGGACTCCCGCAGATTCAACCCATGGACCTCAATTCCGTCGTAAAGTACCGGTTTGGCAAACTTGCCTGAGAACAACGGATGGTCTGGAGCGTATCCAAAGTCCTTGATGGTGGTGTTTGGCGGGAAAAGGCTGTAAAGGACGGGGGCAGGAGGTGCCGGAGGAGGCTTTCCAGGAGCCAAGTTGCTTGTGGATGGAAGCTGAGTGTCGGCTTGTTCTTGGGACATTATTGGTCACGAAGTAGAGCTTATTGTGTGGAGTTTCATGCGATTATTGGGAAGGACAAGGGAAGCTCCGGGGAGGATTCTTGGGGAAAGGTGTCTGCAGCAGCGACACGGGAGGTAGGGGAAGGACTGGAGAGGCTGGATTTGCTGCCAGGAGACCCCTTGTGGTGATGTTTTTTGTTGTTAGTGATTGCGCGGGCACGACCTGCGTAGGTCCACTGCGCCAGCGGTGGCGGCCGTTGCGGTGTACGCTAGTGGGAGCTTCAGCACCACGCGAGGAGTGCGCGGTGGTAGCGTAGTGCGGTCGCACGGTAGCACTGGCTAGTGCGCCACCGCACCAGGGCCGGGGTGCGCTATTGGTAACGGGTCTATTGGCCACCGCGGTGGTGCAAGCAAAGAAGGTACATTGAAGACTACTTCAAATCTTCAGATGTTGCATAGTAATGGTCAATTCTTGTAGGCAATAATCCCAAGACACTTGGGAGAATTACCACAAGTTTCGGACAGTTGGATGCTGCGCAAAATGAACCTGTTGAGATCGGAGCTCGCGAAGCAATTCGCAACTATCAAGAATGGCAAAAAGCATCCAGAAAAGGCTTCGAACCAAAAGAAAAGAGCTAAGTACTGTGACGAGAGTACTATTGGAAATTTATAGAAACAGAGAGACCGAAGAGAAAAGGAGTAGACGATGATTAGAGGCGTCGTTCAAAGATGCTTTTGCCAGTAATAAAGTCGCACAGCGTACTGGTGGTGGCTCGCTAGCACCGTCGGCAGTACTGATGCTACGAGCTCCTGGATCTCACAACTCCGCCAATATCCCGTCAGTAGCCCTAGATAGCTCTGAGCAGCCCTTAATAGCCAATTAGCTCTCTATAATTCCCTAACATCTCCCATTAGCCCTCATTCGCTCCCTCTGGTCCTACACCATCTCCCCCATCCTCACTCTGCTCCTCCATCGCCGTGTCGCACCCGCGACATCATTTTCTTCCATTTTTACTAACTAACCAACCAAAATGGACCCGTTGGAAGAACAGCAGCAAGAGCTCGAAGTGTTGGAGTCGATCTACCCTGACGAGCTCACCAAAGAGTCCGATGCCAAGTTCTCCATCCGCATCAAGTTGGACACCCCCAGCGAAAGGGTCCACGTGTTGGTGCTAGGCGTCAAATACCCGCCAGAATACCCAGAAGTGATCCCAGAATTGGACATCGAATTGGGCGCTGACGACGACGAGTCTGACGACGACTACGACGACGAATCCGACGACGACGACGCAGACACCCGTGCCGCCAAACAGGCACTCAACATGTCGGAAACCATCGAGTTTGGCAGGGACCAGTTCAAATTGCTCTTGGGCAAGTTGCAAGAGGAGGCAGAGATGCAGCTCGGCATCCCCATGGTGTTTGCATTGGCCAGTCAATTGAAGGAGGAGGCTGAGACGTTGTTCCAGCAGATTTTGGACGCCAAACAGAAAGACTACGACAGACAGTTGCTTGCGCGGGAGCAGGAGGAGCAGAAGAAGTTCAACGGTACGCCAGTGACCAAGGAGTCGTTCAGCACCTGGCGCAACCAGTTCCGCCAGGAGATCAACTTGGAGGCCCGTTTGGCGGAGAGGTTTGCTGCCATGCACCAGGGCAAGCTCACGGGACGAGAGATTTTCGAGAAGGGGTTGGCAGGCGACGAAGACGACGTGGACGACGTGGTGGAGGGGGTCAAGAAGGTGGTGGTTTGAGGGTGGAAATAGCGGTCTCGGGCTTTCCAATGGGGGATGCTCCGATGACCACTACTCCGCAATTCGCGAGAAACGGAGGTTTCGGGCCTGGCTGGATCACACACTTAGTCATGGGCTGAGGACGAGGCTCCTTCCGCTGGGTACAAACTACCGGAGTACAGTGAGTCATGGAGTGACGGTGTTTAAGCCACCCCCGTCTTTACCGGACCGATAGTACCACCGTTTGTCCGTGCGCGCACGGACACGGATCTCAGGGAGCTAAGCGGCGTTAGGCCGCGGTGAATCCGACCGTGGTAGTCCGATGCCCCGACATTACAGTGGCTTCATGGACCAGGCCATGGCAAGTCAGTGAGTTTAGCATGTTATACGCACTAGCAGTCACAAAACTTCAGCATGGAATTGGCAGTTTCCTCTACATCTTTGCTGTTCTATTAAATATATTAGCGTAATCTATAAGTCGTAAGTCATGAAGGGGTATGGGTGCTAAAAGATGTGCTCCATGGAGTAAATAGCGTTGTTTCTGGAGTGTGAGTGGGACTGGGCCGGCTGGTGCTCAAACAAGCTGGCAGGCACGCTGGCACCAGTTCTGGGGGTCTTGTGGGAAGCATCCACGACTTCGTCCAACGAGTTGTAGGCGCCAGCGCCATGTGCGGTGTGTGTGAAGTTGCGCTTGTGCTGGGAGTCCAATTCCTCTTCCTCCTCGTCGTCGGTCAACGACAACGTGCGGCAGAGCCCAGGCACCTCGTAGTCTTCGGACATGGGCGAGTGCTGCTCGTCGTCTTCATCGTCTTCGTCTTCTTCCTCAATCCTGGAAAGCGACAAGTTCATGCTGGGGAGCTCCTTGAAGCTGGACACCCGCACCACAGTGGCCTGTGCAATGGCGTCTTCTTCTTCATCCTCCTCGTCCGACGAGTAGTAGTAGTCGTCCTCGTCGCTGTCGCTGAAGTCGCTGTCGTCCGACTCGTGGTACTCGTAGTCGATCTCGTCGTCGTCGTCGCTGTCGGATCCGACTTCATATTCAGTCACAGATGTGGCTTCTTCACGGCGGGCGTTGGGCACGGAAAACGTCACCGATGTGTGTGCTGACGCACTCATCTCCTTCTCCTTCTTCAAGATGCTGCGCTTGTGCGTTTCTTCGCTGATGTGGTCCATGATGTTGTCTAGCATGTTGGCCTGCATCACCAAGTTGCGCAAGCTGGAGCGTGGGTTGGCGGCTTCTTTAGTGAGCTTGGTCCTTACCTTGGAGGCAAGGATGTACGATTGTGCAAAAGACATGTTACTCATTGGAAAGTGTGACAATGGCAGTGGTTATAATAATTGTAACCCTGGGGGCAACCGTTATTTATATATCGTTCCGATTAGTCAACTAAGCCAGACATCATCGGGTCTGACAAATAGTTTGCTGCACCTGCACAGTGGGCTCGGATCGCAAACACCGAGCCGTTCCTGTTCCGCGCTTAAACGGTTCGGCCGCGTAGGCCTCGGCGGATCAAACACGGGTATAAAGGAGCAACGGGCGAGGCCAGTTCCGGCTGGGGTGCGGGAATAAGAACGCAACCCCGGATCGACCTCAGAGGATCGGTTGCCCGCGGACTAGATGGTGGCTAGTGCGCGGGCCTGGCATGGGTCTGTGGTGGTGATGGTTGCTTGCTGGCATAACTGAGAGCAGTTTTTCACCAATTACTCAGCCGCGCGATTAGTCATACTGCTGACATATTCTGACCCACGGTGTTCGAGCAGGCCAGGAGGGCCAGAAGGGCGGCCTGTGGGCTTGTGGGACAGTGAGTGGTCTGAGGAGCTGGGATGGTGGTTCGTTCCCCAAATTGAGTTTCGGCCCGTCTGTGATCATCTGTTGACCTCAGACCCTTTCGATATTTCCTGGTGGATGTAGAAATAACTCTAACCCAGTTTCTCGGCCGACGCTCCCTTTTGGGATATCCCCGTTCGGTGTCATGCACCATCGACGCACCCGAGGTCACGTGCCGCCTGGGGTACGTCTGCTTCCAATTCAGCCGTCCAGGGTGGTGGGGCCAGCCAGGCCCCAATGGGCCAAATGCCTACTCTGCAGTCCCTCCCTACACCTGCGCTCCCTACACCACCTGATGCCGCAAACATACGACATCCCCATCATTCGATGGGCCCAGGCCTAGATCCGTCCTCCGCGTGGTGCATCGCGCATATGGGTTGCTTCTGCATCCATGACATAATCTGTAATCTGTCCCAGCACTAACCATGATTCGCACTAGCTCAAAGCAGCCATCAGATGGTCGCAACCATCGTCAGCCCATGGCAAGTGTTGCGGGGCTTATCGCGGCAGAGCAACTCCGACACCACCGAAAACCGCTCGGATCTAGCCCCCACCCTCGGTGCCGACGCATCTCCACACCTGTCACTCTACAGTTTAAAACCACACCCATGCATGCACCCTAGACACCTACAGGCCTCTTGACAGAATTGCGTAAATTGTCATACAAACATCACATCATCAGGTGGATGCGTGGATTTGCCTCAGCTTGGGCCACTTGGACCAGCTCGGATGATGAGGACGGACTTTTGTAATTGCTTGGAATGTTTATTATGTTATGTGTTATGATACATTTATGATACCACTAGTGCATTTAATCGAATAAACCGAAACCCATGTCGTCGTCGGATTCTTCCTTTTCTTCTTCAGCCTTTTCTTCGGCAGCTGGGGCGTCACCAGCGGCAGCAGCACCACCAGCTGGGGCAGCAGAGGCTGGAGCAGAGGCAGCGAAGGAGAACAACAATTCCTTCAAGTTCTTACCTTCCAAAGCCTTGGCGTAGACATCGGCCCAGACGTTTTCAACGGAGGCACCAGCAGCCTTGGTGATGGCCAACAAGTTGTCGGCGGAGATTTCGAGTTCAGCGTCAGCTAAGATTAAAGCAGCGTAGGAGACAGAAGCTTCAGTGGACATTTTTGCTATGGTGAACAAGGACTGGGAGGCAAGATGTTAGTTTAGAACTGCCTGGTTCCTCGCGGTGGGTTGGTGATGAAAAAAAAGATGAAAAATTACCCGGAACTAGGGCTCGCGCCCTGGGTGGCTGGGCACGTGACTCGGTATGGGTGCACAGAGCCATTGCAGGGTCCCAGAGGGCTTCGAGGGGGTACGGCTGGGTAGGGATCGGTGAAGGAATACGGAGTGTAGCGTTAGTGGTGGCTTTGTAGTAATTTTTGCCAAAAAAAAGTATGAATTCAAGCAATGGCTGAACCTTGCCGCAATATGATATGGTAGATGATGGTATAGGGTCGAATACGCTCAATAGGTAAGTCGGATACAGCTTACGAGCAGCTTACAGAGCACATGGATTTGAAGAATAACAAGAACTGGCTCTAAATAATTTTTATGTCTGAAAACACTAGAGTCTATTAGATCCTACGGTCGAACCCCTTCCACATTACTTCTGTTTGATCTGTTTCTGATACACTCCCCCTTAAGAAGCCTAGAAGCATCCGTACCTAGGGTTATCAATGACGGAAACTATCGGCTAGGTGGTTTTGTGCATATCTATCAGCCCTTCCGTTGCAGCCGTAGTGGTGCCTTGTTTGCATTTATGCAGACAACCAGCTCCGTATCAGTTCTGGAACGGATGGTGAAACGGCTTTACACCTCAGTGTATTTTCCCTATTTTTAGCCGTTTGGAACTGGTATACTGGCAAAGGAGGGCCGGTTTCATCTTGTTTTTACCGGTTTACTGCAGGGTTAGTAGCACCATCACAAGCACCGCAAGCATGGGCACTGGTAGGGGTCGTTCTAGATATTAACTGTTGGCTGCAGCGCAGCTAGGCAATTATTACTTCACGACATCGGAGCTATCGCATGATTGGCAGGATCCGAATAAACATTTCCCAGCTTGCAGATATCAACGTTGCTGAATGAATATCTAGGAGTATAGAATATAATCGCTATGTGGAGGCAATTTGTTTATTGCAGGTCTGTGCTGAACCCCTTGTTATCCTTTCTTAACCACTTACTCCGGGGTCAGAAATTGCACCCACATGGCCGCAAAAATTAGCAGTCTTCCGATAGTCAGTACAGTGTAAGGACCTCCAAAAGAGAGACATGAATATCTGAGAGGAAGCCATTTTCAAGAACAACTCTAATCATACAGTATTTTATGAGCAATCCGGCCACTAGCACTATGATTTTAGTACTCTTCTCACCGATTATATACTGTGTCAATTCACTATAACACGATAGAAGTGGGCAATTGATTCAATTCAGAACCTCTAAGTATTCAACTTTGGTCAATTTATTCGATGCTTTCTACTAGAATTCCCTTGAAGTGATTTATCCAGTCAAAGTTGTGGTAATGATCTTGTCATCCATATGTCCAATTTTAAGTCGATAAGCTATTAGAGTATCACAACTGTAGACCTCTTAGTACTCTATCCACAAGAGAGTCGTGAAGCTACCTCTATTGTATTTGATAGCTTGTTCCTTTGTCGCATTTCATAGCTATAATCAATCAGCTTTCTGGTAGTATTCTACGTTGAGTATTATTCTGACAGCACTCGGTTAAATTCCACTTACCGTCACGTTCTACAATTGTAGCAGGCAATTCATATTTACAAGACCTCGTACTATAGACACAATTAGTTGAAAAACTTAACCAAGTTGGATAACCATCCTCTGTATTCATTTTCTTCCTTGTTTTCACTGAAAGCAACAATGAAATCAGCCAAGTCTTCATTGAGACCCTTGGTGGATAAGTATCCTTCGAACTCAGTCTGGACAGACTCGTCCAAGTCAGAGAAACGTGGACCTTGGTACTGGAACTTGTCAGCAAACTCGCCCTCTTGGGCCACCTTGGAGGCCAAGAACTCCTTGATATTGTTCTTAGGAAGGACAAAGTCGATCATGAACGAGCTCTCGGTGTTCTGCAAGTACAAGTTGAACAACAACCCGGTGTTATTTTCGGACTTTTCAATCACAACCTTGACATTGCACAACATGGAGTCAAGCGCATCGGCTTCTTCTTCGAAGGTCTCGCCAAACTCCTCGCCCTCTGGAAGCTGAGGCATTGGCGAGTCGGTGACTTCGTCGATGTCGAAGAAAACTCTGACGATCTCTCCGTTGTCCAAAGTCTTCACCAACTCGACGTTGGAATTGCCCTCGCTGGCCACAACCTGGAAGCCAGACTGGTCGAGGAACTCTTGGTAGGTGGACTCCAAGTCGTTTGGAATGGCCTTGGAGATCTTCAACTCGGACTTCAACACTTCTTGCAACTTTTTACCGGAGTCGGCGTGTTGGACACGAGCTTGCGAGAACGCTCTGATGGCAGGAACAGCGACACGCACAGAGCATCTTCTGGAGACGGCAGCGACGGCGTTGGATTCAGCACGTAAGGCACGGGAAAGGATTCTTAAGGAGGACATGACAGGGTAGAGGTCTAAAATTTTTGTAGCCCCCGCAAGTTATAGGTGATGAACCTGCAAGGATGGGCCAACCTGTAATTGGTGGTGGTTTGTGCAGGTTAGAACGGTTGAGACAGTATAGGGATGTATATGGGTTGACGATTAGTAATGCGGTGGTCAGGTGCTTATGGAAATGAGCCCACGCTCTAGGGCGCTGTGTGATCCAGAACGTTCATTCATGTGCTCTTTCAGTCTGATCTGGTAGGTCTGTAGCTTGAAAACTAAAAATATCTGTCACAATTATTTGGGGCATGTTTAATATTCCAGATCATAATTCTATGGTTTTTCGATACCTGTTGGAGCTGATTCTTTCTGTTCTCGGTGTAATCTGGCTGCTTCAAGTATGAATTAGTGTGATCGCCTATGTATTTTTCGTGGATCATTCTCCTATACTGGTTCTATATTATAAGCTGGAGAACTATTAAACTGAGATCATATCTGCTCACGGACTAGTAGCGAGTAGTTGCTTAGCTCGGATTAATCGAAATTGTGTTCATGTATGTGATTTTACTCAGTAGACCCTATATTAATGTTTTTGATGTTTATAATATGATCTTAATTATCCGGCAAAGGAATACAAGGAATACGACTATAAGTCGGTTTCATTTTGGCTGAAATTTATACTTCAAGTGACTGATTAATGCTTACCATTGGTTATTGTTATGCTCGCTAGCATTTACATTGTTACGTCATTTTTACTTTCGGTTTAAGACCAGAAATTTCACGCTTAATAGATATAATCTAGTGCTTCAAAGAGTAAATTGATCAACATAACTATTGGAGCATCTTGATTTATTTCTATTCCAATTTACTTACGTATCTCCACTGGTGAATGCTGGAACAATGTTAAAAATCTGAAAGTATATTAGTGCTATTAATCAAATGGTGGCAGGCACCCGAAAGGATAGGCAACGATGTCAGCAACGCCGAAGAGTCAAGAACCTCTGGATTGCTGTACTATGCTGATGAGTAGAAAACTACTGTAAAACATGTCAAGAAAGACAGATAAGCTAATGTACAGGGGGATGAGTGGTCACATCAATAATGAATGCATGGTTGTGGTATCAGGAAAATTCCAAGGAGCTGAAGTACTCTTGAACAAATGCAGAGCTTCTTCTATATCTTCTTTCTTGGTATTTCTCAAAAATTGCCTTGTGATGAGTTTCTGCATTGCGACAGTTATCCAACAAAACTTCGGCCAAAGGTCTAAGCTGTGCCTCGGTATAACCGGAGTAGAACACGTGTAGTTCGGTCCATTCTCCCTTGTTGAGTATTCTTCTTGACAAATAGTGTGCTCCCGCAGCCAACCAACTTGGTTGAGACGCTACGAATCTCGAGTCCATGATTGTGATCTCCAAGAAGTATTTGGCCAATGTTCTCGTTTCGTAGTCGTAGTCGTCCGCCTTGGAGGTTCTTCTCAAGAAGGACATTGGTCCAGGCCATCCCATATCGAATTCCAAAACATCAATCATGAATCTTTCTGCTTTCAAAAAATCGTCCACAGAATAGGCATTGTCGGCCATGTAAGCAACTTCTTGGACAGTAGGACAATTGATTTCTTCGTATTTAGCGGCAATGAAAAGAGCCACGGCTCCCACCAACTGGAATCTGGATAATGATACCTTTCTCTTGGAGAGAAATCTATCTATGTAGTTGACTGTCAAGAAGAGAGTTTCAGGTAATAAATTGAATCTGGAGTGCACTTGGACCACCCAGTCAATTAAAACACTTCTCATCTCCCACTTCAACTCGTCTTGGTTGTCCATGTAGGTGGCGTCGGGCACCAACTTATTTTCCAACTCATGCATGTAATTGAAGATTTCTGGAGCATATTCAGCCACCATAGTGACATCGAAGGTATCTTCGTCGGTCTCGTCCAAGGTGACTCTGGAGTACTTGTTGATGACATACTGCAACTCGTTGAAAACCGATTTCGTCCATATGGGCTCCATGGGCTTGTGGATATCCACGGGCTTCGCATTCTCGTCGTCTTGTGCGGGAGACTGGTTCTCCTTGTCGGTGTAGGGAATTTCCTCGTCCGCGAAATCGGAATTGTTGAGATGGGCCGGTATTTCGGGACTGGCGCTGTGGTGGTGGGTCAACTGGTCGTAATGCTTTCTTATCAAAATATCCTCTGAATTGTTATGGTAGTTGTTGGCAATTGCAGCGGCATTGGCGCCTGCACCGTGTTTCTTCAATAAGATCTGGGGGTGCGACTCCTTCAACACCGTTTGGTCGTCCTCGATGTCCTCGTAGGCATCGTCATCGTCCTCGTCGTCATCCTCAGGCACAAACTGGGTCCTGGACTCCGGCTCTTCGTCGTCAGTTGCGTCGCTGTGGATGGCGATGTCCTGGCGCTGTTTCTGTCTCTGCAAAATGCGTTCGAGCCGGGGTTTTTTGAACTGGTGCTGGTACTGCTGCTTGTAGATCTGGACCTTGGGGTTGGTGGAGCCTGTCACGCTTGCTGACGCGTGTTTCGACACTGCCTGTTCGTTTTTGAGCTGGGTGACGTCTCCCAACACTTCTCGTTTATCGCTAGTGGCTGGTGGAGCCACCGCGTTTTTGGTGGCGTGTCTGACGATGTTCTCGTCGTTGACGACATTCGCCAGGGATGCCTGTTTGTACGACCTCATGGGGTATCAGAGGGTATCAGAGGGTATCAGGAGTGGGTGAAGGTGTGGAGGTGGGCGTGTAGAGTTTGTGGCTCTGTAACAGATTTGATTATTTGTCTGGTTTATGTGCAGTCCTGCGTAGTTGTAGAATTAACACGAGGAAGGAGGGAAGGAAGGGGAGGCTAATGGGCAGGAAACGAGCTGAAGGGGGGAGCAAACGTACTGAATGGGCTGAAACGACTGAAATGAGCTGGCTGGAGCTAAATGGAGCGGAAACAAGCGGAAATGGACGTGGGAAACAGGATGGTAGTATGGATGTTGTGATTCTCAGAATCAACCACTATTGGATGTCGATGCCGGCTGGCAGGGGTAGCGAGTGTATAAGTGAGTGCCGTGGAGACGGTGTGGGTGTTCTGGAGTGGGAGGTGTGGTCGACGTGGAAGTATGGATGTTCGGGTCGAAACGGGACACAGAAAACGGGAAACGCAGGGCCGTGGCGGTAGGAGGGGTGTAAACGAATGGATAGAAGTTAATTCTGGAGGACTTGAAGCCAGGCCTGGAGAGCTGTTGGTGGTGACAGAGAAAGAGGTTGTTTTGAAGACGCAAAGGCAGTCAATCAGCAAATGGTGGGCCAGATGGGGCAGGGCGTGCGCGGGCGAGATTCACAATTACAGGTAGGAGAGGAGCGCACCTGCAATCTAAACAAAAACACACAAACAAACAAACACCCTGCACCCGGCGCAAACACCGCTGCTGGCTGTGTTTGCGGGGGATGGACTAGAGCAGCGTGTCCGCACGGTGGCTGGGCTTCCTGGATCCCATTGGGACCTCCTGGGTGCCCTTGCGGCCACAGAGGACCTCGTCGGAGATTTCGGGCCGGGGCTAGAAGTTTCACCAGACGCCAAAAGCGCGACTGGCGCTAGTCGCAGGTCACGTGACCGCCAACGGGCAGGGCGCTTGCAGCGCCAGAGGTGAGCATACGCGCCAGTTGTATATGCAGGCGCCGCGCCCGGAATGTAAATATCGCACAAACCATACAATACATAGATCGTTGCGTAAAAAATACCTGACTGTGCCCTGGGAAACGAAGCACCAGGCACGAGAATCCTACGCTTGCGTGTGGTGCAGCAATGGATATCACAATCAAAAGCCAAAAATCCCCTGGTTTTTCCCCCAGCAATGAAGTAACGTTTTTCGCTGGGGAAAATCGTCAGATCGTCTGCGATGCCCTTCATCCGCCCCTAGTTTCATTTCAGTGCTCGCTAGTTTCAAATCGCCAGTCGCAGCCTCCGCCGTGTCTTCATGCACCTGGTCTTCTTTCTATATTATGTAACTTTTAGACTTGCTTTATTGTCGGCCCCGGCAAAATGCTCCTGCGGTAAAAGCTTGTCTGGCAACGCTCGCGCGGATGTGCAGGACGCAACTTCCCCAGTTTCCTGACACTCCCAAGTAAATGTCGTCCCTCTATTTACCGATTATTGTTCCACCCAATTTATAAGCGGTTTAGGAATACTGAAATTCAGATTCATTCAATTTATAGGCGTGACTATGTCAAAGGCAATTCGTGATCCCCAACGCACAGTGTTGCTCCCCCAATAATTTTATCTGCTTTGAACACTCATATTTACGTGAAGCGGATTTCCTCTGTATTCCACTACAGAGCTAAAATGGGAATTCGTGTCTCCAGTAACCATTTTCTGGTGATATTATCTTCAAAGCTACCCGATTGTCCAATTGGATAAATAGTTGGAGTATAATTTTTGACTTAACAAGCTTGCCACCGGTTTTTTATTTCCATGAAACTTAGTTTGGAACTTTGGAGTAACCCATCATCTTTCTTTAGCTGTAGAAGGATTTTGTATTCCGGATGCGAGCGAGTTTCAAATATCTACATTCTTGCAATGACACCGAGTATTGAGTGTTAAAAAACACTAACAAGAGGCTAGAGGGTTAAATGGATATGGATTGAAGACGTTAATTGATGCAAACATACTTTACAACAATCGTTGTGTTAGTCTTCGGTATCTTTAAATACCTCACAAATACGCTATTTTTGGGTTGCGTATATTTTAGTGTCTAGTAGAATAAATCTGGAGATGACCGGTAAATAATTACTAGTAGTAAGGATGTTTATCTACGAGCGCATGAATTTATGTCAATAAACTAATATTGAATCCTGGGTTTAAATTAGTTAGGTTTTTTGTTAAAATAACTGGAAATTTTATATTTTAAGTGATGAACCTTAATAAAATATTGAGGGGCACTATTTAACAATCTCAACCGGGCAAGTTCTTAGTTAGTAGGAAGGTTACTCTGGTTCCACCTGGAGTTAAACCAACATCTGAAAGCGATTACAGCATCTTCTGATATACTTTTATGTATTTTTATGATATTATACGTATTAGCTCTTCGAATAGTCATTTGGCAGAAGTGCGACATTTCCTTGGGAACAACTACAATTGTCCTGATCTATTCGTTTAATGGTGGTACACTATCGTAACTACTACACAATCATCGTCTGCCAGCAGACCTAGATATCGAACTCCACATCCCAGCCGTCCACACGTGACTCGTTCCAGTCGATTTCAATGGCAACGCATATTATGTCATCACCAGAGTGCATATGTGGCTTGGCTGTCGGTATCTGCCTCGATCTGGCCTCGTGGGTGTCTGGAGTCTGAAGAACGATGGGGCGTGGAGGCACCGAGATGCTGGTGGAAGGTTTCTGGTGATGAGGCTTGGTTGAGGTCACGGTACGGTACGACTCTTGGAGAAGTGTCCGAAGCTCGCGTAACAAGTACAAGCTGGTGCTGTGGGCATGGAGAACCTGTCGGGAACGGGCAGGCCTGCGGACAGTTTTGGTTTGGGGGGAGACGCACTTGGCGGGTCTGGGTCTCTTGCAATAAGAGAGGGCAAAGGGGGGCTCGAGCGACATGGGAGGAGTGTTGGGATGCTAGGCCAAGTGTGTGGGTGGATGATCCTTATATATGACTGTAAATGGTGGTGGTGATGGCAGACAGCCGGGGCACTACTCCCCCCCCACCGAACTAGTCCAACAATGCCGACAGAAACAATAGTGATAGACGCAGCTTGCTGCAGGCAGTATATGAGTTTGTGGTGCATGGTTAAAATGACTAAACAGCGTCTGCAGCTGGTGCGTACCGACTCTAGCTGGTGCACTCGTATCTGTATAGGGGTCGGGGCTCCAAGGTGGTGCTCCTGGATCGGGTGGAGTGGGGATGGCAGAGAAGCGGATCCCTGCGACTTGACGATATATTCTCAGGTGGCGGCTTAGACGAGTCCAGAGGGGCTGATTGTCTACATCTTCCATCACTGCCGGTTCAGGTACAACCTGTATGATCTTGGTTCATGTATGACGTGCTCGCACTACCCGATTTGTGTTTACTGCAACCGTTGCTTCTCCGTATAGTTAATTGCGATAAACTTTGGTGCGTTGCATTTTCGATTGCGCACCACATCCGCATCACTTCTCGTCTGTGACCCCTGAAATTTACATTCCTCCCTCCCTTCGTCAACCTTCACCCACCTTATTGTAGGCAAGACAATCGAACAAGCCGACTGACCCGGGCACGACCCGGATCGGAACAATTGCACTGGAGCCCAGCACAGTTCTAACTAGATCGTCAACGCTGGAGATGCCACCATGACCGATACCCTGCAATAATATTACCGTTCGCACTCTAAGTCTGCAGCACCAGTGGCTATTTTCTGTCTGCGCACCGCGCTAGCGTCAGCACCTGCCACCCAGCTGCTACACTGGCCGGTCTCTGCCTCGTGCTTGCGACACATTAACGTCCGCAGCAAGCCAGGAAACATCGCCATGGTTCGTGGCACCGCATGGAAGCTGTCCCAGCTCCAAACCCCGTCTTTGGTCACGATGGCGACCCTGGCGAGCTATTGTCTTGTATTCGTCGTCTCGCTTCAACAAGAGCTCTGCCCTCGATAAAGGGTTGTTCTCGCAACCCATTCCATAGGAACGTGCGCGATTGTCGCTATGCATTTTCGAAATGGCACCTACAATACTTGTCCTATTTTGGAAGCCAACAATAAAGTTGAAATTACCACCGCATCGAGGTTAAACGAGGGTACTTTAAGCTATTGTCCACTTGAAGCTCGGGCTTACCCCGGACCGATGTCGATTGCATCTGGGTGAATTTCCATGCAACTGGCGGATAATTTTCGGGCCTGCTTCCATAATGTATGCAAGTTTCGGTGCCACAGCCGGGCGGACCATGTCCCAGAACAAACCACGCAGCGGATTATTTTGGCACAGGCAAATCCGAGCACGCCTGTGCTGGTCCCAATTTCAGGCCGCTGGAGCCGCCAGCCACTGATGTACACCCGGACGTGGAAATGGATCTCGTATTCGCTAATTCCTGTTTATTTTCATGCAGACATGAGTAATTTTTTCACAAAACTCGATGAGGAACCTCGGCGAGATGGTGGACGTAGTAGAGGGAACGTATTAGATGCCAACTCAAGATGCGAGGACCGCGACAAGATTTGCTTGCGTGAAATCGTGGTTCTGTAAACGCATGTAAGCGAAATCCAATCTAAGACGAAAACCGATCACAGCCGATCGTATTCTTTCGGTTATTTTCTTCGATGGGACGCGCCAGCGGCTTAGCGTATAATTTAGGTTGCACGTCCATGGGCACGAAGATCAGCGGCCACACAGCACATCTAATCTATCAGTAATTCCATCACATGACGTGCAACCGCGTGTATCCATCAAATAAGCAATAAGCTTCCTGCACACGCAGGCAGAACGTCAAACACTCCAACGGGGGCAGAAAATACTGCAGTGATAGCAGTGTAGGGAATTCACTCAGACACAGCAAGAACATGGCCAGCACATTTCCAGGAAAAGTGGTCATTTCCACTCGACCTCCACGCCGTCCGTTTCGCTAACCCCAGAATCCGCAATGACACCTCCTGCATACATGCAAATGCCAAATCAGGAAGTCTAAACATTCACTGGATTCAACAAAGAACTTCCAGGCCATTTCATCCTTGGAATAATCAAGGCCACCCTTTCAGGACCACAGTAACTCGCATAATTCCTTGCCTGATCCGGCACGCTAACTCTCTGCTCTATCCGTTGAGTCCACTTTTGCCAGCGGCCCCAAACCTCGAAATCTCCACCAAGCTCTCGATCCCAAAGAGCATCCCCACCACGATTATGCCCTTGTGCCGAGGCTGCACCAGTTCCCAGCAGTAATAATCCACCACCATGGCCTCCTCCAACATCAGCGACGAATACGATGCCCTAGAGGTGATCGGAAAGGGCTCATTTGGAACGGTACGAAAGGTTCGCCAGCGCTCCGACGGCCAGCTCTTAGTCCGCAAGGAGATTGAGTACACCTCCATGAACGTACATGAACGCAACCAGTTGATCCTGGAGCTCCGAATCTTGCGGGAGCTTAACCATCCCAACATCGTCAAGTACTACCGTCACGACCATATCGTCGAGAGCAAGTGCATTCACATCTACATGGAGTTCTGTGACGGAGGTGACTTGGCTCAGGTCATCACCAACTTCCGCAAAAATAAGGAACAAGTCCCCGAAGAGTTTATCTGGCAGGTCCTAGTACAAACCCTCTTAGCATTGCACCGGTGCCACTACGGCATCGACGCCAAAAAAGTCAATCTTTTCTCCAGCACCTCCAAGGACGAGCCTCCGATCGACTCGGAGACCGTGGTGATCCACAGAGACATCAAGCCTGACAATATCTTCATGCTCAACGACGGAAAGTCCATCAAACTTGGCGATTTCGGATTGGCCAAAATGTTGACGTCCCAGAACGACTTCGCGAAAACTTACGTGGGGACTCCGTACTACATGTCGCCAGAAGTATTGGTGGATAATCCGTACTCGCCAGTGTGTGACATTTGGTCGTTGGGGTGTGTGTTGTACGAGCTCTGCACGCTCCAGCCGCCGTTCCAGGCCAAGACCCACCTCCAGCTCCAGGCCAAGATCAAGCGAGGAGTGATTCCTGAGTTGCCGGACACCTACTCCAACCAGCTCTGTAACATTATCCGTGAGTGCATCACGGTGGACGTAAATCTCAGACCATCGTGCTACGAGTTGTTGGAGACCCTTTCTATCAGGTTTTTGCGCAAGGAAATGGAGCTCAAGGAAATCAGTGCCAACCTCAACGAGTTCCAGAAACAGTTGTTGACCAAGAACGACGAGTTGAAGAAGAAGGAGAACTACCTCAACACCTTGGACCGCAAGGTGTTGCGCCAGCGAGAGGAGCTACAAGAAGAATACAATAATATCCAGAAAAAGTGCAACGCCCAAAAAAAGCAGTTGGAGGACGAGTTGGTGGAGGAATTCGAGTTGCGAAAACGCGCCATGGACTTGGAGGCCAAGGAGGTCCGGTTGGGGTACCAGCGTGAGTTCAAGATGGTGGTGGAACAAGAAGTCCAGCAGCGTTTGAAGGAGTATTTGAACAAGCAGCTGATGGACATCCACCGGAAAAAGTCCGACCCCACCCCTCCTAAAGCTGCATCCACGCCCCCACCCCCCATGGGGGTGGCAACCCCCCAAGCACGCACCTTTCTACATGAAGCGCCCAAGCCGCGAGGGCCGCGTGAGTTGGTGGAAGAGCCGTTGCGGCGGTCGCCGCTCAAGACCCGCAACGACGACTTCGAGTACTTCAAGGCGTCGCCAACCAGAGGCGTGAACAACTACAAGAAACGGGTAACGGACGAGCTCGAACGGTTGAGCTTGGAAAAGAGACACATTCCTGAGTATGAGGAGGTGTATATGCGCAAGCACCGGCATGCGCCGTAGGCATATGCTTGATGTCAATCGTGCATAATCATGGATGATAATTATCCGGTCGTCAATACGCGTAATTGATAGAAATGAATAGTTAATTAGATTAATCAGTCGAATGGGTGGTAATTGTCGGAACAGAATCGGTTTCTGGCAAATAAATAGTTAATTTGCAGTCAAATTAATCGTTATTGGTCAGTCGACCTGCGTAGAAATTGTCAGATATGAATAGCATAAACGAGCTGTTAATGACAGTCACAAATTAGTCAGTTGCACGCAGTCCATCAGGATATTTGAAATTGCCAGGATGAATAAGTAAGAGAATGTATCGCTAATTTTAGGTCAACCATGCGTAGCAATTGTCAGAAATGAACAGTTAAAATGTCAAACATGATTCGGTAATACGCGTAATAATTCACAAACGGCTACTAGTTGTCTGACCGAATAAGAGCTTTTTTTGAACTGTTTAGTTGCAGTAAACTTCGCGTAGTAACTGCCTGAATAAATAGTTGAGCAAGAGTCAAAATAATCGGCCAATTACGCGTAGTATTTGTCAGAATGAATAGTGGTTGTCACATAGTTCCGCCCAGTAAGGCACAAATACGAGTAGTTATCTCCCATTCATAGTCAGCCACTCCCACACTTCCACTCCCAGTCTATTTATGTAACAATACCTTGACTTCGCCGAATTCACGCACTTTTAGCAGCCAGGCGCAGGGCCCCTAGTTCCTGAGTATGCAAGAGGTTTTCCGAACATTTACCACTCATCAACAGGCACCTCATACACTGCATATGCTTGCTGCACCGACGCTATCCTCCTATCCCTATACCTCGCTTTCCCCTTCCTCTCCCTACTTTATTAGACTATTGCTGGCCCGTCCTGTCCCTATATCACCAGACTTATCCCGTCACGGATTTCTTTTTCACGCACTGCACGCCAAAAAGAACCGTCTGCGATTGTCGCGCGCCATCGGATGACAAAAAATCTATATATACTGCGACTGACACTGCACTGACCACAACAACCTAAAATCTCCCGCCATTCTCCGCTTCCCTACTCAAATCGGGCCTTAGCAGCTACTCCCAACCCTCATCATGGATAGCTTGATCACCCTCACCAATCGCATCGCGCCTCCACGCAACTTCACCCTGTTGTTGTCGTCTCCCGCCAAAGCACCGCTTATTCTGGTGTACCCAAAGCCCGACTTGATCAGCGGCATACCAGACGGGGTATTGGCGCTCATTGCGCCGGTTGCAGCGTACTGGACGTACGCCACCATATTCCATGTCATCGACGTGTACCAGTTGGCTGAGAAGTACCGCATCCACCCCAGCGAGGAGGAAGAGGCTCGCAACAAAGCACCACTCAGCGCCGTGCTCCAGGACGTGGTCATCCAGCACATCGTGCAAACCGTCATCGGCTACTTGGTGTACCAGCTCGACGGACCTCCCGTCACCGGCTACGAGGTGTACCAGATGTGGCGCATCAAGCACAACTTCCTTCCTGCGTTTGTGCCCGACATTGCAGTGTACTACGGGTACATGTACGGGTGGTCATTGGTGCGTATCTGCGTGGCGTTTGTGTTCATCGACTCGTGGCAGTACTGGTTGCACCGCTTGATGCACACCAACCGCTACTTGTATCGCCGGTTCCACTCGCGCCACCACCGCTTGTATGTGCCTTATGCATTCGGCGCACTCTACAACGACCCCGTCGAAGGTTTCTTGTTGGACACCGCCGGTACCGGCCTCGCCTCCATCCTATTGGGGTTATCTCCCCGTGAGTGCATTGTCTTGTACACCTTCGCCACATTGAAGACGGTAGACGACCACTGCGGCTACCGCTTGCCCTACGACTTGTTCCAGGTCATTTTCCCCAACAACTCCATCTACCACGACATCCACCACCAGAGCTGGGGAATCAAGCACAATTTTTCACAACCATTTTTCACGGTTTGGGACTATTTCTTCGGCACCCAGTACCAGTTCACCAAGGAGTACAAGGAGCAGCAGCAGCGTATCACGCTTGCCAAGTACAAGGAGTTTTTGGCTTCCAAGACAGCCAGAAAAACCGAGACCAAGAAGGAGATCTAACGAAGCTATGAGTAGAAGTAATTCCGGTAATAATAATGTATATAAGAGAAGGAGATACGTAGACTAATACAGATAATAATAATAATGATAGATGAGCCTAAAAAGGAGCTTTTAGTAGAAATAATACCTGCTAACAATAAAAGATGAGCTAGGAAGGCGCTATGAGTAGACCATTGTCTGACTAATTTTGAGATAGAATTCCTGGATAATTAGAAGGTAAATTTCTGGACAATTTAAAGGTTGATTTCTGGTAGGTAGTAAGTAATTCGGTAGAATTGTCTACTTATTCTGAGTAGAGTAGTAAGACTATTTCAGACCTAACGCGGCTACGAGCTGACAGCTAATAATCATGTATAAGTCAGAAGGCTGGATTTCTCTCATTTCGAATTTAAACACTCACTTTCTTAGTTACTTAAAGACCGAGCTCGCTCTTAGCAGAATGCCAGTAAATTCTTTAAGGATACCTGGTATTAGCCACCGAAAAGGAGCTATTACAATACTAACACAAGCATTATAATATATGATAGCCACAGGAAGGGAGCAAGTCCTATGAGTACTTAAAATCCATTATTGCAGGAATTAGGAGTATAAAGACTGCGACACTGGGAAGTTGACGACATTGACCATAACTCGATCCGATAGACCATTGACAGAAACAAGCAGCGTTGTTAGGAATTAAGTCAATAATCACCGAACGACAAACTGCTACCTTTAGGACCCAAAGAAACGACGTGACGAAGCTGGATGTGGTCCCAATGCTGGTTGTCCATGGCAATTTCACCTAATTAGGTGACAAAGAGGGGCAATTCCCATAGAAATTGGATTAAAACTTACATGAAAAATAGCCATAAATCCTTCTGAGTTCATGGTGTGCTCAGCGTGCCGCCAACACATGTAGTCAATAAAACGGATTCGATAAATGTGGCCTGCACCCAGTATCTTAATCACGTGTTTTATCACGTGAAGAGATCCCATATTTCTTCCGACCACCGTACTCGTTCTCTCCACCAACATGTCGAAGAAAGGCGACGACATATGGAAGAATGTCGACAAAATAGTACGTATACAACTCCTCTGCTCCCAGCCCTGCTAACCTCAGAATTCCGAGCTCTTCACCTTGACGTACGGGTCCATCGTGGCCCAGCTCTGTCGTGACTTCAACCACAACTACCACGAAGTCAACAACCAGTTGGACCAGATGGGATACAACATTGGTATCCGTTTGATCGAGGAGTTTTTGTCCCGAACGGGTGCTCAAAGATGTCAGTCATTCAAGGAGACTGTGGAGGTGATCACTAAGTTGGGATTCAGGGTGTTCTTGAACATCCAGCCAGCAGTCGAGAACTGGAGCAGCGATGGACGCAGCTGTTCCATTGTGTTGCCAGAGCCCAATCCTTTGAACGAGTTTGTGGAGATCCCACCCACCAAGGACTTGTGGTACTGCCAGATCTTATGTGGGATCTTGAGGGGCGCATTGCAGATGATCCAGTTGGACGTAGATGTGAACTTCGTCAAGGACACATTGAAAGGGGACGACAAGACGGAAATACGGTTGAAGTTGAACAAGATCTTGAAGGATGAGGTTCCTGCGGGCGAAGACTAGCCGCGGGACTGCAGTATTACGACGCTACTGCCGTCTGACCTAGAGTATCCTCTCCTGTGAAAGCATCTGAGCCACCGGCTAAGTCCTTGAGTACCTGGCATAATACACGAATAGAGGTGGGTGGTTTTGGCGGATTAAATAGACGACGGGTTCGACCAAGAGGATAAATGATTATCTAATTAACAATAAAAGAATAGTTAAAATGAATATTCAGCCTGAATAGCCCGCAAGGGTGAACTAAAAGACTTTGGGCGGTAGTAACATTGTAGAAGGTCGTTCAAATGCATAATACTAAAATCGAATACTTTACTTTCTGCCGTCTTTCAGGTCGATATTATATTGTAATTTGCAATTCTTGTAGACAGCGCGGGTCAATTGGCAATTGGGCCGAGTAATTCAAGTATATTGTGATTGCTACTACAATTGTAGAATTAATGCTAAAAAGATTGAAATCAAGAATAACGCTCAGGACACACTTTTTGGCAGGTACAATGTACTAAATATGTAATAAAAGCACCGAATGGCATACTTGTTAGCACGACTACAATCTATTATACAATTTATACAATTTCAGTATTGGCTCCCATTGCATCTTCAGATGTTGTCTTGACAGTTTTATGCATCTCTGGTCAGTGCGATTCGTAGAGAATCACCTGAGCCAATTGCAAAATTACCAAGTTGGGTCAATGGATCCACGTGAATTTGCCAAATTTACCAGACGGAGCCAAACCAGCATGCCAGAGCACTAGTAGGATCAGAATTCTATGGAGTATGTAGTGACCTAGCATGCTAATCCAATCACCGCAATTTTAAAGATATGAAAATGAATTTTTATTATGCCGATTCTTCTACATTCCTACTTTTTTCTCGAATATTCATGTGTAGTTTCTCGTGCCTATCCATGGGCTCATGTGGCCTGACAGCAACCATGATCCAGCACTCCATCACCATCCACGGCACATTCTGTGCTGGGACGTTCAGCACCAGCAGTGCTAGCGGAGCTCCGCAAGACAGCACCTTTGCGGACATCCAGCGCTGGATCCTCTTGCTGTAGAGTAGTATCTCAGTAGTCCTGTTGTAGCGAATGCTCCCACCACCGGGCTTATCGCGCGCTTATCGCAGGGTCCCCCCCTGCACGGCCTCGCTAACCCACCATTTCCTCGCTAACCCACCGCCCCACCCCGCTATTTTTCCCAAGATGGCGCCATCTCTCGCGCGTTCCCCTCCCTAGGCCCGTACTGGCGAGCTTATTTCTCCAACCCCTCCAGCGAGCAGAAAATCTGTGATCGCAAGCGCTTGATCACTACATTGCCCCTAGAATAAACCGCCACCAATTGCCCCCCAAACACCACCAATTGACATGTCTCACCAGTCGCCAGCAGCAGCCGCCAGGCTAGCGATTGTGCGCATCCTTCTGATCATCTCCTATGATCTTGTTTTGGGGTTCTTCAGCTTGGTGATCCACACCTTCTTCAGAGACATTAAGACTCGTGGCTCGTTCAACATCCCCAAGAGAGGGCCCGTGGTGTTCGTGATTGCACCCCACCACAACCAGTTCGTCGACGGTTTGGTGGTGATGTCCAAAGTGTGGGAGCACTCAGGTAGAAGAATCGCCTTTTTGATTGCAAACAAATCGTACAAACGGGGTGCAGTTGGCGCTTTTGCCCGCTTATGCAGTGCTATTCCCGTGGAGAGAGCCCAGGACATCTTGACTTCTGGCTCTGGCACCATCACCTTCGACGGTACCAGCGTGACTGGCTCTGGCACCAAGTTCACCCAGGAGTGCGAGATCAAGGGCTTGATTGGATTGCCCAACTCGATGGGCAACTCACCCATCGCCAGCATCGAGGACGACACCCACTTAACCTTGAAGGCACCGCTTTCGTCCATCAACCCCAAGCATCAGAGCAAAATCGAGCTTCTCTCCAAAGAAGGCACCTCGTTCAAGGTCGCTCCCCACATTGACAACAACATCGTCTTCCAGAACGTGTTTAGCCACTTGCAAAAAGGCAGGGTTTTGGGCATTTTCCCCGAGGGAGGCTCTCACGACCGTCCGGACTTGCTCCCATTGAAACCTGGGGTTGCGATTATGGCCTTGGGTGCAATTGCCTCGCAGTTGAAGGACGGTGTCGAGGACATCGAACCAGTCACGGTTGTTCCCGTGGGAATGAACTACTTCCATCCCAACAAATTTAGATCCAGAGTGGTCCTTGATTTCGGCAAACCCATCGAGGTGGGCGCGGAAATGGGCAAGAAATACAACGAGAACTCTCGAGATGCCGTGGGAAAGCTATTGGAAACCATTACTTTGGGATTGAAGGAGGTGACAGTTACGTGTCCCGACTACGAGACTCTCATAGCAGTACAGGCCGCCAGACGGTTGTATACCTCGCACTCCAGGTCTACCATTCCCTTGCCCATGGTGGTAGAGTTGAATCGTCGCTTGGTGAAAGGATACACGCTCTATGCCGAGGACCCAGACGTGAAAGAATTGAAAACGATGGTATCACAGTACGACCGTGAATTGACTCGGCTCGGGATCCGCGACCACCAGGTGGAGTCGCTAGACAGGGCCAACAGACTCAAGGTGTTTATTCTCTTCACAGAACGGTTGTTCAAGTTTGGGCTTTTCATGGGGTTGAGCTTGCCAGGAATATTCCTTTTCAGTCCGGTTTTCATCACTGCCAGGCGAATCTCGCGGAAGAAAGCCAAGGAAGCGTTGGCTGCGTCGGTGGTCAAGATCTCTGCCAAAGACGTGTTGAGCACTTGGAAGATCATGGTTGCTTTGGTGTTGGCACCAGCCCTTTACATCTTCTACTCGGTGATCGGAACCGTCTTGATTGTGCGGCTGGAAGTGGTCCCTAGCGACACTTGGGGCCTCAAAGTGCTCATCTTCTTATTCTGCTACGGGTGGGCAGTGTTGACCACATACGCATCGCTCAGAGTGGGCGAAATTGGCGTGGACTACTACAAGTCGTTGGCACCACTCTTCGTGTCGATTCTCAGTCACCACAGTCAGCAGTTCCACATCAAGCAGTTGAAGGAGACACGAGCCGAGCTCAGCGAGCGGGTCAACGAGTTCTGCGAAAAGTATGGCCCCGAGCTCTTTGACGACTACGGAATCGTGCAAGGGTTGGCGCACAAGCAACGCGAGCAGGACGATGAGTCTATTCGCAGCCAGATGTCGGAGGCATCGGATGATGCATTCAGTTTGAACAATTTGGGCGACGTTCCTATTTTCTCCAATTTGCTAGACACCGCGACTCGATTGTCCAGAAACTTGTACGATGAGGACGCGAACGTGAGCGAAGTTGGCGATGCTATCGAAGACAGTGACGGGCACCCAGAAGAAGCCAAGGCGTCTCTGTTGCGGCAGCGGATATTGCGCACCACCAAGAGTAGTTTGCAGAATAAGGATTAATTGACGAGTTATGAGCCGAGTCGCGGATGCACGTAGCGTAGACACATTGTACCTGCTTGTCGCAGTACCCGGCTGGTGCAGGGATGACACCTGCGCGGGTCGCGGTGGATGAAATTGTGCAGGCGAGGCTGACGGGTGGGCTAATTTCGGAGACGAACGCCAGCCGACGACCGTATTCGACGGGGCCTGGGGCCTGGGGCCCACCAGCACCCATTATTGATGTGAAGGGGCCTGGCGGTCTAGTCGCTCAGAGACAGTGTAAGCCCCCTGGAGCCATTGTCGTGGCAGTTGCAGCCAGCCGCGAAGCGTGCAACCTGAAATGTACCTGCCAGCGCCTCCGCGTTTGCGGTGCCCGCGCCAAACTATTGTCAGGCACCAGCGCGCACTAGTGGCAATGTTCGGAACCGGAGGCTGTACGAAAGATATATAAGAGGGCTATTCTCAGCTAAGTCAACTTCGGTAGAAGCCAGACTCACACTCCTTTTTCGTCTTCCTATCTCACCCCCACGCTCCTTTCCTCCTAGACCAACAACACCCTCCCTGCATCATGCTCGTGCTCCATATGCTCCATGTGCTCTGCATGCTCGTCGTGCTAGGCGTTTCCAGAGCCACCCCCATTCCCGCCAACCGGGTGCTTCAGGCGGCCGACGCAACTGCACCCACCGCCACATTTCCCACCATCATTCCCACATACACCCCCACCGCGCCTTTGTACAGACGAGAGCAGGAGATCAAAATCATGTTCAACAACAAGCGCGAGCTCGAGCAGGCCCGCCAGGTGCAAGTGACCAAGACCATCGGCGTCAGCGAAGCGACTGGCGGAGCCCGTGAGGGCGGAGCCGTCGAGTATCATTTGTTATAGCGCTGGCGCCATATAGAGTAATAGACATGCATTTGGACATCTGTAGCCGGCGAAACGCCGCGGCCAAAACCTGTGGGGAAGTGCGAGTGAAGCTTACAGCGGATACGTCGAAACCTTATCAGGGCCTGCATATGCACGGGCTATCGCTCGCAGCGGCACAGCCATCGCACCTCGGGCTTCTGGCCAGCAACCACTGCTACTACCACCGCCAGGCTACCTTCACCTCCACCAGGACCTTCCTCTGAGCCCCACCTCCACCTCCTCCCCGACTCCCGCAGACTCCTGCCGGATCCCGCCGTGACCCTGCCCGGCCCACACGGACGCAGCAGGCGCTGACACCACGCCTGTACGTCATGCCGGTCTCGTGACCCGATCCATGACCTCGCCTAGATTTCTTTTGTTTGCCACTGGCTGCATAGCGTAGCACACTTGCACCGGTCTATATATACTACCGTCCGGCCGCTGGATCGCCCCATCGGACTTTGTCTGTTTCTTTCCCACCACCACCCTCCATTTGCGCCATGAAAATCACCATCAGATTGTCCACCGAGGCGTCCTACTCCGTGACCGTCTCTGACGCCTGCACTGTGGACGAGCTCCTCCAGTTGGCTCGTGCCAGCTGTCCGGATGCCACCAAATTACCCGCCAGTTTCAAGCTCATACACAACGGAGAGCGGTTGGCGCCTGGCGACCAGCACATCCTGCATTGGATGGCGCCGGACGCCGACGCCACCGTCATCCTCATGAGCGAGGGCTGCGACAACCCCCTTGGAGCCACCGCTGGCGCAGGCGCTGCGGGCGTCTCCCACACCACGGCGCCAGCCAAGAAGCGCAAGGCCAGGTGTACGTTCCAGACGTGCAAGGCGTTGCCGTTGCGCAACGTCGGACTGTGCAGCTACTGTTCCGGCAAGTTCTGCGCCAAGCACCGCCTTTTGGAAGACCACATCTGCCAGGGCCTCCAGCACTGCAAGGACAATGCACACGAGAAGAACGCCATGAAGTTGCAGAGCGAGAAGACCATTGCCAGCAGAGTATAGGGGCTTTTAGATCTTTATTAACGATAATATACATCTCTAAGGAGGAGTGTAGACATGAGTGTACCGTGCGTGGTGCGTGAAGCACATAAAGTGCTGCACGGGTATATATGCTTCAATGTAGCGTGATACTGTTTGTATACGTGGTGCGTGAAGTACTTGAAGTGGGGCAATGTAGTGTCCTGCAAGTGTACCTGCCGTGAGTATATATACTTTAATGAAGCGTGCTGTCAGCTACACGTGCTGGAATAGCAGGCTAATGCCAACCATACGTGCTACTGTCAGCTATACGCCTAATCATCCTAGTGATTGTGGCTAAAAATTGTATACCGACTCACTGCCAGAGTCAGACGAATGCCCACAAGTCTTCAGAAACTCCTTCTGAAATCCTCCTAGCATTTTTCGACAGCACCAACAATTTTGCGGCAAGTCCGTCCTTCTACCTGATCACCAGCAAATCTATTGCATCAGAAAAGCTGAGATCAATCAATAGAATATTTCATCAGCTGCAAATAATAAGAATCGTCATCAGTTTTTGGTATGTTAATCCGGAGCTACATATAATAAGAATCGTCAGCATTAATATTTTATCAATTTTTGCAATGTTAATCCCTTCGTATTATCGTCCGCTGTCGTTGCTTTTAGTAGTTTTTTTTATTTGTAATCATTGCATCAGTCCTCTAGAGTTTATACCCAAATCAACGTTTATTGCCAACTGCATTAATCTTCTAGTAGCATCGTTTAGTCACCTAAATTATTCACCAAAATTATTCACCAGCTGTTATTCTTGTATTCGCTTCTGAATCCACGAACTACATAAATTTCTCCTAGTTCTTTACATTAATCACTTTATTGTAATTGCATTTGTTAACATCTTATATACGTTATTCCGTGGACTTCTGTCGCAGTTTATATTCCCACTTTCTGGACGGTATTCTGTATTCGCCACGATAGTATCCGTCTACAATACTGAACGATATCAACCAATTAATGCCCCTCTAGGCTCCAGGAGTAATGATAGATATTGTCCCCCACTTTTTATCACTATTAGCTCTGAAGCAAGTTCTCAAGTACCTCCTCGTACTGGCCATTGGTCACGTTGTTGGCCTTATTCAAGATGGCCTCAGCCTTCTTGTAGCTGGCCTCCTGCTCGTCACTGTCGAGCTCGTACAAGTTTCCCAACGAGATCAACGCCTCAGCAACATGCACCCACGACTCGGGGTCTTCCTTGTCCTGAGCCTCCTCCAAGTACTTGATGGCAGTCTGAATCAACTCCTGGGCTATTTTCTGAGCCTGTTCACGCGTCAAGCCTTCGAGCTCCGTCTCGTCTTGGTACTCGTCTTCATAGGTCAAGGTGGTAAATACTCCAGATGGGATCTCCGACTCCTGAAGGTACGACTGGCCAATTCTCTTGCAGATCTCTCTTCTCAACGGGTGCAAAGCGTGGTCTTCTTGTACAGCCTTGTTGGAGCTTGCCAAGTCGACGTTTTCCAAAAACTTGAGGATGTGGTCTCTCCACCATTGGTTGTATTTGTCGGTGTTCTGGATGGAGTACAACGGATGGGACTCCGACAACTCGGGAGCATCGTCGTCCTCGTCCTCATCGTCCTCGTCCTCGCCTTCCAACTGCTCCTTGCCGAAGTTGTCGACCATGTCCAACACGTCGTCGAGAGCCTCCAAGATCTCCAAGTTGTCCTGGTTGAACAACTCGTACTGCTTTAACTCGTCGGCACGTTTTTCCGCCAGCTCGTAGCTCTGCAACGCCTCGTCCAACAACTGGCCCAACGAGGGTTTTTCCTTGGCTATTTTGGACTCCAATGTCAATTGTGAAATGTGCTGAAGTGGGATTCTTTTGATCAAAATTCGGCTTTTGGTGAAAAGCAAGTCGATTGAGCCTGCTTCGTAATGCGACAATCCCAAGTCGACTCTCTCAAGTGCTGCGTCAAAGAACTCCTTGACTTTGGTGTTGTCCGTGGTATGGAAGTTGGCCAATTCCGCCAACGAGTTGGCATAGATCGAGTGAAAGTAGTCTGGAAGCTTGCTGGACTCCTTCTCGTTACGCAACAAGCGATCACACTCGTGGATGATACCGTTGACTACCAACTCGTTGTCCTTCTCCGAGTTGCAGTATGTGTTCCACAAGCCTTTCAACTGGCCCAACTCGTCGTTGGCGTCGATTTCCTCACTCAATTCGACTGTGAGCTCGTTGGACGCCTGTGGCTGAGCCTCCGCGTCGGGCTCTGTCTTCTGCTTCTTGGCCTTGGCGGCCTTGCCCAATCCTAAGTGTCTTTTGGCCATTGGTGGGTGAAAGTAGTATTGGAGATGGCCTGATAAGTCGATGAGGTATCAGGTGATATGGGTCACCTGATCAGTCATTTTTAGCCAGAACTTTGTCTGCAGGCTGTCTGCTACTAACTAGCTTCAATTTACAATTTACCCCATTGAAAGTTAAGGGTTTATCGAGTACGTTTGATTAAACAATGTTACGTGCTTAAGGCACACTTGCACCGATAGATCACAGCGATTAGAGGGCTCTTATAGAGAAATTTGTCTAATTTTCGCCAGTTTTGGGTTCTCGTAGAGTTTTATAGTCAATATATTGGACTGTCTTGAAGATGCGAAAGTGTCCTTGTCGTCCTTAAGTTTCCTTTTGGCAGTTATGGACTATTGAATTACCGATTGCATTTTACCATCACATGACATATCATCACATGACAGTATCATCACGTGCCACATCGTGCTATCAAACCCCGCGATTTCCTCACTCCCCCACACGTGACATGTGGTAATCAGCGATATCTACCAACTCTATATAGCTCCATCTCCTGCCGCTAGCATGTCCTCCACGCGACCTATGCCGAACCTTTTAGCATCATTCAACTGCAACGGCGAGTCTCACCTTATCGTGGGAGTTTCTAACGCCGCATCGCTCCGCATCACCTCCATTCTCGAGGCAGGTGCTCATCCCATCCTATTCACTGATAACTCACACACAGACAGCTATCCTGCTTCGATACGAACAAAAATCGAGGAAGGCGTGCTTCAGGCTGTGCATGTGCCAGGACCTATGGAAATAGGCGACATTTCGACCGCATTACGGACTCGTGGCCGCGATGAGGTGGATCACATCATCGACAAGGTGTTTGTGAGCTTGCCAATCGCTCAGCAGAAGTTGAAGGAGCAGATCTATGACGAGTGCAGGCGCATGCGCATTCCCATCAATACCTCGGACTCTCCGGACCTCTGCACCTTCACGTTGCTCTCGACATACACCTCTGGAGATTTCCAGATGGGAGTGAGTACCTCAGGAAAAGGGTGCAAGCTTGCGTCCAAAATCAAGAGAGAGTTGACGAACGCATTGCCCAGCAATATAGGAGAGATCTGCAACAAAATCGGCGAGCTTCGTGCGGTGATCCAGGCAGAAGACCAGGCAGAGCTCTCGAAAATCCACACTGACACCATTGGCGAGCACGACGACGACGCCATAAACACCAGCACGTTGAACGCGTTGGTCAAGGAGTTTGGCATGACCCAGGAGCAGCGCAAAACTCAGCGGACTCGCTGGTTGAGCCAGATCGTCGAGTACTTTCCTCTCAGCAAGTTGGCAGACCTCTCAATCGAGGATTTGACCCATGCCTACCACGAGCACAAGCACGAGGCTCCAGCTTCCGTCTCAGGAGCTGCCAAGGGCCAGATTTCATTGGTGGGCTCTGGTCCTGGCTCAGTTTCGCTTTTGACGTTGGGAGCTCTCCAGGCCATCCACAGCGCCGACTTGGTGCTTGCAGATAAGTTGGTACCGCAACAGGTACTTGACCTCATCCCTAAGAACCGCACGCGGTTGTTCATTGCCCGGAAATTTCCTGGAAATGCTGAAAAGGCCCAGGAAGAGCTTCTCAGCTTGGGACTCGAGGCAGTCACCAAGGGCGAAAAAGTGGTCCGTTTGAAGCAGGGTGATCCCTACATCTTTGGAAGAGGAGGAGAAGAGTACCGTTTCTTCCAGCAGCACGGGTTCACCCCAGTCGTGTTGCCAGGCATCACTTCTGCGCTCGCGGCCCCGGTTTTGGCCAATATTCCAGCCACCCACCGGGAAGTGGCGGACCAGGTGTTGATCTGTACCGGCACAGGACGCCGTGGAGTGTTACCCAACTTACCTGAGTTTGTACGGTCCAGAACAACCGTATTTTTGATGGCATTGCACCGAGTGGCCGATTTAATTCCCGAATTAATTGCCCAAAAAGGATGGGACCCCAAGCTCCCTGCTGCTATCATCGAACGAGGCTCGTGTCCCGACCAGCGGGTGATCAGAACTACCTTGGGCAAGGTGGCAGCAGCAGTGGAGGCTTGTGGATCGAGACCTCCCGGATTGCTTGTGACGGGACTTGCGTGCGAAGTGCTTACTTCCACGGATAAGGAGTGGGAGATTGAAGAGGGCTACGACAGTGGCCGCAACCTCGAGCTGTTCATCGAGATGGGCGTAGAGGCTGGGAAGGTGGACATTGGTGCGAGGCCAGTGGCAGTAGCATGATAGATTGAGGATCAGTTGTATATAAAACAATAGATTTAGAGAGTTGGAGTGGAGCTCGGTTATTATAATTAATAGATTCAGAGAGCTGAAAGGGTGCTCATTTATTAAGTATTAGTAGAGCAGGATTTGGAGCCGGAAATGGATCTCCTCAATTAAAATATTAATAGGTTCAGAGAGTGTAGAAATTAGTACTGGAATGGAAGCCAGTCATAAAGATATAATTCCAGAGGAGTTGTTGGTTGATCATTAATTGCATGGAGTCGTAAAAGCGCAAGAAGTGGTTAAGTATCTCTACGAAACATCCGTGCCTCACTGCATTGGCAAGGCATCCACTTCCATTTGCCAGTTATCAGTCAAATGAGTCACTGCTGCAGAATTTGGAAATTGGTAATTGACCATTGGGGCTCCTCCAATTGGCCCAGTGAGTATTCATTGCGAGTTTTTTGCCTATGCGTTCTAATGTAGGATGTATAGACGAACAAATGTAGGAGAAAAAGAACTACGGCGGAGAGAACGCACCAAGGGGTTGCGCCTGGCTTGTTGATAAGACCAATTGGATGAAGGTCAGAGGCAACCTTTAGGGGAACACTCTTCAGCCGATTTCTCATCCGAAATCCCAACTCGATATTTAGCTTATCTACAAGAGCAAGGAGCCAAATAACTATGAACATCAGAGATAAAATGAATAGTATGGAAGATTAAAAATAATTATTAGTCTATGAGAGAAAATCACTAGAATTGAAGATTACAAATAATTATGGACATCAGAGATTAAGCCAATAAATTACAATTAAACAGGAAGTTCGCAGCTTATCGTGGGGCTCCACGAACAATACCCCCAATGCACTATACCCATCTCTTGACTACTGTTTAATAGATTATTTGCATTGTAGATCTCCAATACCACCGCACGCTCTTTATATCCGGACTAGCCTTGATCTAGCATCTTCCAGTGCACCCTCTCTTCGTTTCCCGTAGAGTGCCTCATGTTGCAATCCTTCCACTACTCCCCCCACCAGTGGCTGCCCCTCACGTGCCGCACCGTTTACGATAAGCCACAGGCCCGTTATAAGTCAGCGATCCGCGGACCCTATCCGTATGATTTCCAGACTCCTCAAATCCCGTCCCAAATCTTCCATCAGAACCGCCACCAGAACAATGAGCAACAAGCTAGACCCGGAATCCTTGCACAACCCGTACTTCTACTACAAACCAGGCCAGAAAGATATCTGGTCGTTGATCAACGAGACAGCCGCCCAGGCCCAACAGGAACTGGGAAAGCCCATTGTCAACTTGGGCCAGGGGTTCTTCTCGTACAGCCCACCAGACTTTGCCATTGATGCCGTGACCGAGGCGTTGTCAAAGCCTCAGTTCAACCAGTACGCTCCCGCCAGAGGCAACCCCAACTTGATTGGCGAGGTGGCCAAGCTCTACTCCAAGGCGTTTGGCCGTGTGGTGGACCCCAGCGAGATCCAGATCACCACCGGCGCCAACGAGGGAATGTTCTCGGTGTTCTTCGGGTTCTTGACCCCAGGAGACGAGGCCATTGTGTTCGAGCCGTTCTTTGACCAGTACATCCCCAACATCGAGATGACGGGCGCCAAGGTCAAGTACGTGCAGTTGAAGTACCCCCAGAAGTTCAACAACGAGGTCGTTTCTGGAAACGACTGGACCATCGACTGGGAAGGCTTGGAAAACGCCATTACTGACAAAACAAAGTTGATTGTGTTGAACACACCCCACAACCCCATCGGGAAGGTGTTCACCCAAGACGAGTTGGTCAGATTGGGCGAGATTGTCATCAAAAACAACCTCATCTTGGTCAGTGATGAGGTCTACGATAACTTGTACTTCACACCCGACTTTCCCAGACCTGCCAATTTGGCTAAATTGCCGGAATTGGCACAGAGGACGTTCACTGTGGGTTCTGCCGGTAAGTCGTTTGCTGCCACAGGCTGGAGAATCGGATACATCCACGGTCCTGCCAATTTGCTCAAGTATGTCACTGCTGCCCATACCAGAATCTGTTTCAGCACTCCTGCCCCATTACAGGAGGCTGTGGCTCGTGGTTTGGTGGAGGCCGACAAAATCGACTACTTTGCCAATACCAGAAAGGACTACATTAAAAAGTACGAGATCTTCACCAAGGTGTTTGACGAATTGGGCTTGCCTTATACCACAGCTCAAGGTGCGTACTTTTTATTGGTGAACTTGGCCAAGCTCAAGATTCCCCAAGACTACACTTACCCAGAGCCCATTGCCAGCAAGACCTTGGACTTCAAGTTGGCCTACTGGTTGATCAAGGAAATCGGGGTTGTTGGTATTCCTCCCACTGAATTCTTGACGCCAGACCACAGAGAGGGCCACGGCTTGGAAAAGACGTTGAGATTTGCCGTCTGTAAAGACGATTCAGTCTTGGAAGAAGCCGTGCAGAGATTGAGAAAGTTGAAGGACTACTTGTAAGCAAAAATTGCAGTGAGGTCTAACTCGGAGCCCATTAGAACACAAGAACTTTTCACCCATTATGATAGAATGCATTATTTGACATTATTTACTGTCCGTAGTTTCGCCTCGAGTGTACTTCTTGAAGCAGAACTTCATCTCCCCAAAATCATCGTAGCCATCTTCGATCTCTTTTTCCTCCTCGATGTATCCATTTTCATCAAATAGTTTCCAGAGGGTTTCTCTTTCATTTTCGAACTTGGGCCGCAACGGCAATTGGATCAACACACGAGCGCTCTTGTCCCTGCTTAGGAACTGATTGATCATGTTGACAACCCAGTAGGGGTGTTTCGACGAGTATATCGGGTCACTGATGAGGATGGTGTGATATGTGATGTTTCCCATTTTTTGAACGAACGAGCTAGGATCAGTCCAGTCCAAGTCATGGACTTGTGAATGCAGAATATTGTTCAAGTCGACGTTAACCTTTAGATTGGGGGTAATTTCTGGCAAATCTGTCAAGGTGGTGTTGTGGCCAAGAATGGAGCTGACAATCCCCACCAACCCCGTTCCCGAGCCCAATTCGAGCACCTCGCCCAAGATATAGTCTTTGTCGTTGTTGACGAGCCTGTTGGCCAAAATCAACGACGAGCCCCAAGTCTTTAGCCCCAAATTATCGCTAGTCAACGAGGGTTCCTTCAATTTGATGTAGGGCCCACTTTCGCTGGAAAAGTACTTGTCCAAATTGGCAATGGCAATTTTTCTGACGATCTCTGGCTGTGCTGTACGCCCGCAATTTTCGCTTATTCTCAATGCCGTTTCTTTGTAGATCCGAGCCTTGATATCTTCGTCCTCAATCCACAGTAAGTCGTTGGAGATGATTCTGGTCAAATAGCCATTATACTCACCCTCGTATTGCTTGCGCAATGCCTCGCTCAAGTTGGGAATACACGCAACCTTGACCTTGGAATCGAACCTAGGACAGTTGATCTTGAGCCATTTCAAGCCCTCTTCGATGGTCGCTTCTTGCAAGCCTTTATCTTCGAATGCTTGTTTCACATCGATGGTCTCTGCCTCGTCAGTAATCGAGTTGTCGTTGGAGAAATTGTACACCTGGTTTGGTGCAAGCATACATAATATCGTGAGCAACGCTTCGCCATTGGGCTTGAGCTGGAGAAGAGGAAGATCAAGAATGTGCAATGGCTGGAGGTGCGAGTCGTCGTCGGAAATGAGGATGTCGTCGGTCATATCGACGACATCGACGACTTCGAGTACTTCATCCTGTTCGTTAGAAGCTTGTGGGGTAAACAACGAGAGCGGATCAAAATCCATCGGTGAAGGGCTAGAAATACCAGAAACCGATTTTTCATATAGGGTCACGTGATCCGTGATTTCCAGGCCTAGCAATTCATGGACGGTCCGTCTACGGCTGGTGCAGGCATAACTAGGAGGCCCTCTACAAGGCAGAAATGTACTCTTCAAGAGACTATTTGTTCCACTCCAGGACATCTTGACGCGCAAGTTGACAGCTTAGTGTCCGCAGAGAATTTCAAAGAGCCCTACTTTATCTGACAGTTTGATGTCAGAGACTTCAAATGTGACGTTTATATTAAATTAGTAACAGTAGAACGCATTCTAACTGCAGAGATACTTATAGGAATAATTTAACCAGTGATTATTCTAGCACAGCTAGACTCTCCTAAAAGTCAATGACTCTCCCGTTGTACGACCACTCGTCCCCGTGCTTCAAGGGGTCCTGCTTGGGGCCACCTCTTTCTCCAGTCTTGGGGTTCACATCACCCTCGAACTCGGGAATGGTCTTGAACAGGGCAAAGGTCCCAATGTCAGTGGCACTGGGTTCAAACTCCTTGGGGGTGAAGTCTCCACCCTTTTGCTCGAGTTGTTCGTTGTACTCTTCGATGGCGATCTGGGAGTTGGCAATCTTCTGCAACTTCTCGAACTCTTTTTGTTCTTCTTCTGGCAATTTTGGTGGGCCAGGAGTGTACTCGTTGAAGTTGGCATACAGTCTGATGGCCACCAATCTTGGGGCAAATGGCCTCAGCACCACAGGTCTGACGTTCTTTACTATGTGAGAAAGCATGCTGGCGTAAGGAGTGGAAGTTCCAGAATCGCTTTGTAAAACAAGATCATGCTCCGGATCGGCGCGCTGAGTCAGCAGTTACGTAACATATAATTGCTCCACAAGGAGACAAGCGTTGGCGCTGCATCCTTGCTTAAGCGACGGCATAGGGCTCGGTGAGGCGTTGCTTTACCCGAATGAATCTACAGCATGCAGTCTTTAATTACGTGACTTATTTTAATCTATAAAGTAATGTCCGAGAGTATATTAGTGCACATTAAGCCCATTTACCTAACAATGCCATTAAGCCAGCACCCCAACACATCACGAAATAAGCCCATAACATCTTTCTAAAGCCGTCCTTACCCTTGAACTCGCCAGAGTACAAGAACTCGTGGGCCATCAACTCAACAATACCGGTGTAGAACAAGATACCTGCGGAAATGGCATCGAAACAACCGTTGGTCAAAAGGGCTCTTCTGGAGCCTGGTGGGTACGACTCTCTGACACCCAAACCAATGGCAATGGAGATGGGAGTGGTCAAGGTGTAGGCAAGACAGAGGATCCAGGGGGTCCATCTCTTGGACTTTGGCCACGAAACAACCGCAATTCTGGAACCCAAACCCAAACCTTCGAACATCTGGTGGAACACCAACACGATGTAAAGGGAAACGAACTCGTCACCAGCAACAGCCAACGAAATACCGACGAAAACAGAGTGGAAAATCACGCCGAATTCCAAGACGAAAATGTTCAACAACTGACCGAAGTACTGTTCTTTGTCCTGTCTGGCAACGGGGGTGCCCAAGACCTCTGGGTCCTGGTGCTCCAACGCGTGCAGGAAGTGGCTGGGGTAAGGGTTGGCCACAGCAGTTTGCTTCTGCTTCTTGGTGGAGTCGTCCTCGGCGTCTTCGCCTTCTTCGTCCGACTCGTTCTTCTTGATGTAGGTGGACTCGTCTCCGAAGTGGGAGTGACCTCCTTGGCCATTGCCGTCAGAAAGGCCCAAAGCCTCCAACTTGGAGTCCACCACACGGTAGGCACACATTTCACAGAAGAACAAAAGGAAGAGCGTCATTAAACAGATGGCGTATGCCCATGGATACTCGGTGATGGGTCCAGTCAAACACTCACTGGACAATGCCTCGTCTGCTGGTTGCAACAAGTGGATGAACGCGGTGGCAATGATGACTCCAGAACCGAAGTACTTGGCGATGAAGAAACACCATGGTGGGAGTCTGATGAACGAGTATCTGGAGGAAAGCACGGGGAAGAACGTTCCAAAGCCGGAGGTGACCAAAATCACGAACACCGAGGAGATACGAGCACCCCAGTGCTCACCATTGTACTCGTTGTCGGCCTCGCAGGTGTCTCTCTTGACAAAGATGTCGTGGTAGAGGGCGTCAATCATAGTGTGAGGAGGAATAGTGTAATAATTACTGGGAGCTGGCGTCTATATATAATAGCTGAAATTAGAAAAACTTTTCCGGTCAATGAAGCGAGGGCCACTAAAGTAGCCAAAACGGGCCTAATGCCGAGCAAAAAGCTGCAGTAAGGGTGCGATATGACAGGGTCGGCTACAACCGCCTGACGGCCCAAAATGGGGACTATTACTGGCTGTTTGGGGCCGTGGAAAGTGGGATGAGTTTTGGGAGAGTAACCACTAAGGTCATATCTGGCGCGCGCACGTGCCGCTATTGTGTCCGGAATTCGCACTCCGAGGGCATTCCCGGCAGTTTGCACCCACGGCCCCAATTACCCTGGTGGTTAGCCGCCACACCTCAGTGGTTGTCCTGCAGATAGCCGGGAGATAACCACTATCGCAGCGGCTGCAACTCACCACTAGAACTTGCACACCCGCCACCCCACGGCACTATAGCGGGCAGCTACCCACATGACCACGCTAGTCGCCGACACGACACCCTCGTACAACACGAAGTTACGTAAGCTGGCTCCCGAGCCCTTGCCGATGACTACGGAAGCCACCGCCATTCCAGCCACCGTCAAGAACCCCAACAAGAAGTACAACGTGCCGTATACCTTGCCAAAACGGTCGGCAGCGCAGATCTGACCTGTGCACGCTGGAATGAGCGAGATGACTGCTGAAGTGGACATGCCAAACGTGGTAGCAAACACGAAGAGCCCAGCAACTCTGGCGCCAACAGGAAGCCATACTCCAAACACCAACACGGTGGTGATCACAGACGACACCAACATCACGTTGAAGCGCCCATAGGCGTCAGCCAAGATCCCAGCAGCCAACCGCGATGGAATGCCACTGACATTGACCACCGTCAACAACAAGTACGCGCTCTGCTCCAGGACATTTTTGTTCAAGGCGTAGAACGAGAAGTATGTCATGGTCGAAACCAGCACCAACTCGGCGAGCGCCACGGCAACAGTGAGAAGCACGAAGCGCGAGTCACGAAGAATCGACAAGTCGAGTGCGTTTCTAAAGAAGCGTGCCGTCTTTCTGGCAGAGGCCACCACACTGAATCGCGCTGGCGGGTGCTCTCCGGTCTCTCCAGCGTCACTTTCAGCCCGTTCTTTCACCAACACCACCGCCACCAGCATACACCCCATGCACACTAACGCCAAGATCCGCATGGCCCACTTGAACCCTGCTTCCTGGTACAAGCGCTGCAACATCACCGGAAACACAGACGCACCCACTAAACCGCCAATAGTGGCTATCAGACACGCCATGGCCCGTTTGCGCAAGAACCAGTGGCTGAGGGCCCCAATCAACGGTGACATCGATATGGAGGTCCCAAGCGCCGTCAAAATGCTGAACGAGAGGATGAACTGACCCACACTGGTGCTCTCTGCTGTCAACAAGAGTCCAGCTCCAATCGTGAGCATGCCTGCTACCAACGGCGGTTTTGCACCCAACAAGTCGAAAAGCTCACCGAAAAAAACGCCCCCAAAGTACATCACACCAAGGTGGATTGAGAAGATCCATGAGATGGTGGTGGGCTCCACGTGCTTGAGCTGGTGGGTGGTGATGTAGGTCTGGACTGCGCCCATGGAGTTGCCTATGCCGAAATCAGCGATGAGGCCCATGAACGACCCTAACAACACCACGTTCGCAGCCATTCCTCCGTCAGGAAACGCTTCGGGGTTAGGCTCCGATCCGTACATGACATGGACCTCTTCCTGGTCTTCCACCGGTCTTCTGGCTCTCAATTCCTGGCTGGACGAGATCCTGGTCGAAATGGGTCTCAACGGGATCTGTTCGACCCCAGGATTTTCTGGCACCAAGTTCTCGCCAACCGCATAGTTCTGGGCCTGCGAGAATTGGTCCTCTTGCTGGATTTCAGTACTTTGCATCATGATTCCAGAGAAGACTGAAGGATCCGTTTGACTCATCTGCGGGGTCGTGGGGGACCCTGGGTAACCGTTGAAGAATTAAGGTTAGGTTACGAGCCTGTCTAATCAACTGGTAGCAGACACTACCCATCACTGGGGAAGATAGTACAATGAATTTCTGGCAGTAAGCTTCGTAACTCTACTGGAAGTGTCATTATTTGTCTTTCCAAGGATAGTTCAACCTACCAGCAGCTATCTTACTTACCACTAAGACGTGACAATTTCACATTAACGTTTTATTAAATAATAAACTAGACTTGAATTGATGCCTATTGCACAGTCGGAATATGTCTCGTATCCTTTAGTATGATAATGTTATCCCATAAAATATAAACATTTCATTTTTCCTCTTATTATAATATATTTTATACTAGAATGTATAAACATCTTAGTTTCTGGTCAACATGTCCTTGTGCCGCAGCTATTTATTATAAGGCTGGTTCAAATCGAGGGACTACCTGGTCAACAGTTCCTGATGTAAGATGACAGCAAGCTGTGATAAATTGATAGTATCTGATAGATATTATTAGCTCCCTGCGTATGCATAAGATCCTAAGTATTTAACTTTTAAAGACATGCACTACATTCAGCCAGTTCCGTATCATGGCATGCATTCCTAACTATATACATATTTCCACCGTCGAGTCTCACTTCACTCTGTACAATGCTAATCCACTCACACCCTTCTTGGCAGCCTCCTGGATCTCTATGACTTCCTTATCCCTGGTGGTTCTTATGAACAACGACTCGGCAGGCTGCAATGGCTTGAGGAATCTCACAGGCAATCCAGACGCCAAAGCCTTGACTTCTTGTGTGGTCAAGTTGACCTTTCTGCCTGGCTTGGACACTAAAGATATGTCTCTGATCACAGGTTGGTTGCTACGGTACTTCAAGCCCAACCACAATCTTCTGGTAGATATGTTATCTGGGGTGACCTCGACAGGCTTCAAGTCGGGGCCGGTGGTGGAGCCTTTTTGGATCAGGGAGATGAATCCTTCCTTGTATAAACCCAAAGCCGCTTGGAGGTGTAATCGGCTAAACGGAACGGAAGTTGTGGCGATATTCACGTTGGTGCAGTTTTTCAAGTGGGCACAGAAATTGGCCAAGTGGACTAACGACATTTCTATGGCTGGTACGTATCAAATGGTCGACACTGTGCATCATGGACAGTCTCGAAAATTTTACGTCTCGAGCGGGTCGCGTCACGTGCACCCACCATCACCTGATCGGTTCACCAACCAGAAAATCTTCAATTCTTCAAACCCCGTTTGCAACGACAACATGTACAGCTTGTTGAAATCCAGTCTTGCTAGACAAGCCATTGGTGGATGTCAAAGAGGCGCACTTCCACAAGTGCTCCCTCGTGTGGCCAGAATGGGACAAATGGGATCGGTTGGAATCAGAACTTTCAAATCTGCCCCAAAAAAGAAAAGGGAAACTCCTATCAGATACCTTTTCTACATGTTCATCTTATCCAGTGGTATGCTTTACTTAGCTGGTAACAAAGTGGATAAGAAAAAGCCAAAGACTTCCTTCAACAGTGACAGAGAACTCGACGAATATGAAGAAATCACCGGTTTGAAGAGAAGACACAAGTTATTCAACCACGAAAGTAACGTCCAATACAAATTCTACATGATCCCCTTTGCCAATGATAATTCTGTGGATAAAGTGACCTCCGAGATTAAGAAGAGTGGTCAAGATAGACAGCTCAAAGTTCTCGATCCAAAGGAACTTATCGAAAAAGAAATTCAAGATGACACTAGAAAGTTCTCGTATCTTTTACAAGATCTTGAAAGACAAGGGAGACCTTTACCAAAAGGGTTGATCACAGCTTTGGTCAAACAGGAACTTCACTTTTTCTTGAACACCAGAGGCGGAATTTTTGACACCGATATCATAATCAAAAACTATCCACAAACAACAGATGAGGCCATAAGATTTGAAAACGATATCAGTGATGTAGCTAACTGTTATGTCACCGACATTCCAAGTGAAATTGATGATATCAAGACCAGGCAAATCAAGAATGTTTACGGGTATTTCGAAACTGTAGACAAGACCGAACAACTTAAATAATCCTGTAAATAATTTAGACCATGTAAATAATTCATAACCTCAATTTTACGATATACGCTAGTAAGCTATGCAAAGTGTAGAAAGTTTTTAGCTTTTATTAGATTCTTCGTGTTGAAAAATACCTTCTGGAACTTTAAATTCTATTTCTAATTCCCTTGCAAACATTAAATCGCTATCCAGATGGTCACCGGGCCTGCCAGCAGCATCACCAACGAAGAAACTCAGTGCTTTGTCTACTGATCCAAATGTATTCAAGAACTTCTCCATTTCGTTCCACATTCCTGTGCTAGGTTTCCTCATCCGTTCGTGTAACTCCTTTGGACTGGATTTTCCACTTGCTGGGCGTTTGGGGGATGCATAAACCAATACGTCTATTGAATCATCATCAAGCTTCTTTTTCAAGTCCTCGACTATTGCATTCACTCGTTGGACAAAATTGATGTATGATTTCTTTGATTTATCTGCAATTACACCTCCTTGATTTGTGAATATGACTAGCAAATAATCCTCTTTGAGTAATGTCTTTATTTCTGTGGTAACACTCGACTTTTCTCTGGAGCTTGGACTCCACCACTTCCAATCGTTCGGGCCTCTTGCAAATGACAGACCAAATTTTGTGTTTACCAACGTCCCATCTAGATCAAATGCAGCTATCTTGAACGACTTCCGATTTTCAAAGTACGATTTGGGAGGTAAATTGCTTATGAGGTGTGTTCCATCTATGGCCCATCTCTTGGAGAAGTCAGTTGTCTGTGGGTGTGTAGGCACAATCACATTCAAACCTTTATGGTTTTTAACCTCTATGGAATTGACTTTTGTACTGGTAGAAGTTGGTTTGGTAACTTTGCTAGCTGTCTGCAGCCCAGTTCGGAGCATTGACCTTATATCTTTGGACATTATGGATGTTCTGATTGTGGGGCACTTAGCTTTGATCGATAAATGCAGTCATGTGATGAGACAACAAAAAGTTGGATTGATGCCTATTCCGAAAAGCTCATCAAGATGTCTGACGATAAAATCAGCGTTGATCAATATGGAAGAAGGTCATGGAACGTAGAAGCCTATGCTAAGGAGTCAAAGCAAGGGAAGCGGGCCCTCAAGGAAGATACCCAGCACGCCAATTTCGATAGTTCCTCATCTCAGCTGTATATCGAACATCGAGATGAACTATTGAAGAAGCTGCTTTCTGCAGTCAAGACGTATAACATCATCAACCCCCTCAATTCGGGTACATCATTTGGAAACAACAAGAGGTTTGGTTTCTTTTGCCCCATATGTAATGTCTCCTTCAGAGACAATATGGCGTTGATCGACCATTTCAACTCCCCGCAACATGTGGGCAAATTAAGCTCCATAGGACTGGATGGCGACCTGAATGGTGAGTTATTGGAAGGAGGTATTCGCCGTGCCAGTTTGGCTGATGTCGTGAAAATGGTAGAACTGTTGGTGGCCAAACTGGTGAAATCTAAGACACAACCCGAGGAGCTCAGTTTCAAACAGAGAGTTGAAAGGCGAAGGTTGTTCGAGGAAAAGAAACGAGAAAAGAAACAGCAACGCAAGGCTAGGAAGATCAATCCGGAACAGCAAGACGATCCGATGGCGTCCATGATGGGCTTCTCTGGCTTTGGAACTACCAAAAAATAGCCAATCCAACAGCTACCCAAGAATAAAACACCCAGACTGTTGAAAACGAAAAAGAAGGGTTTAAAGAGCTTTTCCTGGGTCTAGTTTGATGGAGTTCTTCCGAGTTGGGTCGGAATGTGCCAGTCAGTTCTATTGGGCTAAATACGAGTGAAAACTCACAAGTGAAGCATTGCTAAATGCTTGTAGTGTCAATTTCAACTGCCTCCAGACGCCAAACTCCACTTCAGTCCCACGAAGGGTCCAAAGAAAACACATTATGGCTGATTGATAGATCGAGACAGGTCGAGCTATCACGTGAGACCATTTCTGGTCTAGCCAGGCATTAGGCCAGTCACGAATGTACAGGCTGGCCTTGTTCGGTGCAACCGTACCACAATAGTAGTCTATAGCTCCCATATTCATAAGGCTGGTACTTAGATATTTGCAGCACTATGGAATCTAACCTGTAATATTCCCGCGAGTGGGCGCTAACCAGTAACCCGACGCTAACTTGCAATTCGGGTGCGCCAAAAAAATTCTTCATCCAATAAAATTAGTTTGAAAGCAGTTTACATACAGTAAAGTCAACACAAGCTTAGGTTGATAGGAGTTTTTCAGCACGACAAGATTAAGTCGACCTATACCTTGCCAGTATGAGATTCACATTCAAATTTCCGTTAAGCGGATTGTTCAAGTATAAGGTTGGAAAGTTCAACTACCAAGTGGAACAGGAAATCCGGACCAAATTGGACTCATTGTCCTCCGTCACCAAGATCTACACCAACCCAGACGGCACCCCAAGAGTGCCTACCGACCAAGAGTTCAAGACCATTTCTGAATTACAGAATTTATACTACCAAAGAAACCACTCCGAATGGAACTTTATACTCCCAGGTATTCCAAGAGAACAATTGGAATTATTCAAAGACAACTCTCAAGACTTAAAGAACTTCCAGTTCGTCACCAAGGACGCAGGAAAGATTATTGACAAGATCCCTTACAAGGACGAAACCACCGGTGAATTGAAGTGGAAGATTGTGCGTGAAACCGAAAAGGCTGAAGGCTGGGAATTCCCATACTTCTACTTGGTGTTGCCAATATTCGCTTACGTGGCTTACTCTAAGTACACTGCTCAAATGAAGAGAAGAGAAACCGACGGTCCAGACTGGGCTGAAAAGGAATTAAGATTGAGAGCCATGGAAGACTACTTCCACGGTGACACCGAAAAGGCCAAGGAATTCTTGAGTAACGAAGGCAAGTCCAAGAGAGAACTTAGAGACAGAGATGATTTGGTTGTTGCCAGAATCTTGGCTGGAGACTACGACAAATTGGCACAATTGAAGAAGAAGTTGCCTGCTGATTTAATTCCAAAGGAAGAACCACACCCAATTCTTAAGATTTAATATCTTTCATACATTTAATTGTTCAAATAGAGCATTCATAGTCATTAAACGTAACTGTCATTCACATGTGGAGCAGACTGACTCACCAATACCCTGGTTACTGTAACTTCCGAACTGTAGTACTTCATGGAGAAACAACAATTTACGAGCAGTCCAACTGGAAGATGCTTCTAACTAGCAATTTACATAGCGGTCCAACTCACTACGGTTTATTGTCCTATAAATTACAATTCACCACATTCCTCGATGACAATCTCGGCAGTAGTTCTACCACTGTTGGAGCCGTAGCCTTCAATCTTCTTGACCACGTCATAACCCTCGATGACTTCACCGAAAACAGTGTGCTTACCGTTCAACCAGTCACATGGAACGGTGGTGATGAAGAATTGGGATCCGTTGGTGTTTGGACCAGCATTGGCCATGGACAAAAGACCAGGCTTGTCGTGGCTGATCTTGAAGTTTTCGTCTGGGAACTTCTTGCCGTAGATGGACTTACCTCCGTATCCCTTACCGGTTTCGAAGTCACCACCTTGCAACATGAAGTGTGGAATCACACGGTGGAAAATAGAGCCCTTGTATCCGAATCCCTTTTCTCCAGTACACAAAGCTCTGAAGTTTTCAGCGGTCTTTGGGACCACATCGTCGTACAATTCGAACTTGATTGGTTCTTGAGCGACACCATTGATGGAGGTCTTGAAGTAAACTTGGGTGCCCAAAGCTGGAGCAGTGGAGGAGAAGAATCTTTGAGCAGCAAAGACTGGCTTGGTGAATGTGACGGCGTTTCTGAACATTTTGATGGCAGACAGTAGCGATTTAGTTGCCGTTGAAAAGTTTGATCCGATTGGTGGCTTACGTAATACAGACCCCACGCCTACGTAGAGGTAGTAATAGTGGAGTAAAGTATTAGTTGGGTGGCCTCTCAATAGAGCATTGTAGTACAGGTGTTACGTGGACTCAGTCCAGCCATGTCTCTACTAGAAGCATACATTAAAGCTAACAAACAGTACTTAGAAACTCAACAAGTCGAATTCACCATCATTCTTACCATTTGGCTTAGATTGACTGTTGCCGTTGGTGGTAGTGCTGGTAGTATTGGAACCAAAATCGCCAAAGTCTTGATCCCAATCGGAGGCTGGGGCAGCGTTTTGTTGTGGTTTTGCGGCTGGGGTAGTGGTCTTGGTCTTAGTCTTGGCCGAGGAGAATAATGAAGAGAAGGCATCGTTGGATGGCTTGGATGTGGCAGCAGGTGCTGAAGGGGTGGAGTTGACATTGTAGTTTGGAGCAGAATTGAAGTTTTGGGAGGCACCACCGAACTGGGGTTGTTGGACATGGTTTTGTTGTGGCTGGTTGAAGGAATTTCCAAATTGTTGTTGTTGTTGTTGTGGTGCTTGATATAAGTTGGCCAAGTTGTTGGAAAGGTTTGGCTTTTCTGGTTGCGATGGTGCTGCCTGGAAATCATCAAAGTCGTCGTCGTCGTCTTCTGCTGGTGCAGGGGCATTGTTATTAGAAGAGGATGCGCCATCGAATGAGACCAAATCTCCCAACAAGTCTTGCTCTGGCTTCTTTGGTTGAGGCTTGGATTTGGCAGAAGTGGCATTGACCTTGGAAGACCCAGTAGTAGGCTTGGAAGATCCGGCAGGAGCAACATCATATTCTTCAAAATTGTCATTCGATTTGCCGTTGCTGTATGCTGCTGCAGGGTCATCATAACGCTCACCGTAGACACCACCATCACCGTACACTCTATTTGTGAAGTCGTCATCGTCAATGCTGCCCCCAGTGGTGATTGAAGAAGCACCACCAAACGCACCCGAGGAAACACCACCGAATTTCTTGGAATTAGCCTTGGCCTTCTTACGTTCGGATCTGATCAACGAATCGTCGTTCAATAAAGCGATAAGGTTCTTGGATCTGTTTCTAACGTTGATTCCTTGATCTCTACCCTTGGAATCAATGTAGTGGAATGACTTCAACATCTGGATTAAGGACAGGTTTGCTCTGACATCATCAATGATTCTTTCGGATCCGTTCTTAATTAAGTATTCCAACAACTGCAACGACTTGTAGATCTGTCTCCATTCATTAGCTGCCTTTTCCGTGAATCTTCTGAAGATAAAACTGACGATCTCCTCTCTTTCACGATAGTTGTAGGTACCGGCAGCAATCTTGGCCATCAACGTGGTTGGAGCACCCCATGGCTCGTTATTGGTGGCTTCACGAACTTTCGATTCCATCTCCGTCAAGTTCATGGCAACTGGTTGTTAGTATGATGACATATCACTCGATTGATATCGAGAATTCTGGACTTCCGCTGGTCAAAACGTACCATTCTGTGCTTTCCGCACGTATGCCTTGACTTCGTAAAGATTGATGTTCTTTGCTGCGTCTTTCAAGAGATCCATGACTATGATTCGTAGTAATGTTGATAGTGAACAACTGAAATAATTGGACAGATGTTTAAATCACCCGTATTTGTATGCAGGAGTATGAGCTCAGAACTGAAACACGAGCAACAGCTAAACGGACTACCGGCAGGCTTTAGGATCAGAGGCTGGGAGTAGGCCACCGTACTGTCTTAAGGCTGGTAGGAAATGGCCTTAATTGCTTCCGGGGGATCTTCCTGTGGACACAGTTTATATTTTGGTCGTGCCTTATCTAAAACATCAATCCGGTAGGCCCGTTAACGAGCGGAAAGGGTAGGCAATTCTTTATTTTCAAGGACATCCAAGGTCACGTTCGAAATGGAGAGCAAGGATATCGTGAATTCTGCAATGCTTTAAACTGAGATTTCTTACTTTTCTCGAAATTTTTTAATTAGGTTTCTATTGCTAGAAACATGTGTTAAAATCTAGGCTTAGAAGGCATAAATCAACAATTTCGAACAGAGAGATCTGCCATCAGTTTCTCCAGGGATGCGAGTAAAGACACAATCATTCTTTTGTCCGATGTCTTTTAAAATTCTAGATATATTATAGCTCGTACTAAATTCTTCAATGAACTTCGCTCAGCATTCAAGAATATGCTGCAACTACAGTCAAAACCACGGATTCCAAGAAAGCGATCTAGCATTCACGCATACGTCTGGATGGAGTATAAATTTGCAACTACGTAGCTCGTTAACAAGACCATCAATTCATTACATTGATAGATATCATCAGTTCCATAGCTCGGTCTATCTTCAATTCTTGCTGCATTGCCTAGATGGGTCTAATAAGTGATATTCAGTGTACTACAGTTTTTATTGCCCAGGTGTATACTTCCTAAGGACTATAATACATAATATACAATGCTATGGACTCTATTGAATATGCAGCCAGCGAAGAATCACTGCTTTTTATATTTTGCTTTGATACCGGCAGTCAAGTCTCTCAATTGCTGTACACTTTTAGGCAAAGGCTTCTTGATGCCACCAAGCTTGGACCTACTGGGCGAACTGGATGGGGTGCTTTCTTCCAACACTCCCTTTCCAAACCCAGTCAAGGTAGACACATTATTGATCGAAGAAGCAGTAGAATTGAAGTTTGATAAGAAAGAGTTATTCCTGTGGATTGACGTCAAGTGTGGAATGATAGAACGGTTTTGGGCAATAGTATACTGACTGGAATCCATGGAGGCATTAATACCTCTCAAACTACTATTTGGACCTCTCTTATTGATAAAGGAGTTAGAGGAGGGTGTCAAATGATTATTTAAATAATCATACTTTTGAGACCTCTTTACCTTGTTAATCATCAGCGTTTCGTTGGCTTTAAATGTTTCATCAGTTATAGTCTTTTTAACTGGTTGAACTTTCTTTTCATTGAGGGATTTGATTTTGAGGAGCTTTTCTTGCTTCTTGAGGCCACGCTTGGAGAACTCTCCATTAAAGTTTTCCTTGAGATTGTCGAACCCTTCAACGAGTATTTCATTAATATTCTTCTCCTCGGTTGTCATATCGCATAGCACAACATTCTTAATATTCTCGTTCGTGGAAAGCCCCTTCAAATTCAATGCAGATTTTACTTCTTCAGTCCCCAAGCTTGCTTGCGTGATGTCCCAGTATAAAACTAAGATTTGCACTTTATAGTAACTGAACTTGTCGACCAAAGACACTATTTTGTTCAAAATCTTCTGGTCCTTATCCAACTTGTCCTGAACCGTTGGATACCTTGAGTCTTCGTTGGTCAAACCAGATTCAAAAACTATGAAACCAGTTCCAGCAAAAAATTCTTTCGTTAAATAATCATTCCCTGGTAAACTTTTAATGTTTAAAATCATCTTATCGTTCTTGACCACATTTTCGTAAATACGTTTATCAATATTAGTGTGTAATGACAATTTCGTGTTTAACCATTTCGAGTAAGGTGATGTCCAATTCTCAACAACCAAAAGAAGATCTATTTCTGCTGCCTTACTGATAATGTCCAATTTGACACTTTCTGAACAAGAGGTGACAAAATTTTGTAGATTGATTGGTGCCCAAAGCCTCTCAATCTCCCTTTGCCTTTCATCAATTGAAGGTACTGATGTGTTGCTGGTATTAAACATCTGTCTCCTTTTAGAGCTTGTAATAGAAGACGTTGAAATATTGGCACTAGACAGGCTTCGTTTTATTGTTGGTTTCTTGAAGGAAATAGAATTGAGTTCCTCTAACTTTTTCCTCTTAGTTTGTTGTCTTTGGATTGCTATTTGACCAGTATTCTTAATCTTTCTGATGGCATAAAGTTTTAAATTATGCTGGTATAAATTGTCTGCTTTAATTTCTAGTGTGCTCTTAAATATAATTTCTGATAAGAATGCATCATAAAGTTGGGACGCCAACGAACTTATTACCTGGCGTTTTTCCTGACGAACTTTATGAAAGTTGACCAATTTTGGTAACATTGAAGCTAGTTCCTCTTGTATACTTTTTGATATCAACTCGCTCACTATTGATTGGGCTGCTTTTTGGAAATGGGGAGAATCAGTGATTTTCTTTTTTGTGGGTGGTGGTGGAGATAAATGCTTTGGCGCAGTAGTCACTGTTCCTTTAAATTCTTCAATCTTTGGTATTACATTATCTGGTATAGTTAGGGACTTTGCCAGATTCACCTTATCTGTATTAGGCATCGTTTGTTGCTGGAAGCCAAACTGTTTTGGCTCAGGATTAATACTAGGCATCCTAGAATTCAGTAAATTTAATGCAGGTTGAGTCTGTGAAGACTTTGGTTCTTGTGTTGAAACCTTCGGTGTAAATGATACCGACTTAGGTAATTCTTGGAATTTGAATGCTGGTGTTGATGCAGATGAGGATGTTGGTGGTAAAGCTGACGAGACGGCTGGTTTGATTGAAGGCCCCAGATTAATTGACGGTTGTTGTTGTGTGCTAACCCCAAAAGACGGGGTGGTTGACCCGAAATTGGTTGGGGCAGTTGGCTTGAAAGTGGAAGACGAAGTCGAACCAAACGAGCTAGAAGGCATTGAACCAAAACTGTTGGTTGGCATCGACCCAAATGTGTCACTCTTCTGGATTGGCTCCTGACTCATAATGGGCAATGAAGCAGGAACATTGTGGGGAACTTGCACAAAAGTTGACCCAGTTTTACCCAGATTAATAAAGTCCTTTAGACTTCTGCCCCCAATCTTTGAATCTAGTTGGTGGGAGTATGCTTGGGCCAATTTGGGTTTATCGTGTATGGAGTTTAGCTTGTATTTCGTTTCGAGCTTCTCTTTATTGAACAAATCGATTAATACCTCACCATTGTCCTCAATAACATCAACCTCGTAATAGGTAACAAACTTTACCAACTTTTCAATAGAATCAAAACCTAAAAGATTCTTCAAACTCTCAGCTGGGTATGGCCGTCCTTTCGTGTGGAAACTTCTTGCCATAGATTTCAAGGCATAGAAGCGCACTTCGTTGAAATGGGTTTCCAACAAACAGGCCATCAACAATGGGGTTTCAGGACTGTAAATGATTTTAAAGAATTCTTCAAATAAATTCAAAGATCCAGGAGAATTATTGAACCCACCTCTCTCGAACAAATTATTTTGAGAAACGATATTTCTGAGTTTTAATGCTAATTGGACATGGGGATCCTTGAAAATGGCCATGGGTAATGCTTGAATTTCTTGGTCAAGCTCGGGGTTTCTAAGATGACTCAAGAGATAATATGAGCGGAATTCAGCTTCGTTAGGAGAATTTCCTCCTCCATGGTTTCTGATATCTTGATAAATTTCAATCAAAGTCTGCAATGCTTTATTAAACTGCTCGAGTTCTTGTTGTTGGGAGTATTCCTGGTGACTGTTTGCCATGATATGCAAGGATAGTAAGTGGATTCTCACAATTCTTTCGTTACAATCAATTGCTTCTGGACCAAACGAATTCTGATAGGTGAAATCTTGTCTTATAGATCTTGTTCTATCCCAAATGAATGAATGTGCTTCGGGGAGTTTCTCTATGATGTTGTCGACCAAGTAGTCCAAGGTTTTTTGCAAGATGTGTGGGGGCCTGACTTCAGATGGTAACGGTGGGGGCTGGCCCGCAGCTGGTCTGGAGAATGCCTTTACTGCTTTGGCACGGGAGATTTTGAATGTCGAGGGGTCCTTCTCCAATGCTTTGACGTTGTTTTCCAACGATCTTCTGACTCTCTCAAAGATGGGACACATGTCTTCACACGAACCTTGGAACAGTATGGCATCATTCAAGTCTTTGCGGATATCCATGGCATCCACCAAGCCGAGCTGTTCCATTTGTTTCCTCTCAAATTCACGCATTTTCTGGAACTCCTCGTATATTCCCTGGTAGTCCAGCCCACTGTTGGCTTGTTCCATGTTGAGCATTTTCTGTTGGTTCTGTTTGTCCCAAGCATTCACCACGAACGGAGGCGTGTACAAGAGACGTGACTGGTGGATAAGGTACTTGGGCACGGGACGGCGTGCTTTCTGTCTTGATGATTGGCGAAAGCCCAACGCTTGGGGATTGGCGTACACTGGGCCTCCTTGTTGGATATCTTGTGGGGAGTAGTTTTGGAGTTTCTCGGGGGCCTGGCGGCTCAATACTTTGGGAGGAGGAGGAGCAGGTTCATCTGAGGGGGGCGAGTCCGGTTTCTTGGGCCTTGGGGCGCTTCTGGACTGTGGTTTACCACCCTTGTGGCTCTTATCGCCGTTGTTCTTGCGGTGGCCCTGGCCGTTTGCAGACTTTCTGGAGTCGGAAAACGCAGCGGCGTTGCCGTTGATGTGCGGCACTCTCTTAGTGTCGGAGGCCATGAAGTGGGGATTCACTCCGAATGCCGACATGCTGAGCAGGAGAGAGTTACACTGGTTGTTTTAGAGGAGGCCTGGAAAATTTGGTGGTCTGTGGTCACGTGACTAGGCACATCTATAATAGCGTGGACAAGTTGTTCTGCTTAGTGTTTTTCTAACACACAAACGGTTCTCAAGTACTGCTCATGGAGGCCGTGGTTGGCAAAGCCTTTAGTGCTGGAAATCTTCGCAAATTTGCTTCTCTCAACGGAGTATCTATTTTATCTATGGTTCTTTTAATTGAATAGGTCTCCCCTTTGACAGCTACACGGCTATATAGTACACAACAAATCCCAGCACCAACTCTGGCGACAACAACGCCTCGGGAACACAGTAGAGCCGCAACCCCTGGTCCAACACCTCGTTGACGAACGCTTCCATGATATCTGATTCTCTCAATTGTAGTGCGATAAACGCACCTGCTCCCTCAGTCAATAACCGTCGCACTGTCCCCACAAAGAACGGAATGAGATACTCGTTGTAGACAGTATCACAGGCTATGATCAAGTCGGGAGCAGAGGCACCCACCGCAGACAAGTTGAAGTCGCCGTTCTCGGGATATTCCCAGTCGTATTCGATGACATCGACGCGTCCAGTCTGCTTCTTCTTGGGTCCCTCTGGTAGCTCTACCGTGGAGCTGGCCAAGCAGGTGCTGGCAACGTTCTCGACAAAGTTGTGCTTGAGGAGCTTCAAGATGTGCTTTTGGTCGGTGGCCACGTAGTGCTTACACAAAGGTGCCAATGCTGAAGCACAGATGGCGCCAATGCCCGAACCCAACTCAAGCACTCGGAGGCTGGGCTTCTGGCTGAACAACTCGTGCACGGGACACCTGTCGTGCGAGAGCACCCAGTCCACGAAGTGCACGCTCGCCTGCCAGCAAATAAACCCGGTGGAAGACGTTTCCTTGCCCGAAGACAAGCTTGTCAACGACTGTTTGATGGTCAAATCGTGGCCATTTTTGAGGGAGATCTCGAGAGTTTCATGAGTGCGGTTGATGTAGCCAAGATGCTGGTGCTCAGGTGGGGCCCGCAGGGTGTAGAGATCGTAAATGTGGTCTTCAACGTCGAGGATCTGCTCGAGCTGGGTGACGTCCACAACGTCCATTGGCGATGATCTGCAGAATTCGAGCGGTTTTGATAGTGCGAACAAAGGATCGGGAGTTACCAATATAGATAATGTCTTATCTCGCTCTCACTCCTTCTCGATAATTGGGAGCGTCAATCGAAAAGCCTTCTTGAGATTACAAGATGAAAGAGGAGTTTACAGGATGAAGCAAGAATTAAAACATGATAGGAAGAATTAAAGATGAAAGGAAGAGTTGTACAGAGGATGCTCGGTAGTAGGAGTTGTAGTGCTACGTACTTTTGACTCTGTGAGGACTGACAATACTAAAATCCATTCTTAATATTACACGCTGTATACGTTTAACTCATCAGTTCCGGTTCTAAGGCTAATAATTAAATTAATACCCACATCACTTGCCAGAGAATATCACTTGACATCTTCATACTGTACACCTTTCGAGCGTCTTAAATGCTCCGTGTTTGCAGAATAAATGGACTTTCTTCTTTAAATACTAAAAGATGTAATGTTGCTCAACCTCAATTTATCATGAGCTCTATACTGTCCGCCCAGGTAATATCACTGCGCAATACATTTTCAAGTATCAATGACGACGCACGGGCCAAATCTATACTTTTATCAAATACTAAATTAATTCCTTGGCCTTCAAGACTTCAGCAATTAAAATACCGGCACCAGCAGCACCGATGATGGTGTTGTGAGATAACACGACCATCTTGAAGTCCAACACAGGGTCTTCCCTCACTCTACCAACAGAAACCCCGTAACCGTTGTCTCTATTTCTGTCCAATCTTGGCTGAGGTCTGTCTTGTTCTTCGAGAACGTGGATGGTTTGCTTTGGACCAGAGTGACATCCCAATTTGGTGGCATCACAGACGTAGTCACGCAAAGCTTGCTTCACGTCTTCGACTGAAGGAGCAGGTCTGTTGGCAAATCTGAACGAGATACACTCGGTGTGGCCGTCGCTGACGGAAACACGGTTACATTGAGCACTAACCTTGATTTCATCGTCCGACAATGGAGCAAACTCGGTGCCCTCCTTATTTATGTTACCCAAGATCTTCTTGGTTTCCCACTCCATCTTGTCTTCTTCACCACCAATGTAAGGCACGATGTTATCCAACACATCGATTCCAGAGACACCAGGTGAAAACCCGGCTCCCGAGATGGCCTGCAAGGTGGTGGCAGTCAAGGCATCGATAGGACCGAACTTGTCGACCAATGGCTTCAATGGAGCCACCAATCCGGCAGTGGAACAGTTGGAGATACAGATAATGTAACCCTGCTTCTTGGTGCCAGCAGCCTTGGCAGCAGCGACCTTTTTCTCAATGACAGACAAGTGGTCGATGTTGACGATAGGAACGATTAAAGGCACATCTGGGCTTCTTCTGTAGTTTTTGGCGTTGGAGATAACCACCAAACCAGCATCCACGAACTCCTGCTCGATCTCACCAGCATAGTCTGCATCCAAGCCGGAAAACACAACATCACACTCGGCAAAGGCACCCTCAGCCTTGCACTCCTGGACCTTGATGGTCTTGGCGAATTCTGGCAACAAATCAGTCTGCTTCCAAGTCACAGCCTGTTGGTATTCCTTGCCAGCGGATCTGGCAGAAGCACCCAAGGCGTGGATCTCGAAGTCGGGGTGGTTAGCCAACAACAAGATGAAACGTTGGCCCACTGAACCAGTGGCCCCTAAAACACCAGCTTTCTTAATGGCCATTTTGCGGAAGAATAGTATAGTGTTCTGGTGGATGATTCATGGGTGTTTTTTCAGGCCCGGGAACGCTGGTTACGAGCGCGGAGCTATGACTCTTGTTGAGGCGAGCCAAGCTGAGGATGATAGGAGCGAACTATTGGGGAATGATGGATTATGGATGTTGCCACATCTAGTACAGGTTTAGCGGGAGTTTTTCTTTGTAGGACGATCCCAAGAGCATTGTAGTACGGATGTTTCCCTGAGCACAGCTTTTTTGGCCTTTTCAGATAAGTTATTTTCTCATATTCGGCATTGGTTCTTGACTATGCTTACTTAATTGGATGAACTGTCTCAAGCTCTACTTCCAAAACCATTCATCTGGCACTGTCGCGCTTGGGCAGGCCGAGCCCAATTAATACGACTGTGTAAAATGTAAGAGTATCATCATTAAGTACTCTTGAAGAGCTGTCCATTGTATTGGTACTCGTATGGGTGTAGCTGGGGTAGTATTTACTCATGTTTATGCCAGTTGAGTAGCTAGAGCCGCTTGAGTTGAAACGAAATTTCTGCTTGCTCTGTTCAATTCATTTAAAAAATGAAGAAATATATTAAATTTGGCTAAAACGTTTCTCATCTAGAAAAATATTGTTCAACATATTCTTCAAGCTAAACCATCAAGTTAATAGTAACCGACCCTTTTTACTGCCGTCGATTCACGATTCATAGTAATCTTTATTGCTAAATTCGATAATATATGCGCGTGTTGGCTCCAAGTGCTAAGCAAAAAATCATTTATTCGGACGAAGCACAGAGATCACCTACCAGACTAGGTCCGACTCTACGTAGCATAAACTCTAATGCTTATGCTCTGCTAGGGCCAGCTTTCTCCAGTTGCAACCCAAGTCTAATATTACATAATCGCCCAGTCCCCAGAGTGCATGTCGCATGTCGTGTGTCGCAGCCATGATACGCGTAGATTTTTCCACCATCCCACCACCAGTCCTACTCCCCAAGATGGTTAACACAGACTTTGAGAGAATCTACTTGAACCAATCCAAGAGCAACGGGCGTATGCGTATCGCCGACTCCGGCTTGGGGTGGAAGGCATCTGGCGCAAACAACGCCAACAGTGCCCCATTCTTGTTGCCTTCCGAAGAGTTGTTGGCAGTCCAATGGTCCAAAGGATCCAGAGGCTACGAGTTGAGGGTTCAGACCAAGAACAAGGGTGTGGTGATGTTGGATGGATTCGACGAGGAAGACTTCACGAAATTGAAACAGGAGTTGCAGAGAAATTTCCATTTGACTTTAGAACATAAAGAACACTCGTTGAGAGGATGGAATTGGGGTAAGACAGACTTGGCCAGAAACGAGTTGATTTTCCAGGTCAACAACAAGCCAAATTTTGAGATCCCCTACAGCTCTATTAGTAACTCCAACTTGACTGGTAAAAACGAGGTTGCCGTGGAGTTCAACTTGGACAACGGCCATCTTCAAGCTGGTGATGAGTTGGTCGAAATGAGATTCTACGTTCCTGGAACTGTCGAAGGCGAGACCAAGACTGTGAAGACCGAAGAAGGTGAAGAAAAGGCCGAAACCGAGGAGATTAGTGCTGCGTCTGTGTTTTATGAACAATTGAAGGATAAGGCCGATATTGGCCAAGTTGCCGGCGAGGCTATAGTGTCGTTCAGCGACGTTCTCTTCTTGACCCCAAGAGGCCGTTACGATATCGATATGTATCCTACATCTTTGAGATTACGTGGTAAGACCTACGATTACAAGATCCAATACAACCAAATCGAAAGAATCTTCTCGTTGCCAAAACCCGACGAAGCTCATCACTTGATTTTATTACAGATCGATCCTCCATTGAGACAAGGTCAGACCAGGTATCCTTTCTTAGCTTTGCAATTCTCCAAGGAAGAAGAACTCGAGTTGGAGTTGAACGTGTCCAACGAAGAGTACGAATCGAAGTACAAAGATAGATTACAAAAGACTTACGATGCCCCAGCGCACTTGGTCATGTCCCATTGTTTTAGAGGGTTGACTGAACGTAGATTGGTGGTGCCAGGTTCATTCCAGTCCAGATTCCTGCAACCAGGCATATCGTGTTCATTGAAAGCATCCGAAGGTTACTTGTATCCGTTGGACAGATGTTTCATCTTCGTGACCAAGCCTACTGTGTACATTCCATTCTCGGAAATCAGCAATATCACCATGTCCAGAACTGGCGGTGGTGTATCGGCGTCCAGAACGTTTGATTTGGAAATCAACTTAAGAAACTCCAACCAATCGCACATCTTTGGTAGTATCGATAGAGAGGAGCAGGAGAGCATCGAGAAGTACTGCTCAGAAAAGGGAATCAGAGTCAAGAACGAAGAAAAGATCGCCAAGGCGATGTTGGCCAAGGCCATGAACGAAGCAGGCGACGACGACGACGATGAGGATGTTGACATGGGAAGTGCAGCTGACGACGACGATGAGAGTGCCGACGACGACTTCAACTCCGGCTCCGAATCCGACGTTGCTGAAGAATTCGACTCCGATGCTGCAGCTTCTGATTCCGAGGATTCGGGTAAGGAGGAACAAGATGACAGACCGCCACAAAAGAAAGCCAAAAATTAGAGATTTTAGGTTAGTGTACAATAAGTAGTTCCTATATAGGTAAGTTGAATGCAACGTACCTGCGATTAGATTTGGTGGCCAGGAACAGCTGGTAACGGCTTGGTTCACGAATGGGCACCCGTTTTTCATCAAGAGAGAACACCTCTGGCTGGCGAGTACGTCATACCTGGAACAGGCATGACCTGCTGGCTGTGGGCCTCTGTAAGCGAGCACGGCTGATGGCAGCACCGTTTTAGCGTAGTCAGAAATTGTTTCTCAGCATGTTTTGACGTGCGCAGGCTGCACCCAATCTACCGGAAACGGCAAAGTAATTGTGTGATTACCAAATGGGGCAATGCCAGCAGATAAGCCTCCACTCCAAGTTGGTAGTCAATCCACACATACAATGCACCAGTTTCAGGCACCGCTGGCCCCTGACCTTAGTTGGTCTATAAAATATGCCCGTTAGCCCTGATGACTTCAAACATAGGTGTTTCCAGCAACAAACCAAGCACAGGAAGTTTTGGCATAAATATTGCGACAATCGGGGACAACTCCAAAACACCAATTGGTTACCACCCACCCTATCACCTTGTCAGATGACTACGCAACTCGATAGAGGCAGCGTGGTACCTCACATGGGAGAGGAGCTCAAAGACTATTTATTATATGCCAATTTCTCCCAGCAACTATTTCTGGCTTCCCACCTCAACCTCACAAATATGAACCAAGACGTTCCCCAACGGTCGCCCGCCCGCCAGTTCAACGTTACCAAGCAGGACCTCTTACTTGCCTCGCCCGCCCTGGACACCAGTTCCTTCGAATCCAAGCGTATGAGCAACTCATCGCTCTCGGACGAGTCCATATTCTCCCAGCATGACGAAGCTCCTGCACCCCCTCCCGACGAGTTTGGGTTGAGGTTGGACTTCGAGGACTGGGAGTCGTTGTTGGACGAAATACAAGTGGACCAACATGGCCGTTCCAGCGTGGTGTGCAAGATCGACGACGTGGTGACGATTTTGGGAGAGCACCAGGGGTCGCAGTTCCGTGCCAGCACCTCGCTGAAGGACCGCAGAACGAAGACGTTGTCTTACATCAATGTGGCGTAGCCGCAAGACGAATCAGGCCGATGGTGCCGGCGCCGTTCGCTACAGGGTATATTAATAATAGTTAATGTATTTATCGGATTTAGAGTAGATCGTAGATATCTGTCGGGGGTCTGTGTGGGCAGTCTCTAGAGGGAAGTTTTGAAGAGCAGTGCAGTGGTAGTTTCTATTCTTTTGGCGTGTCCAGCACTTCTTGTAGAGGGTCTAGACCAAAGGTCACTCGTACCACTTCCCTTGGCCACTTCCCTTGGCCTCTTAGCCAGCAGCCAGCCCCCACATTTCCGTCTTGCTCTCCACACTCCGCGCTCGTAACCAGTGGCAGATCTAATTAGTCACCCTTCAAAGTGGGGGCACCCGTCCAGGTGCCTGTTTGAGCCCCTATCACAGCAACACAGACATTATTGACCACTGACACCGGCGTCTGGCCCCGCCCACCAGACTCTTGCCCCAACTGTCAACTCCGAAGTCACTCCGATGTTCTTCCGCGGCGCGAACTTCTTGGTGGGGGATCCTCCGGTGTCCCCCAACCAATTTGCGAAAACTATACTGTTAAAATTCGCAGTAGATCACCAGATTAAACGCCAGTACTCCGATAGACTAGACCTCCACCACCAAGTAGCCTGTAACCATCTGGCTTTTCCCACATCGCCAGCCTAGCTTCGCATACACACACCACCCATTTGCGCCGCACACCACCATGTCGTCGCCTCTAGGCCTCATCATCTACGCGGCTGTCAAGCCCATCTTCAAGATCTATTTCATCATTGCATTGGGGTACTTCCTCGCCAAGCGCAACACGCTTTCAGTCACCACCTGTCGTGACATCTCGGACTTGGTGGTTACCGCCATCATGCCGTGCTTGATCTTCGAACAGATCATCACCAACCTCAAGAGCAGCGACATCAAGAACTTGGGGATCATTTTCTTCACCGGAACCCTTCTCTTCTCGGTGGGAATCACCCTCGCATACACCACCCACCTCGTCACCAGGAGCCCCAAGATCTGGCTCGGAGGTATCTTGTCGGTGGGGCTTTTCCCCAACATCTCAGACTTGCCCATCGCCTACTTGCAGACATTGTCCAAGGGCGACGTGGTGTTCTCAGCAGAAGAAGGCAACAAGGGAGTGGCCTACGTGTGCATCTTCCTCGCGGCCCAGGTGCTCATCCAGTTCTGTTTCGGTGGGTACCGGTTGGTGCAGTGGGACTTCCGCGAAGAGCTCAAGCCTAAACCCACAGATTTGGAGTTGACGTCCACCGAAGACGAAAAGACAAGCAAACAGACGCACGAGAACAAGCAGTCATCCGAGAGCACCACCGAAAACAACAACGATGACACCTCGATTGCCAGTACCATCGAAGACAGCGTTGAAGCTGGTGTCAACCGCTCGTTGGAGGACCTCCAGCACAATGAGTTCTTACGGGTGCACCAGTTAAACCGCTCCAGCTCCAACTCCAGGTCGCTCAGGTCGGGAGACGACGAGCTCAGACACAGGCGAGGGTCCATGGGGCTGATCAGCACCAACTTCTATTCGATTCACACCCAGCTCAGAACTACAGAGCTCAGAAAGCAAAAAACACAAGATATCCACGACGTCATCAACGAGTATTCGGAGTTCGACAACCTCAAGAACCGCGAGCTCCGCCAAATCCCCAGCGGCACCGTGGAATCCACCGCTGCTCCAGTATTGCCGGTGGAGGTGCCCTCCACCCATGAAAATACCCTCAAGTACAAGATTAAAAAGCAGTTGCGAGAGACCGGCAAGAACATGTTGCAACCCAACTCGGTGTCGTTGATTGTTTCGCTCGCAATCGCCATGTCTCCACCATTGAAGGCCCTCTTCGTGCCCACACACAACTTCCATCTTTCTCCTGCCCCAGACAACCAGCCTCCGTTGTCGTTCTTGATGGATCTTGCCAGCTACGTGGGTGCTGCCTCGGTACCTTTGGGACTCATTTTATTGGGAGCCACCATTTCCAGGTTGCAGGTGAAGAGCATGCCTCCGGGCTTCTGGAAGACCGCCGTCATGATCACCTGCTGTCGGTTAATTCTTCTTCCCATGATCGGGGTGGGCATCACCACTGGCCTCCACAAGGCTGGATGGTATGGCTCTGACCCCATTTTACGATTTGTCAGTGTGTTGGAGTTCGGGTTACCCAGCGCCACCTCGTTGGTGTACTTCACTGCATTCTACACCGATCCTCATACGGACGATCATCCTCAAATGGACTGTTTGGCGGTTTGTTTAATTGCCCAGTACTTGATTTTATACATCACGTTACCGTTCTTGGTGACCTTTACCTTCAAGGTGTCATTAGGCTATTAGTTATAGAGCATTTAATACTGTCACTGCCAGTGTAGAACGAGATTTTATGCTTGAAGATATTGTATTCTGCTGAGCGATCTCGTCCTTAGAATAGACACGAAAGTTAGTTTTGATAACAGAAAGGCTATGCTTTTCTCCAAGAAACCCTCATCTAATCTACAAGAAGTTAAATTTCTTCAGATTATTGCCAGAGCAGCCAATTTCCATGCATGCTAGCCACTTCAGGTGGCACGTAGCACCTCAATATACGGACAAACCGCAACTACAATGAACGTCGACTGAAAAATTCAAAAATTCAAAAATCGCAGATATTGAGAGATTTTAGGTCTCTAATAATCGTGCTCTTCCTGATTTCCGTAGATTGCTCCTCTTGACATGATATTACTCCTCCTGAGCTGTCCTGGTAGTATTAATTATTCCTCCTGAGCTGAAAATATTAGTTATTTCTCTTGACTTGTGCCCTTCATTAATTATTCCCCGACCATTCCTTCCGTTTGGCCCCTCCTTACTTCTCCCCACTCTATTCCTTCTTGTTCACCAAGTAATTGAACCGTCTACGTCACATGCTGCGCAACCATCGCGACATTGAGGCAGTGGTCGGCATCCGCATCGCATCACAGCCGTCTCACGACATTCCCCAGCAATCAAACGCGATCACGTGCAGCGGGCCCTGTCATTGACAGCAAGACACCAAACGATACTAATTTCAGTTGATCTTTTTCATCCTTACCACTAAGCGAACCTCCTCACCATGGCTTTATACTACAATCTCGTTTTCGGCTTATTGATCGTCGAAATGGTGTTTTTCACCATCTTGTCGTTACCTTACCCAAGGAACATCAGAAGAACCGTTTTGACTACGGTCTCCGCTCCGTTCAGAAACGAACAATTCCAGATCGCCATCAAGTGCATATTGGGATTCATATTGGTGTTGTTCATCGACTCCGTCAACAGAGTCTACTCTGTGACCAGTGAATTGAGAGCTGCCTCCCCAAGTGGCCACCAGACCACCGTCACTGGCATCATGAATGACAGAAGCGAGGTCCAGGCCAGACGGTTCTACGCCCAAAGAAATATGTACCTTTGCGGCTTCACCTTGTTCTTGACCCTCATCATCACCAGAACCTACTCCTTGGTGGCCGAATTGATTGCCACCAAGGACAAGTTGGACGCCAAGAAGGTTGAATCCGGCTCCACTGACGCTGCTGAAGACTCCGAAAAGATTGCTGCTTTGAAGAAGGAATTGGCTGCCAGAGACGAGGACTTGGAGATCTTGAAGGACCAAGCCAAGAACTTGACTAAGGACTACGACTCCGTTGCTACTGGTGTCGACAAGTCCGGCTTGTAGTCGGAGCAAACCGCGTAACTGATTTAATTGAATTGAATACTCCAACTGCCTCCTTTTTGTAGGCCAGGAGTATACATTAATATATATCAAATCTAAGTATTACTAAGTGTAATCATATTTATAGGGTGGCTAATACAAGCATCTTAAGCGACCAACGTATGCTACACCCCAACATGGATGTGTATATTTGTTATTGAGTCAATTGGCCCCGAAAATCACGAGTCTATCGTTACTCCTATGAATTGCTCGATGTACTCCTAACTTTCGTAGGCGTTACTCTTATGCTTGGGAGTGAAATTGAAACCATCGCCTGCCTTGCCCAAAAACATCTCGGTAATCTTGATCCAGTCCTTGTAGTCACCAGATCCGAGCAAAGTTTCCAACTCGTTTCTGCCCTTCCACTTAGGAGGTCTCTCGTTGATCTTTGGTGGCAATCTCTCCAAAATACCAATTGGAATGTATCTGTGGGTGAAACTCAAGAATTCACACATGAATCTTCTGGCCAAGCCAACACCATATTCATCGGAGCCCCAGTGCTCAATGGCGTAGTTGGAGAAGGTACGCAACATCTCCAATCTCTCGGTGGCCGATTTGTCCAAGTACTGCTGGCTATCAACTTCCTCGAAGATCCAAGGCTTGATAAGAGCACCTCTGGCAACCATGACAGAGTCGATTCCTGGAGTGTTGACTGCGTTGTGCCAGTCCTCGTGGGTGTAGACATCACCATTACCAACAAACCAGGTAGGCTGGGTATCGGTAGTGTCCTTGTTGTCTTCCTTTCTGTGGTTCCATTCTTCAACTGTCTTACCAACTTCACCAATGTAGGCCCAATCGGCTTCTCTGGTATATCTTTGCTGTCTTGAACGTCCATGCAAGGTGATGGCAGCGACGTCGTTCTCTCTCAACACCCTGTCAATCAAGGCTTTGGCAGTATTCTTGTTGTCTCTGGTACCGGTTCTCATTTTAACAGTGACGGGAATGTCTCCCGACAGAGCATTCATAGCCTTAAGGATTCTGAGCATTCTGGCTGGCTGGTCCATCAAAGCAGACCCTTGGCCTTGACGATACAATAAATCAATAGGACATCCACAATTCAAGTTAAGTTCAGAGACATGGGTGGTTTCCTTGTAGATAACTTCTGCGGACTTGGCAGCGGCCCAGTGCTTGGAGGTGGCAATTTGAACACCAAACCCTGGGTATTCACTGATATGTGCCTTTGGCAACGCCCACTCTGAGTTGGTAGCTTGCAACAATGGAACAGTCAAAGCCATTTCAGAGTAGGTGACATCGGCACCCAAAGTTTTCATCAAACGACGGTATGGCAAGTTACCCACCGTAGTCAATGGCGACACGATCTTTGCATTTTTGAGGTAAAGCTTCTTCTTTTCTCCAACCTTGTATGTGGCCTCGACGTAAGATGCCATGTTGGACTTGGTTTGCTCTTGAGCACTAGCGTTCTCTTCATCCTTCTTGTCATCTTTCTCTTCGGCATCCTTAGCATCCTTGGCTTCCTTGGCCTTAAGTATGTTTTCTTCGTTTTGAACTAAAGTGTCAATGTACTTGATGACTTCGTCGGAGTGACTGAAGTCGTACTTTTTCTTCTGCAACATGCTCTTGTTTTCTGGCTTGATCTTGTTCACCTCAAAGTTATCTTTCTTGGCTCTCTCCATCTGTTCCAAATCCTTGACAAGACGGTTGGTTTCCTTGTTGTAATGAGAACCCAACCATCTACACTTCAAACCGCATGGACAGTATCCGAGGGCCTTGAAAACAGGACAAACGCCCTCAACATCTTCAGGCTTACCTGCAAGATACTCTTCGATGTTATGCACATTACGACACTTATCACCACCAAATTGGCACTCTCTTGGGTTTTCTGGATCGATCAAAGTCGAGCATAGTCTGACCTCTTTAACCTGCTGTCTCAAGTCTCTGTTCTTGTTCTGGCCCCTTTTTCTCTTCTTATCAGCCTTTGGCTTTTGGCCGCCGTCTCTGTCTCCGCCTTCAGCCTCATCGTCGTCATAACTTGGGGCAATACTAGTTGCTTGAACAATAAATTCAGGCTTAATAGGAGCTATTCCCTTGGCAAAGTGGTCTGGTCTTTCGACGTGGGGTTTTTTGGCCTCGGTGGAGGGCTCAATAGCGTCGCCAGGCCTCTTATCGGGGGAGGTAGTCATTTTGTTGGCAAAAGTATTGTGCAAGATGTTGAAGAGATCGTAAAACCTGAAGCTAGCGATGATCACGTGACACTTTTTTCATCTCATCGGATTTTTATCCAGTGAATCTGGTGAGGTATCCATCAAACATGGTTGAAGCAGAAAAAAGAAGAAAGGTGGAAGAGACTGCCGTGAAGGGAGTATCCAAGCCCTCCAAGATCTTCAGCCCTTTCAGAGTCGTTGGAAATGTCTCCAATGAGGTTCCGTTCGCCATAGGAACTTTGGGTAGCACTTTCTACGCTGTGACTTCAGTGGGAAGAAGCTTCCAAATCTATGATATTGCCACATTGCACTTGTTGTTTGTATCGCAAACCCAAACTCCTTCCAAGATCACCTGCTTGTCGGCCAACTACCACTACGTCTACGCTGGTTATGGTAACCAGGTTGGTATCTTCAAGAGAGGTAAGTTGGAACATACCCTTGTCTGCGACACCAAGGAAACTGTCAACCACATTCTCGTCTTTGGTGACTTCTTGGTTGCCACTGTTGCTGACGGTGAAGTGTTTGTTTTCAAAAAGCCATCTGGGTCCAAGATTCCAAGCGAGTTCTACACCAAGATCCAAACCATCAACAGTTCTGTGGATGGAGCTATTGTTGGCTTGATCCACCCACCCACCTACTTGAACAAGATTGTTGTAGCCACCACCAGTGGCCTCTTCCTTTTCAATATCCGTACTGGAAAATTATTATACCGTTCCCCTGAGCACCAATTCATGGATGGAATCTCGTGTGTTGAACCTGCCCCGGTTTTGGATGTGATTGCCGTTGGTAGTCCAGTGGGCAATGTTCAATTGTACAACTTGAAGAAGGGTAAGGCTATTGGCCAAAAGATCGTGGTATCCACCCAAGACGTCTCTGCAAAGGTTGTTTCGTTGTCATTCAGAACTGATGGCTCGCCACACTTGGTCGCAGGCTTAAACACTGGTGACTTATTCTTCTACGATTTAGCCAAGAGGTCCCGTGTCCACATCTTGAGAAATGCTCACAAGGAGAGCCACGGTGGTATTGCCAACGTCCAGTTTTTAAACGGTCAACCAATTATTGTTACAAACGGAGGTGACAATCACTTGAAGGAATTTGTGTTTGATCCAACATTATCAACCACCAACTCGTCAGTTGTTTCTCCTCCTCGTCATTTGAGATCTAGAGGTGGACATTCTGCACCTCCAATCGCTATCGAATTTCCAAACGAAGAGAAGACTCACTTTTTGTACAGTGCCTCTAGAGATCGTTCTTTCTGGTCCTTCTCTTTGAGAAAGGATGCTCAAGCACAAGAAATGTCTCAAAGAGCCCAAAAGACTTTGAAGAGAAGAGCTGGCCCTGTTGGTTCCATGAGAGAGAAGTTCTCGGAAATTATTGCCATAACCTCTTCTCAATCCAGAGAAGGTGAATGGGAAAATATTTTGACTGCTCACAAAGACGAAACTTTTGCTAGAACCTGGGATTCTAGAAGTAAGAGAGTTGGTCGTCATCAGTTAAATACAGTCGATGGAGGAATCGTCAAGTCAGTCTGCATTTCTCAGTGTGGTAACTTCGGTTTCGTTGGCTCGTCAACTGGTGGAATTGGTGCGTACAACTTGCAATCTGGATTGCTTCGTAAGAAGTATATGTTGCACAAGAAGGCAGTTACTGGCTTGGCCATTGATGGCATGAACAGAAGAATGGTCAGCAGTGGCTTGGACGGTATACTTGGATTCTATGATTTCAATGAATCTAAGTACTTGGGCAAATTACAGTTGGATGCACCAATTACTTTCATGATTTACCATAGATCTTCCGATTTGATTGCTTGTGCATTGGATGACTTGAGTATTGTGGTTGTGGATGTAATCACTCAGAAGGTTGTCAGAGTTTTATTTGGCCACAGTAACCGTATCACCGGTATGGACTTTTCTCCAGACGGTAGATGGATTGTTTCCGTTGCCTTAGATTCCACCATCAGAACCTGGGATTTGCCAACTGGTGGATGTATCGATGGTGTAAGATTGCCAAATGTTGCTACATCTGTCAAGTTCTCTCCTCTTGGAGACTTGTTAGCCACCACGCATGTATCTGGTAACGGTGTCTCATTATGGACCAACAGATCTCAATTTAAGCCAATTTCTACTAGACATGTGGAAGAAGAAGACTTCTCAACCATTTTATTGCCAAACGTTTCGGGAGATGGCGGATCTACCTTGTTGGATGGTGCATTTGAGGAGGAAGACCAGGTAATTGACGTTGAACAATCTTACACTTCGGCAGAGCAAATTGACGAATCGTTGGTCACATTGTCCTTGGGTCCAAGATCCAAGTACAGCACCTTATTGCATTTGGATACCATCAAACAACGCAGTAAGCCCAAGGAGGCACCAAAGAAGTCGGAGAAAACCCCATTCTTCTTGTCCTTGTCAGGAGAAGCTGTTGGGGACAGAGCCTCTGTAGCTGAAGGCAAGGTTGCTGAAGAGCAGGGGGCCAACCAAGACGAGGATGACGAGACCAGCAAGTTGCACAGACTCAGAAAGGGTGACAATTATACCTTCGAGTCCAAGTTCACCCAGTTATTGAGAGAAGGTGCCGAGCTTGGCGACTTCTCGGAATTCTTGGCCTATCTTGTCCAGGCTTCTCCTGCTGTTGTGGACTTAGAGATCAGATCGATCAACGAGTTTCCACCTTTGACTGAAATGATCTCGTTCATCAAAGCCATGATCCAGGGTATGGAGTCCAAGACCAACTATGACTTGTACCAGGCGTTTTTTGCCATGTTCTTGAAGAATCACGCTGATATCATTGCCAACAACCCGAATGACGACGAATTGCAAATCTCGCTTCAAGTCTGGGCCCGTTTGAACGACGAGATCAAGGACGAGATGGACGCTTTGGTTAAATACTGTTCTGGGGTGATCAACTTTGTCAACGCCATCTAAGCGACCTGTACCATAATAGATATAGAGATACGGGGTGAGCCTCCGTTATGGCATTTGAGGTATAATAAAAATAGTAACATAAGAAATCGTATATATACTTAGAGCAAATGTAAAAGATGGTAGTGAACAAATTCGTTGTGACACTCGACAGTTTTTATCCCATACTTGTTGCGTTCAAACGGACTAAAGTGAAGTATACATGATAGTTCAAATGAGTTGAAAACGGTTGAATTGAGTAGACAGACTGCGAACTTAGCATCGTCCTGGCGGAGGTCCATTTCATAACACGAAATAAGTTGGCTCCTCTTGGCTCAAGGAACACTTAGCTGCAGAAATTCACTGCTTGAATCACTGCTTGAACTACTCTCATTTATCTAGTGATTACTGCGATGAATAAGATAAAATGCAAGCCGTTCGTTCAATACTAATCACGCAATTGTTGATAAAGGCATATGTGGGTCAAAGTTAGAAGAATAATTTCTCGAGTTACATTATATGATCCTATTCGTTCTCAACTAGTCATGTAACCTCGCTAGTGCTGTCGCAGCCATAGCATCGCAGCCGGTGCAAGTATCGCCCCCCACTATCAGTGCCAGCAGTAGAGCGACATCAATTATCCCATCACCTTCAGCTGATCAGATTCATTGTCTCTACACTCATAGTAGCCTCAGTTCTCGCCGTTGCTGGTGCCAGACGTCTTCCCGTAAACTCCCAACGGCGTGTCGTCAGGTCGCAAATTACCTGCACTATCGCGGAAACAATACTCTATCTACCACTCGGTACTAGCACAAGAAATACCATGAATATAGATATATTGGAGCCATTCCACAGGATACGGCTACCGCAGAGCTCCAGGGCGTCAGCCATACACTACTACAACAACAGGCTATACCAAGGACTCGCCAATGGAGACCTTTTGGTGTACTCGTCCCGGTCCAAAACACCCACTAGCGATAAATCCAATTCGTCGATAACCCTGAAACGATCGAAAGAAGCATCGTCCCAGTTCGACGAAAAGGACGGACACAAGCTCGAAATCCGCTTTTCCAATATCACCCGAGATAACTCTTCTATCGACAGAATCAGTCATATCTCGTTCTCCAACGAGCCCACCCGAACCATCCTCGCAATCACCCATTACGAAACAGTTAAGATCTATGAGATCGTGGGTAAGCACCTCAACTTGATCCAGGACCTCTCTGAAGTCAAATCTCACATCGACCCGCTCTACATCGAAGTCAATGAAAAGAGGCTCTTTTTGATGGGGTCCAAAAAGAAGATCAGCGTATATCAGATAGTCAACAAAACCAGAAACATCATCCAATTCCAGAAGTCGTCAGAGGTACCTTTGAAGGACAAGGTGCGCTCCTTGGACCCATATCCAGGAGACTCTTCCAAGGCATTGGTGGGACTCTTGAACAGTTTTTTACTCTTGAACTGTAACACATTACAGGTCTACGAATTGACGGTGGAAGAGACTATCCTGTACAACTTCAATCATAGCTCGTCATTTAGCTATTTTGGCTTATCCTCATCTGCCCCTTCGAGCTACGCCATACAAATTAGCAATAACGAGGTCTTGTTGGTAAAAGATACCCTGACACTTATTCTTAACATTCCAGAAAACCCTAATGATTCCCCCACATTCTCTGCATCACTGGTGAAAATTCCAGTGGCCCCATTCTTCATTTCATTCATCTCTCCACTCTACCTTCTTGTGGTTTACAACAAGAAGTTTGAAATTGTGGATTATGAAACGGGAGACTTGATTCAATCTTTCCAGCATCAAATCAATAGCTCTCAAATATTTGCTTGTGTCAACAATCACGATGTGTATATCACGTCTGGTTCTGAGATTTTACAGTTCAAAATACTAGACTACCAACGTCAGATAGACCAGTTTTTAAGTATTAGTGGGAAGGGCTCTTCATCTGGGGGAATAAAAGATCCCCATAATGATTTGAAGGTTATTGGATTGGAAAAAAGTATTTCCTTGGTAACCAAGATAGATACGAACAGCGCTTTCTTTGAAAATGAAGAAGAGACGAATGCAAAGAAAAAGCAGTTGGTGTTACGAGAATTTTACAAAAAGAAGGCTACTATTTTGTTTCAATCTTATTCGAAATACCATGAATCACTAGTTGAGATAAGTTCTGATTGGCTAGTTTTCTACAAAGATATATTGGCTTTATTTCCCGATTTTTTGAATGGGGAACTTAGAATATTTGATGTGATGGGTCAAGACTACTTAAGTGAGGAATCAGGAAGTGTGAAATCGCTCTCTCATAGTGTTATCAAAAGGATTTCCTTGTCAGACATTCAAAATTCAAAGATAAGTGTGACTACCGGTGATTCTGGTACTGACAACGAAGCCCAGAGTTCCAAATCTATTCCTAAACCTAGCAGTACATCCAATAAACCAAACCAAAATACTCAAGGCTTTTCAAAGTCACAGAATGTCAGAAAATTCATGAAGGCAGTTAATAATTTGATTATTTATTTGACTGATCAAAGAAGAATACTTTTAATATTCTTGACCGATCCACGAGCGACATTAAAGTGGAAGGGTATTGATATTACTCCGTATGATATCTATCCAACATTAAAACGGGAAAACTTTAAATCAGGTTTGACACATATTGCAGAGGTTATTGACACTACATTATTCTTGTGCTATTATCATACGAAACCGATGTTATTGGGTCCTTTATTGAGACTTCCTAACAATCATTGTAATTCTAAAATTGTCAATGAATGCTTATTGAAAAACTTGGAAGAACAAGATCAACAACCTAATTTTATCAAAGAATTACTTGACTTCTACTATGGAAGATTGCTACATCGGGATGCATTAGAAATGTTGTATCAGCTATCACATAGAGATGAAGGGAAACGGCTCGATATGAATGGGGATACTGAAGACTTTAATGATTTTATTAAGGGACCGGCCTTAACAATACAGTATCTCCAGAAGTTGACCAACGATGATATGGATTTAATTCTTCAATTCTCATACTGGGTGATTATGGAAGAGAACACTACAGAAGAAAGAATTCGCAATGGAAAGCTCGTGTTTATGAATGATTCCTATGAATGTGAGACATATGATAATACTGAGGTTTTGAATTTCTTTACCAATGTCTTGAAAATTGATTCATTAGCAATAAGTTACTTGGAGTGGTTGATTTTTGATAGTGACTTGATTGATGCACTCACTAAGAACAACACAATTGCCAAATTTCATACCAAGCTCTGTTTGTTGTATTTGAAGAAGTTGAAAGATCATATGGACAATACCATGGCCGAATTTTCTGCCACCTCCTACTACAGAAAGCTCTATGATTTTCTTGGTAAGACGGATCTTTATGAACCTTGGACTGTTCTCAAACACATTCCTAATACCGACGACAAGTTTTCAAGGTTTAAGATCTTTATCTACAAAAGATTGGGCGAGCACGAAAAATCCATAGATGTACTTTTCAATCAGTTAGATGATTTGGATGCTGCCATTGAATATTGTGCTGATATATATAACCAACCCCAAAGCAAGACAGTTGGGGAGGATTTGTTACAAAAGCTTTTGGAGGACCTTTTGGTGGAACAGGATGACAATATTGACTCCATTGAAAAGCTCTTGCTTCTGCAGGGTTCAAAGATGTCCATACTCAAGGTCATGACGTCCTTGCCGAACTCATTTCCGTTGAACAAGCTTGTGGGGTTCCTTACTCGCCATCTCAGAGAGACACAAGAGTCGTTGCACGACGGGCGAATCGTGTCGCAGTTGTACAAGGTCGGATCCTACAAGCTACAAGATAAAATCTGGTCCATTCAGAGCCAAGGCTATGCCATTGAGTCCTCCAACCAACTATGCGCCATTTGTGGCCGAAGAATTGGGTACGCAGTCTTGAGCGTGGACAAGAAGGACCAAATAGTGCACTATGGATGTGTCCAAAATGGCACCTGATGGGGTTCCATCCTGGTTATCGCCCTGCATATAGAACGCGCTTATATACACCACCGAGCCAACCATCAACTGAACGAACAATAATCTACGACTCAGTAATCGCCAACAGCTCATCTAACTCGCTGGACTCCACATAATTGCTCATCGGAGCTTTCTGCTGTACACTACTACTCTTGTCTTAGTTCTTCAGAGGTCAAGTGACACCCATACCACCTAATGTCATCTGGAAACGAGAACGCATCCCCGGCATCATTGGGGGCTTCTGGTGGTGATGGGAATGGCAATGGAATCAGATTGCCACCAATTTCGTTCCTATCCGTGCACCAAGGCTCACAGGCTCCTAATAGGCTTCCTCCTGCCTCAAATATCGGAATCTCCAGCTTTTTGAATGCTCCTAGCCCTCCGCAACAAAACTCACCACAGTCTCATGAAGATACGCCAGAAGGTGCAGAGAAGCGAGCAAAGATCGAGCCACGAGGATCTGAGCCATCTCGCTCAGCATCTCGCCAACCGTATCCGAACTCGAGCGGAAGCCCTGAGGCCGAAGACCAAACGAATGGGTCCAAGACGGGTCCTAATCCACACCATCACCATCACCACCACCATCATCACCACCACAATCCTTCTCACCATCACCATCACCATCACCACCACCACAAACTGCAAGCAAGCAGCGATGCAGCTTCCAAACAGACAGCGACCTCATCGCCTGCTGCGCAGAAGTCCCAAAGCCCCCCAAAGCCTGTCGTGGCTGGAAAGGAAGCACAGAGTCCCCAGCGTGCCATCAAGCAGGAAGAAAATCCGGAAAAGGATGGCTCCAAGACCCAGCTTGGATCACCCCAGCAGGCACATCCAGATGCGCTCCAGGTGCTGAAGACGGTGATACCGTTCCCACCAGTAGTGTTGAACACCGAGCCCATCAAGGAGTTGATCCAGGAGTACTTTCCGGCCAAGAGGTACCTCGGAACCATCGTGTACAGTCCCACCACCACCTGGGCCACGTTGCAGACGTCCCAGCTTTACGGACTCAAGCGAGAGCACGCCGAGCGGCTCGAAGAGACCAGGCGCGCGTTTGAAGAACGTGCCAGTGGTCCTCATGAACGGGCAAATGTCAGGTACATTCCATCTGTTCCTCCTCTTACCAGCGACTACATCAACAGTATCTTAGAGATCAAGATCCCGCGGTGGCACATCACCAAATTCCGTCACAGCTACGACGAGGAAGCCGTGGTCAAGAGGCAGTTGTGGGGCGGAGCCAGTGGGGTCTATACTGACGACTCCGACGTATTGAGCGTATTGGCACACTTGGGATTATTTGAAGGAAAACTCGATCTCCGCGAGTGGAATCCGCGCTGGAACGGCACCACGGTGAAAGCTGAGGCTGATGGCGATCTTGCGGTGCAGCTCTTGTTGTTGCCCAACTTGCCAGAGTACCATGGCTACTATGCACATGGCATCAATGCTCGGTCGTGGGTGGGAGTCAACAAGCACAGTGGGCTCTCGTTTGCGGTGTATGACGTCAAGTGGGAATCTCCCGGTAGCTACCTTCGCGACGCCGGAATTTTCAAGCGGTACCGTTGCGAGACCGCTGCAGATTCGCAGGCGCACGCCGAGCGCACCAGCGAGCAGCACGGATGGCAGTTCAGCTACAAGTACTACCGCCAGGTGAAGGCGAAGCATGCCTAGCCTCGATACAGCACAGCTGTAGCTAGGTGGATGAGCTGATGTGGCGGATCCAGTGGCGAAGACAGAGAGCTTCCCGAGGATGTGCCTAAGTTACTGCAGTGGACACTGGGACTCCTTGTCCCCACTGGCGCTAGTGCGAGAATACGTTGAATCCGTTATCGCACCGCACGAGACTTCTGCGCCGTACGAGAATCTCCCAGTGAGAATCTCCCAGTGACAATTCCGGTGCGACAATTCCGGTGCGACGAGAACCCCAAGGCCGACCTCCATACCATCCAGCGCGATGGCCGCCAGACGATGACTTAGGCTAATCGCACGCTGACGTACTGATCGCCACGCTGAATTACTAATCCTAGACTAAGTTGCTAATCGCCGACTAATCGGACGCTTACACTCATAATCCAACGACTATTGCCACGAGTCGTAGATCCCTGGCCGCAAGCAATCATACTAATATACTTGACTGATTTACTAAAAGTGTAGATTTCTAGGACTCCTATTTTACCTCTTGCATCCACTTATTTTACTCTTTCCGTCACTTCGCTCTGTGTGCCTTTTTATTTGGTAAACCTTTGCCCCACGATCCCTCCACCAGTGCTCCACCCGTATTCGTATTCTCCGTATCCCCGATCTTCTGTAAGTGCAGGATCCGAGCCATCCACCCACCACCACCACCACTACCACAACCTCCCACCGTACCTATCCTCCCTATTCACATCCTCCAAAGCACCTTTCACTTTCTCTTCCCAACTCCTCCTTCCTCTTCTTCTTCCTCTCCGTATTCTCCACCCGCCTCACACGATCACAGTCGTTCCCCACCACCATCACTACCATGCGAGTTTCTTTTTCTGCGATTGTAGTGCCGTTTTAGTTTGTGAGACTCCAGCACTTCTAGTCCAGATCCTTTTCTCTTCCCCCACCGCCTGTGTCGTGACTGCCAGTGTCACTGTTATGCCCCACGCTGAGCACCAAGCCCGTTAGACCCTCTCGCCCGCACATCCGTCGCTGCTGTTCCTGCTCTCTCCACAGTCGTTACCGCTGACCCTCCACCACAACCAGCCCAGCCACTGTCTGCTATTGCCGCTGGACCACACCACCACCAGACCGTCACCACCGTCTGCTCGGGACCTTCCTCCACCACTCGTCCCTCTTCTCCCATGGCTGAATCCACCAAAACTCTCCGAAACTCCCAGTCCATCCCGTCCATCCCGTCCATCCCGTCCATCAACTACCTCTCCAACAGATCGTCCCTAGGCAAATACCTCGCATCGCCCCAGACGTCCAGGCCGTCTCGAAAACCCGGTTTTTTGAAAAGAGTCTCGTCAGAGTGGAACCTCTTGGTCCACCGCATCAAATCGATCTCCAAGGACGTCTTCACCACCGACGAACTCGTGGAGGAGCTCTTTGTGGACTTGGACTCCGACGAAGCCTCCATGGAAAGAATATTGAAATCGTCCAACCGTGCCCTCAACCCCGCAGAAGAGTCATTTCTACAAGAGTACAAGAAATTCAAGAACCTCGATAAAATGGTCCAGCACCACCAGAACCACCAGAGCGCGGAAGTGAGGTCTTCCTCCACCGCAGTGTCCGATACTAAGACCAGGTCGACTTTATTGGATATCATACGACAAACTACAAGCAACAGCGAAACTGTCCATAGTGAAGATGAGGATCACGACAACGAGATATCATACCACGACCTTGATTTGTGCAAGTTAAGACAAGAGCTTGAGTTGCATCAGAACTCGGAGTCTACCGAGGCAAGCACTTTGAAAAGCAGCAATGAAAACCTCGGAACCACCCTTTGGGAGTACAGGAGACGCAAGTGGTTGCAGAACTCAGATCCCGAGAAAGTGCAGCAAAAGTTGAGCCAGCTGTCCATCGAGCACATACCCAAGGAATCCTACCACAAGATCTATAGTTTCCTCATAGACAAGGGAAGGTCATTGAAAAACGACAAGAAGATAAACCTTCTTGACTTGATCAATATCATCAACGCAGGCTGGATTGCCGAAGAAAAATGGGACAGGGCCGCCAGGGGGTTGCCATAAGTGACCCTATAGAGCTTAGACATTGGTCTGTTAGAACTTCGGCATTGGTAGTCCGATAGACCTTAGGCATTGTACGATAGACTTAGACTCCACAACTCCGGTCCTAGTCCTTTCCCACGACATTCCAGATGTCATTTGCGTGCATTCACGTCTCCCTCATGATGCTTCATATTGCTTTCACTTTTTAGCTAATTTTAATGTATTTTCTAATATTCGCAACTCCTGGTCGATCAATTCTGCTCGCGATTGGAAGTCATCAATAATGGTATTGGTCTTGTTCCCATTCAATTCCCCAGTAAATTTGTCGATCAATTTCTCCACCTTCCTTCGGGTGGACACTAACTCCCCGAAACTGGTTGCTATGCCTGTGTTCAACTGCTTGTCGATATCTGCGTCCAACTGATGAATTGTGGAGATCTTATCGATGAGCGATGATGGATCTTCTGTGGCAGAATTGCTGCGGACGAGAGCCTTTAGTGTTTCAGTAAGCTGTTTCTGGTGCGCCAACGAGTACTTGAGCTGCTTGCTCTGAGTCTCCTTGGACTGCTTGATGAGATCCGAGTGGGACGACATGGAGACATGTGGTGAGGATTGTGTGGATCAGCCTCTGATGGGGTAGTAGGTCACATGATTGATCCTGCGTGACTTACCCGTTATCTTCGTGTTATCATTCCACGACTTCGTCTACAACAGAAAGCCCCAACTAATTGTCATTCTTTGGCAGACATGGACTGAGAGAGCCACAGCCTACTGCTTCTTTGTCCATTCATCCATTCTTGGACCTAATTCTCTGTGATCTACCACCATATCTATCATTCTGACCACATGTCCGATCCATCTCCAATTTGCACCCCTACCCTATTCTTGAAGGTTCCTGGGTCGCCAGTGGAAACCAGCTTGCAAGAGTTCAACAAGGAGCTTGGCGAATCTACTGACTTTGATGATCTCGTTGATAAAACGTATGCTTTATTGACACAGCATCAATTGAACATTCAAGAGGCACTCGCGGTATGGGAGACCCGGTTAACCCTTCATTTATTTAACAACCAACTATCATACGCCAAAAAGGAGGCTATCAACTTGAATAATGCATTATATCTACAGGAGAATCCAAATCCAGCCCCCTTGCCTGGAGGCAACCGAAGCAGAGGAAATTCCGTGGGCTCGTCTACGCCTCCCTTGCAACCGATCTATCCATTGCCTAAGAACAAGGCGGCCACCATAGAATACGACTTGCTCGTACTACTCTTGAGGCTCAAGTCTATTCCCAACATGAATTTGATCAACGAGTTGTACAAGCTCAACTTTCAAATGAGACTCAAGTCGGACCTCGACGAGGACGTATTGCGGATGAAACTAATTAATTTGAGCTATGACATCATGGTGATACTCTCGGTTACCAAGAACCATGCCACGTTGTTGAATTACCTCCATGGATTACGGCTCGAATTGGAACGCATAGAGTCCAAAAGAGCCGCATCTGCAAAATCAGACGCTTATTCAACCTACCTCTCGAACGTCATCCTTGTTCAGATAATCATCGAGTCAATTGTGCATAAACAGAAGAAGACCCCATCGCTCGAGTTGATCATTGCAGCACAATACGGCGAGCTGTTCAAAAGAATTAACGAAGAGACCAAGAGATCACTAATTTATGTGCTCCGTCACATCCTGCCTACTATTACCGAGAACCAAATGGTTGCTTACGACAAGTCCGAATTGTCCTTGGACGATCTTATCGGCCTAGTGGCTGAGGATAAAATTTCGGTCAGAATAATATGCTCGATGTTGGGCTTATGGGACTTGTCCAATAATTATGGGTTTCAGTTGTCTGGCGAAACCGAAATTAGTTATGGACCTGTGGGGACAAGTCTGACGAACCAAGTCACCAACAATTGGTACAAGTATATAAACAAAGTGTATGGGTTAGAGTAAGGAATTGCATGCTGCAACATTGTCGATTGAGTAGGCTAGAGGTACCTTGGGGTGAACCAGCAGCTCCGTAACTACTGCCATAACTACTGCCATAACCTCCCCGGATGGGTCTTAGGGCACCAGCCCTGACTCTCTGGCCATTCGCACGTGATCATGTGGAGATTGTTTCCGGTATATAGTCCCACGCGCTAAGAACCTGCTTATCTAAGCTGCTCGCTGGGCCAATCCCCACCTAAATGGCCACTAACTACCCGCAATGGGAGTGCACAGGGAGAAAATTTTTCACCCACCCAGGAAAATCGTGAAAAAAATCTATACATCAAAAGCTGTGATAGTTTCTACTACTCCTCGTTAGATAATCATAATTCAAAATGGCTTTACAAGACGTTGTTACTCGTGAATACACCATCAACTTGCACAAGAGAGTATGTAGAGAATACTGAGAGAGAAAAGTTTAGTGATTGATAGTGAAGATAGTCATATGGAAGGAGGCATCGACCAAGAAAGAAGATTAAGGGATTGAAAGAGAAACAGGGCATCAAGCATTTCCAAGACATCAAGATTTCCAAGCACCAAAGAGCCCACCACACATGCCGAGTCCGTCTCCTATGTTGACCCACTTACTATCAATGCCTAGCCCTAACCCACCAGGTTTTACTGGCACAATACTAACATTCTAGTTGCACGGTGTCCACTTCAAGAAGAGAGCCCCAAAGGCCGTCAAGGAGATCAAGAAATTCGCCACTTTGCACATGGGTACCAGCGATGTCAGATTAGACCCAAAGTTAAACGTCCAATTGTGGTCCAGAGGTGTCCAAGGTGTCCAATACAGATTGAGATTGAGAATCTCTAGAAAGAGAAACGACGAAGAAAACGCCAAGGAAAAGTTGTTCGCCTTCGTTGAACCAGTCACCGTTCCAACCACCAAGGGTTTGCACACTGTTGTTGTTGAAGACGAAGCTTAAATTTAACTTCGTTCATCTCATAAATAGTTTGTATAATATGATACACATAATCCGTTACAGTTTGTAGAGAGGAAGAGCCTTGACGGCCGAGAGCCCTTAAAGGGGTCAGATAACACCCTGTGATGGCTCTAGATTTGACAGAAGTGCTAGCCTAGATTGTACCAGACACAGCTCGAATGGTTCTATCTGGAATGTGTATGGGTCTACGTGTGTTGATTACAAGTTTAGTTTTAGTTGAGCGCAATGGTTCTAGTTTGTTAGTACTGGTCCTTTAAACTGTTCATGTGCATACAATCAGTGTAACTATGACAAATACCAGATCACTGCAATAGAAGCTATGCTTCACCAAAACGGCGAAAACTTCCAAAAAAGCTCTTAGTTGGTAGAAAAAGAAGATTATCATCACTATATGACATGAACTTGTTATCGTATAGACTTACACTAATAGCATTTTAATGTCTGTTGGCTTATCAACTAGGGCAAATTTTTCGTCTTTTATACTCAAGGGCAAATTCCGGGTAACGCGAATTAGGGTAATGAGCTGTGAAGCACAAGAAAGAGCACATCGGTACCTGGAAAGAGAATAAAAGCTGCTGAAGTTTACAGCATGTAATCTAACTGGTCTACTCATTTCTGAATTCCCACTGGACAAGTTTCAACTTGCTTGCATAGAGGGTAGAATTCTTATTCATTCACACGATGCAAAATTCGGCTGCGAAAACGAGTGGTGGAATCGGTCCCAACATAACTTCAATAACAGTAGTTGATGGACAGGCTGGAAGGATTTTTGGTGTCTGTGGTCTAGAGCTCTTGTTGTAGATGTTTTTGTTAATAATTGCTAGCTGTGCTTCCAATGCTTGGAATTGAAGAAGCGTTCATTTTGGTTACTTTGGGTTGAAAATACATAAAGTATCGGTTCTAACAAGTAACCCTTCTCGAATTACTTCTGGTCCACTTCATAGTTACCTTCGCAAGTTTCCTCGGATCATGACACACCTACATGCTTCGACGAGTCTGATGCTATTCCTCTAGAATGCAAATTTTAAAAGAAGCTCGATAGACTACACGAGCAGGCCCAGTTGGTAATAAAAAGCATTGATGACTTTCGCCACTCTAACTCTTAGCTACATACTTGTCAATCCAATGAGTTCTCCCACGTGAATGAGTCGTTCTTCTGAAATCTACTGGGTCACCTTCATAAGCTTATGCCCCGCACGTGAGCTGTCCACTCACCCCACAAAATCTACCGAGGCCCAGTGGTGGAAATATATATACTCTCTACCGTCCAAGTGAAGAAGGCCAACAATGCCTTCTGCAATCGTCAACAACACCAGTCCAAGATCGATCTCGACTATTGCAAATGTCACTTTCATCAACAACAAGCTGATCGACAAGCATGATGTTTTGGAGATCTCTATTGATCTTTTCAATAAGATCTTTCCTGATCAACAGGGACACGAGTCCAAATTCGTGCTTATCAAGTTGATAGGTTCGCCAGATTTCTTCAAATCATTCAGAATTTTCAAAATCAACTCCATTGACTTCGAAAACCAGAAGAATACCATCAAATTCATCAACAATACCAACATCAATATTCAGTTCACAGAAGATCAGTTAACCCTCAATTCGGCTATAATTCAGTCAGTGTCAACTGAGGATATACCAAAATTATCTAGAGTGTACGTCTCAGTTCCAGGTGAAGTGTATTCTATTTTGAGTAACAAACCTCAAGACTCGACCAGAGCACAATTTTTGACTACGTTCTTAGCCCACAACGGTTCGGTGGCTAACGAAAGTGATTATATCCGTTTGATAAACGGTCAAATCAAACTATGTGAGCCTGTATCTCAGGGATTTATTGATTACGACACCAAAATTGTCTTGATCAAAGACAATGAATATCCACAGGGATATGGAGGGGTTAATAACTTTATCGAAGAAGTTGAAATTGAAAATGACGATGACGATGAAGAAATACCAAACGTGGAAGAGTTAGATATCTCTTCGTACTTAAGTTCAAGCCTTCAATTCAATGCAGGAAATGATTCCATCAAAAGCTCGGAGTTCAATGTCAGACCGTTACCTGAGCCAATTACTATCGAAGGATTGCCAAAAGAATGGGCAAAGGATGACACTGAAGCATTTGTATTTATGAACTCAAGTGACTTCATCAAGTTGGGCTTTCCCATTTTCAATGGGGATTTGTCTAAGCTCCATTTTGGTTCCAAGCTGGTCATTGTCAGAGTATTCACTCTAGCTGAGCCAAATAAAATATTCAAGTCTGGAAATGTATACTTGTCCCCAATCTTAATCATCAACCTCGATTTGAATCCAGAGTCTAGTATCACATTTGAGCCAATTTCCACGACATCTGCACAACAGTTATCCACTTATCTTCCAATAGCTGAATCGGCGATAATTTCGAGAATTTCCTCTCCAATAACCATGGATAAAACCTACCAGAAACATTTCTTTTCTAGTCTCAAGACTAGTTTGAGTAATTATTTCAAATGCGTTCAGAAGGGTGACTACTTCCCGGTTGTGATTGATTCGGTATTGGCAAAAACAATGTTCGATAATGCAACAGGTGAAGAGGATGGAGAGGACGAAAATGGAAGCAATGACGCTTTTGATGTCATTCCCACTGGGGACCCTGATGCAGTCGCCTGGTTTAAAATTGTGGATATAAAGGGAGTCAACGACGTGGGTACTGAACAGTTTATCATTGATCCAACTCAGACATTATTGGTTTCTTCTGGAGTCGAATTTGTTAGATTGCCAAAGAATGAATTTAGTCAATGGTATAATTATTTGAAACTTCCTCCAAGTTTCAATTTCAATAGCCATTTGGATAAAGGAGACTTCCCTTATGCTAAAGACTTGAAGAAAATCATTCAAACTTGCTTGAGCTCAAAGATAAATCTCAAAACCACGGTCATGCTTCAGTCATTGAGCAGAGGTATTGGAAAAACAAGTTTAATTAGAAACTTGTCTACAGAGTTAGGATTAAACTTGATAGAGTTGGATTGCTTTGATTTGATAAATCCCGGTCAAGAATTAAAAACCATCGGATTCTTGATGGGAAGAATAGATAAGATCATTGCCAATGCTACCTCTGATTCTTCTTGCTTCCATATAATTTACTTAAAGCACATCGAAAGTTTGTGCCCTCAAGTTGACACCAATGATCAAAATTCCAACATTCACACCTCCTTGTCATTGAAAATTGTTCAAACCTTGAATGACTACCTTACTCAGTACGGTAACATGATTGTTGTCATGAGTTGTAACGACTTTGACAAAGTAAATGATAATATCAAGCTGATGGTTAAATTCAACATCACTTTTAATGTTCCTAGTGAATCAGAAAGATTGCAAATCTTCAAGTTTTTAATCGGCAATGAAGTTGGCAAGAATGATTCTCCCTCATTTTCAACTACCGAGTCTTCAAAGGTAGAGTTCAACGGAAATTTCGATATTACTTCCTCCGTCTTTGTTCTCAGACAAGATATCAATTACAAAACTTTAGCCTTACAGTCAGCTGGTTTGACCCCAAGAGATTTGACTTCGATCATAAAGAAGTCCAAGACATTGGCCATAAAAAGATTAACAAAATTAGCAATGGATTCTGACATTACACTCAATAAATTAATCAAAATTGGTAATGGTGGCTTAATCAACTGGATTCCAGAAGATTTCAACCTAGCTATTAATGAAGCCAGAAATCAATTCAGTGATTCTATTGGTGCTCCGCGTATTCCCAACGTCAAATGGGAAGACATTGGTGGATTGGATCTTGTCAAAGATGAAATTTTGGATACCATTGATATGCCCTTGAAGCATCCGGAATTGTTCAACAATGGTTTGAAGAAAAGAAGTGGTATTTTGTTCTACGGGCCACCTGGTACTGGTAAGACGTTGTTGGCTAAGGCTATTGCCACCAACTTCTCGCTTAATTTCTTCAGTGTGAAGGGTCCAGAATTGTTAAATATGTATATTGGTGAATCAGAAGCTAATGTCCGTCGTGTGTTTCAACGTGCTAGGGATGCAAAGCCATGTGTTATTTTCTTTGATGAGTTGGATTCAGTTGCACCAAAGAGAGGTAATCAAGGTGATTCCGGAGGTGTTATGGATAGAATTGTTTCCCAATTGTTGGCCGAATTAGATGGTATGAGCGGTGGAGGTGATGGAGGTGATGGAGTGTTCGTTGTTGGGGCTACTAATAGGCCAGACTTGTTGGACGAAGCTTTGTTAAGACCTGGAAGATTTGACAAGATGTTGTATCTTGGTATTTCCGACACCAACGATAAGCAAACCAAAATCCTCGAGGCGTTGACCAGAAAGTTCAAGTTGCACGAGGATGTTGACTTGGCCAAAATCGCTGAGAAGTGTACCTTCACATTCACGGGTGCTGATTTCTATGCGTTATGTTCCGATTCGATGTTGAATGCCATGACTCGTGTGGCTAACGAAGTTGATGCAAAGATTAAGAAATTCAACGCTGATCTAGTCAATCAAGGCAAAGCAACCGTTTCTACAAGATGGTGGTTCGATAATGCTGCTACCGAGGAGGATATCAATGTGTTGGTCAAAATGGAAGATTTCCTCAAGGCACAACGCGAGTTGAGTCCTTCTGTCAGTGCCGAGGAATTGCAACACTACTTAAGAGTTCGGGAGAATTTCGAAGGTGGAAAGGAAAAGGCCAAGCAGGCGGAGACTAATGGTGTGAACAAGTAGTCACCAGGGGGATAATCACCTGAAATAAATACAGGATTGTTGGCCTCGTGGATTAGCGAAATATATATATACAATAAATATTCAACGTGCATCATCATAATCCGTAGACTGGCGGTATTTTGGGTTTAAGTTGGGGACATTACTCATTAGCTGGGATCCGCGGCATGCTAAGCATCCACTTGGATCTGGGTCTATTTAAACTGTTGAAGAATTGGCATGACAGTTTTTGGGTCTATCAAAACTGTAGTTGCAATGGGCTCGCCACCACCTATGACTTGTCGTTGCGGAACATGTAACTCTTCTCAAGCACATCCTTGGCCTGGTTGATCCGCTGCGAGAGATACTGGCTACCCTTCTTGTCGGGATGGTTCAACACCATGAGTTGACGGTACCGCTTACGTAAGAGGTTCTTGTTGAAGTTGACTATATCATCACCCTCGATGCCGAGCACCAACAACGCCTCCTGCTCTGTCATGGGGTCTGCAAACCCTCGGTTGGGATATCGCAGCTTCAAGAGCTTGTGGTGTCGAAACGAAGGGTCTTTGATGAGATGGCGGTGGCGCTCGAACTCTGTGGGGTCGTTGGGGTCGGAGAGGGTGATGTTGTTGAGGGTGGCTATCATCTGGGGAGTGAGGTGGATGTACTGACGGTATGCACCTAGGGCTGACTTGACGGTCAAGGCCACCATCGTGGCCCCCACGCCTATGATGATTGGAACTACCATGGTGATGAGTTGTGCCAGCACTTGAAAAACGAGCGTGATATTGCCATTTTTAGTGAGGCCTGTATGTGAAGGTAATGGCTGCGAGAGCTGATGGTTCCCAGGGTGGAAGCAAGAGGATTGCCAGGAAAACCTGTTGCAGTGCATCTGACTACCCCAAAGTAAATTGATCATTATTCCATCTTAAATGGTAAAGTCCAATCATTATAATGAATTTTTATACTTGAGGGAATTGCAACTGAGCTTTGGGGCTATTGCCGCAAATGAATGGATCTACGGCAATTACTCCTGTGAAATAAGGATCCCCAGAGTAGGGAAGTGAGAATGTTCAAACTGGGACTTCGCCTCAACAAACATGAGGGCGATATTTGGAGAAGTAAAACATCCTTACTACCAAAAATCCCAAGAAGGCTTCACCTACATTATGGTCACCTCAGGGATGGAACTTTGGTTATATAATTTATTCAAGTACGCCCGGTGCTAGAAATGCATCTCCAGCTGGCGGCATTCCAAACGTTACCAGTAGCCTTGTTTTACTAGCAGGAGGTAGAAAATTGGGATTCATTTGGAATTTTCTACCGCGTATAACGTCAATTCAATCGCACGAGAAGACACATTCATGATCTCATTTTTTGCACACCAAGTATCGGAAGCATTATTCGAAACATGAAAGGTCGGAAGCATTATTCAAGACATGAAAGGTCTGCATCGCTTAAAATTTTACGTCGAATCCAAAGTCATGAAGTATCGAATTGACAAAAAATCATGAGGTACAGAATTCAAGTAAGCCATCAATGCATCGGAGGAATAAAGTTATCTGGGATGCCGAAAGTACTGGCATCAAATATGTTACTAGCATCGCATCCTATGTCATTAGCGAATTGTCATAATTGTGCGAAATCAAAAAATGGCCACAACCATCACCCAGGTCCGCAACTCGCTATTTCATATATTCTCTACACTTGCAAAGTACCTTCCGTGTAGCTCATCGTAGCACTCTCTGGTGGTAAAATGTCCGCTACACATCTCTCATCGATAGGATTGGATGATTTTGTAGAATACCTCACCTTCGACCAATCTCGGTTACTCTACTCATCGGTGGCAGACGTTTCAGTACGGTATATCCCTCTTTCAATTGTCGGACCGGTAGATAGTTCTCGTGCGGAACGCACGGGCCCTGCAAACACCCGCTACTCCCACCGCCAGGGCCACGCGGGGACCACGCCTCCGGAGGCAGCTGCCCACGCAACGGCACTTACCGAAACGAGACTACAGTACGGTGGAACTCCCAGGCTAGCCGTAACTGGGACCAATTCCCCACCACTGTCAGAGCACCGTATACCGCTATACCGCTAGATTTCCATACCACTATCACCCCCACCACTATTCCAATCTACCACCAGACCACGGGCCCTCGGACACCCACAACTCCGAGCCCGCACCCCGATACCACTCGCACCTCCCACGTTATCCCTTCCAATTACTACATCCCCTCATCGTCACCTGATCTCGGGCGCGCCCCTCGCCTGGCTCCGAAGATGCCACCACCACCACCACCAATACACCACCAAAACCACTCGTAGCGGCCTCGATGGCTCCACCAGGCTCATCGCCCTCCTTCTCTCCTCCGTCCCCTCCCGAGCCAGCGGCCTTGCTGGCCCCCTCCACCCTCCAGTGGCCCTTCCTCCACTCCGGACACCCTCACCCCGAACAAAATTTTCAGTCCGATAACTGCATTGCTGGCGATGGCGCTCAGTAGTATAAATAGTGCCTCCCCTCAGTAGCGAATTGCACCAACTTTCAGTTGTATATTTTATAGCCGCTACTAATCATGTCCCACGCAGCATTATCCTGGTTGACCAAATTGGACATCTCCGAAACCCCCGACAAGGTCTTACGTCGTTCCTCCATCATCGGTACCATTGGTCCTAAGACCAACAGCGTGGAGATGTTGGTCAAGTTGAGAAAGGCCGGTTTGAACATCGTCAGAATGAACTTCTCGCACGGTTCCTACGAATACCACCAGTCGGTCATTGACAACGCCAAGAAGTCCGAAGAAGTGTATAAGGGCCGTCCTTTGGCCATTGCCTTGGACACCAAGGGTCCAGAAATCAGAACCGGTACCACCATCGACGACAAGGACTACCCAATTCCCTCCAACCACGAGATGATCTTCACCACCGACGAAGAGTACCTCAAGAAGTCCAACGACAAGATCATGTACATCGACTACAAGAACATCACCAAGGTCATTGAGGTCGGAAGAATCATCTACCTCGACGACGGTGTGTTGTCGTTTGAAGTCATCGAAATCCCTGACGAAAAGACCTTGAAGGTCAGATCTGTCAACGCCGGTAAGATCTGCTCCCACAAGGGTGTCAACTTGCCAGGTACCGATGTCGACTTGCCAGCTTTGTCCGAAAAGGACAAGGCTGACATCCGTTTCGGTGTCAAGAACGGTGTCCACATGATCTTTGCCTCTTTCATCAGATCCGGTGACGACATCAAGGAAATCAGAAAGGTCCTCGGTGAAGACGGTAAGGACATCCAGATCATCGCCAAGGTCGAAAACCAACAAGGTGTCAACAACTTCGATGACATCTTGGCCGAAACCGACGGTGTTATGGTTGCCAGAGGTGACTTGGGTATCGAAATCCCAGCTCCTCAAGTGTTCGTGGTCCAAAAGCAAATGATCGCTAAGTGTAACTTGGCCGCTAAGCCAGTTATCTGTGCCACCCAAATGTTGGAATCAATGACCTACAACCCAAGACCAACCAGAGCCGAAGTCTCTGATGTCGGTAACGCCATCTTGGACGGTGCTGACTGTGTCATGTTGTCTGGTGAAACCGCCAAGGGTAACTACCCAATCGAATCGGTCTCCATGATGCACAACACTGCCATCATTGCTGAAAAGGCCATTGCCTACCAACAATTGCACAACGAGATCAGATCCTTGGCCAAGAGACCAACTCCAACCACCGAGACCTGTGCCGTTGCTGCTGTCTCTGGTGCCTACGAACAAGACGCCAAGGCTATTGTTGTGTTGTCCACCTCCGGTTTGTCCGCCAGATTGGTCTCCAAGTACAAGCCTAACGTTCCAATCATGATGGTCACCAGAAACGAAAGATCCGCCAGATACTGTCACTTGTACAGAGGTGTGTATCCTTTCATCTACACCAAGGACAAGGTTGAAAACTGGCAAGAAGATGTTGAAAACAGATTGAGATGGGCTGTTTCCGAAGCCATTGACTTGGGTATCATCAGCAAGGGTGATTCCATTGTCACTGTTCAAGGTTGGACCAGGGGTTCCGGTCACTCTAACACCGTTAGAATTGTCCAAGCTTAAAACATAGACGTCTTAATTTAGTTCTTATATTGTGATAAAGGGTACGTTCGAGTGAACTACAAGGCTGGCATGTCCTACGACCATTACAAGCTGAATAAACAATAATTGTACATTAAATTGCCCCTTCGGGACTTGTAGTTGTACCAGTACTAGATAGTGCCCTGATGTTCCTGGCGTCTCTCCCTTTGGATCTGTCCCAGATGCACTGTCGTGGGTGGGTCCAACCGCAGGTCGTGCATGTCCTCACCATAAAAAACACCAAATATAACAGCAACTGGTGCACTGATGAGTTTGAACATGATGCGTCCTAACATGCCCATGCTCGCCAGACCGGTCAGGTCAGTACTCTCCAGAGGGGCATTCGCCTCCAAGAGATGCTTCAGCTCGCAAACCCCGGATGATGAAACCACCCACTTTGGGTACAAGACTATCAAAAGAGAAGATAAAGAGAAGATGGTTGGTGGTGTGTTCTCTTCGGTGGCCTCCAACTACGACTTGATGAACGACGTCATGTCCATGGGTGTGCACCGCTTGTGGAAGAACCATTTCATAAATCGTTTAGACGCTGGTATGAGACCCGGATCCAACCGTCCATTGGACTTTTTGGATGTTGCTGGTGGTACAGGTGATATTGCCTTTGGGTTGTTGGAACACGCCGAAAAGCGTTTCAACGACAGAGCATCCACCATGACAATTGCTGATATCAACCCTGACATGTTGAGAGAGGGTGAACTCAGATACCAAAGTACCAAGTGGAACGATGGATCTGACAGAGTTAATTTCTTGGTGCAGAATGGTGAAACTATGGACCAAATTGAAGACAACTCCAAGGACGTGTACACAATTGCTTTCGGTATTAGAAACTTTACCAATATTCAAGCTGGTTTGGATACTGCCTACAGAATCTTGAGACCCGGTGGTATTTTTGCCTGTCTTGAGTTCTCTCAAGTTGACAATGCCGCAATTGATTACATCTACCAAGCATATTCTTTCTCCTTATTACCATTGATGGGTCAGTTGATTGCCAATGATAGAGACTCTTACCAATATTTGGTTGAAAGTATTCGTAAGTTCCCTAAGCAAGAAGAATTCAAGGGAATGATCGAGAAGGCAGGATTCTATGTCCCAGAAAAAGGTTATGAAAACTTGACCTTTGGTGTTGCTAGCATCCACATTGGTGTTAAGTTGTAATCGGGATGGTCATCGTACATTTCTATTGTATATATTTTAGTACTATATGATACAAACAGATCTCGAATAAATCTAAAGAACTAATAGACTTCACTAATTGCCCTAGAAATATCCTCGGTCAAGTTTAATATTCTGATGAATCGGTCAATCTTAGTGCTATCAATATCCATTGTATCCGACGATTTCACTTCACTGAACGTACCATTCGAAATCTTCAAATTGAAAGCCAATTCCTCCGTATGGATTCTACCTTCAATTTGGAGTATCAAATCAAGCTGCTTAGATGTGAAATCCACGTATTGTAAGCTGACATTGAAAAACTGTTCTGTGTTGGTTGCACTATTATCTGCGTCTTCATCACGCATGAATGTATCAAGATCAACTTCATCTTTATTTATTGGTTGGATAGTTGTATAGGCTGCCGTCTCAGAAATTGCATTTAACCCAAGTATCTCCTCATCTGTAACGTCATAGGACAATTTCAACGATTCACGAAGTCTTTTCTTGGTGTCTTCTGTCATTTCGCCATCAGCAGGACCACCAATTTTTGAGCCTCTACGAGACTGTGAATGCACTTTCTTCTTGGATGCAGTAGGTTTAGTGTGTATCAACGTATTCAAGATGTTGGAAAGAACTAAAAAGTTTCTTATTCCCGGTATTATAGTGGCAATGTCAATGACCTTGTTGATGGCAAAGGCGTAAACGGGTATGAAATTAGATGACTGTATGTCATTATAGCACTTTAAGTGAACCTCATTACCAGAAACCTCTAGGCAGTGTTCTATACTTTTGCCACTATTGTATTTCTCGAAAATTGGTTTCAACTCATTGTCAGCACTCAGGACTTTAAAGTTGGATATACCCAAGTATTCAAGAAGATACGATGGCAAATATATGCTGTGGTTAAAATTCAAGTAAAGCAACCAATTGGAAGGTCCACTTGCAGAAGTGTAAGCAGAGCTGCTGCTATCAGGGGGTAATTCATCTATTTCAAATTTGTACTTCTTGACGTTTCCCAAGGAATCGGAAACACTCCACTCATTTTGCTTCGCATCTGACAAGTAATCGAATTGCTCAGAATCCGAAGCTTCAACACTTATGAGAGCAGTGTATTCTTTACCCAAAAGTAGTCCTGAGGAATTCTTTTGATACTCGTGGTTGATGTATCTATTGTCTCTCCAAAAATCAAGGAAGAGGCCGAGCTGAAGTGATTTTAAGTCATTGAGTTTGACCATTCCTATACTGTTAGCAAAACCTTCCTTGATGAGCCAAGAATTCTCGTCCTCCTGGCCCAGCACTCCTTCCAATTCGTTCAAGGTGTATAGTATAAGTCCTATTTGCTCGAGAACGACAAAAAGGTTCACATTAGAGGTGGACAACCTATCGACATTTGCCAAGTATCTCAAATTAAACGGAAATTTATTCAATCTTTCGGAGGTCAAGTTTTGCATTAGAATTGTTTCTGCCACAGACTTATCTTGACCTTTTATAGGCGATAAGAATTGTAGCAGGCTTTTTCTGGGGTCCAAATGAATAACAGTCACCCCGTCCACCTGTTTCTGCTCAACAATATGTGATCCTGTTTTTGGTTCTTGTGATGATGATTCGGCCTCCTCGACAGGCGCTACTCCTGAGGACAATGACAATCCCACAATCTCGTTGTCCTTGAGAAAGTCGATATCAATCAAGATCGACGTTCCTGCTATACTCAATCTTTGGGTCTTTAGTTTGTCTTGGTTCTTCGAGATGGAGTCGACTGTATATCCGAGTTTATCAATGAAGGTCTCCAACTTTAATTGCTGAGCCAACCTCTGTACTAATTCAATGGAAACTTTGCAGTTTTGTGAATAGTCGTAAAGTGATGCTATTGCTTCACTTAATGCTTCGTTGAACTTAGACATGGCGGACTAGATGGGTGTTGATGTGGAGCCTTGTGTTGATAATACTAGCCAGATCTACAGTTTGTCACGTGCCTCAAATGCGTGTGGAAAAAATTGAATCTACAACTGACTGAGATGGTACCAGCAGAAGACTAAGCGACATGACTTTGAATTCCGATATCCTCACGTTGATAGACCCTGTTGTGGCCAGCTTGAAGCGTCACCAAATTGAGGGGGACAAGAACTTAGCCCTTGTGATTTCGCAGCTTTTAATGAAAGTGATCTCAGCTGCCCGTTGGACCAATCCTTATGATCTAATCGACACCATCAGAGAAGTCGGTACTATTCTCGAGAAAGCACAACCACGTGAAATCATAGCTGGAAACATAGTGAGAAGAGTGTTGGCCTTGATCCGAGATGAAATTGAATCTGTGCATCAAGATGACTCAACCAACACCCCAATGATGTCTTCCATGTTCAGTTTGTTGTCCACCAACAGTAACATCAACCACAAGGAGTTGCACAACCAACTGAAAAAGCAAAGCAGTGACTTAAGGTCCATCATCATCCAAGGTATCCGAGATTTGGTGGATGAAATCTCCAATGTCGATGAAGGAATGGAAACGATGTCGGTGGATTTAATTCACGATAACGAAATCTTGTTGACCCCTACCCCTACTTCGTCCACCGTGTTGCAATTCTTGATCAAAGCCAGAGCCAAGAGAAAGTTCACCGTTTTGGTCACCGAAAACTATCCTAATGATATTAATGAAGCTCATAAATTCGTGAAAACTTTGGTGGACAACAAGGTGGAAACCATTTTGATACCAGATTCTACCACCTTTGCTGTCATGTCAAGAGTTGGTAAGGTCATCATTGGCTCTAACGCTGTGTTCGCCAACGGTGGAAGCATGACCAATTCCGGGGTAGCAAATGTTGTCGAGTGTGCTAAGGAAAATAAAACACCTGTGTTTGCAGTTGCTGGGTTATATAAATTATCACCATTATACCCTTTCAACCGTGATGATTTAATAGAAGTTGGTAACTCCGGTAAGGTTTTGAACTATGATGATTTCGATTTGATAGAAAACGTCGATGTCATTACCAACCCGTTAGATGACTACATTCCGCCTGAACATATTGATATCTACATTACCAACATTGGAGGTTTCTCCCCATCATTTATTTACAGAATTGTTTTGGACAACTACAAGACTGAAGATAACAAGCTCGAATAGGCGAGACGAAAGCTATTGCATAGACTGTATACTAAATACACACACCTAATCTGGGTTGATTTATAAACTTCGAAATTTTGATTCTGTTGCTACCATCTTAATTGATTTGCGTACATCTCCTACTACTGCCTGACATGATCTGAGGCGATTTGCTAATGTGGATATCATTTCGAAAGGTATATCGAAGAATGTATCTTAAGGTGACGTTCAGGAATCTTAAATCAGAGTATTCTATTTCCCTATCCAAAAACGCACCTTTACGGCACATGATAGAATACCTGATACAATATACAGACAGAGCAGGATATACTCAGTCGTTGTATTTTTCAAGTCGACGTGAAGTATGGTTACTCTGATACTTCAACAGCAGGAAATTATCATTATTATTCTACATAATGCATGCTATCATTAAAAGTATTCGTTAAAGCTTTAATTACCGTATTTTGTATCTAGATGAGCCCCAAAGTATTGAATGAAAGTATTTTTGCCCTAGCCGTGAATGTAGGTAGCATCTATCTTAGTCAAGCTGGCACCCAAGTATAATCTCAATTTTCTTCTGTAAGCAGTAGGATTTTGAAGCTGTACTGGGTTACCTTCGAAATACACTGTGTCCAACTCTGGCAACTTTCCTAATTCCTTACCGATTTCCTCAAAGTTGTTGACTTTATTGTATGAACACCAGAAGTCGGTTAATTCTGTTAAATGACTCAAGTTTTCCAATTTGGTCAACTTATTCGAAGTGACATCCAAGACCTTGAGTTTGGTATTATTATCCAAGTTTTCAATCTTCTCTATCCCGTTATGCGACAAGTACAATTCTTCCAAATTCACTAACTTTTCCAAACCTTCGATTTTGGTAATTCTATTTGATTGGATCGATAAGACTTTCAAGTTTACTAAATTGTTCATGTTTTCAAACTTACTGATTCTGTTCTTACCTAACCATAATTGTTCCAATGAGATCAACTTGTCGAGAGTCTCACTTATGATTTCAATTTTATTTCCTCCCAATTCAAGATTCTTGATCTTGGTTAAAGTTTCAAGATTTTTGATTTCTTTGATACTATTCTGGACAAAATACAAATTTTCAAGCTCTGTCAATGTTTCTATGTTCTTGATGTTTTTGATTTTATTGAACGAGAGATCCAAGTTCTTCAATTTTGTTAAATGCTTGATACCACTAGATATATGATTAATACGATTGTCATACAAGTCAAGTTCCTCCATAGTATCTCCTGGCAATTCCTTAACTCCAGACATGCTAGTAAGTAAATTTTGTCTCAAACACAAAGACTCTAACTTTTGGAATCTGGATAAATTGAGGTCTTCCAATGAACTAATCTTGAGATGAATCAAGTCTATGTAGTCGGTATCAGGTTCATACCCTTTTGTTAAGTCTTGGTCTGCATCAATTTCTTGTACATTCAAATCAGGCAATACTGTTCCTGGATACTCCACAGGCAAAGGTTCATCTTTTGAGTCGCTAAGATCATCGTCATCATGTTCATCCTCAGATCCTGAGAAAACTTCATCAGCAATTGGCTCAACTTTAGGCTCTGGTTCGGAAACTGGCATCTTATGGTGGTATAAGGAGATGACTAACCCATCAAAGGAGTATAGATGACACGCACAACGTGATTGATTATCACGTGTCTATTCTGTTCATTCCACCAATAGGAGCACTTCATATTGGATTACTACACTCGATGAAACCATTGTTGTTAAAGCATTACGCTATCTAGTATCTGTTACTCTCTACATAAGTCTGATGGGGATGCATAGCAGTGAATTATCATAATCCATTATTATATACAATCTTTAAATATGATTCGAAACTAGGACCACCAGAATCACACCAATCTCAAGTCTTCTTCGTTAATCGTCAATTAGCTTACAACTTCTGTTCTTCTTCGAAAATGTAGTTGACGGCTTCACCGACAGTCTTGATTTCATCGGAGATCTTGTCTGGGATTTCCAAGTCGAATTCTTCTTCCAAGGCAACCAAGGCTTCAACGGTGTCTAAAGAGTCCAAGCCCAAGTCCTTTTGGAAAGAGGATTCCAATGTGATCTTAGATTCTTGCAAAGCAGCAACAGTCTTCAAAGCTTCGAAGGCACGAGTGGCAACTTCTTCTCTGGAGATTGGAGCAACAGCGTAGAAACGGACTGGCTTAACGAAGTGGGAAGCTAATGAGATTCTAGCAGCTGGGGCACGGGCAGCACGGACGGCGAACTTGAACATGTTGATGGTTGATACTGAAGTTGATTAGTATCAGATATTCATGAGACGGTTCTCGAAAAAATTTACTCCGCTTACGTAAGAATGTCTTTAGTATTACTAATACAATAAGAACCTATAGACTGAATTTTAAACTCCCTGAAGCAAGCAAGCTTTTGGACGTAAATACTGTGGCAGTACTCTGCTTGGCATTAATATGCATACTTGTTTTAGTATAGTTGGACAAATTTTTTATTGCAACCAAGTTACTTTATTTTTGTAGAGAAATTCAGAAATACTTGAAAAATGGCAAATTGTTTGATTATGAAGCTGCCCTAGAATAGAACGAGATATGGACTGCATACTGTAAAGCAAACTACTGCTCAAAGTTTTACGTAATCACTTATCTAATGGTGTGTACTAATATCTACCTGATACAATCGCATATATAAGAGGTTCAGACTATCTATTGCTTCATCACGCTTCTCCAGTTTAATGCGGTTCTCTTCTTTCCGAAGCTGAAACTGTCAATAGTGCTCTTATCAGAGCTGAGACCGGAAATCCCTGAGCCACTGGAAGCACTAGAACCTCTACTGGTTGTTCTGGTTAATCTAGATCCGGTAATGGATGGTGCAGTACCTGAGATACCACTAATGGATCTCTTGTCATTGATGGATTGTTGATAGTGAGAAACAGGCGCATGGTTGAGCGTTTCGTAATCAGTATTGATCTTTAACTTTTCAATGTCTTCTTTAAAGTTCTTCTTGTACAATTCAACCAAGACTTCATGAGATGCCTTCAAAGTGTTGGTGACCAATTTTCCGTGTAAGTGCAAGGCACGGTTCAAAATCATAGCCAAGTCATCGAAAGCCTTTCTCAATAATCTAATTTCATCAACGTAATCACCATTTCCATCGTACTTCGAATCAGTGAAAAACGTACGGTATTGACCAACACCACCATTGACTGGAGAGTCAACAGTACCTGCCAATTGTCTGGACAAATCGTTCAATAATGAGGTGTGATCCGTCTTCTCCTTGATGGCCATGTTAATCATACTTTCCAATTGAATCAAGTCATTGTTCTTGGTGACAATGGTTCTAATTGCATTATCCAAAGGTGACAACTTAATCACCTTGACAGACTTGATATCACTTCTGTTCATCAAGGTTGGGAAAGAAAGATGTGTTTCATAGGTGGTTTCCTCGGTCCACAAATCAAAGACAGAAGTGGATCCTGGAATCTTTTTCAAAGAGGTGAAGAATCTCAAATCCTTGTTTCTAGCGTATTGTCTAACACCGATCGAGGTGTTGAACAATTTATCCGAAATTTCATTGACTGGTTCCACAGTGCTAACATGTAAGTACCTTCCGGTTTGAACCTTATCTTTCAAATTTTTAGCTTCAACATCGTCGGAAATGATTCTAGCACCTGGGTACAATCTTAATAATCTCTCGTGAATAGAAGTGATATGTTCAAATGGTAAACCTTCATAGATTTGCTCTTTACCTCTAATGTTGGTTGGGAAACCAGCACCAATAAAGGAAACTCTGAAAAACGAAGGACTCAACTTATCACTGGATTCCAAGTCCAAGTAGAGCTTAGCCAATTTGTTGTGAACATAAGCAAAACTCTTCAAATCGTAAGTGTGATTGCTGTATGAATCAAGTAATTCGTTGTAGGTATCAGTAGCTCTTTCTAAACTGTTACCCTTAATGTAATTGGTTGCAATCATTTTATAGAGAGTTTCTTTTCTTTCAAATGATGATTGCTCTGGGAATTTTGGTCTGAAACTAGAAGGAATAATAGTATTGTGATCCCAAGTGTAGGTTGAGGCGAGTAATTCTAAACTCAATGCAGCTTGAATGTGATCATTTTTGCTGATGTTTTCCTCGTACATCGAGTTGATGAATGAGTGGAACAATTCAGGCTTGTTGGCATTCTTAAGATAGGCATTGATGTTAAGCTTGTGGAAAGTTCTATCATCGTCGAATTCTGGGCCAACTGGAACACTATTTAAATCGTTAAGAACGAACAAGAATCCGGAAACACTCTCAATGAAGTTGGTGATCATTCCATAAGCTTCATCTTCTCTATCCAATCTAATAGTCAACTTCATTCTTTCAATGAACATATCTTGTTCAACTAAGCTTGGCTTGTAGGAGTTTCTGTTGTAGATTTCATGCAATCCAACAAGACACTCCTTTTCAATGTCAACAATATTGTCACTAAGAATGTATTCTGAAATCATGATGGACCACAAGATTTTGACACTTACTGACTGACAGGCAGCGTTCTTTTGCAAAGCAAACAACATCAAGTCTTGGAGAATACCATAGTCTTGGTTAATAAACTCCACCTGATATCCACCAAATTTGTTAAGGTTGAATCTAATGATGTCTTCAGAAGTAGCATCCCAAGCCAAACTATCCCACGCTTCATTAACAAGGAAAGCTGCCCTGTCACGGACAGTACCTGTGATCTGGAAACAAGCCTTTCTTGGGACATCGGACAAGTGTTCGATAGAGACAGGAGCCAAGACAGCCAATCTCAACAAGGTTTTCAAGTAGTTACCCCAAAGAACTCTGTCAAATACTTCTGACTCAGAGATTGATGGAATATAATGGTTAATCAATAATGGCCTAATTAATTCCAACGAAGCCAAACAACCATCAATAATGACACCGTACAATGACAACCATTTGTCTTCTGGGAAGAATTTACCCTGTCTCATAAGTTTAACACCAGAAATAAGAGTGATCAAATCCTCATTTCTGAAGTCTGAAGCCAAGTACTTCGAAGGGTCGAAGAAGTCATTTGGAATATCCAAACTTAAGATCTTGCTGAATCCTTCACTTCCAGCAGTAGCCTTACCAATTCTAGCAATGAAACAGAAAATACTGGACAATTCTACCAAGATCTCGACCAAGACTTCATCATTAACAATTGGATCAATGGATGCTTCCTTGAATGGATATTCAGTAGGGAATAATTGGGTGAATGTTCTCTTTGGCTTGAAGAAATCATTACCTCTGGTGAACTTGTTATATTTGATAATTGTTCTGGAAATAGCAGGCAATAACTTAGTCAAGGAGTAGCACAAATCAATTTCTTCTTCTTTACCTTCGAGAACAATAGTCTTCCACAACAAAGTACACACCGAGTTTAAGACACTACAAGCCAATCTTGAAGCATCAATATCAGTTGGTCCCAATAAGACTTCCATAACCCATCCGACTGATTTAGAGATCAATAATCTCCTAGAAGCAGCATCTTCAACAATACTGGAGGAGAAAAGACGACGAATCAACAAGAGTTTACTGACAATAATCTTATGGTCCTTTTGGTTGGAAACAGAAGATTTCTTATTATTGAAGGCTTCTTCGTTTGCACCCAATCCTCTGATACCAATGGTATCAATGAAACTGACGATAAACTTGAGGAGATCCAAGACGTTAAGGTAAGATTGGAAAGTCAAGACATAATCAATAATATCCAAAATCAAAACTTGATCGTTGACCAATGAGTTAGATTGGATGGACAAGAAGAAAGCTCCAGATTTGAACAAAGAGCTAAGAGCTTTGAAGTAAGCGTCGAAATCACTAGAAGCATTGATCGAATGAACAGCCAACTTCATAACCAAAGCGACCACACGACATAAGGATCTTGACATGGAGTTCCAGTTGGATTCAGCTCTCGAAAAGATTTCAGACATCTTGTTGAGCAAGAAAATACCGATCAATGGAAGATTGCTGTATCTTTCAACAAAAGTGTCAATCAAATACAAGTATTGGTCTTGCTTACCGAAGACAATATCCAATAAGTGAACAATTGCCTTGAAGGTATTGTCATGAAGAATTTCAATACTTGAGGACAATCCTTGCTGGAAGGAATAATCAACAATGCTGTATAAGGAGCTCAATAATTCAGGGAAGTACTTGACCAATTGAGAAATGTCCAATTTACAGAATGAAACCAACGAGGCCGATAATTCATCGATACCCTTTGAGCCTGATCTGAAAAATCTTTCAAATTGGAAAATGTTGTCAATTGAAGAATCAGAATTGTAAATCTTACCAACATATTCAGTACTAAGATCGACTTGGGCCATTGGGATATTGTGAGTGGTCGAGATAATTTCAATTGTGTGAGTCTTTCGTTTGTTAAACTCAACTAACCTATTGCCAGACTTGTAAAGCAATTTACCCTCACCAGCCAAAACACCGTTGACATACAACGATAAGACAATGTGATCATCCTTTGGAAACTTCTTGGATGGATTCTTCAAAGAGACTCCATTGATCTTAATAATCTCACCAACAGATTCGTCGGGGAAGACAGAAACGAATTGCCAGTTTCTCTTTTCTTGTTGATTAGAGGCCTTGGCGAAAGTGATAAGTTCATTGTTTGGAGTACTCACCTCAAAGGTCAACAAATCATCCTTGGTGATACTGTTAAGTAAACTAACCTTACCCATAGCCAAATAAATTCTTTCATAGTTCTCAGCCAAAGGATCAAAGAAAATAGGCTTGATTCTTGAAATTGGTGCTGAGGTGCTAATAGGATTCTGGTTAACACCAGCGAATTGATGCTTAAACTCCTTAATGGAAACAATCAATTTTTCAGCTCTTGGATTGACAACAACACCATGAGAAGAACCAGAAATAATTCTATCAACCAATTCACCCCAACCATTGTTGACAACAGGATCTTGGTCCTCCATCTTTGGACCCTTTTTGTTGTTAACATAAGAACCGAACAATTTGATTGAGAATTGATGGGATTCTCCTGATTGCAAAGAACCCTGGTTTCTACTGAAAATTCTGGTAATATCGGTAACACCAGCAGCAACACCCTTCTTAACTCTCTTAACCAGAGGCACGTTGTTAGTTTTGACACTCAAATCAATCTCCTCAGTCAAAACAGCAACCAAATAAACTCTACTGTTCTCAATTTCACTCGAAGGAATGTTTCTAAACAAAGCAGCACTGATCTTCTCGACATGGACCAAATCATCAACGGAATTGGTGTGGACTGCAAAGGCCTCAGTCAATCTCTTACGATTGTTTCTAATGTACAAGTAAGCAATCATACCTGCGAAGCCTGGTGGCTGGTAAGCTGAACTACCAGAAACAGACTTGAAATCAACAAGAATGTGGGAAGGAGGCTCATGGTGTAACTTCTTGTTAGGAGCTGGCTCCAAAGAAAACTCCTCAATATGCTGGTGGGCGTTGATTGGGAAGTTGGAAGCCAAGGCACACAAAACTTGATTGAGAGCAATCTTCGAAGGGAAAGTTACTGAGTTAGCCAACAACTCACCGGAAGTAGTTTCTCTGGATAAGATGGCCTTGTAACCAGAGATATCGGTGTTGTGGTTGTCTAAATCGTAGGATTGTGCATTCAATCTTGCGGCTCTGGAAGCCAATTTTTTTGGGATTTTGTTTAATAAGAAAGTAGCAGTTTCCTTAGCGACTTGAGTTTCATCGATAGTCAATAAGTTATGGGTCAACTTGATTCTGGTTTCGTTCAAGTCGTAGTAAATACTAGACAACTTGTTGAACAATCTGAACTCACCAATCGAGTACAAGGCAAAAATATGGGAAGTCAACAAACCTAATGCATGTCTGATTTCACCAACTAAGTCTTCTCCCTGTTCGAAGTTGTCCATAGGCAACACAGGTGCTAAAGGTCTGGTGTCACCGACATTACCATCGATGGCAATCTTACGAGCCTTTTCGGAGTCTTGCAAGGTTGGAACAGCATCGATGTTGGTAATGTTGTTGAAATTCTTACTGACCTTGATATCGGTGATCGCAACTGGTTCAACAATCTTGAAGTACTTCAATGGAAAAACAACCACGTTGATGTTAACACCAGGCAACTCGTCCAAGTTGACAGAGGTGATGGTGAAATCGTTGGGAAAGGGCTTGGAAAGAGCATAACCTCTTGCCCATCTGTCATTCTTGGTTTCAAAAACGTAAATTTCATCACCAGGGTAGAGATTTTTCAAACTGCTGTTATGCAAGTTTGGGTGTTTCTCATACGGCAAAAAGGGCTTGATGATCTTTCCCCTTAAGAAGGATTCGGTAGGTGTCCAAGTCATTGAAAAAGAGTCTATGGTAAGGAGTAATTGGTGAAATCTACCAGGATTTAGATGGACAATTAGACGAGGGTCCGAATCGTAATTAACCCCGATTGGGAAACGGGTCGCCTGACTATGTGCAGGACTATAACGTACATCTTCGCCTGAGTTTATGCAAGCCTAGAGGATGAAACTGGATGAAATTAGCTACACAGATGTAAAATTAACGGATAGAATTAAAGTTACGAGAACTGGACATGTCCAGTAAATTTAAAGAGGTGGTATCTCGCAGGAATCTGTCATCCAGAGTGATTTCACGAGCCTTAATACGCGTATGCCAAAATCAAAAACTCTCTAACTTTCGGAGTGGAGCACCACTGTATTGACTTGTAATCCAAAGGCGCCACTAAGTTGCAAAATCTCGTTCGGATCATGCCAAAAATGATATCCACTTACTCATGACATCCTTGAAACTTCTGATATTATAGTCTCGTCCTCCGTCCCAAATGTACCTGTCCATCTCTGTTCTACCTGAGTCGAAGTCCAAGGTGTCCAAGCTCGGGATCCTAGTGCCCTTAAGTAACTTGTAGCCAAAATACAACACAGCGAACACAAGTAAGGTTCCGTAACTGGAAAAGAAGAACATGGTATTCCATTGGTCCTTCAAAAAGACAACAAAACCCATGGCTAGAATTATGGCAGCAGATCCGAAAAGACCAATGAATGCAGTGTATGGCTGAAATGGTGATTTATATGGGTACGACTTGTCGTCTCTATTGATGATATCTGGTCTTCTCTTCAACCCATAGTAGAATCGGATGTACGACAAACACATGGCAAACCATACCAAAACACCGGAAGACGCAATAAGACTTGTCAAGTTTTGAAAGACAACCGTGGCCAGCTCTGACACACAAATATACGACAACAATCCAAAACTAGCAGAGAATAATACTGCATTGTATGGAATACCTGATCTGCTGCAATGGGTCAAAAACTTGGGTGCCTTGCGCTGCAAGGCCAATGAATAAAGGGTTCTTGAACTGACATATAATTGTGCATTACCACAACTAACAGCAAAGAACACCAAAAATGCATTGACAGCCGAGCTCAAATCACATAATTTAGCACTTTGCAATGCGACAATCCACGGGCTTTGAGCTCCACTTGCAAATCCTGCGAACACAGTAGAATCACTATTGCAGTTAAGTCCCCCAGCGTACTGGATGGCATAATTGGTAGCGAATTGATCCAGCTCAACACCAGTCAAACCTGAATAATACCGCAACAATCTAGGATCACCAGAATAAATATTCAATGACACAACAAATGACGATAAGCAGTAGAAGATGATAATTCTCCAAAAGACTCTTTTGGTTGCGGAGGGTAAAGCCTTTCTAGGATTTTGTGCTTCACAAGCAGCTATACAGACAATTTCAGTTCCACTATAAGCGTATGCAACCACAACCACGGCTACCAAAAGCGACAAAAAGCGTCCTTCATTTCCACCCTGACCTTTATTTGGAGGATCAGTTCCACCATCACTAAGATTGAATGATGGCCGAAATAACCCAAAAAGAACGTTATGTGCAAAATCTGACTTGTTGTGATCCCAATATTTGAAGCCAATATAGTCTCTGTTGGGAAACCCACCAACATTCAAAACAATCATAATAACAATTACAACTAATGCAAAAGTCAACTTGATCAAACTCGAGATGTACTCGATCTCACCAAATACTCGAACATCAATCAAATTGATAAGAACGATACTTAGTAAAAATAATGTCACAAATCCTACCGAAGGAGCAGTGTCTGTAGTTATCTTGAGCGCAGGATAATAGGCGAGCATGATAACGCTTGCAACCACTTCACCTGCTAACCCAAATGCAAAACTAGCCCAATACAACCACCCTACTGCAAAACCAAAGGCATCATCAACAAATCTGGAGCTTAATCCGGAAACCCCATCTACCACAGAAATAAAAGTGACCATTTCACAGAACGAAACGATCGTTGTTAAGACAACAATACCACACAAAATAAAAGCGAGTAAAGTGCCGAACCCGCCGGCAATTGTAAATGCTTTTCCACTGTTCAAAAAGAGCCCAACACCAAGGGTGCCACCAAAGGAAATCATCTGTAAATGTCTCACCTTAAGCTTTCTCTGCAAAAAGTGATGATTCTTCTCTTCAGCAGATGTGATGGGCGAGGAATCGCTTACGGAATCTAGTTCGTTGCTATTGACCAAAGTTCCTGGATTCTTCTTGACATCTTTTCCAAACCAGTACTTGCCTCTATTTGATTTGGATTTCGATCGTAAGGATTCTCCGTCAGCTTTTGAACCTTTCGCAGGGGTGAAAAGTTTCCAATCTTTAGAAATCCATGAGGATTTGGGCTTCACAGATTTATTTTTGTCCGAAGGTTCACCAGTGAAGTTCTCGTCATTGTCAGCATAAAAATGTTGTGCCATGTCATTAGTGGCAACCACATCCAACACATTATCTTGTTGGGGGTTTCTGGAGGCAATTTTGTCGTAAATTAAGTCGTTGAGTTCTGTCTGTTTGACGTATCTGTTGAAATCGTCCAAGTTAGATAAGTCAAATACTGAGGATGCATGTGAAGTTGTTTTCATTAATTGAAGAGGGATATCAGTTTGGCTTTTCATGCTGCTGATGACCTGCTTGACCTGTTTCTGTTTTCGGTTATCCTTCTCCAATTTCTCGTAGGTTTTAAGGTACTTGAACCTCTCATCTTCTTCGGGTACATGTCCTATGAGCTCGCCATGTCCGCTGAACGCATTTGCCATTTTGCTGATGATCGAGGAGTTGAGCGAGAGACGATCGGCATCTTTTGATGCTTCAGGGTGTATCTGTAGACCAGGATCATACGCCAGTTTGAATAAGTTCTGTCTATCTGCCAAGTCTACTTCCTCGTGTGATGCTAAGTTGTGGAGGGTTTGTTGGTTGGGCTTCGACTGCTGGAAAATGTGCCGGAAGTTCTGCATGGACGAGGTGTTCGACACCATCGACTCTCTGACTCTGGTCACATCCAAGGGGTCTGTTGGGTGGAGGTTGTGGGGGCTGAGGTCCTCATCGCTATCTTCGCGGACGTCGTCGTCGGGTCCGAAGACACTGTGTCTGAAGTGGGGGTTGCTGTGATTCCGCGGGTTACCAAACAAGTCCTGACTGACGAGTGCCGCTGAGTTGGTCGAGATGGTGGACCAACGGTTTTCGTTGGACCCTGGTTGGGTCATGACTAATGGTAGGTAGGAAAGAAAGGCAAAGTCACGAAAGGGTCAAGTGAAAGTACATGAGATCCAACAAGCGATACGGGTGACAATTACTAAATGTTGGGGGCGGATGAATAATCAATATGATTTGGGCAGATAACAGGCTTTGGTACTATCTGGGAGCACAATGAGATCACCCGCGACTGCACACAGGCCATTGTCAATGACAGTGATAGAGACAATAGGGAAGAGGGAACCAAGGTAGATCAGCACGGGGAGGCACCATAGACGTGGGTGGATGTGCAATTACATCATTCCATTAGTGGGTCCATCACAGCGAACGGTGCTTTCAACGGTCAAGTGTCGATACAGTAGCGGTGAGAATTGAGGCGAGTTTCATAACTCCACAACCGGAACAATACGAGGTAGCTTGGTACGCATGTAGGGCGCCTAAACACTGCCGAATTCACCATGGCTTTGCCAATACTTCCAGAAATCGACATGGAGCGAAATTATTCTACCTAGCCGGAACCATAATATTTGCCATTATCGTTCGTTCACCTTGGCTGTGAAATCGACATGGATTAAAATCCCAGCATTGACCTCAGTTCAGGACACTCGACATTTTACCTATCCAGTATGACCTCACACTGGCGAGCTAAAATGTGCGTCAGAAGCCGGGTTGTGCAATGGCAGCGACACTGTGTGTTGGGGTGTGGGCAAGCCCATCAAGCCCCAGCACGAGTTCTCCAAAAATAGGGGTAACGTTGTAAAAGTCATCAGTGATGACGTTTCAGTTGTTACACTGAAAAGAACAGATACTACACTTGATCTAAGCCAAAAGGCAAAGAGATTTGGGGGAAGAAACTGGGTGGCAGGGGAACCCGCAGTATATATACCTCCGGCCAGGGTCCGGGTAACCCGCACTTCCCCCGCGATGCCCTCGCCCTGTTGCCACCCCGCCACCGGATTTTCGGTGCTGGAGCAACTAGCAGGCCCAGCCACGGCACACGACTATCTGGCTTCCAGGAAAATCTTTTTCCTTCCTCCCTTTTCCATGTCGCCTCAGGCGCGGTTCTTTTTTGTTCTCACCACTTCTTCCAGTTTCGCACGCGTTCTTTCTACCAGCCATGCGCCCGTGACTTACGTCATCTGACACCCGTGCTCATCTCATCCCTCCCCAGGCAAAATGGGGGGCCAGAAAATTTTCAGTATATAACCTTATCAGGATTCTATCTAGTCAGTGATAATTAAGCATTTGCAAGGCAAACACAAAAGACCAACTAGACATCCCATAGAATAATACCCAAAATGCCTTCCTTTACGAAATCGAGAAGATACTCTCCAAAGAACTTTGTTTCTCCATCGGACAGAAAGAACTCGAGAACCAACCAGAAATACAGAAAATACTACCAACAACAACCCTCCAACTTGGTATATGTGGAAGAGCCAGACAGCGATGCTGAGTCCACCTCCGAGTCCGAATCCGACTCAGAGTCTTCTGACGAAGAAGTCTACGAGTTCAACTTGAACAACAACGCTGACGAACAAGACATAGACGGTGAAATCTACTTTGACGCCTTCTCCGACGAGGAGGACGAAGCCGACTTGTACATTATCGACATGAACGACGAGTTGGAAAACGACGCTATTGACATGTTGGAAGCTGACGGCCAAGTCCACGACTTGAACGACCAGTTGATCAGATACTACGACTTCGAGTCTGAGTCTGAAGACTCCGATGCTTCCGAACAATCAGAAGACTCAGAAATGGAATCCGAATCCGACTCTGAGCTTGAAATCGAGCTTGAGTCCGCTTCCGACTCTTCTGAGTCCGAATCCGACTCTGAATCCGACTCCGACTCCGACTCATCTGAGTCCGACTCCGATGAAGAGATGGAAGCTCAAGATATCTTGGATATTGTTGACTTGAACGACCAGTTACAAGCACAAGCCTTGAAGCAAATCGCTGCTGGAAACTACGAAGAATCATCCGAATCCGACTCCTCTGAATCCGACTCTTCCGAATCCGACTCTGAATCCGACTCCAACGAGTCCGAATCCGAGCTTATCGAGTACTCCTCTAACCCTCGTGAGTTGAAGGATCAATTAGTGGTTGAAGCTATCAGACAAGCATTCGAAGAAGACTTAGTCAGTGATGACGAAATCATCTTGTCTGAAGATGAAGACTCAGAATTAGGATCTGAACCAGAATACTTTGAAATTGAATCTGATATCGACCTTGAGTCCGAAGATGACTACGATGCTGGCAATCCTGAACACTACGAGTTTGATGACGACTCATCCGACTCCGATTCCGACTCTGAAGGTTACACTATTTACAGACACAGATTCGACTTACCAGAGCACGACAGCGACGACTATTCCACTGATGAAGAACTCGTTCCTTCCGATGAAGATGACCTCTATAACGAAGTTGGCTTGTTGCGTGCTAACGATTCTGATGATGAAGTTGAAATTATTGACTTGTCCAAGGACTTGGAAAACTCCAAGGACTGTGAGTTGGTTGAATTGGATGAAAGCACCTACAAGTTGACCTTGAGATTCCCATCCCTCATCAAGGAAGAGTTGAAGATTGATTTCTTGAAGAACCAAAACGAATTGATCATTAGAGGAAAGTTCAACTTCAACGATATTGAAGAATCCGACGATGAATCTGGGGATGAATCTGATGACGAACAAGAAGTTGTTGCTGAAGCTGTTCTCGTTGAAGCTGATGAAGATGAAGAGAATGACCAAGACTACGAAGTCCAAGAAGAAGAAGATGCTGATGAACCATTGGAATTCTCTGGCTTCGAGGGTCAAGCTGAAAGTGACAAGGCTGAAAGGGACCCATCTGGTTCCGAATCCGAATCCGAATCTGACTCCGACTCCGAATCCTCTTCTTCTGAATCCGATTCCGAGCTGTCTGACTCCGACTCTTCTGATTCTGAGAGCGACTCTTCTGATTCCGAAACTGAAGAAATCCAAGAAGATGCCGAGTCGCTTATCAAGGAATTCGCTAACCACGAAATCAGCTTTGAGAAGCACTTCCAATTCGACAAGATAATCAAGTTTGACCAAATCAAGGCTTCTTTCGTTAACGACGATGAATTAGAACTCATTATTCCAAATGAGTCTTCTCCAGTTAACAAGGCCGACAACATCTACTCCATTGCTATTGCTGCTCAATCTCAAGAAGACGAATCCTCCACTGAGGAGATCGAAGAGTCTGCAGCAAAGGAAGTTGAAGATGTTGCCATGGAGGCTTAAAATATGAAATTCAAAAATGAAAAATGAAAATGAAAAATGAAAATGAAAACTCCAAAACCACAAAAAAAGTCACTAGAACTTACCATTTAGGTCTAACCTTGACGGTACCTTCATCCTTGTATTATATAGTATTTATCAATTAATAGATTTCAGTTCACTTTGAACACTTGAGAATAACACCAGTAGTTGTACAAGCTCCTAGAGCTCTGAATTTATACTTTTCTTACTATTATACTGATTTATTTGTCTAGCTCAGTTCTCCTCGCCTAGATTATCAATTTTCGTAGGAAGATCTTTTTGCAGCAAACAACCATGACTTCCCCCGTTGATCCCCAATTCAGCTCAAGTTTACACAGTTTAACGTTGGAAAACGAGGACCCTTACGAGTACGTAACGCCCGATATCTACCAATCTGTTTTTTTACGGGATCAGGAGGTCTGGATTCAGAAAATACCAACATGCAATCGTTTCTCTACTAGTTTGGCCACTGAGACCAGTTTGTTGAAACACATTCCTGCAACAGAACTCAATACCTGGAATATTATTCACTACCAGCTTTTGAGGAAGTTACTCCTAGCATTGGGACTGGGCTGTGTGAGGTTCTCTGTTTTCAAGCGAAAATGGCGAGACTGGGCTCATTTTGGCAACCTCTTTTGGACCAAATTGGTCCATGATGCCAAATTGAATCAAAAAGTTCTGGAGAACCCACTCGCTATTGTCAGGCTAATCCTAGACTTTGTTTACTTTGCATATGCTGTATTAATACTAGTTTACCCTCTGGTGGTCATGATGATAAACAAAAGTGTTCATGGGTTTGCACCGCAGGACCTTCCTAGGATACCTTTTGTATCGACTCCTACTTCGATAGCCCTAATTTTATCTACAGAACTCAACAAAATTGCACCACCTCCACCAGTTCCTCAACCATACTTGGATGCGGACAGAAATATTCAAGTTCCCAACATGAGAAAACTCAAGACAGTACTATCACTTCGAAATGAATATTTGACGCTGTACTGTGTTCATACAGCCGCCGAAAAAGTACGGCTACTATCTTGTATTTCTAAGTTTGTTGTTTGGGGCTCAATACTTACAAAAACTAGTTCATTGACGGTTTACGAACAATATGGATTACTTTGGAAACAAACAGGAGCTGCATCCGGTCCAGATTTCAGAGTAATTGGAGACGCGATCCTATTTGAATTAGACAATGTCATAAAAACCCATCCCCGAGTACCAAATATTACATTGATAGATCCAATTTCAGGTACTAGGCATATATTGTTCAAGACAGGAAAAGTCGAGTTGAAGGTTTATTTTTGTGATTATCGAAGTAGGAAACTAAGTGGGAATATAGAACACCTTCCAGAAACTGCCGATTTAACTATTGTCCCGCGAAGTGGCTTAGGCTACCATATGGTGACAAATGGCTACATATGTGCACCTTCTAGACGAGTTGGCTCATTCTACTACGGTATGGAATCTTTTACTTTTAAATTGTTTTTGAATTCGCTCAACTATTTTGCAATAACTGGTGCAAATACATCTTTGGAAAACTAAAACCTGACAACTTTCCAACTACATCCACCCTTTACAAGATCACGACCTCAATAATGACTAGGGCCAACTATGACAGTTGTACGCATTCGCCTTTGGTCACTATTCTAGAAAAATATTATGGACTTGAATTCCCGTGGATCTTATCGCTTATGTATACTATATTTATTTTGCTCACACTTTTTTGCTATTGAATGCGGCTGTTAACTTTACTTGATTGATTGAAGTTAATTTTGATAACTATTGGCTACTCAGAACTCCTATTCATCTGCTATCAGCACCCATTCACACGTCCCTTATCATAGTGTTGACTCTTAACAAAGACTATCCATAGCAGTGCCTACAATGATGTTGAGACATGGGCTTTGCGCAACGTCATTCAGAAGTATAAGGTCCATGAAATGTATACCCCAAGCGAGTCGAATATCTAGACTTCAACGTCTACCTCAAAGCATGCATCGTTCGATCCACTCAAGCAGGGTATTGAATAAAGTGGAGGACAGTGCTAAAGAGCAAACTACGAAGGAAATAGCTACAGACAAAGTAACGGGGTCTTCCAAGGCAGAGGAAGCTACGCCATCAAGCGAAGATTCAGACCAGTCTGGTTCCTCAACAGATGTTCCACACCCAGATGAATTCCTCACCACAGCATTTGACAACTTGGAACCTTACATGGACACATACAGCGTATATACACAGCTAAAGAATTCTGGATTCACGAGTGAACAAGCAGATAGCATCATAGATTTGCTTTTAGTTCAACTCAACTCAAAGCTATCCAAGCTCCCCACGAAGTACTCACAATTATTCGAATTGGAGAACGAGAGGTACTTATTTGAAAGTGCACAACAAGAGTTACGAGTGGATATAACCAGATCTCGAGAACAACACATCAACGAGTTAATAAGTTTGATCAACATTCTTCAAAGAGACTTCCATATCATTTCAGATGAGCTCAATAGTGACTTCATACAGATGAAAAACGATTCCCAGGTTGCTATCAATGACCAGAAGTCAGAAAACACGCTTCTGTCCAAAAGAATCATTCTCAAAATCCAGGAAACGAACCACAAGATTACTACAGAGTTGAACTCGGCCATGAGATCGGAAATTGAAAGTTTAAGATGGAACTTGTCCAGATGGGGGTTGATAGCTATCTTGATATCTGTTTTCTCAGGGTGCAGTTTGTTCTATGCACAAAAAGCCAAGACAGCGAGAGAGGAGCATCACAAGAACGAATTCGTCCCATTGGTAATCTACGAGCCTAGCGAGTATGATGAAGATGACTATCATACTGATTTAGACAAGAGTTTAATTAGTTAGACGTCGGTAAAAAAATGCGAACTAAAGCACACTTCTTTTTCCAACATGTCTAGTTGTGATCCAAATACATGCAAGCCCCAGGCATGTGCCATCCAAGACTGCTTACAGGCCAACGGGTATAACGAATCCAAATGTTCCAAATTGATCGACCAGTTGTATCTTTGTTGCAAGAACTTCTACGAACAGAACGGCAGCGATGCCCAGAGTGTTTGCTGTCCTAAGTTCAACCTCCTTCAGTTGAAGCTCAAACAACGGGAGTTGGGCAAGATAGATGCTGAGTTGATCCCAACCAGACGGGGATAAGAATACTAGAATGCTACACGAAGGCATGTACGTTTAGAACCGCGTAGTCAATCCAACTATCAGAAAGACTCGACAAATATGGCTGGTAAAAACAGTTGGTCTAAGGCTTACCCGAGCACGAAAAAACCACAGAGTGGTTATAGATTATATGTAGAGGAAATATCACACAATCCGTGACTCTAATGGGCGCCTAAATTAAAGACATTGTATGAAGAAGAAAAGTAAAACTGGCCTATATTTGTGCGCTTATATAGTGGAAAAAGCGAGTGTCCGGGTAACCCGCCCACCCAGGGCCTTCTATCTATGTACATGGTGGTGGGTCAGACTAGCGTTGTACGGTGACTGCTCCTGGCTAGGACGAGTCCTCGTCGATGCTGGTTTTCTTTTCACGCTTGTCGTAGTCGTGTGCGCTAGGGATGTAAGACTTCAAGGCTAGGGGTTAGTATGGTGGCGAAACTGGCTGGGTTGGAACATATACGTACGAGAAGAATCGTCGATCCACAACGTTTGTCCACTGACATTCTTCATTGAATTGTCGACCTTGACGCTGCGTTCAAACTCTTTGACTGCCTCGTCAATCTCTAACGGGTCTACGCCTAGATCCACGAGCTGCTTCCGCAACATGGCGATGTGTACACTCATTTTGAAGCTGCGACGAGCATGGTCTCTGCGTTCTTGCACGATCTGGAGGTCCCGTTGCTTACGGGCATTGAGGAAGTTTGCCTGCTGGACCTGGAGGGCCTTTTGGGTGATTGCAGATGTTTCCTTGTTGAGTGACTCGAGTTTGGTGCGGGTGGTGTAGTTATCGATGGCAATGTATGCGAGCACGTACATGGCAATCAAGCTGGTAATTTCCTTGATGTTGCTTCCACGATCCGACTGCTGATGCTTGGATTCCGAGCCATTGGCGGTGTTGTTCTGTGCGGTGAGAGGAGCTGCCATTGGTGCAGTGTAACTATAATCCTGGGGTGGTTGTGTCTCACCATATGGCCGGGGTACGGAGTGGGGGTCCGAGAAATGCGTAGGAGGGTGTGTTTGAGTGCTTAAGGGCCTCCAGGAGACCATGGAGACTTGAGATCTCCATAAGACCGAAGACGTCCGGATGAGTTTGATGGCAGACAGTAGCATTGGGGCGATTAGAGGATTAGAGGTGTTGGTCCGTTCTTGTCAATTTATGAGATGTATGCAGGCACTCAATCAGCAAATGGATCAGATAGAAATCGCGATGGCATAAACAGAGAGATGCCCACGAAGTGGATCCTGGTACTAGTATATCAGTAATGATGACAATATTTTACAGATGAAGTAGTCAGAGAAATAGAAATTGCTGTGTTAGCAGCATAGATATAGCCATTCCACTGCAATATTTGACTACATTAGTCCACTGCTTTGCGATGACGGGCAGCAGTGATATTTGAATACATTAGTCCACTCTACTCGGTGAGAAGACAAGCAGTGATTTCTCCAATTACGCTAGTTCGATTATATGGTGATGTACATTAAGCTATAATAACAGACGGAACGTTTAGTGTCTTCTGGATTCAGCAATGACTTGGTTCATTTCTTCAACCTTTCTCAAGGCTCTCTTGTGGGTACCTAATCTCTTCTTGGCCAACTTCTTAGCTCTCTTTTCACCGGCGTTTCTGATCAATTCAATCAATCTTCTTTCGTATGGGGCAAGACCAGCGACTTCCTTGACAATGCTTCTGACGAAAGAGGTTCTCTTGGAAAGAGCACCCTTTCTGTAAGAAATCTTTGGGGCGACTTCCTTGGCAACGGTCTTGTGACCTTTGTTTAATCCAACAGCAATACCTAGAATGTTAGTACTTGAATGTCGAGCTGAGGGTCCTTTAGATAGACTGTGACGGGGAAACATCCTCCCATACTGAATGCTTTGGTGCTCTTCTCGAAGTCGATTTCTCGTGAAAATTCTAGCTCTTCTCCCACTATGCAAGCGTTATTCGTTTCTTGTCTAATTTTCGTGGTTTCTTGGACTATCTGTTTCTCAAGTATAGATTGGGGCCATCCATCACGGGGGATCTTGTCTTCTGGACTCATTCGTTCATTAGCTTGGCTATTACATACCTGATCTAGCCATTATGTATGTTATTCCTATTTGGTTGATAGTAGAAAGAACCGAAAAGATATATACTCACTGAAAAATTTTCCCTGGGTGGTTGGTACGATGGGACAGTATCCACAGGGCCAGTGCGTGCGGCGGAGAACCTGGTCACGTGCGCGCCTTTGGCGCTGCGAAGAACGTGCCGGCACCAAAGACCTGTGTGCATCTACCGAGATACGGTGTCACGTGTCGGTGTGACTGCTTTTTGCCTATAGTTAACTTGTAGTTATATTCTATATACATGGGCTAGAGGCTTATATATGCAGCAGAAACGGTTCCGATGGGCCTGTGAGGACATCACACAGTGATGGCGGAAAAGTCGTAGTTGTAGCTGGCCAACTTGTCGACCAACTCACCAGAGGTCAAGTAGCTGTGGTTTCTTCTGAACTCACTAGCAGACACGGGGGTGTAGCTGTCTCTGACGACCAATGGGTAGAGCTCCTTCAAGAGCTTGTTCTTGCCGACGGTAATCTGCTTGCCATCAGAGTGGATGTAGTACACTTGACGCGTGTTTCCCGATGCATCCTCCACCTTGGGCAACTCATTGAACTCACGCTTCTTGAGCACCTCGTAACGCAATCTCCATCCCTTCAATCCGATGGTCTTGACTCTGGCTGGCTTGTCCTTGGTCAAGTAGTTGTCCAATCCACCTTCTTTGGTGATGGTCTTCAACACCTTGGTCAGCACCTTGGTCTGGATGGCACGGTTCAATGTTTCCGACCACAACTTGGCCTTTTGGATGTTTGGCAAGTGGACACGAAGGTTCTTGTTTCCGGACTCCGAGCTGGTCTTGGAACGCTTTCTCTGGAGACCTCCGTACAACCCACGGTTCTGTCTCTTGAAGAACATGGTTTCGTATGCATAGTCGGGATACTGCTTCTGCTTGGAGGGGATGCTCAAGCCCTTGGTGATTTCTTGGCCTGCCTTGTATTCGGTGGTGTCCACGGGCTTGACGTACTTGAGGATCTTGTAGAACTTGTCTTGCTTTCTGCGGGGCGTTTCTTGCCATAAGTTGGCGTACAGGGAGAACCCTCTTATTATGGTCATGGGGGATGCTCTGGTGGCCGAGAGCATGGATGCCACGCCTCCAAACACGGTTGTGGGCAACATGGTTGTAGGTGGTGATATGGGTGGTTGGTTTCAATTGAGTTGAAAAATTTCACCAGAGTGTGTGCAGTACGCGAAACTACAAGGTGGGAGTGTACAAGAGAGGTCCACGCGGGTGGGGGACGAAGGTGGTGGAGGGAGGACGAAGGTGGTGGGCAGCCCCGAAGCGGCATTAAGGTTTGACGGAGAGGCTGGCGACATGTGGCCTGGTGGTGTGGGCCCATCTGGAGGACGGGAGTATCACATGACAGAGGCCATGTGATGGGTGCGATAACAGTGGTGGATTCCGCTCGGACACTGGTAGGAGGACGCACGTCCATCTCGGGAAACCCCACTGCCATTTGTGTCTGTTGTGCTCGTTGGAGTTTCCCCATTGGTGGGACCTGCAGCGGTGACAGTGGCGGATGTGGCTAATATAGGGCATCGATGAGGCACGGGCCAGAGGCTGGCTGCATGTCGCAGGCAAAAATGTCTGAAGCATCTGGATCTCGATAGCTGGCGCAGACAAAAAGATAACCATTGCAGTAGTAGAGAGTAGAGAGGGAGAGAGGGTGGGGAGTGGCTAGAAAGAGTCCAGAGTGTGTGTGGGAGTGTATGGCGTAGCGATGTAGACGGCACCTGGCCTGGGTGCATTGCCCTTGGCGGACCCCTCGGGCTTGCTCCCGGCTTGCTCCGTCTGGCCCAGTCCCTGCCCAGACATTAGTGCTTAGTGCATGCCTGAGTAATCACTACCCACAGACAAGGACACCCACGCAGAGTACGTCAGCAGGCAGTGTCGGGAAGAGAACCAGGCACTGCAATTGCCACTCCTGCCCCTCCCCCTCCCTGCCACTGATCCCCCCTCCCTTCTTGTAGCCTCATCCTGCTCGCCCTACTGGTAGCCTCACCCCCCAGCTTATCCCTCACCTTTTTTCTGTCTGTTTTCGAGATCATCTCAAAGGCGAACAGATTATCCCTAATCTACATCGCGTACTCTTCTTCCTGACACCCCCAGTCTCCCAGCGGATTCCCACCGCCATCTATTCGCATCGCCTCCCTCCACCACCTCCTCCACCCACCCACTTTTGCACCTCCACTGCCGCCCCATCCCGCTCCTCGTGCCTCCCCAGCTCGGCAAGTCAGCCCTCCAGCCCTCCCTTCTCGTCCAGCCCTCCAGCGCTTATTTATTTGATACACTATAGACATGGCTGACTTTGCTAAGTCCATCTTTGGTTTCGGAGGCTTCAAAAACAGAGACCCGTCGCCCCAGCCTGGCCACTCTCGACCACAGGGCCTGCAAGCGCCGCCCTCCTCCCACCACCACCACCAGTCACACCCCCAGGCGCCTCCCTCTGCATCCTCCCTCTCTGCATCCTCTCCCGACTACCCGCTCGTCCCAGCATCCTCCCACGACCAGTACTCACAGCAGTACCCGTTGGCAGATGACATCGACAACCAAAACAAGTTCTTCCCCAAGGGCTTGGGCCATGTCACGCCCACCACGGCGGTGTCGGACCATTCCATGGCCTACGGCACCACCTCCACCGCCAACACCTCCACCAACCTGGAGGCGTTCTTGAACCAGACGTTCAAAACAAACGAGTTTGCCCACAAGCAGCACCAGCAGTTCGACAAGTTCTACCCGCCACAGAACCAGCCACAACCACCAGCCCAGTTCCTCGGAGCCGCCCACCCCGTCCAGGCGTACGCCTCCGACGGCCAGCTGCCGCTCATCATCACCACCGACGAGACAGGCCAGAACATCAACACCCAGTCCCGCAACAGCCAGCCCAAGGGCAAGTTGAAGTTGACCATCTTGGAGACCAGAGACGTGGATGCAGCCCAGCCTTACATCGTGTGCACGTTTGAAAGCTCGGAGTTTGTCACCAACGCCCCCAGCTCCTACGGCAAGTCCCCCTCCAACTCGCCATTCAATGGCCACAAACAACAGCCCCCATTAAACGGCAACTTGAACGCACATTTGCACAACTCCAACCATCCTGCGTCTCGTGCCCTTCCCATGAAGAACTCCAACCGTCCTGCCATGTACCAGCGGCAATCGTCGACCCAGCACCTCCAGTTGTATTCGGAGCCTTCCAACCCCGTCATCAACCACGAGGCCTTTTTCGATGTGGTGGGCTCCAAGTCGGAGTTAGATATTTCGGTCTATGATGCCGCAAGAGACGATTCCTTCTTGGGCCACGCCAGAATCTTTCCTTCCACCATTGCCAATAAGAAGTCACAGGGCGAGTGGTTGCCATTGAAGGCTAGGGTTGTTGGCGAACGCGTGTCCTCGGGCGCTGTTAAGATCAGTTGGGAATATACCTCGTTGGACAACAAAAAATCGTATGGTCCGGATGATTTCGAGGTCTTACGTCTTTTGGGTAAGGGTACTTTCGGTCAAGTTTTCCAAGTCAAGAAGAATGACACTGATAGAATTTATGCCATGAAGGTGCTTTCCAAGAAAGTCATTGTCAAAAAGAAAGAAATTGCTCACACCATAGGGGAACGTAATATTTTGGTTCGTACATCAGCAGCAGCCTCTCCGTTCATTGTTGGTCTCAAGTTCTCTTTCCAAACACCAACGGACTTGTATTTGGTTACTGATTATATGTCTGGAGGTGAATTATTCTGGCACTTACAAAAGGAAGGAAGATTCGCCGAAGACAGAGCCAAATTCTATATTGCAGAATTAGTTTTGGCCTTGGAACACTTACACGACAACGATATTGTCTATCGTGACTTGAAGCCAGAAAACATCTTGTTAGATGCTAATGGTCACATTGCTCTCTGTGATTTCGGTTTGTCTAAGGCAAACTTGAACAATGACGGTACAACCAACACATTTTGTGGTACCACGGAATACTTAGCCCCAGAAGTTTTGCTTGATGAATCTGGATATACCAAGATGGTTGATTTCTGGTCGTTGGGTGTGCTCATTTTTGAGATGTGTTGTGGCTGGTCGCCATTCTACGCTGACAATACTCAACAGATGTACAAAAACATCGCCTTTGGCAAGGTCAGATTTCCAAAGGAGGTATTGAGTCCCGAAGGTAGATCTTTCGTGAAGGGTTTGTTGAACAGAAACCCAAAGCATAGACTAGGGGCCACAAATGATGCAAGGGAATTGAGAGCTCACCCATTTTTCAGTGACATTGATTGGAACTTATTGAAAGCCAAGAGCATTCCTCCTCCATTCAAGCCACACTTGACTTCCGAAACCGATACCTCTAATTTCGATCCCGAGTTCACCTCTGAGTCTACTTCGGTGTTGAAGAAGCAAATGGAAATGGCATCGACCCCTTTGTCTCCAGGAATCCAAGCTAACTTTAAGGGATTCACATATGTGGATGACTCTGCCATGGAAGATCACTTTGGTAAGTCTCACAGAATGAATACCTTCAAAAACCCTGGCTCATTTATTCCAGGAAACCCCAACTTACCACCGGATGAGGATGTTATAGATGATGACCAAATCGACGAAGAAGATGAAATGGAAACAGACGAGGATCATCATATGGATGACGAAGAGTTTGTTAATGGAAGGTTTGACTTATAGTGGTTCATCCGTGGTTTACGAGATACGATCGGTTTACCGGTGCTGAAAGACTAGAGCAAGGCTCCTTGTTTTAATTTCATTTATTTAAGTATTGTATTACTTTTCCATATTACAGGCAAGAATATCTATCTTATCTACCTTTATTTCTTAGAGTTTATTTACTTACCTTATATACTAATTGATTCTTTATGTCAAGTCGTGCGCGCGTCCAGTTTTTTGTACTTACCAAAACACGTTAGTCGCTGTTTATTAGGAGAACACGGCGTAGCTGTACGAGATAGACCAACATATAGACCCAAGCCATCAACAGTGCCCAAAGACTCCCCCCGCAAAGTGACTCATTAAACCAAAATGGCTCATCCAGGAAGGCCCAAGGGTCGTACCAATAAGCGAACTCAGCAAACACAATCCCAATCGCAATCTCATTCACACTCTCATACTCCAGCACCAGCCCATGTCCAAGCTCAACTACAAGCACAACAGCAAGCTCAAGCCCAGGCACAGGCCCATGCGCGTGCGCAGCAACAGGCACAGCAACAAGCGCAACATACGAGGATGAAAGAAGAGCCAGGAGTTCAGCTTCATGATGATGCCGATTTGATATCGTTCAGGACAGATGCGTTGAACAGATTTATAACTAACCAGGAATACATGGAGAATGTGACATCCAAGCTTGTGCACACATCCAAAATCATTCCTCCTGGCTTGTTTCAAACCTTGAATGCTACCAGTTCGGAAGACTACGACAAACTGAACCCAGAAGACATTTATTTTGGAGACAGCGGATTCATGAAGTATAAGGAAAGGAAGTTGTTGGAAGAGCTTGAAAGATTGAAAAGTGAAGATGACCCCCAGTTTGTCAAATACATACCCAATTCCCCAGAATACATCTACCAGCGAGAACAGACAGATAAGTTAAATGATATCCAATCTCGCTTGAATGACAAGGAGTCGTTACAGGAACTCGAGTCCGAGCTCAACAAGACCCTCCTTGAGTATCAACAAAAATTCCATAGGAAATACGATCTTACCCCTAATATCAAAAAATACTCGGTAGAGATCAAGAAAATATCAAGCCAGGAGGTTGATTCAGCCCCAGAGAACTACAATCCAAAGTCAATCAACACTTTTATCAACATGCCCAATGCGGGAAATGCCCAGATGTCGATGAATGGTCAAATACAAGGCCATCCCAACATGCATCAGCACATGAATGCCAATGCGCCTAATCATTTCAATGGGGGCTTCATGAACCAGTTTGACCAGGGCCCAGCTATGAATTTCAATGCCAATGGCCAGGATTTCAATATGTCGATGGTCAAGAACGGGAACCACGATGGAACGGGGCCTCTCAAGGCCCATCCAAACCCCCAGAATATGAATATTCCACAGCCAAATATGCACGCGGTCAACCACGACGCCCGCAACCCCATCGACGACGATATGAACGACTTGTTCAAAGGCGATGACCAGGAGTTGGACCAAGGCCAGGCGATGGTGGAGGACGATATGGGCGACTTGATAAATTTCGACGGTAATGACGACATGATGGGGGGCTCAGCCTTTGACCAGGACTTTTTGAGTCAGATTGACCATAGTATGGAGTGATGTATTATATGTAATAAACGGACCCTGTCCACCACGGTAGCTTGTCCGCGCACGTGACCGTCCATGTGCCGGTGGCAGACGCGATAAAAACAGACGTCAAATCATGCCAACAGTAGTGAGTTCATTGGCTGATGGGCAAGCCTGTTATAAGTTAAATCAGTAAACAACAGCCTCGAGCATTTATTGGGGTATTTTCCTTCGGATCTTTGAACAGGCAGCTCTTGGTGCACACACACCAACATCACCCACCCACATCCAACCAAGCTCCATGGATCAATCACATCAACCGGAGTTGATCGGCTCTCCCGCCAGACAACGAATACTCAAGCAGCAACAGCAAAGCCAGCAGCTCGCTCGAACTAGAATAAGGAAGCAAAAGTTGAAGTTTACCTTCATCGGATACCTTATTGTGCTAGTGTTTTTGGCGATTGTGCAATTCATAGGAATAGGGTTTTTTACACAAGGATTCTTGCTTTCAAGACAGGTTTTACCAAACATCTCGGAATGCACCAATGACCAGCTAAACACGTGTCATCCAGCCCGTTTCGAAAAGGCGGTGGTGTTGGTTATTGATGCGTTGAGATTCGACTTTGCCATTCCCGTGGAAGGGTCGGAAGAATACTACCACAACAACTTTCCGATATTGCACAAGCTAGCCCAGAAGGACAACGCGGTTTTGCTCAAGTTCATGGCAGACCCTCCAACCACCACTTTGCAAAGATTGAAGGGGTTAACAACCGGCTCGTTGCCCACATTTATAGACGCAGGGTCTAACTTTGACGGTGATGCCATTGATGAAGATAATTGGCTTTTACAGTTGCATAGAAGAAATCAAAGCATAGCATTCATGGGCGACGATACATGGTACGCATTATTTAACGAGTACGTCAATCCAGAGTTGAACTTCCCTTATCCTTCATTAAACGTGTGGGACTTGGACACCGTGGATAATGGTGTTATCGAGCATTTATTCCCATTGATTCAAAAGGAGAACCGCACTCAGTGGGATGTGTTGATTGGCCACTTTTTAGGGGTCGATCATGTTGGCCATAGATATGGACCCAGACACTTCTCCATGAAAGAGAAACTTAATCAAATGAATCAAGTCATCGAAGATACAATCAAGCAGATAGATGATAAAACTTTGCTCATAGTAATGGGCGACCATGGAATGGATTCAACCGGAAACCATGGTGGTGATTCCCTTGATGAATTAGAGTCTACTTTATTCTTGTACTCCAAGAACAAACGTTTCAACAAAAAGTCCAATGATCACTACAATGTCTCAGAGCTTGGTAAAAACTATAGATCAGTGAATCAAATCGATTTAGTTTCAACTATTTCTTTGTTGCTTGGATTGCCAATTCCATATAATAACTTAGGTTTCCCGATAGACGAGGCCTTTTCAAATGATCACGAGCTCAATCAAGTTATATTTAAAGCAGCACAACAAATCCAAAGTTTCCGTGATGCGACACCAAACTTGTCTCCAATTATTAACGAGAAATACAGACTTTTCATGCTGGATTATTCTGTGAATTCAGAAAACAAAAAGCAATGGGAACATCTAATTCAATCGGCAAAAGACTATCAGTATGAGAGTTTGGAAGAATGCAAGAGGTTGTGGGCCAGATTTGATCTCAAGATGATCTCTTTCGGGATCATTATCATTTTCTTATCGCTTACATTCACATTAACCTATGCTAGATCAATTCCCTCTGTTAGGGTACTGACTATGTCCTTTGAGTTCATCGGATCGGTGATTGCGATGTCATTATTAGGCTTGGTGTTAAGTTTTTCCATGTTTGTTGTGTTAAAACCGACCGACTTCAATTTGAAAAGATGTTTAGGATTAGGTGCTTCGTTGGGAATAATCATCGGCTTCTGGGCACCCATAATGGATCGCTTCAGCCTTAATTGGTTGTGGCACCAAGTCCGTGATTTTTTCATTTACAACTTTAACTCATGGTCGTTCCTTGGGTTGATATTTGTAAGTCTTCATTGTTTGATATTTGCCTCAAACTCCTATGTTGTCTGGGAAGATCAAATGGTTCTGTTTTTGATCATCACTTTTGGTTTCTGTTGTATATTCGGATCATTGGTAAATACCTCCTTACCAAGGACTCAAAGAATTTTATGCATTCTGCATGCCATTACTTTCACAGTGCTTTCAAGAGTTGCATCTAGTATCACGCTTTGCAGAGAAGAACAGAGACCATACTGCGAGCCCACATTTAAGAGCAGTTGGTGGTCCATCGTTTTACTTCATGTGAGTTCCTATACTTTGCCCACCATCGTAAAATCATTTTACGAACTTTCGGATTCATACCATTCTGCCGCTCCATTATGGATAGGTACGGGAGTCAAGTTCTTGATGTTTATGAATGCAATCTACTGGACTGTCGAGTACGTTCAGAATAGTGAGTATTTCCTCGCATCTAACTTTAATCTTAGTGAACCTTTATTAAAATCTTTGAAATTGGCAATTGCAAGATTAGTTTTATTTATTTCTTTGATCCTTGCCAATTTCAGCTGGTCCAGGGGCCCCTTGTGTGTTAAACTTGATATTAAAGAAGAGGTTTCACAAGACTCTGAGAACCCAAGCCAACCGCAGAAGACTGCGACTATTTTGGGCTATGGCAATGTCTACGGGTCGTCTTATTTCCTCTTGGTACTCAATTTTGCGATTGCAATCATGTTAGTGACCAAACCAATTGGAGTTATATCACTCAACATTCTTATTGTTCAAATTCTTTCACTTTTGGAATTATTTGATGCATTGGACATCCGCAAGAATTTAATTGCTCCAGTTGTGTTTGGATTATTGGGATACCAACATTTCTTTAGTACTGGGCACCAGGCTACCATTCCTTCAATTCAGTGGGAAATTGGTTTCATGACAACTGAAAGCATTGTGTTCCCCTTCACTCATATTAACATCGTTCTCAACACCTTTGGATCCTTCTTCATTATCTGTTTGGCAATCCCCTTGATCACTTTGTGGAAAATTGCACCATCATCCAAACCCATAACAGTTTTATCACAGATTGTGACCAACGTTACCACCCTTATTACTTACCAGATCTTTACCAGTTTATCCTCGTTAATTTTTGCTGCTCATTTCAGAAGACACTTGATGGTATGGAAAATCTTTGCCCCACGATTCATGTTGAGTGGGATGTTATTGATCGTCTTCAATGTGTTTCTTATTTTGATTACCTTGTGGTTTGGTACGGGTAAAATTGTGACACAAGTGAACAGGATCTTCGGCAAGTGATATATTTATTGGACATTTGACATTATAGAATATGTTATAGAGCATCATTGTAGGTTCTGCGAGGGACTGTAGTCAGTAATGCCTATGGATACACATCGACACGACGGAGGAGGTGCTAAACCTTGCCGAGACGGATACTGTCCTGTGTCACGCGAGCTTATTACATGACCTACCTCTAGACTAGATTGGTGATTGCAAAATGTCGTCCTGACCGACATTGGAATCATGCGACATAGATACCAGATATGGTGCTCCGAAGACTAGACCAGTTTTAGAAAGAACCACTCTTAAGGTATATTTACATAGATATCATACGGTGCCCATGCTTCACCGACTATACTGGTTGGCGCTAACATGGCTCATCCTACCTTCAGTCACATGCCATCAGTTCAACTCCTCTTTCACGCCAGATCACATACATTACCTCCAAAATGAGACAAAGGAACTTTTCAAGTTCGGATGGAACGCCTACATACAGCACGGTTTTCCAGCAGACGAGGTCAGGCCTCTCACTTGTGAAAGCTACGGTCCAGACTATAATGACGTGGACAATACTATCCGCAACGATGCAATGGGAAACGTATCGCTGACAGTCTTGGACAATCTTGACTCGCTCATCATCCTTGAGCAATGGGACGAGTTGGAGGACATGCTTACCTACTTGAAGAGCAATATGGATCTATTCGAACAGGATACCGTCGTCCAGGTGTTCGAGCTGTCGATCAGATCACTAGGCGGATTATTGAGTGCACATTTGTTGCTATCCGATACACCTCATGCTTCTCATCACAACGGCAGATTCCACCAATTGTCGAAGGATTATGACGGATTCTTGCTAGACTTAGCCCACGACCTAGGAAAACGTCTCATTCCTACCTACAAGACCTCGACTCATGTGCCAGTACCAAGAGTAAACCTAGCAAGGGGAATTAAGGGCGTACCTTCAAAACTACAGAAAGATGCATGCACAGCAGGAGCAACAACACCGGTGTTGGAGTTTACGCTATTGTCCAAATTGACTGGAGATCCCCAGTTCGAGTACTACTCTCAATTAACCTTCTGGAAGCTTTGGTCCTCCAAGCTGGCCCTCAATTTATTGCCGATGACTATTGATCCACTATCGAATCTGTGGAAGGATGCATTGACTGGGATAGGTGCATCGATCGATTCGTTTTACGAATATTCCGCAAAGGCTGCCATTATTTTCGACGACGACTACATGTGGTCGGTATTCAAAACTTCTTACAAGGCATTGTTGATTCACCTGGCTCAAGGCGGAGGCTATAGAGATGGGTCCATGATCTTTTCAAACGTGGGCATTAACGATGGGATTGTCTTCAGCGATTGGATTGACTCGTTGGGTGCGTTCTGGGCGGGTTTGCAAGTCTTGACTGGACAGGTCACGGATGCAATTAAAACACATATCGTATATCTCAAGATTTGGAATTACTTTGAACTGATTCCAGAGAGATGGGTTTACACCCATGGCGATAATATCAATGTCACTTCTAACGATTCAATCAGACTAGAGTGGTACCCATTGAGACCCGAGTTTATCGAGTCCACTTATTATTTGTACCGTGCAACCAGAGACCCCATGTACTTGCAGGTAGGTGAAAGAATCCTTAACCTTTATAAGACTAAGTTTAAAGCCAAATGTGGGTTCAGTGGTATTCAAGATATTAGAACAGGTGCAAGACAAAACAGAATGGAAACCTTCGTTTTGGGAGAGACATTGAAATATTTGTACCTCTTGTTTGACACAAAGGATGAGAATTTCTTGCACTCAAAATCCATGAATGGAAAGAACTGGATATTTTCAACAGAAGCACACCCTTTGTGGTATCACAAAGGATTAAAATCAAAATCTCAAAAGGAGCTTGTTAAGGAGGATATTATCAAAGTAAAAAAGCGTCCATTTCGCTCGATGCTTTCGAAAGTCCAGAGACACAATTTAAATCTTTTAGACTCGGATGACAAATCATTTTATAGAAACATTTCATTGCCTTTGGTTGCAGATTTTGCCCTTCCTCAGAGCCAGAACTACATCAAAAAAATTGATCCCTTCCAGCAAAAGTTTGACACCTGTGAAATCAATCCATTTCAAAAATTGATTGATTCCAAGAACAGCTTTATGATCTCTGGATATTATGCTTGGGACTACTTGTTTGAATCAGATTACAGCTATGAAAAGTCACTCAAAAAGCCTCACTACCTTTCAAATTCCAGTTTAGATGGGAGCTACGTTGAGTTAACAAAGTCATTTTATGACAAGTATACCATGTTTTCTAATAAAGACGAAAGGGAACATTTTTTGCAGTGTCCTAGACCGAAGACCAGCGAAGAGTTTACGGTCATGATTGGAGATATCAGCGGAATCACCCAAGTTGAGGTCTCCAAATTAGTTTACAACGAGAGTGTTTCCCGGAACGATAGCGATCTACTCTTGCTTGAAAAAGATTTGTGGGTTCCTGAATTGCAATCGTTAAAAGTGACATTTGAGAGGCTCAACGTCGGAAAAGTGGATTCAGACAACGAACTCTTACAACAAGACTATATCGAGTCGTTGTATCTTGAGAAGTATGGGACAACCGGTGAGTGTGCAGTGACTGAACGGTACAATAACCAGCAAGAGGAATCGGCATTGAGAATCAATAAACTTAACGGGGTTAGTGTATATCCTGGTTCTATTGTGTGGACTTTACCATTTGAAGTCCAGGGAAAGAATCCAGTGGCATCCATCAGCAGCAACGGAAGAGTCATACTACAAGGAGAAGTGATAGAAAACTTAATGGTGTGGTATGGCGATTAGGATGGAAGTACTGGGTAAACGCAAGAGGATTATAGTCGTGGAAGGTTAAACGAACAAGCCTGATCCACAGAGCATATTTTAACAGAAAAAGAGACCACAGAATAGAGCATACTATAATAGAATTATAGGAGACCAGACAAGACTGATTAACAGAGCATATTATAATAGAATATAGGACTTGGTCCAAATACCCAGTCCAATTATACTTAATTCGAGTAATAATCTAGACTCATACCACATGCTAGTAGTCCCTCAGACGAGGATTTGTACCGTGAATACACACCCACCCCTCACAGCTTGTACCGCAAATCTGGAGTAGCTGCAGTGACAGGTACCGGAAATATTTGATTCCATCAGTCCCTTCTGAAAGGATGGAAATATTTCGTTCTAGAAACCTAAATCCGCCTCGCTAACGCTCGTGCGGGCGTTGGCCCAATGAGTAATGGATTGACACATCCGTCACCAGATCACCTCCACCAAACCGTTATTGACTCATTCTAGCACGTAAAACACCGATTAGTGGCTTCGCTTGCAGCAGCCCTACGACGTGGCGTCTCTCCTTCGACACGGCTTTGTCTGTAATGTTTCCAAACCTGTCACTGACTCATTTTCCGCTACTGGTGCGCCCTGTTTTATAGTGCAGCCTGTTCCGGCGACTCAAAGTTCATCGTTGACATTTCTTTGTTGCACTAGAGTATTGCAGTAGGAAACAACATGAAGTCGTTGCAGAGAATACTAGCTTCAAGACCCTTGAGATACCCCCAGGTCAGATACCTGTCTGGGCTCGCCAGGTTGGACGCTTCCAAAACCATCATCGAGAAAACCACCAGCCCCATAGCCAAGCTTCCTAAAGACCAGTTGGTATTTGGACAGTCGTTCACAGACCACATGGTGGAGATCGAGTGGGACGCCAAGAAGGGGTGGGCCGCCCCCAGAATCTCGCCTTACAAGAACCTCAGTCTTGATCCAGCCACCATTGTGTTCCACTACGGGTTCGAGTTGTTCGAAGGCTTGAAGGCCTACAAGGACTCCAACGGCAACATCAGAACGTTCAGAAGCGACAAGAACATGTTGAGAATGAACCAGTCGGCCGAGAGAATCGCCCTCCCCAACTTCGATGGTGAGGAGTTGATGAAGGTCATCGACAAGTTCCTCGTGTTGGACCAGGCATTCGTGCCTGAAGGTGCTGGCTACTCGTTGTACTTGAGACCCACCATGATCGGTACCTCGGTAGGCTTGGGTGTGGGAACTCCCGACAAGGCGTTGATCTTCGTCATAGCATCGCCAGTTGGTCCCTACTACTCCACTGGCTTCAAGCCAGTGGCCTTGGAAGCCACCGACTATGCGGTTAGAGCCTGGCCCGGTGGTGTTGGAAACAAGAAGTTGGGTGCAAACTATGCTCCTTGTATCCAGCCGCAAACCCAGGCGGCCTCCAGAGGCTACCAGCAGAACTTGTGGTTGTTTGGCGAAGAAGGCTACATCACTGAAGTGGGCACCATGAACGCATTCTTTGTGTTCCAAAACGAAGACGGCAAGAAGGAATTGGCCACTGCTCCATTGGACGGAACCATCTTGGAAGGTGTCACCAGAGACAGTGTGTTACAGTTGGCCAGAGAAAGATTGCCAGCCGACGAATGGATCATCAGCGAAAGAAAGTTCACCATTGGCGAGGTCAAGGAAAGAGCGGCCAAGGGCCAATTGGTGGAAGCTTTTGGTGCTGGTACTGCTGCTGTTGTTTCGCCCATTGATAGAATCGGATGGAAGGGTGAAGACATCGCAGTGCCTGTGGCGGCAGGAAACTCCGGTGAATTGACTGCCCAGGTTGCTGAGTGGATCAGACAGATCCAATACGGTGAAACCTCCTACAAGGACTGGTCTAGAGTCGCCAAATGATCAGCTGTAGATTCTATATACTATATACTATATACTTAGACTTGTGGAATATTTATTCAGATCTCACGATATCAGGCAACTTCATGATTTCGCCCAAGACGTAGTCTCTTTCGTCAATCGTGGTGGAGTCGCTTTGAATATCAAACGTATCAAAGAACGCTATGAAGTTTTTCTTATTCTTGATGAGCACATCCAACACCTTTTGCGACTTCTTAGGTTTGGCAACAAAAAACTTGAAGATGTGGAAGGCTTCGATTTGCAAATTCTTCAGCTTATCACTCAAGAGAATCATCATCAATTTCAAGTTGTTGGTGTCATCAAAGTATTGGTTTAAAAATGCTTGGTTTTGTCTTCGTAAAACCAACTCCGATAGCAACTTGACACTTTGTCTCTTGGTAACATAATTGTTTGACTGAATCAATTTGTTTATGCTGGAAGTGAAATTATCATAATTTCTTGCCAAAAACTCGCTTACCAACTTTTTGTGGTTAGTCAATAGATCATGCAATGTTATGAATGCGTCCGTAGCTATTTCGAAAATCGAAATCTGTACATATTTGAAGAAGTTCCAGAATAAACTGGAATGCAAAACAAACTTATTGATTGATTCAAATTTGATACAATCTCTCAAGATTTGGCCACAAATCAAGCCTATTTCCGACGATTCTGGGCCCCTAATCAATAGCCCTAGAATCTCCGGTTTCTGATTTAGGATGTATTCAACGGTGGGAGACTTACTCCCTATTTGTCGTCGCAATAGTGTCAGAAACAATATGACCACATCTTTCCTCGAGTCGAAATCAAGTTTTTTCAAATTGACCATAAGATTGTAAAGGCAATCGGTAGAGTATATTTCCAACGCCAATTGTGAGATTTGATCCGGTTGGGGTTCGTTCTCATCATCTCCGTGTAGTATAACCTTGACCTGTTTCAAGAACCGTGAGCATTCGTCTTGATACTTCTTGTTACTATCACTGTTGTAGTCAAGTTTCAGTACTTGCTCATTCAAGGCTTTGATGAGTTCGGGGGGGTTTTTCGGGTTCCGTTTGAATAGAAAAGTCATGACTACCTAAGAAATGAATATATTTGAAGTTGTTTATGCTCTCAATCAGGCAGGATATCCGTATACAGTTTCTTGTAAAATCAGCTCAGCGGTTATTTACCACTCCGTAGATCTGACTAAATGCGTTCGAACCTCACGGCTAAAATTCAGACTAACGACCCTGTAGGTAAATTCCAAAGGTTAATGCCACTCGGGTGAGAGGCTGGGTGTATCCAATGGGAGGTGCAATTGAACTAAGAATGAGCTATTCGGTGGTTCTACTCGATCTGTGTATTTCTGGAATTGTTTGTGCTTATGTAATGATGCTGCGGGCACAATTGGGGATGAGACGGGTGATAAGCTGGAAAGGCTATAATTCCCAGCCGGCTGTTGGAAAAGAAGGCCGGGGCTTATCGGGGCTTCAGTTGGAGCAGCCGCTAGTCTCTTTATATTAGTTGTAGTCTCTCCTGAACAGAACAAAGTTATTTTTAAACTGACTGATCACGTCTCGCCGCAAGCCAGTGGCAAAAATTCTGAGACAAGCATTCAACTGTACAAGTTTAAAGCGTGTGTTGGTCGTACAAGAAATTATAAAGTAGAAAGAATTTTGACGGGTACGTTTGGAAGGAAGTCTTATTTTTCACATTTTTGTCACAATAAAGTTACAAATCTAGCACGCATCCGAGGTGAATGCATTTTGCGAAATTCTAATAAATTTGTAGTCAGAACAGAAAGTGGATGACGAGAAATACCAGAAACACCACACAGCCCATGGCAAGCCTTCTAATGCTCGGAAACTCTCTATTCTTTCAAACTCATGTAGTGCTTCTGGTTGCAAAATTTGCAGGTTACCGAGACCTCAGGATGTTTACAGGTTAGGCCTATCTGAGCTCACTATGGGTGCCATATTCTTACCAACGACCCGATTTGGTCTTCCATAGCATGACATCACACCTAAATATATGGAAGCCTATTCTCATAAACCGAAGCAACAGACCCATCCTTGTGGAAAATGAACACAACCTTTACATCAGAGACAACATAGGGCTCTACCAAGGCAAACTGAAGATCTTGCACAGACAGAATGGTAGAGTCTACTTGACCAACAAACGTATAATCTATTTCGACAACACAAATGGAGCCAATTCGCTTGCATTGGACCTCAAGGATGTTACCAGAAGCGAGATCATCGATGGATTCTTGAGATCGTCTCCCAAAATACGGATAATGATTAAGGTCTCAGGCGAGGAATCGGCCCAGATATCGAACAAGAGACTAGTCTGGACTTGCAAGATTTGTTCCTTCAATAACCAGATTGCCCTGAACTTCGACCTCGAGAATAATAGCCTTCCCAAATGTACCTCGTGCGGAATCACGGCAAACATGGGCCAACTTAGGAAAGTGCTAGAGGAGTTTGGATCAGCAGACGAGGAGTCAGGGACCAGTAGCATTGAACAAACTCCAGAACCCGATAGACGTGATGACCAGTGTCCCACATGCACCTTCATTAACCATCCATCAATGACCAACTGTGAATTGTGTGGAACAGAGTTGAAATCAACCATCCCTAAAACCCTCAAAAACAAAATTAGCAGTCAAGTCTCTTCAGGATATAACTCTCCCACAAATGGCATCAATATCAAACTAGAGAATGACCTAGAGCAGTACACCAATGGCAAGCCATACGTTAAACTAAGCTTTAGAAAAGGAGGTGAATCAAAGTTCCAGGAGCTTTTAATACAAGCTTTGGACGAAATTAAATGGGAAGCACTAAAGCAGAAGGGTGCCATTAATCAGAATGGAACCAAACTAGAAACTCCGGCAAAGCAACCACAGAAACAATTGGGAGGAGGAATCTTCGGATTGGAGAAAATCGGAGAACAACAAAGAAAGACCAATGAAATAATATTGAGAGATTCTGTTGATGATCTAGAGCAGTTGATGTTCAGGTTCCAAGACTTGATGAAACTTTCGACGTCATTTACCAAATTCATCAATGGTAAGAAGAGCTCAGAAGTGATAATTCCCCCATTGGCCATTAGCAAGACTTCCAGCCTCTACCATCAGGAGTTGTCTAGACATATCAGCGAGTACTTGGTCAGTTTTGAATTGACGAAGAGATCCTCGGTGGTGACTTCCCAAGACTTGTATGCGAAATACAACCGGTACCTCGTCCTAACACAGGGGTTTGGAACTGAGTTGATTTCACCCCTGGACCTCAATCGTGCGTTGGAGCTATTTGACGAGTTGAATCTCCCAGTGATAAGCAAAAAGTACGAGAAATCTGGGCTCGTAGTTTTGTCGTCGCGGTCCAGTCATGTCAATACATACGAGGAGTTTATCTTGAAGTTTATTCAAGAGAAGGAAGATCAGTTCAGGTTTGAAAAAGTCAAGGTGGAGGTTATGGGGATTAGCAACGGGTTTGTGAACTCAGAGTATGCATATTTCAAGGGTGTCACCATATCTGAGATATCAGATAAGTTTGGCTGGTCCTACAACATTACCCAAGAGGAGATCGAAACATGTGTGGAAAATGGGACTATAGTGCTAGACCACAATATTTCCGGGACATTTTACTTCAACAACCGCTTCACCAATGCTGATGAAGAAGACCATACTGAAGAGTTGAGAGCGAGGGTACACAAACAAATCCTCGATGAACAGAATGTTATCAGTAGTTCACTCAAGACCGAATACCAGACCAGCCAAAATTTGATCAATTTGGGGCCATCCTACGAGTTCGGGGTGGTAGAAACTTCCCACCAAGAATCAACAACGGAGCCTCCCGTACGGAGAAGTTCGGTGCTTCATGCATTAGAGGGATTGGAATTTAATTAATTTACCTGGTAAAGGCATTAGAGGGTAATTAGTCACCACTTTGATTCAAAAGCACATGGGATTGGAACGCAGCATTAGCATCCGCTGTTTAGAGTGGAATTAAAACAAGACCCCGAGAACAAACACCAGTGTGATTTGGGGTATACGAACACCTTACAAGAGACTGTCAATATAGCAGTGTATGGTGTGAGGGTAATCATAAGTCATCCTGAAAGCATTACGAACATGTTGTAGAAGGGGCGAATTAATTTATAATATATCTTGCCAGACATCTCATCAATAGAATTCACTACGCTGAAAGCAGGCGTTGACAAAAAGCTTCGGTTTATTTCAGGCATTGAATGCACTGATTTACCCAAGCATGCTCAATGCTCTGGTATTCATATTAATATAAGAATAGTATCAGATATGTAAAGGCAAGCATATTTAAATGAACCAATATAGAATAATTCCATGGTAGAGCAAAAGCTTCCGAAATACGCTAGGGATGAAATTCAGGGCAAGGCCAACCAGGACGACAGGCATGCCCTAAAAACATGTAAGAACACACCCCAAAAACTGAATCAGCCCCTCTTAGCAGAAAAGAATTAGTTTAGTTTTTTCAGGTCCAGTTAACATGCCAGGAGTATCATTCAAATCCTTTGCATTGGTTTTATAAAGTAGTTAAAAGGACTATTTTTTATTTGCTTTATGATGCATATACATTGTTGTAATTGCAGTTCTTAATTGTGTTCAAACTACTCCGGATGCTTGCCCAATAAGCAAGGAAGCTATAGTAGTAAAGCAAATACAGATAAAACTGCGCTTTTAAGTAATTATCATGAAGGCTGAAAAGCCAGGTCCACTCATTGTTTTTGTAAACTTGCCAACATAATATGAGCTGGAAACAATTAACCACCTTGTACCAGCGTAAATCCTGGATTTCTGGATCCACACATCATTTATTATATCTTCTACCCGGTAGAACCCTAATTACTGGACAAATCTAGTAATTCATACCGTAGTATTTACAAAATTTACACCACCCACATGCCGAGAGAGAGGGACGAATGCCTTCACTTCCAGTTCAAAAATCAACCACCAGACTGGTTTAGGATTAATTAATCATACCCTGCTCAAGCAGTGTATAGCAGTCAAATTACCACCGCGAGTGCCTCCTCTCGCTAGAGGTCTCCATTACAGATACTATACCCTCCCTTGTACACACTATAACCCAGCCCCCACCACTCTTCACTTTTCTCGGAGATTACTCGCTTTTGGTGCCCTTTGCCTATCTCCAGCTGACTCACCGGCCCGCAGTCCGCACAGCTCCCATCGGTTATAGTGCGCAGCCTAGCACCATCACCGCCACGAATGATTTCTCCACAGGAGCACATCTAGCCAGCCAATCAAGCCCCAGCCACCAGCTTCCACAAGCACACACCAACCAGCACCAGAAACAACACCAGCATCAGAAATTGCCCCGTTTTCACCATGAGCAACGGAGCCAAAGCCAATGGACTCATCCATGGAATGGCAGGCAACGGTAGCGGCAACCCATCGGGAATGATGAACCACGGAGCCTCGATGGTGGGCATGAACTCGGGAGTACTAAACCAGCAGATGCCCATGATCCCCCAGCCAGCGTTGATGGCACTGAACTCCATCCTCACCATAGGGCCGTTCAAGCATCGCAAAGACTTGACCCGAGAGTCGGTGTTGTCCACCTACCATATCATCGGATACATAGCGGCAGGCACGTACGGAAAGGTGTACAAGGCTAGACTCAAGAGCAAGAAGGACAAAGAGGGCGAGGGCAGCCAGACAGCCAAGAACGACGGCTCCAGGCACGACGGTGACGACAAGGACATCCAGTTTTACGCCATCAAGAAGTTCAAGAGTGACAACCATCTGGCCAACAAGACCCACCACAACCACGACATCAACGGCAATGAGGTGGTCCACTACACAGGCATCTCGCAGAGTGCCATCCGGGAAATGTCGTTGTGCCGAGAGCTCAACAACAAAAACATCACCAAGTTGGTGGACATCATCCTCGAAAACAAGTCCATCTACATGATCTTCGAGTTCTGCGAGCACGACTTGCTCCAGATCATCCATTACCACTCGCACCCCGACGTCAAGCCCATTCCCCAGAGCACCATCAAGTCTTTGACGTGGCAGATCTTGAATGGGGTCACCTTTTTGCATCAGAACTGGATCTTCCACCGTGACTTGAAGCCCGCCAACATCATGGTCACAAGCTCAGGTGTGGTCAAGATCGGAGATCTTGGCTTGGCCAGAAAGTTCAACAACCCCTTGCAGAGCTTATACACTGGTGACAAGGTCGTGGTTACCATCTGGTACCGAGCCCCAGAATTGTTGCTAGGAGCAAGACACTACACGTCTGCAATTGATTTGTGGGCAGTGGGGTGTATCCTTGCCGAATTGCTCTCATTAAGACCCATTTTCAAGGGAGAAGAAGCCAAGATAGACATGAACAACAAGAAATCAGTACCGTTTCAAAATAACCAATTCCAAAAAATCATCGAAATCTTGGGAACTCCCAACCTCAAAATATGGCCTGCTCTCAACAAGTACCCTGAGTTTGTCTCGTTTCAGCAGCAGCTTTCAGGAAACTATCCTTCCAACTTGGTCAACTGGTACAAAATGATCGGTGGGAGTAACAAGCAGTGTCTTTCCTTGCTCAAAGGGTTGCTAGACTACGATCCTTCGACCCGGTTGACTGCGGACCTGGCACTAGTCCACCCGTACTTCTTGGAGCTTCCCAAAGTGCAAGAAAACGCGTTTGAAGGTTTGAGTTTGAATTATCCCAAAAGAAGAATCTATTCCGATGATAACGATATCAACTCCAGCCAGGCCATACAGAACAATTACAAGAGACACGGGGGTGGCTACGACGACGCAAACAACGGAGGCAGCCAAGCCAACATCGCCAATGCCAGAAAAAGGCAGAAGTAATGGCGAAACAAAAAGAAGTAATGGCAAGAAACTGTTATTTCTGCAAGTTGTGTCTCGATCACAGAAATTTTGGCGGACTTTAGCAGCCACACGATGTATCATCTAGAACGGGACCTACAGATAAAGGGCTGGTGACGAAGGTAGCGTGCTATTTTGGCTTACGGTTCAAGTTAAATCAGAGTTATGGCAAAATTTACTATGAATTGATAAAACTCCAGCTATTAATTTAGTTGGTAGAAAACCTGGACTAGTTTTATTGAATAATTGATTAGTTTTCAGGGTATCATACACTAAAATCTATACTAATATTAATGGTGCTCGAGCAAAGGATCTACCTGCCCACAGCCATCCATAGAGTATGTACGGCCTCTGGCCATCCCATAGCTAGCAATCAACGAACCCCTGACCATCCATGGTAGTGAGACGTTGCGTAGGACCGTTTCTGGAGCGATGCTAATACGCACAACTGGTGCAACATCGCGTCCCATCGAAGATCCCACCAGAAGTCCACCAGTTGCCACCACCCGATTGCACACATTGTTGGCCCACATCCGACTACAATCGTTGAAGAGACTGACAGCCAAGCCCAAACCACACTGCCATGGAAAAGAACAAGCGCTACACCAACCGCAAGCGCCTCTACAGCGGCCACTACTCAGACGTGTACAGCGCCATCGACAGCGCCATCGACACCACTGACAGCACCACCGACGCCTCCGTCTGTCTCAAGATCGTGGACTGTGACGTCCGCATGAAGCCCCACGACATCCGCCACGAAATCGGTCTCCTCAAGCGCCTCGACCACCCCGGCATTCTTGCCTGGAAAGACGACTTCATCTGGAACGATGACATCGTGTTGGTGACGCCACTCTACCAGTACGACCTCAACGGCTTGCTCGACAAGCACACCACCCGGGCCATGCGACACAACTTGGAGGACCCCTCCAAAAGCAAGGTGGTGGTCAAGAACACCTTGCCCGAGGCCAGCATCGAGAAGATAGTGGTGGGTCTTGCCCAAGCATTGGCGTACTTGCATGACCAGGGCATTATCCACCGCGATGTCAAGCCCAGCAACATCTACTTCAACCAGTCCGTGGCCCATCCCGTGCTTGGCGACTTTGGCATCAGCTACGATGACCAGTCACCCGAGCCTGCCCACGCCAAGTACACCGATGTGGGCACCGGCATCTATAAGGCACCGGAGTTGTGTCTTGGAGTGGTGGACTATGGGCCGGAAATCGACGGGTGGGCGTTGGGGGTGGTCATGACACTCTTGTACCTGCGGACACTAGAGTCGGTGCTCGAGCCCGAGGAGGGCGACGAGGTGGTGATCAACGACCTCTACTTGATCCACGCCATCTTCCAGAACTTTGGCACCCCGTCGTTGGACTCCAGCAGCGAGTTGTACTGGCCAGAAATGGCTGACGACCGCTACTACTTCAACAAGTTGCAGTTTCAGCCACAAGATCGCAGGCATTTGCAAACACTCGTGCCGCGATGCACGAAGCCCCTGGTGCGTCAAACCTTTGATAAGCTTATGACGTACGACCGCTGGCGGCGAATAAGCATGAAACAGTTGGCACAGGAAATGGCAGGTGCACCAGTGTGATGCCATCGCAACCGCTCTACCTGGCACCATCCCTGCTACCACCCCTTTTCCCACCAGCCGGATTCCGCTACTCCTGATACCCGGCCCCCTCCCGGCTGACAACAATGCGCCTAGGTTAGGCGAGCATGCCCCCAGTGTTCCACACGGGTTTGCGGAGCTGCCCCAATTTGTCAACTCCGACATGTGAATGCAGGTGCGGCTATTTGCAGGGCGCCTGTTCGCGGGGGTGGTTCGGGTAAAGATATACCCCACATGTAACCCAGTCATCGAGAGGCATTTTGAAGGACACGACTTTGCCCTGTTTAAGCGTGGTAAAAACCGTAGGGAATCAACCAGATCACTCAAGCGACCACCACCATGAACACCACGCTAGTCAAAGGTCTCCACAAGCTCTCCATCAACGGAAGCGCCACGCCTCCCTCCGACTCCGACCCGTTGTCGTCCTCGCCCGCTGCCAAACACAACCCCTCCGATAACGACTACATCAAGTACCTCGACTACCCTGCATTGGAGGCCAACTACAACATCCACAAGTATGTGCCCTCGTACATCCACAACGGAGGCATTGCCACCCCCATCATACGAGACTTGATCGTGGACAAGCCCATCTATGCTGCTGCCAACAGCCATGTCAAGAAGAAGAAGAAGAAAAAGGGCACCAGTGATGGCAAGACCAAAAAGGCCGAGCGCCACGAAGCACACGAGGCGAAAAAGGCCGAGCGCCACGAGGCACACGAGGCCAAGAAGCACTACCTCGAGGAGAAGAAGGCCCTCCGCCAGGAACACAAGGCGGAACGGAGAGAACTCAAAAACAACAGGTACCGTGGGCTTGGTGATATTGACATATCTGAGCCGGAAGAGCCCTACGAACGCGATACCTTCAACTTCAACTCAGACCTCGACGGCTTCAGCTTCAACAAGAGCTATGGCGGCGACGCCGTGGTCTTCAACAATCCGTACGAGCCCAACTACAACAACTACACCACTCGGATGGATAGACGGGCCAGTTCCGTCACCTTGACCAACAGCATTCCCTCCGCAGGGCCTCTCTACCACAAAAAGAGAAACAATAGCATAGTATCCAAGTTACGCCATCTAGTGAAGGGCTCCTCCGACGAGGACTCCACCCCAGCCAGGGTCAGGTCCAACCGTGCTGATGACAGCATGACTACTCCACCATCAGAGGAGGACCCTCCGGTCTACTCGAAACAGGATACGAATTACTTCGACAACCCTTTGGACAGGTCCAACAGTTTTGACCAGACCAAAAGTACAATGACAAGCTCCCGTAAGAAAAACGACGGAATCAAGCACAAGTTTATGAGACTCACCTTTGGTGGTGAATCAAAGAAGCATCGGGCAATAGGTATGTATATGGATTTTTTTGCGACTTTTTTTAGAACGAAGTGGGGAAGTAATAAGGTTTATGCACTCCGCGAGACATCAAATGCTAAAGTCAGCACAGGAAGATTGATGGAAAGTGGTGGTGACGACGCGAATAGGAATTGGGTTGGATTCAACCTAGTCAAGCATATGGGTTTGGTGCCTTTTGAGTTTCAGGGGATCTGCAGGTTGAAGCAGTAGGGGCTCAAACCAGACTGGTGGGTGAGCAAGTGATTATTGTCGAGATCAATAAACCCCTTCAAAACGCGGGGAATGGGGCACATAATTGCGCGTCAGGTTTGTGGCACAATTGCGGAGTTGGTGGATTTTGCCCCGGATGAGCGTGACACCGATAGTTCCGAGGGCACCACGCCGCCATTTGCGCGACATTCTGGTCACGCAAGTTGTCGACCTCGATGGTTTTTTACAGGTTAGACTCCCAGCAAGAAATGCAGCTTGGTGCCCGCTTTCCCCGTCCCCCATAAACAAAAATCGCCGTCTCTCCGCAACCACTTTCTTGTTCACTTCACCGTGGGATATCGTCACACTCCTATGATCGATAATCCTGGCTTCAACCCATAATTCCATCAGTTTGACCATTTCCAATTGCATTTGACGTTCCAAATTCATCTCCTTATTTACATTCCTTCTTTTTCTACCACGCTGCCATTTTTCGTCGTATACTAACATGTCTAAAATAGAGGTCGTAACTGAAACCGTACAAAACGGACATACTGGTGAGTCAGAGACAATCCAGTATACCCAATCTCAAATGGTTGGCCACGGATCATTCGGTGTCGTGTTCCAAACCCAGATCTTGCCCACCAACGAGATCGCTGCCATGAAAAGGGTTCTCCAAGATAAGAGATTCAAGAACAGAGAACTCCAAATCATGAAACTCGTGCACCATCGTAATATTGCCGACTTGAAGTACTACTTCTACACCAATAACGACAAGAATGAACTCTACTTGAACCTTATCTTGGAGTTCGTTCCCGAGACATTGTACAAGGCCTCTCATTACTACGTTTCTAAGAGATTGCTGATGCCTCCACTCGAAGTCAAGTTGTACACCTACCAAATGCTTCGTGCCCTTAACTACATTCATTCCCAAGGAATATGTCATCGTGACATCAAGCCTCAAAATTTGTTGATCAACCCAGAGACCGGTGAATTGAAGTTGTGCGACTTTGGCTCAGCTAAGATTTTGAATCCTAACGAACCAAACGTCTCGTACATCTGTTCCAGATATTACCGTGCCCCTGAACTTATCTTTGGTGCTACCAATTACACCACCAAGATCGATGTCTGGTCTGCAGGTTGTGTGATGGCTGAATTGATTCTTGGTCAACCGCTCTTTCCAGGTGAATCAGGTATCGACCAATTGGTGGAAATTATCAAAATTTTGGGTACTCCTTCCAAGGAGCAAATCAAAAACATGAACCCCAACTACATGGAACATAAATTCCCTCAGATCAAACCAATCCCATTGTCTAAAATCTTCAAAAAGATGTCCCCTGACTGTATCCAATTCCTCATCAGAATATTACAATATTCACCTATAGATAGAATCTCGTGTGTCGAAGGGCTCGTGGATCCATACTTTGATGAGTTGAGAGATGCTGCTACGAAACTCCCCAACTACCGTAAGATTTTCAGTCAACAATTCCACCACAATTCTTCGTCTGCATCCAACCACCACTCAAATAATGCCAACTACCAGATCTACGCCAACCAACCGGATCTTAAGGAGTTGCCAGTTTTATTTGATTTCGACGATCGTGAGTTGTCTGTTGAAACATCCTTGAATCACCGGTTAGTTCCTCATTTTGCATTCAACCAGTTGAATCTTTCTCAGAGCATAGGCTCCTTGAACGATTTCATCCCTTTGACAAAAGAGCAATTGAAGGTTACTCTTGAATAGCCTCATGATTAACGTAATAAAAAGCACATTGAAAAAATCGTAAATTTTTAGTATTAACTATGTATATGCACAGGCACTACAACCTGGGCTTTTCCACCTTCTTGACACTGTCCTTGACTTCGACCTTGGGAGCCTTGGGCTTCCTCTTGAAAATCCGGGTGAATGGAACCACCACCCATTTGGAAAACCAGGGCATGAGACCCAAACTGATCATGAGCCTGACCGGCAACAAGAACTTCACGATAACGAAAGCATATGCGCCTTCCATCATGAACGTAAACTTTTCATTGACATTCCAACCGGTGAAGTCGAACCTGGCCATCGATGAATCAATCACCTTTGTGCCCTTATCAATGGCCCATGACGGCAAATCCATGGGGATGGAGAGGTGGTACTTGTGGAGGACGTACCACACGCCAATCAAGGGAATGATAGCTGTAAGCTCATGGAGGATGAGGAATGCTGTGACGTGGGAGATGGGAGCGTGAATGAATCTCAGTGCAAATGGACGGAGGAATTTAGGTACCCTTTTCAAGATTGGGTGTGAATTCATTGCTTGTTCCTCGGCAATTGGAATGCCAGAGGGGTTGGTGGTGATCGCGGAGGGGGCACCATTTGTAGCAACGGTGGTGGTGACGGTCGGTTTGGCACTGGCAGTCTCTGTCTTCGCCTTGGGCGGCTTAGAGAAGAGCAGTACTGGCACCGTTCCGTGAAACCCTCGTGGAGTCGCCACGGTGCCCGTGGCGGCTAAGGGCCCAACCGGCCATTTGGCCCCCACAAAAGGCCTGCGGGCCCCCAGCACCAACGGGAGCATCGTGCTGGTCCTGGCATGGGCCACTACGGTGGTGTGTAGGAGCCGCTGTACTGTTCTCGCCTTCGTTTGGTACATCGTATCGTTTGCAAACGAGGGTCGTATAGAAAATTTATATAAGGCATGTGAGCGCACCGATTCCAGCGACTACTTTTAACAGTTACTACTACCACGATGTCAGTTTATATTGTCGCTGCTTCTCGTACTCCCATTGGATCCTTGCAAGGCTCGTTGTCCTCGTTGACCTACTCAGACTTGGGTGCTGCTGCCGTCAAGGGTGCCTTGGAAAAGGTTCCCCAAATCGCCCCAGAATCGGTGGAAGAAATTCTCTACGGAGGGGTTTTGCAAGCCAACGTCGGTCAGGCCCCTGCCAGACAGGTTGCCTTGAAGGCAGGCTTGCCTGAGTCGATTGTCGCTACCACCGTCAACAAGGTGTGTGCCTCTGGTTTGAAGGCCATCATCTTGGGTGCCCAAACCATCTTGACTGGTACTGCCGACGTTGTTGTTGCTGGAGGTGCCGAGTCCATGTCCAACACCCCATACTACGTTCCTTCTGCCAGAGGCGGTGCCAGATTCGGTGACGCTGCCTTGGTCGACGGTATTTCCAAGGACGGTTTGTTGGATGTCTACGACCAGAAGTTGATGGGTGTTGCTGCTGAAAAGTGTGCCAAGGAACAAAACTGCACCAGAGAAGACCAGGATGCTTTCGGGATCTCCTCCTACAAGAAGGCCATCGCTGCCCAGACTGCCGGTAAGTTCCAGAACGAAATTGTTCCTGTGACCATCAAGGGTGCCAGAGGCAAGCCTGACGTGGTTGTCAAGGACGACGACGAAGTCAAGAACTTCAACGAGGACAGATTCAAGACTGCCAGAACCGCTTTCCAGAAGGAAAACGGTACCGTCACTGGACCAAACGCCTCCAAGATCAACGACGGTGGTGCTGCCGTGATCTTGGTTTCCGAGAGAAAGTTGAAGGAGTTGGGCTTGAGACCTTTGGCCAAGATCAGAGGCTGGGGTGAGGCTGCCAGAGCTCCAATCGACTTCACCATTGCTCCAGCCTTGGCCGTTCCAAAGGCCTTGAAGCACGCCAACATTTCCCAAGACCAAGTCGACTACTTTGAGTTGAACGAAGCTTTCTCTGTGGTTGGTTTGGCTAACTCCAAGCTTCTTGGCCTCGACCAAGACAAGGTCAACGTCTACGGTGGTGCTGTTGCCTTGGGTCATCCATTGGGATGTTCTGGTGCCAGAATCGTCGTCACCTTGTTGTCGGTGTTGGCCCAAGAAGGTGGTAAGATTGGTGTTGCTGGTATCTGTAACGGTGGTGGAGGTGCTTCTTCCATTGTTCTTGAGAAGATTGGTGACGACTTCAAGTTGTAGGTTAGAGTGTGTTTATTTATTACGTATGACTAGTGTAGCGATTGAATTAACGCTCGATCACGATACAAGGGACTACCTGTAAATAACCGGCGAGAAATGTCATAAAAGGCGTTACAATAGCTGTTAAAAGAGTAGCAGCTATTGAAATTTTAATATTCTTTTCTTCTTCTGTTAACCCAACAATCGAAATAGGTATGCTTGATCACAGCTGGTGTTGGTCATACTGGTACCTGTCTCTCCAGAGTAGTAAAGAATTTCTGGTGTTAGTGATGGCAAAAGGATGTCTCTTGGAACCATCCAGGCCTTGATTTCGCGGCCATCGCAACTCCACAATTGAATTCGAGAACACCATCGATTTCTTGCAGAACTTTTACCAACAAAACCCATGAACTGTCCAAGATGACCTTAGACGATTCATACGTATGGGAAACCTCGCCTCCCAATCCAATTACCGTTAGCCAGCGGTTTTCCAAGCTCACAGCCTCATTTCTCGTCATCGGTTCACTGTTGGAGGAAGTGAGCCATCACTTAGACCCATTCATAAAACACTACCCATGGTCAATTAACAGACCGTACTATGACTCATCTACCCGCAACATCAAAGGCACAGTAGTTCCATACGTATATGGAGAGTTAGAGCACGAGGATATGTTCGAAGATGAGCAGCTTCTTGTGAGCTTGTTGATGGAACTATCCCAGAAAGGATGTTTTGTGCATGTGTGGAACTCAGAGGAATACGAACCGTTGTTGGTCTACGCGGTCAATGCAGTTGCGGAGTGGGAAGGTATCATCTCTCTCAACCGTGTGTGGTTGAATAACGGGAAAATTGCCACTCTAAACACCCACGGAGCCTACTCTTCAGACACAAAAGACGCTAACAAATTCCTCCCCATGGACAGGGCAGTTGCACAAGTACTAAATGGGGACCACACAGTCGACGAATCGTTGTCAAAAGAAGTGGTTACATCGTTAAATCCATTTCTCAGTTCATACAAACTTGAAAACGTCTACGACTTCACCCTCCAATTGCCTGGGAAAATAGCCACAGCTTTCACAAGTGACCCATGGCTAATAGGAAAAGCTCTTAGTGCATGGAAGCCCAAGGAAAGTAGCTCTATGAAGGCAGAGCAGGGCTCTGATCATGCCACTGTCACCATTTCCTTGAATCTCTCGAGTTTGCTCCATTTATCTCTCATAACGGAAGGACGCCTAGAGCTGGAGCTTATCTCAGAAGAGTTGGTACGAGGATACGGAGAGTTGGGCCAATCTGTGGAGCACAGCAGCACGAGCCAGGAACATAACTCCCGAGATGTGCTTCAAAGTATACTTCTCGAACAAAATCGAATAAACATCCCAATAGCACCGGATTATCAAACATTCAGGGAGATGGTTGAGCAAATGGATTTTGATGAACAGGATATTCAGAAACGAAGCGAGGAGGATGCCGGTCGTCTTCAGGAGCATTTTGAATCATATCTCGAAAAGGAGAATCAAAAAGTAAAAGATTCACATAATGCCGACGAGGAAGAAGAAGAAGATAGTAGTGATGACAGCTCGATTTTGAGAGACTTTGAAAATAACCCCGAATTGTTAGATTTCATTAATTACTGTTATGAAGATAAGCATAAGAAAACAAGGGTGTATGACTACAACGATGATAGTGATTATCAGAGTGATGGATCAATTTTTGAAATTAACCACGATAGCGAAGATGATGGAGACAGAATTATAGATGTGGATGATGAGGAAGATGCATTAGTTCAAGATGATGAACAGGAAGAGAAGATAGGAGAAAGGTTTGAACAGGAATTATCCGATGACGAGACGGAAGAGATTCATTACGGAATGGGAAAAGTACAGTTATGATTTTCAAAGTAACTGGAGTGGCCAGAATGCATGCAAGAATTAAATAAATATTACTCGCCAAAACAGTCAGCAATTGTAGCTGAGCCAGCGAGGGATGCAAAGATTAATTTGGAATAGTAATACCCCTTTCACTTAGTTGATGGACGGTCCAAATCCAAGTCCTAGCAGCATAATCCATATTACGAGCTACCCTCGAAGGTTCCAGCTCCACTCCTCCAGTAGCGAAGTATTTTCCGTTATCGTTCTCCAAGGTTAGGCGTGGGTCAAGACAACACTTGATAGTTGCGTAGGCACCTTCTTCGTTCGACACGCCGAAGAAGAAACCAAATATTTGGAAGAGACACCAAAAGACCATTCCAATTATGGGTAATCTGGTCCAATAGGTGAAATGATTTGTGTTCATCACAAATCCCGGATGAACCGACAAGCACAATATTTTGGGGTTTCTTAATGCTAATAACTTCATGAAGTGGATGCCTGCGGTTTTGGCCAAGCCGTACCTGAACCAGGTGAACAAGACGTTGGGCTGGTAATGAAACGTCGAGTTCATATCAAAGTACTTTATAGCAAACTGGTGCCCTATGGAACTCAAATGCACGATTCGGGGAGGCTCGATGTTCGGATAGGCGTCGGCTGTTTTTTCCAACAACGGCAACAACTTCGTAGTCAACAAGAAGGGGGAAACGTAGTTTATTTGCAATTGGATTTCGAGTTTGTCCACCGTGAGCGAGTACGGCAACGACATCACCCCGGCATTGTTGATAAGGAGATTGAGGTGGTTTTCGAGGGTGTTGAACGTCTCGACAGCCTGTAGCACCGACTGTAGGCTGACCATATCGATTTCCAAGAAATACAACTCCCCTAGATACCGTTCCGAGGTCAACTGTTGTGCGGTGTACTGCAGCCTGATGGCTCTGGCTTCTCGTTTCAACTCTTTAATGGACTTCAACACTCTTGACTTGCTTCGGCTCGCAATATATACCACGTACCCATGTAGATAAAGCTCTAGCACCGTGTAGAAGCCGATGCCGCTGTTCCCACCAGTGATAAGGGCAACCCTCCTGTCGGTGACGGGGTTGAGGTACGGAAGCTGGTCTGTTTTCAACATAGGTAGGATGGCGTGTGTTGGACAGAGGATGTGCAGTGGAAACGGTACCAGTAATGCTCCGTTTGCGTATCCATACGCTAGATGGCCCAGTCTGATCCTTCACCGAGGCTATGATTTTTCTGCTTGAGCGTGCGACATCAACACACGACACGCGACATTGAGGGTCCAGCTAGACAGGTTCCAGGATGCAGTGGTAAAAGTGGGGGAGTGGTGTGGCTGGAGTGGGGGATTGGGGGATTGGGGGATTGGGGGAGGTGTTAGTGTGTAGTTTTGACATTAAAGTCAAATGAATAGCTCGGAGGGATTGTCACAGGCCTGGGCTGGTGCTACTCGTTCCGGCCGTTGGTGAATCAGTTCTGCTATAACCACCACGAGTAGAGCATTGTAGGGCTAATATGCTCTGGCTTGGATTTGGGAAGGAAAATGCTCTGCCAGTAGATTTCCAGGTGTCAACAAGGAGCACCCATGAAGGTCAGCTGACAATTTTGCATTTTTCACTCAGCATACAACGGAATATCATAGACGTATGGAATTCACACCTCCAGTGAAGTGTCGTAGTATTTAGCAGATTGAAGTATGCTAACGCATGGTCGAGCATGATATCCGTGGCTCCTTGGCCACTTACCACGCCCTCTATACAAGTATTTAACGAGGTTGGTACCAAGCCTCGCAGGCTAGCCTGGTGAAATATCTCGAAGGCACTGCCAACTCACTTCAACTTTTCCACAATCTCGTTGTATAACTGCTCGGGAGATTTTCCCGCAATTTCAATGGCCACACAGTCTCCGCCGTTCTCGACCAACTCAGGTCCCTCGGGCACTTCCATGATGTCGAACTGGGACTTGACCATATCAGCCTTCATGAAATGGCCACTGCGTCCACCCACCCTCTCGAGGAGCAACTCATACAGCGAGTAGAGGAATATGAACCGGCAGGTGGTCTGGGCAGAGTCTTTGATGTGTTGACGGTACAGCTTTTTCAACATAGAACAGGTGACCACCGAGGTGTGGGAAGCGTTTTCCGGCTCCTTGGATTTCTCCGCAGCAATCACGCTCAACTTCTCCAACCAGCCCCATCTATCGTCATCAGTCAAAGCGATTCCCTGGGACATTTTGTCAATGTTGGCCTTGGGATGAAGAATGTCGCCCTCCACAAATGGACACGCCATCTGGGCAGCCAAAATCTCTCCCACGGTCGTCTTGCCGGTTCCAGCCGGTCCTCCCACCACTACTATGGTATGTTTGTCTGCAGCAGGCATCTTGATGGTGAAAGTGGATTTATTTACTATTTATATGGCGGGGCACCCACTGGAGCCCCCACTGGAGCCCCCACTTGGTTGCATCCATCTGCAGGACTATATACAGGAACGGTTCCCAACAAATGCCAATCCGGCCCGTAACGGTTTTTAGCTTGACGTATGCTTGGAAAGTCCGGTGTAGCACTTTGGGACGAGGTTGTTCATACCTGAGCGACGACAGCTTGCAATTTGTTTCGGAAATACTGGCAAAATGCGACTTTAACCAGTCTTGTTCAATCTTCTGAGGTTGTTTAACTCCTGACTGATTCTCTTCTCAATCAACGATTTGATATCCATGGCACCTTCTTTGTCCACAAACAATGTGGGCCATCTTTGACTCAACCAGAGGAACAAAAGAACCACACGATGGTTATCCTCGAGCAACCGAAGCGTCTCCACCGTGTCGGCTATGGTGGTGTTCACCTTTGGAGTTCTTCTGATGATGGGCTCGTGTAGGAAATCAAAGTCAAACACGTTGTTGGTGGCACAAACGGTGATGTTTCGCAAGAACTTGAATGCCGTTTCTATCACCTCTGGTGAGTTCATCAGCACGTTGATAGGAGCCAAACTCAACTTGAGCTGGTCCTCAATCGTTGTTCTCTTGTAGAGATCTTCCCGGAGGAACATTTTCAACATCTCGTTTCTGGAGTCCAAGTCACTAATGAAGTAGTTCTTCATGTTGAGGGACTTTGTTTCCAGCTCGAATTGGTGCAAAATCTTGTGGAATGGCACATCCTTTGGAAACTTGGCCATGTAGTGTTTCCAAACCAAGTCCGTTGGCCAGATACATGCTTTGTTTAGGTTCTTGGTGGGGGATTCCATCATGGTCTTGATAAAGTCCAAGTCCCTCTTCATGTATGAAGTTACAAAACCTTCCAGCTCGCCCTTGTCCTTGCTGAATCTTCCAGCACGGCCCGCAATTTGTTTCACTGCAGACACAGTCAATGGTTTCATTTCATTACCGTTGAACTTTTTGACTCCATGGAATATGATTCTTTTGATCCGAAGATTCAATCCCATCCCTACTGCATCAGAAGCTACCAAAACATCATACTTGCCTTCATTAAATCCATTTGCTTCTTGTGAACGAATTTCGGGAGGTAATGCTCCATAGATGATTCCCACCTTCAATTTAGTAGATTGCTCAATTTTGCACTTGAGCTCCAAAATCTTTCGCTTGGAAAATGCAATCAAGCAGTCTCCCTTCTGCAAATTCTTGACGTCTTGAAGAGCTGTGGGCAACACGCTCAACTTCCCCAATCTCTCATACTTTTTGATCACCAACTCGTCCCCTGTGAATTTGGTGATTTTTTCAATGAGTGGCACGGCACTCTCTTCTCCACATAAGTGTAATTCTTTTGCCAAAACACCCAACACAGCATTGGTCCATGCAGCCCCTCTGTTCTCGTCAGCGATCATTTGAATCTCGTCAATAACACAAATGTCCATCTTCTTATGTAACGGGATCATTTCAATTGTACCAGACGAGATCTCACTTAGCTTTCCAAACTCATCAACCGATGGAATCACCTCTTCACCAGTGATTAAGTTACATTTGGTGTTTTCCTGGTTGAATCTTTCATAAATTTCTCTGGCCAATAGACGAAGTGGACCCGCATAGTATCCTGATTTTGCATTTTTCAAAGTTTGCAAGGATGAGTATGTCTTACCACTGTTTGTTGGGCCAACATGCATGATTATCTTTCTTTTCATTTTTCTTGCTTCTGGGAACCACTCGGCAGGATTGGAAAGATCGATCATTTCGCTTTCCGGCCTTGTCTCCCTGATTTTTATCCGGATGTACTCTTTGTGCAAAAGCTTGGTTAGGATATCAGAAACAAATTGCTCGTGGGAAGTGATGCCGTTGAAGTTAACATAATCTTGGGGGTATCTTTGTAGTTGGATCAGAAATATTATTTGAGTAATGTTTGCTATCTGAGGGTTCATGTAATCCACTATGTTGATACTTTCGATGGGCTTGGGATTGGCAGACTCAAAGAAATTCCTGAACTCGCTTTCTAGTCTGGTGGTGAATTTACCTAGAAGGGATTCGCTTTCCTTATGGCGGAGTTTATTGAGCGATGTGAATGGTGCATCGAAGGACTTGTTTTGTAGTCGTTCTGCGAGCTTGCTCAAGGGAAATTCAACCACTTTCCTTATTGGTGCTATTTTCAGCTCTATTTCACTCGGATACCTCGTGCTTGTAGCGTTTTCCTCGGTTAAATGACTCTCAACCGGTATTGACTGTGCTTGATACAGCACTTTGGTAGAGGCCAAACCTCTGGCAAATGGACGCCTAAGTGCCAAAGCCCGCCTATAGCCATACCCTGCCACTCTTCGGTATACTAGTCCACGAGTGTACCCTGCTATCATCTTTCTGGGGTCGATCTATTCGCTGGTAGTCGATGCTCTTCGCTCTATCCTAGCCATCTTGATGTCGCGTCACGTGCGTAATACCCAGAAAATTCCAAACTCCGCTAACACCTTACTTCATAACCACCCCATAGAAAACCATCCAACTAGCATACATCGATCGTCACAGGTCTATTTTCTGCCTAGCCATATCACTAGGTATTATCCAGCATTATCCAGTAATACCACACACACTCATCTTGATGGCCTGGTGAATCTTGTCCGTTAAGCACCACGTTCATTACCAGCATTGTCCCATAATTCCTGCCACCGTCAATGAACGGAACATCTAGGTTGATTAGCGACCAAAATTACAAGGCCCAATTAGCTGCCCAATTCAACGATTTTTATCTTCAAATCACATCCCCCAATGTCAGCCAAATAGGGAATTATCGAATAGTTCGCGAGATTGGCGAAGGTGCTTTTGGAAAGGTGTATTTGGCTACACATGTATTATTGAACGTCAAAGTCGTGTTGAAATGTGGCCTTGTTGATGACCCCAACATTGTGCGAGAAATTTATTATCATAGACAACTCAAGCACAAGAATATTGTCAATCTCTATGAGGTGATAAAAACCGAAAACCACTTGTGGATCGTGTTAGAATACTGCGAAGGGAGCGAATTGTTCTTCTTGATATATGAGAAGAAGCGCTTGGAAATAAAAGAGTGCCAGCACTTGTTTTTCCAAATAGTGTTAGCGTTGAAGTATGTGCATTCTTTGAACTTGAGTCACCGAGATTTGAAGCTAGAGAATATTTTGTTGTCAGATAAGAGGAAAACGTTGGTCAAGTTGACAGATTTCGGGTTTGTCAGAGAGTTCAATCCCCAGAACAGAAAGTTCTTATCTACAATTTGTGGAACCACAGTGTATATGGCACCTGAACTACTCAAAAGCGATAAATATTCAGGTTTTGCCATCGACATATGGTCATTAGGAGTCATTTTATTCACAATGGTGTATGGAGAAATGCCGTTTGATGAGGATGATGATCTCAAAACCAAATACAAGATCATCAATGAAGAACCAAGGTATAGAGATTCCATATCTGTGGATCTCAAAGAGTTAATTGCATCGATGTTGAATAAGGATCCCACCAAAAGACCCAACGCCACCCAAATCTTGAACTCGCTGTTCTTGATAGATTTATACAACAAGCATTTAGATAAAACGTCACGTCATACAAGCAATGATGCCGAGTCAGTTATTTCCATTAACCAACATTACAGGGTTAATACTTCACCATTTCAAACAAAGATAGAAAAGGACCTCGTTAAAAGAATGAAAAAATTGAACTTCAACACCGACGAGTTACAACTCAATGTGTTGAACAACCAGATGAACTCACTCACTGCATTCTATGAACTATCATTAACGAGAGAGTTTTGTAGGAAGAAGAAAAAATACTATCGTCAAAAGAGCAGAGGGTACTTCGAAGCAAAACGAACATTGAATAGATCCAGAAGTCGAGTTAAAAGTGTGTTGTCATTGACTGACTTGTCACACTCACCTCAGCCAATAGAGAAGATCAAATCTTCATTGAGTGTGAGCTCATTGAAGAATCATAGTAAAACCAATCTAAAAGGATTGGGTGATTCAATAGAACAAAAGAGAATAGATTCCCAGCTGTCTCGGAATTCTTATCCAAACAGTTTGTTGAGGGAACAATTGAAGGACCAATCCATCTTGACGAACGTACCCTCAGCTCCACCATCACCAAGAACAAACTCATATATACCGCCTTCTCCTGGTTCCAAGACACAGATGAATACGCCGGAATCGAGGAGGAATTATGTCTCTAGAACTTCGGTTGATGGAACTCCTTTAGAGAGAATAGTGTCATTTTATCCTGAATCCAGTAATATTCAAAGAGTCATGAATACTCCACAGAAATCTACCGAGACTTTGGAGAAGAAATCTAAGAATGCAAAATTCTTTAATAAGTTGAAATTCTGGAAGCGTAACAAGAAGAATAATGACGACAACGCAAGTCTGATCAGCCATTCTCGTACATTCACGAGCACAGAAAGTGAGGTTCTTCCTGCTGTATCTCGTGATTACCGAAAGAGCATCGAAGAGAACGACGGTCCCTTGGAAATAGTGGCCAAGAGGAGCAATCCAAGTCCTGAACATAATGACATTCACCTACAGCAGAGTGTTACTATAATTCCAAACGGGGAGTTGGAAGCAAAGAAAATGGATGATACTCGTCGTTCTCTATCTTTTGAGGATAGAAATGGACGATTTAACGAAGAGAAGCCTAGGTCTCCAGCAAACGAGCAGTCTATCTTAAGGTCTACCCGAGCGAGACCCTCATCCATGGTCTCGCAAATCAGTCAAATCAGTCAGATCAGTCAGATGTCCACCATGTTATCCGAGTCAGAAATAGACAATATGGATGAAACGGATACCATGGAGGAAGACTACGACGACGACGATGATGGAATGTACGAAGGCAGCTTGAATGTATCGCAGGACTTTGGTAAGCCGTCTTCTAACACGGGTACTCAGTCCAAACCTAGCGTTTTCAAAAAGAGACCTAGTTACAGGAGAACCACCTCTTCAGAGCAATCAATTAAATCTACATCCACCACAGCAACGAATTACAAACACCAGAAGAAGTTCTCATTGTCGCAACTCTCGAGCAACTCCTCAGAGGAAAGCTCTATCAAATCCAACAACGTGTTTGGAATGCCCATCCCAACAAAACCCACTAAACCCACACAACCGGACCTCGATTCTGCCTTATCGCAAGTGCAGAATGCAAGGTCAAGCTCGCCTGAGTTGATAAAGAAAGAAAAGAGATGGAACAATTCTTCCCTGGGAGTTCAGTCCAAAAACAGTTCCAATCCTTCTAGTGGTACAGCTATGAATGGCAACTACTCTGGTTCGTTATTGGCGACCAGTACCTTAGGTGGGCCCTATAAGTCCGATACTCCGTTCTTCCGTTCCCATTCTCCTCCTGTGCCTAAGAAATTCAACAAGATTAATAACAAGATCATCAAGCCAGTTAAAACTGCGTTGGAGAACAGTGCGGCTTCTGTGAAGCCCAATACTTCATGGAACAAGGCCACACAAACTGCAGACAATTCCAAGAAGGGATATGCCCCAGTGATTGATGAAGAGGAAGAGAGTGAGTAACTCGGTCGCAATCGGAAAACTCTAGTGAATGTAATAGAACGACAATTCACCCAATATCAAAGGTTCCCAGAGCATAAATACCAATGATTTTACGTTGTATCATACGCTACCCTGGAACTCAACTTAGTTGAATAGCAGAGTAGTCAGAAGTTAACCTTCTTCCATTAATAATTAATGCTCTAACTTCATGACTGTAGCGTGTTCTGTTTAGAAACCAATCGAATCACGGCCTTTCAGTGTACCCGATTTAATCGTGTCCCAACTTCACTAAGTAGATCCACATCGCTATCTGGTCGTGTGCTTCACAAAGAAAATTTTTAGTATGAAAAATTCAACGAGTTCATTATACACACTACAACCAATACACCATGGCATCTGTTATAGTGGTCGAGAATGACTTGAAGGATTCCGCCAGGGAATATGCTCAAATTATTGATGCTGCCAACCAAAATAAGGAATTTTCTGAAAGTTTAGGAAAGTTCTTTAAGGATGGTTCCGATGAAATCAGCAACAAATCAGAATTAATTGATGAGCTTTACAAAGGATCAAGCACTGGAGTGTTGTCCAAATTGACAGACAAAGAATTCGAACCTACCTTCAACCTTTTGGTCTACCTTGTAGGAGAAATTGCTGGCAAACAAGCATGGGATGATTCCAAATCTCCTCTCTTCCAAATCTTACTTGACACCAACCCAAAGCAAAAATTATCATTAAGAGATAGAAAGTCCATCAAAACCTCCACCATCTTGTCTGCTTTCAACACCATTTTCAACTTATTGCCACAAACTTCCAGAACCAGACTCACCATATTACATCAAATCTTAAACGTGGTTGAAACTTCCAACTTCGACTACAGTATCATTGAAAAGAACTTCGGTAGCAACCTTGTCCAATGTGCAACTGCCGCCCAAGCTACTGATGCTGAGGTTAAGGAACTCTTCTGGAAATTCGTCAATTTGGACACTAAGTACACTGAAAAGTCCTTGCACTCGATCAAAAAATTCACTCAATCCCACTCATTGAATGTTGAAGAATTGAAGTCCTTGATCAAGTTCGCTTTGTCTTCTGAGACTGTCGATATCTCTTTCTTGGTCAACAACAATGTTGCCAGCGCTTTGGCAGCCAACACAAACGAACCATTGGTCAGCATTTTCAAACAATACATAACTGGTGAAGTCGTTGAACAATCCAAGATTCAAGATGGATTACCAGCTGAATTCATTCATAACAAGTCAAGAATTTTGTCGTTGGCAAGATTCTTCAGTCAAGCATCACAATCCAAAATTGTTTTCCAGTACAGTGAAATACCAAACGGTGACTCCGCCTATGAACTCGAATCTTTGTTGGTTACTGCTATAAAAACCGGTGTTTTCGAAGGTAAGTTAAACCAATTGGCTCAAACCTTTACCTTGTCTAGAGTAAACAAGTTAATTGTTGCTGGTAATGATCAACAAAATGCCGAAAGCTGGAAGGATGCCAAGCAAGCTTTAATTGACTGGAAAACTTCCTTGACCAACATCAAGGACATTGTGAAGTCCTCTAGAGAAAACATTGTCAATGCTGGTTCGAACTAAATGGCCATTGACTAGGCATTTAGAGTAGTACATAGGCTCAATGCACCATACAATCTGAATAGATTCGTTATCAGCCAGACAGTATCTTACTTCGTGCTGTTTTAATAGGAGATGTACAATATAAGCTATGAGCTCGATTCGTTAACGCAGAGCATTGTAATCAACCAGTCTAGGTTCCAAGCACGTACTACAAAATAAATCAATGATTCTGCTCATTTATTACTTCTCTATAAGTTCAGAAGAAGGGTTAAAATCGCATTTCCTGTATCATATCCGCATTTGACACAGATATAGTCCAATACAATAGTGCAATCTCACTTCACTTAATCTCTCTCATTATCAAGGACGACCAAAAAACCACCTACCAAGTGTAATGATCCACAGACAAATACGTCCACCTCACTATTTATGTGGTCATTGGACGTGGACAAGCTCTTGATAAAATTGACCCCGGTTTCAATGTCATGGAAAATATGCTTTCTAGAGTTGTTCTTATTCTTAGCATCCAAGTCGGCCCAAGTTTGGGCCAAACCCTTCTGGATCACTAGTTTATCGATCAATTCTTGGGAATTGTTCAAAGAAATCAAGTCTGAATTGTACTTTCCATCAGACCAGGTAATATTAGTGGTGAAAATTACATGATCAAACCTGAACTCAGAATCACCAGTACTGGTGTTCTCGTATAATCTGGTCAACAATGCATCAGCGTTTTCTCTACTTTGTTGGTTGAAAAGTAGGATTCGCAAGTTCTTCGAGCAAGCTGTAGCTTTCTTGGCCTGTTCGTCCTTGAACCATTTCGAGGAGACATTAATAGACTCAAGAGTGTGTGCACCATCAATATACCAATTTATCTTTTCATAGCCTGGTTTGTTTTGGATGATTTGACATCTGCCATCCCAATCGACATTAGCCAAGCCCTCGGTAAACTTCTCAGGTAATTCTTCTATAATGCCTTGGTCATTGTACTTTGGCAAGTCTGAATCAGGAGCACCAAGCTTCTTCAAATGTGCTTCTGCGACCTTCACAGCCAACGCAGCATTCTGTTTCTGGAATTCACCCGCCAAGCCAAGGGGGACACCTTCAGGGAGCACATCCTGTTGAGATATTATCTCCAAGCTGGAGACGTTTTTCTCCTGGGCTCTGGACTTGATCACCTCAATCGAGCTGGGAAACTCCAATTGGTCGCTTACGATGGCAGGACACCCAGACTTGAAGATCCCGGTCTTGTTCCAGGCAATTGATTCGATGGTATTGCCCAACATGAAGGTGTGGTCGATTCCCAAGCTTGAGATCCCGGTGACAGTGGGCTTGTCTATGATGTTTGTGGAGTCGTACTCTCCGCCCACACCGACCTCATATATAGCCGAATCCACACCCTCTTGCATGAACACGTGGAACGACAAGATGGTCAAGTACTTGAAGTACATTGGCTTGACGGTTTCGCATGGCTGCAAGGTGGGAAACTCGTGGGGCGACGAGGTGGTGGACGACAACTTGTCCCACACCTCGAAGAAGTACTTCGTGAACTTCAACTCGGTGATGGGGGCACCGTTGATTCTGATTCTCTCGCGGACCGACTTGAGGTGGGGCGAGGTGAACAAGCCGATCTTCTTGATGAGACCATCTGCTTGGTACTGCTTCAAGATCGACTCGGTGAACGCACACGTGGAGCCCTTGCCCTTGGTGCCGGTGATATGGATGATGTTCAAGCGATTGAAGTCTTTGGGAGAGTAACCCAAGCGACGAGTGTACTCGTATACCTCGAGGATCGAGAGCTCGTTGCGATTGACGTTGGGGCCCAACTTCTTGAACGCCTCGATGGAGGCGAAGTTGGACTGCAAGGTGTTGAGGGCGGAGATTGCATCCTTGTAGGTTCTTTTCATGGCAGCACACGAGATGGGGGTGCCTGTGGTGTCAGGACGTTGGGCCATAGATGAAAAGACGACTCGCCAGTAGTGAAAATTTGTGCCAGAAAAACACTCCCCACGATAACAGACCTGGGGGTGGAAGAGTGCCAGGAGCCTGGAACTGCTGGGAAAAAGTGCTGGCGAGCCAGAACGGCGCCATAAAGGCGCCGGACATTGGCCTGGCGTTGGCACTATCGCTGCCACCTCCGATTACTATGTGTTGCCGGGTGCAATAGCTGATCCCTGGATTGGGGGCTCAGGCTCCAGTAGCAGTGTGGGACGGATTTGCAACTGTAGAACGTCTGTAAAACGGTGGTGGGGGACTAGCCCCCCACCACTCAGTGGACTACGGCCTATGAGCTGGTGGAGGCATAGAGTCCACCAGAAGTCTCGTTCGTGGTGGATTGGTATATATTGATCCATTCGCACAGTAACTGAGCACTCCCAGGGTGGATTCTCTGGAAGTTTCAGGTCTCCACGATGGACTACCCTTACAACGTCGTTGCCACGCCACTGGGGGCAGGGATTGTGGCCAATATCCGTATTTTGCAATGTCAAAGCTTAAGTGTTGTGACGTAGATTCCAGGGCTAAGGACACTCTACTAGGAATCACTCCACTGTAATTATTGGTGAGGGCTGATGGGCAATACTACCATCGTTCAGAGACACCCTAGTGTAATTTGGTCTGAGCGGGCACTCTACTACAATTAGTGGTCTGAGCGGGCGGGACTCTACTAATTTATTCTTCAGAACGTACTCTACTGTAATTAATGGTCAATGCTAATGGTCACTACCACTCTCGTTCAGAGCTAACGACACTGAGTTCAGACCATCATAGTGTGTCTTGTAAAGTCCAACAGGATATGTAATTCAGGACCCACTGCAATTGCCTTTACCAACTTTGGGGTCAAGGAGGAGCATGTAGGTGTACTTCAGCCGGAATAACTGCATTGCCAGGACTCCGGAAAATACCAAAACTACACCAATCGGATAATCATACAGCTAACAACAGGAGGTTTGGATCATACAAACTGAGCTATTCCAAGCACACTCTCCAAATCAGTTTAACGGGGATTTAGATCCCAGTCGCTTCAAATACAACTCTGAGCTGGTTTATTCCACAGTCACTCTCCCAATACATTTTAGGGGTTGTTCTGTTCAAACCACAGACGCTTTCCAATTAATTACATGTTAGGATCCCAGAGTCCAAATGAATTTCATGATTTGTTTGGATCCCAGTCGCTTCAAATTCAATTCTGAGCTGGTTCTTTTCAACATCCAATTACAATTCTGAGCTGGTTTGGATCCCAGTGGCTCCAAACACTGTGAGGTGTTCCCAACTACTGGCATCTTTCGAAGGATCCACCAATATTTCACTACAGTATCATTGTATCATTACTAGTACTGTTAGCACCACTGCCCCCTCGATTGCTTCGTGACAACACACAAGCCGTAGAGAGCTCTGTGGTTGCCAACAAACTGTAGTACCGCCAAGGTTGTCTTGTCGCACCCACCTTCCTCTTGTCAGTGTGTCGCAAATTGTCGTGGCCCACACTCTGACTCATACTCACATTGAAAAAAAGGGATGACAAAACACCATCGAGCCCAATCACGAGACCGTCCCACCACCGTCTAGCTTCACTTCAACACTAGCTAGCACTCCGTCCCAAATCCATTCAACACAGGACACCCCAGCCAACAAAGCCCAGCCAACAAAGCCCAGCCAACAAAGCCCAGCCAACAAAGCCCAGCCAACAAAGCCCAGCCAACCAAGCCCAGCGAATTTCCCTCCCCACGCCCTGCCGAATAGCCCTAGCCAAGCTCTTCCGCATCTCCCAACGTCAAGCCTCCAGTCGTCCCATCATCCTTTCCGTTTAGCCTGTTCCTTCCGTGTTGCCATCATGAGCAAGGTCTTCCATTAGAGCTCCTCGCGGATCCACACTTTTGACGGCTATTGTATACTACTATCACCTTCTTCGGCTCATCACTATTGGCTTGTAACTACTTCACGAAGCACTTCGATCTATTGGAAGCTTGAATTTCCCCGATCTGCCCTGCTTTCCTCCATTTCATCATGGTAACTATTGGAGACGGCATCTATCCCTCCAGACAAGTCGCCTCGCAACAACCAACCTTGGCACCTACTCCCAAGATCCCTACGCCACCCACTCCCGCTGACTCACCGGACGGAAACCCGGTTGCCTCCACCTCCTCATCGCTAGGGCTCTCATCGCATGACGTCTTGATGAATCACCTCAAGATGGTCAGCCACGATGATCCTCACATCTCCTCCAGTCTCGATATCACTAATGGTGATACCAGCCCCATGGAAGAATCCATCGAAGATATGCCTTTGTTGGTTTCTGATAACGAGGGCTTTTCTGACGACGAGAGCACTTACTCTGGAACTTCTTCCAAACCAAAGCACCTGCCACTCCCTCTTGCAGCTTCCATCCCTACCCCAGCGTCTAGGCTCGCTACGGCTTCTCCCCAGCTGCCAGTCTCACGAGGCTCCACGCCAGTGATTCCATCGGTGGCTGCGGACCAGGTCAGGAGGTCCATGAAAAGCACTGCCATTACTATTGTCAAAACCGACGGACTTTCGCCCCAGCAGTTCAAACAAGAACGCAGTCAACTTATGACCATTATTGTCAAGTACATTGCTACTAAGATTCAGAACTCGTTTCCTCCAGAATCGCCCCGTATTGTCAACGCTGACGAGCTTCCTTTGGACAGGTTTCTCTTGTTGTTGACTAGCAGATTGAAATTGTCCTTGCCCGTATTTATGAAAGGTATCATCTATCTTTTCCGTTACATGGACATCATCTACTTGTTACGGTATCTTAACCAGTCCAACAACTTTGCTAACTACACCGACATGGGTTTTGAGTTGAAAAAATTGATTGTGGGATGCTTCAAGTTAGCCATCATGAGAGAGAAGAAAATGCAGGCCCATGCCCAGTCTGGGGCTGTGGATAACTACCTCGATCTCAACTGGCAACGTGTCGCGGGTCTCCCCAACCAAGAAATCAACACTATTGTCAAGAAGATCGTTTCAAGAATGAACGGCAAGTTGAATATCAAGAATATCGAGCTTGTCAAATTGAAATCGGAAATTTTCCGTTTTGTTAAGATGGTTGCAACCGAGGTTTGATTGCATAACACCTTCAAACGTCAAGAAGCTACAATACCGATGCAGTCACAGGAAGTCTCCGCCCGCTACACTTCACAACTTCAAGAAACTGAGAATTCAAATTTTCAGGTTTTAATGAAACAGATGGAACACTCCTATACAGGAAACTGCCAACTGTTACAACACAGGAGAACTCTCCGTCCGGCGTACTTTTACTTCTACTCGAGGCTGCCCTCATTTCGCCCAAGGCTACTATATAGGATTAATTAATGTTTACACTCTGAAACAGTCGACACCAGACAAAACCGCTCCACCAGCGTGGCCCAAACACAAATCAAGCAAAGCTGTGTGTATGTTCTTTGGTTCTCAATACTCACTTGCAATGTTCTTGTTATTGTACTAAAAGAAATTATGGAAGTCCGAGATGCCCTCGGAAATTGGAGCATGGGCGATTTCCGGTCACCTGGGTCAGCAGATATTCTCCCTATTTCCGTTAGCAAAAATAGGGACAAAGCGGTCCAGGTTGTTTTGTAGTAGCAATAGAATGCAGTGACAGCTCTCCTCCTGAATTTTGGGCCCCTGTGGGCCATTTCTTGAAGCTCCAGACTTCTCATCACGTGATATCCCAATTTGCCAGTCATCGACTGTGCCACTCCAGGGGTTGCCGCAGAGTGGCCAGAAGCCATCACGGTGCTCGTTGCCCTAGAGCCTGCGCAGGTAAAAACCATATCTGGCAGCTTACGGTTCTTAGATGGTCCGAGCCTGAATTACTAGACACCTTTCTTTAAGAGTTTGATGTAATAATGAACATACTCTCTGTCCTAGTAATGGACTAGCAATTGAGCATGGCGTACTGCCACTAGGAACCCCCTTCACACCTGGTCACATGCTGGGCTTATTAAGCACCGCTTGCTCCGGCCTATAACGAGTTGCTCAGTGGAATTACGTAACCATGTGTCAGGAACAGATGCCTGTTCCGCACAAGCGCAGCGACACCGCAGGACCTGGCGCTACCACGCCGTGACTCATTGCGATAATGCCTTAATCTGGGGCAGCACTCCGGTGCTCCGTAGCCCCACCACCAAGTGTCGGATAGATACAAGATTCACACCCCAGCTAGTTGCCAGTGTCTAGATGCCACCCACCAAATATGGGATCGCTGACTCTAAAAATGGCAGCACTCTGGCTGCTTATATTCTGGCGGTGAGTCATCTGGGCTTTTGTGTCACCTGATAACAAGCTTGCCGCTACTATCGATTACTTGTTTCGGACCGGAGCCTGCTATGACCATTATTTCAGATCTGGAGAACCTGAAAATTTTTCGTATAAAGCGTTCGGAGTAGCCCTGTTTGAAAACCCACCACATCTATTTTCTAAAATGTCAGTTGCCAGCAATCCATACGGGCCAAACCCCTCCGACTTTTTGTCTAATGTTAACAAGTTCGAAGTTATCGAGAGTACCTTGAGAGAAGGTGAACAATTCGCCAACGCCTTCTTTACCACTGAAAAGAAGATCGAGATCGCCAAGGCTTTGGACGACTTCGGGGTCGACTACATCGAGTTGACCTCGCCTGTTGCTTCCGAGCAGTCCAGAAAGGACTGTGAGGCCATCTGCAAATTGGGATTGAAGGCCAAGATCTTGACCCACATCAGATGTCACATGGACGACGCCAGAGTTGCTGTTGAGACTGGTGTTGACGGTGTCGACGTCGTCATTGGAACCTCCCAGTTCTTGAGACAATACTCCCATGGTAAGGACATGAACTACATTGCCCAATCTGCTATTGAGGTGATCGAGTTTGTCAAGTCCAAGGGAATCGAGATCAGATTCTCGTCGGAAGACTCGTTTAGATCCGACATCGTCGACTTGTTGAACATCTACAGAACTGTCGACAAAATCGGTGTGAATAGAGTCGGTATTGCCGACACTGTCGGATGCGCCAACCCAAGACAGGTGTATGAATTGGTCAAGACCCTCAAGTCGGTCGTTTCGTGTGACATTGAGTGTCACTTCCACAACGACACTGGTTGTTCCATCGCCAACGCTTACACCGCTTTGGAGGCTGGTGCCAACTTGATTGACGTCTCGGTGTTGGGTATCGGTGAAAGAAACGGTATCACTCCTTTGGGTGCTTTGATGGCCAGAATGATCACGGCTGACAGAGACTACGTCTTGTCCAAATACAAATTGCATAAGTTGAGAGACTTGGAGAACTTGGTGGCTGATGCTGTGCAAGTTAACATCCCTTTCAACAACCCAATCACTGGTTTCTGTGCCTTCACCCACAAGGCCGGTATCCACGCCAAGGCCATCTTGGCCAACCCATCCACCTACGAAATCTTGAACCCATCTGATTTCGGTTTGACCAGATACATCCACTTTGCCAACAGGTTGACTGGATGGAACGCCATCAAGTCCAGAGTCGACCAGTTGAACTTGAACTTGAACGACGACCAATGTAAGGAAGTCACTGCCAAGATTAAAATGTTGGGTGATGTCAGACAGTTGAACATTGATGATGTTGATTCCATCATCAAGGACTTCCACCAGGAACAAACCAACGGTGAGGCTGACGCCAGCGAGCCTGCTGCTAAAAAGCAAAAACCAGAGTAATTGCATACGGATGAACGGTGTCGGGTCTAAGGTTTATGATTCAAGTACTTAGTATATTCCTCAAAAGTTGCTCTTAGGAGCTTCAGTTCTTTTATGTTATTTAATAAAGATATTGTTTGTAACATTTTTCACGTAATGTAGGTGCTTCACTTCACACGATTGCAGCTGATTTTGGAATATCCATTTCCCAAGCAATGTATTACGGGATCATTTCTGTTTCTACGTGCTCACCCAGGCTAATACTGCCTGTACGCTCAAAAACAGTCACTACTAACCAATTTGGATGCTTCCCCAGAGTGGAGACAAAAAACAGCATTAAGAAGAGCATCCTGTAGGAATCGGAATCTAAAATCTTTGTGGGATTGGCCACATCATGTCAAATTAGAGGTGGATTGAGGACGTACAATCTCCAAACCCATCAGCAGCTGATACCCAAGCTTACGGGTAACTCCACCATGCTTTACAATCTCGGATCGATGGAAATATGGATGTTTAGCTATGACCTCGGTAAAGCGCTCAACTGGCCATGGTGCACACATTTCTGATAGCTTAAAAAGAAGGCTTTTGCTGTCTGTTGCTTCTAAAAAGCGATCATGTGCCTTGGATACGATAGTGTGTTCCATTCTAGATATGAAACATCCTTCTTCTCGGTTTTACCGGAAGTAGTACTGGCTCTTGGGAGTGTGCTGGGCTAAGCTCAGCACAGCATCTAACAATTAGGAGATTGCTGGATGGTGAAAATCGCGGAGTGGATAAGTTTGCTGCGTATAGTTAAACTTTTAATCCCGAGAATTCCAGACCTTCAAGCCCTCCTCCGCTGAACTATTTGAAACTACAGGTTTGGATTGAAGAACATTACTTTGTAGGATAATATCCTCGGCAGGACCTCTAGCAAGCCAATATTTTCATATGTTCGATGAGGACTACCATGCGCAAAGTCGAGTGGTGCCGAACAATTTACACCCACTCAGCTCTAAAGTTACCTACTTGGCCCAAGCATCCTACGAGGTACTTGCCTTATCAGGCTTGGGATCAAAGGTTCAGTTGAAACCCAACTAGTAGAGAAACGGTCACTATAGAAGTTAAGGTTTGTGTCTCCGTATCTTGCATATGCGCGGATTTAACCGCCAGTGCTCGGTTGCGTTATACCGAACCCCACCCAAATTGACATCCCCACTGTTCGGCTAAAGCCTGCCCCCGCATAAAAATATAGGCACCCTCAGTATAAGTGCCGACCCATTCCCACAATCTCTGACTACACCAAAATGGCTATCCCAAAGACCCAATCAGCATTCGGCTACGAAAAAGGCACCCTTGACCTTGTCCAGTTCGACGACGAACCAGTACAGACTCCTGGCGACAACGAGTTGTTGTTGAAGGTGGAGGCTGCTGGACTCTGTATGAGTGATCCCCACCTTATCCAATCAGGCCCATTGGTGGCCAAGGTTGGCCAAGAAGCTCCCCCAGAAAGGTTCGTCATGGGCCACGAAATTGCTGGCCAGGTGGCTGCTGTTGGTGACAACTTGAAGAACGACCCCAGATACAAGGAAGGTACTCGTTTCTCCATGCAGATTGCCATTGCCTGTGGTGCCTGTGAAAACTGTCGTACTGGTATCGATAACCAGTGTTCTCAGTCTGCCGAGGCATATGGCTTGAACGCTCACGGTGGATTCCAACAGTACTTGTTGGTGAAAAACTTGAGATCGTTGCTTCCTATTCCTGACAACGTCAGCTACGAAACTGCAGCCGTGTCCACCGACTCTGTTTTGACCCCTTTCCATGCCGTCCAAAAGGTCAAGAACATGTTGAACCCCACCAGCAAGGTGTTGGTGGTGGGTATTGGTGGTTTGGGTATCAATGCCTTGCAGATTCTCAACAACTATGGTGTCCACATCGTGGCCGTAGACGTCAAGGAGTCCTTGAAGGACATCGCATTGTCCAATGGAGCCAAGGAGTTCCACACTGACATCTTCAAATCTTCTCACCCACTCGAAAGTTTTGACGTGTGCTTTGACTTCGTCGGAATGCAACCAACCAGTGATATCTGTCAGAAGTTCGTCAAGCACCAGGGTAAGATCGTCAGTATTGGATTGGGCAGATCCAAGTTCACCATCTACAACTTCCACATGGCCAGACGTGAGGTTCAGTACATCTTCTGTTTTGGAGGTACTTCTGCTGAGCAGATTGAGATGATGAAGTGGATCTCTTTGGGCAAGCTCAAGCCACACTTCAACGTGTACGACTTCAAGGAGCTTCCAGACTACTTGGGCAAGTTGGTCATGGGTGAAATTGAGGGTAGAGCCGTGTTCAGACCTTCCAAGTTGTAGTCAGCAGGGCTGGTTCATACGTCATGAGTATAAAAATACATTTGTGAATAACTTGTTGTAGTTGTATTGTGTGCCATTGGATTGAAAGGGCTTGGCTCCCTTTGGGAAAGTGGTAGTTCTGCTTGATACTTGGCAGCTTCAATGAATATCCAGAAATACTGAAGAGGAATCCGTCTGAAATGGGGGTTCCTGGCTAATTTTGTAGGGATTCAAGCAGTTGATTTCGTAGTTTGTGTAAATGGAGCGTTCCAGACCTTTAATTTTTTAGATTAAATTAAAATGAGCCCAAGACCCTCAATTTGGCCACTAAAATTGGATTGAAACAGAAGCAAATTGGCCCGTAAATGATACGCTTCCTTGCTCATTGGCGCCACGAACTATGTGAACAGAAATCACCCACATAATGGCTTCAATGCCACATTTAGAGAAATCGCCACCGTAAAATTGAAGGTTTCCAGTCTCGCTTCCCGCAGACACCGCCTTATATATTCAAAAACCCCAACCATCAGGGTGCTTATTGGTCCCCACATTACTGTCGCAAGACTGTATATTCGCAGCCGTAGCGACCATTTCCGATCGGACTCGCACGTGAGCGTCTGGGGACATTTTTGCGGCGCCAGATCACCATCCGTTCGCCAACCAACAGGTAGTCCAGATCATGGCAAAGAAAGGAGGAGAAAACACCAAGAAGGCGGCCGGAAACGCCAAGAAGGCCGAGAACGCCAACAAGAAGAAACAGGCCCAAGAAAGCGCCTTAGAGGCCCAGGAAGCCGCTGCGTGGGAGGATGGCGCCAAAAAGGGCAACAAGAAGAAGGACGACGCCCAGTTCAAGAAGGAGGAGGCAGCACGCAAAAAGGCCGAGAGAGACGCATTGTTGCAGGCGGAGGAGAGTGCATTGCCCTCCAAGCCATTGAAGGCCAAGCAGAGGGGTGCTGAGAAGGTGGCCTCCAAGAGAGCGGGCAAAATCGACGACTTCTTGGACTCCAACGGCGACATCAGCGAGTTGAGTGCCAGTGGTATCGACAATGCGTTGGAGGCGTTGTCGTTGACTCAAAGAGACGGAGGTGTGCAGTCCAAGGACATCGACAAGCACCCCGAGAGAAGAGTCAAGGCAGCGTTTGCCGCCTATGAGGAGAGAAGAACTCCTGAGTTGAAGAAGGAGCACCCAGGGTTGCGGTCTCAGCAGATCAAGAACTTGGTGTTCAAGGAGTTCCAGAAGTCACCGGAGAACCCCATGAACCAAGACACCAACGTGCGCTACAACGCTTCGCGCGAAGAGGTGGACGCCAAAAAGAAGGAGGTCAGAGCGGCCAGAGAGGCCAGATACAACTAGCCACACATCTGTATTGGCCAGTATGGAATGCAGACTTCACTACGGGGCTTTGGGAAAATCCTACGTCACTGGAAAATCCTATGGCTTGTGCGTAGCAGCAGAATAAATACCTACTAGTACTCCCGTCTAAATACATCAACACATCAATCGTATACACTGTAACCTACCAACATACCAGGCTCTATCCCTACTCCACGACTGCGAATCGTCCCTACCTACCAACACTACTATCCTATCCACTACTCTGTAGAATTGCTGGTGGCACAGGCGCGCCTGGCTTTTTGCTGAAAAAACCTCATCTCCACCAAGCGCACGCTATTCGCCCACCACCACAGGCCGCCACCACGCTTGCCAGTGCCGTGGGGTGCCATCCAGCATGCCCACCGTGCCAGCATCCGTGCAGTGGCCGTCGCCCATGTTCCCTGGAGCGATTTTTTTACTGGTTGGCGTCCCTGGCCTGCTGGGTCTGTCATCTGCGTACGTGCGCCCACCACCACCGTTTGCAACCTACGAAGTATAAATACATCCAAAAATCTCCCCAGCCCGGGCGCAGATCTGCTGTTCCCAAAGAGGAATTTTACCAGTTACACGATTCCCTCCCGTCGAATCGCCCTATATCCACAGAGCACCCTCTCTGTGTCCCTCCCAGCGAACGTCGGACCCTCTTCGCCGCCGGCTCTCGAATTTGGCCGGTTTTTGTTGTTATCTTGCCTGGAGAGTGCATATATCCCATCACCATTTTCACCACTGCCCATCGACACGTTTGAGCCACCATGTCCAGGTTAGAACGCTTGGTTATCTTGCTCGAAACAGGGTCGACTCCGTTCATCCGGAACACTGCCGCAGACCAATTGTCCGACTTGGCTCGAGGTCATCCCGAAGAAATCATCAACCTCTTGGGCCGGGTGTACCCATACTTGCGCTCCAACAAATGGGAAACCAGAATCGCAGCAGCAAGAGCCTTCGGGGGCATTGTCAACCACGCAGACTTGTGGGACCCCAACGGCAAGGACCACACCAATGGTCCCGTCAAACAGGAAGAACCATACATAAAGACAGAAGACACAAAGGTCAAGCTCGAAGACGAAACCAAAATCAAATTGGAGCAGGACGAGGAATTGAAGAAATTGGACGACAACTTGCTCAACCTCGTGAGCTTCGAATCGTTCGACCTAGCAGAACTTTTGAAAAGCGGCAAGCGGTTTCTCGCGTCGAGATCGGATGACGACCCTGTTGACTCGGGCTTTGCTGACGACTCTTTGATGGGCAAGCTCAAAAAGCACAGAACTTCCTTGGGAGCTTCCGAAGTCGACCACCAAGAGGTGAAATCCGAATCTCCGCCATCATCAATATCACCCTCGTCTACTCCTCCCATCAAAGCTGAACAATCCCCTCCTCCATCAAGTGAGAGGCCCTCGGCCCCAAGCAAAAGTGTGTCTAGTGCCAGATTAAAAGCCATGCAAAAGAGAAGGGCTAAGGCCAATGCAAAGTCTGCAGCACACAAAATTAAACCAATAGATATCTCCCAAAGTTCCATCTCGAGAAAATTAGTAGAAGATGGGGAAGAATCGGTCCAATCAGACAGCACCGGTCCACAATTCGATGTCACTTCACAACAAGGTGGCGAGAAATTGGTGGTAGAGACGAAGGCCCCAGAATTGTCTCCCTTATTATCACAACACGCAAAGGTTGCTGGGCTAGTATGGCAATTTCAGGGTGTATACGAGTTGTTGTTAGCCGATATTTTTGATGATAAATGGGAAATCAGACACGGCGCTGCCTTGGGATTGAGAGAATTGATCAAGAAGCATGGAAAGGGTGTTGGACGAGTAATGAAAAAGTCTTTAGAGGAAAATGATTATAACAATGCTGCAACATTGGAAGACTTGGCAGTACGCTTGTGCACCTTATTTTCATTGGACAGATTCGGTGATTACGTCTCAGATACTGTAGTTGCTCCAGTACGAGAATCTGGAGCACAGACATTAGCTGCACTTTTTATCCATCTTAGTGATGATGCAGTCATCAAAACTTTCAATTGTTTATATGCAATGGTCTTGCAAGAAAACATGGTCATGAAATGCTGGGAAGCAAAGCATGGTGGTATGCTTGGTGTGCGATACTTTGTCAGTGTGAGGACTGATGTCTTATTGGCAAATCCACACTTGCTTGATATGGTAGTGAACATGGTACTTCATGGATTACAAGAAAGTGATGATGATGTACAGTCTGTCGCAGCTTTAATCTTGGCCCCAATCGCAAACCAATTTGTCAGCATCAAACAAGACTTAATTCATACTTTATTAACTGCAATCTGGGACTCTTTGGTAAACTTAAGAGATGATTTATCAGCTTCCATCGGATCTGTGATGGACTTATTGGCCAAATTGTGCACACATAATGAAGTCATCAAAATTATGCAAAAGGATGCAACGGAAAGTGAAGAAAACACATTCGAGAAATTGATTCCAAGATTATATCCATTCTTACGACACTCAATCACAAATGTTAGAAAGGCGGTTTTAAGAACCATTATAGAATTTTTGAGTATTAAAGACTCAAATACAAAAGGATGGATAGATTCGAAGACAATGAGATTGATTTTCCAAAATTTGTTGGTTGAACAAAACCCTGAAGTATTGCTGTTGTCCGCAAAAGTTTACGACTCATTACTTGAGGAAATTCAAAAGCATCAAGATGTACTTCCATCGGTAGATGTTATTTTCAGTGAAAACTTTCAACCATTGTTGACATTGTTGATGACACCAATCGGAATTTCTAGACATAACTATCAAATGGACACGAACTTAATCGTGCGTCCATCCGGTCATAATTTGGGATCCTTGGATTTGACTGAAGATGAAAAGAAAGGAAAGAAGAGAAAAGCATCTGAAACCATTAAGAATGACATTCCTTTTGGTGATGACCTTAAAGTTAACATTGATGCTCCAATCTTTAAAGGTGATGTCATGTTAGTGGGATATGATAAATTCATCGCCACAAGAAGTGCAGCTGCACATGCCATTGGGAACACACTTTCTTTTGTTGACAACGAAGAGATCCTTAAACAAGTGTTTGAAATCATTCTAAACTACTTGAACTCTCCTCACGCTACACCAAGACTATTCTCTGCTTTGGTGATAGAGGAGTATGCAACTGCATTAAAGAATAGAGGTTCGCAACCATCTGCGATTGCGATAAGCCTATTTGGTGAACATATGTTAAACTTGCTTCAGTCACCAGAGTCTATTCCAAACTTCCGTGAATTAGTTCCTACCTTAAAATCGGTTAGAACGTCGTGCTTGCAACTTTTTGATGTCTTCGTGACCACTGCTAAACTTCCTCCAGCAAAGATCCCTCAACTACCAGTTGTGGTCCAAGGTGAGGCAGAAGCCGGCCCAGGAGCTTTTAATCTTGAAAATGCGGAGTCTATCATCACCGAGACGTTTGTTAAGTTGAAGAAAAACTTATCAGCAACTTATCGTATGTCTGCCAATCAGGCTCTAGAAGATAGCAAGCATAGGATTCAGGTAGCTATAGATGAAGCTAAGTCTATCAGAACCCATCGGGTCACTGGAATTCTTGCTGCTTATGCTGGTTCTATTTTAGCATTAACTGGCGTTCCCAAGAAACTTAATCCAATTATCAGAACCCTTATGGATAGTGTGAAGCAAGAGGAAACTTTGATTTTACAAGAAAAGTCAGCCAAATCAGTTGCATGTCTTATTGAACAATTGTGTTCCATTGGCAAGAAAGGTGCAGCTGACAAAATCGTTAAGAATTTGTGTGCCTTCTTATGTGTTGACACCTCAGAAGTTCCGGAGTTTCATCATAACGTCAAATTCAAGGACATTATTTTGTCCTTGAGAAAAGAGGAGGCCAAGACTGACCCTGCTGACATTGCTGCTCATGAACGTGCTGTTCATGATGCCAAGATTAAGCGTAATGGTGCCATTCTTTCACTTGAAGCATTGCTCGATATATATGGGGAGAAATTATTTGAAGAAGTTCCCAAATTGAAGGAAATAATGATAGAGCCATTGAATTCGTTCGACCAGACTTCTGAAACTCCTGATGATCTCAAGGGACAAAGCATTATTGATGCCTTAGGAGTTCTCAGAGCCCTTTTACCCAAAATGCATAAGTCGCTTTGTTCAGAAATTACTGATAAGCTTAGTTTGTTCTTCCCTGGTTTAAGCTCTGATTACTCGGTATTCCGTTATTCAACTGCCAAGTGTCTCGCTACTATTTGTTCGGTTGCTCCCACCAAAGCATTTACATTTTTGATTAAGACAGTTTTACCTATGTTGAACAATGCAGGTCAAATCAAGGAGAGACAAGGTGCTATTGAAACAATTTATCATATTTCCACAACCATGGGGTCAGATATTTTGCCTTACATCGTCTTTTTAATTGTTCCAGTATTGGGTAGGATGAGTGATTCTGATCAGGATGTCCGTGTTTTGGCAACTACTACATTTGCTGCCATTATTAAATTGGTCCCATTGGAAGCAGGAATTCCTGATCCTGATGACATGCCTCAGGAGTTGTTGGAAGGTAGAGATAGAGAGAGAGATTTTATCCAACAAATGATGGACCCAACAAAGATCAAGCCTTTTGATTTACCAGTTTCTATCAAAGCAACTTTAAGAAAGTATCAACAAGAAGGTGTAAACTGGTTGGCATTCTTGAATAAGTACCACTTGCATGGTATTCTTTGTGATGATATGGGTCTCGGTAAGACTTTGCAAACTATTTGCATAGTTTCATCAGATCATTACATCAGAGAAGAAAAATTCAAAGAAACGCAAGCCCCTGAGTTCAGAAAATTACCTTCCTTGATCATCTGTCCTCCATCTTTAACGGGTCATTGGGAACAAGAACTCAATCAATATGCTCCATTTTTGAAAGTGTTGGTTTATGCCGGAGGACCTAGCGTTAGGGCTCCTCTTAGAGCACAAATTCCACAGGCTGATGTCGTTGTGACTTCATACGATGTCGCACGTAATGATGTTGACCATGTTACCCTTCATGATTACAACTACTGTGTTCTTGATGAAGGTCATATCATCAAGAATGCAGCTTCCAAACTCACCAAGTCAGTAAAGAGGGTGAGAGCCGAGCACAGATTAATTTTATCTGGAACTCCAATTCAAAACAACGTCTTGGAATTATGGTCATTATTTGACTTTTTGATGCCAGGATTTTTGGGTACCGAGAAGATATTCCACGAAAAATTTGCCAAACCAATTGCTGCTAGTAGAAATAGCAAAACCTCATCTAAAGAGCAAGAAGCGGGGGCATTGGCATTGGAATCATTGCATAAACAAGTTTTACCGTTCATGTTGCGTCGTCTTAAGGAAGACGTCTTGTCTGATTTACCACCTAAGATTATTCAAGATTATTATTGTGAACTAAGTGATTTACAAAAAGAATTGTACAAAGATTTCGCAAAAAAGCAGAAGTCTACTGTATTGGAAGAAGTTGGAAAACCTGACTCTGGATCTGGTGCTGAAGCAAAAACTCACGTTTTCCAAGCTTTACAATACATGAGGAAATTGTGCAATCATCCTGCATTGGTCTTATCTCCAGATCATCCAAAATTTGCAGAAGTTACTAACTACTTGCAAACACGCCGGTCCGATATTAGAAGCATTGAACATGCTCCAAAACTTTTATCTTTGAAAACCTTATTGCTAGAATGTGGTATTGGTGTTAACGACAGCTCATATTCTTCAGCCAAATTCCAACAGAAGCAGAAGCAACAGATGATAACCACAGAAGGGGTTATTTCTGAGCATCGTGCACTTATTTTCTGTCAACTCAAAGACATGTTGGATATTGTTGAAAACGAGCTCTTGAGAAAGCATCTTCCATCGGTCACATTCATGAGACTAGATGGTAGTACTGATCCTAGAGAAAGACAATCGATTGTCAGAAAATTCAATGAGGATCCTTCTATCGATGTTCTTCTCTTGACCACCAAAGTTGGAGGATTGGGGCTCAACTTAACTGGAGCTGACACTGTCATTTTCGTCGAGCACGACTGGAACCCGATGAACGATTTGCAGGCGATGGACAGAGCGCACAGATTGGGCCAGAAGAAGGTGGTGAATGTTTACAGATTGATCACCAAGAACACCTTGGAAGAAAAGATCATGGGTCTTCAGAAGTTCAAGATGAACATCGCCTCCACTATTGTCAACCAGCAGAATGCCGGCTTGAACTCCATGGACACCAATCAATTGCTCGACTTGTTCGATGTCGACGAATCGGCTACAAAATTGTCGGAGGCCCCCGAGGCCGAGCGAGAGAACAACATGCCAGATGACGTTGCTGGAGGCCTTACTGGTAAGGCAGCAGGAGCAGTTGGAGAGTTGGCCGACTTGTGGGACGAGTCGCAGTACGAGGAGGAGTACAATCTCGACAACTTCATCAAAACGCTCAAGTAGACCTCAAACCTTCGACACGTCTCCGTGCCCACGATGCTCTACAGGCCAACCTGCTGCTTCTAGCCACCCTCAACCTGCTCTTGGGCTCCGGACTACTGTATATACTATGTACACTATCAGTAAATTTTTTTCCTGCGCACGAGCACATACAGCTGTCATTGTACTCATCACAAGGTCATCTCGATAGCCATCGCCGACGCTACGCCATGAAGAACGACAGGTTAGCGCGGATAGAACAGGACGCCGAGTCGTCATTCCCGTACCTAGCCTCAGACGAAAAGTCGTCCACGCTCCGCTCGGTGGAGCCGGTATCGATAAAGCAGCAATTGCCAGTGAAAGAAACGCCCAAATGGGTCCATTTCATCGCTGGAGGCGTGGGTGGCATGGTGGGCGCCATCGTGACCTGTCCCTTGGATGTGGTGAAAACCAGACTCCAATCGGACGTCTACCACACCCTCTACAACAAAACTCCCAAGTCTTCAAACCCAGTGATACAGACAGGCCAGCACTTGAAGGAGACACTCAGTGTGATCAAGGAGCTCTACGTGACGGAGGGATCGCGTGCGTTATTCAAGGGCTTGGGCCCCAACTTGGTGGGTGTGATTCCTGCCAGATCCATCAACTTCTTCACCTACGGCGCTTCCAAAGAGGTGCTATCCTCCAACTTCACCAACGGCCAGGAGGCCACCTGGGTGCACTTGGTTTCAGGTATCAATGCCGGGTTTGTGACCTCCACCGCCACCAACCCCATCTGGTTGATCAAAACACGGTTGCAGTTGGACAAGACCAAGGGCAAGCACTATAAGAACTCGTGGGACTGCCTTAAATACGTGATAAAAAACGAGGGCTTCACCAGCTTGTACAAGGGGTTGAGTGCCTCGTACTTGGGGGGTGTGGAGTCCACTTTGCAATGGGTGTTGTATGAGCAGATGAGAATGTTCATCAACAAGCGGTCCTTGGAGCTCCACGGTGCCCACGGAAAAAACAAGACTACCAAGGACTACATATTCGAGTGGGGAGCACGCTCTGGTGCTGCTGGTGCTGCAAAGTTCATTGCATCCTTGATCACCTATCCCCACGAAGTCGTTCGTACCCGGTTGAGACAGGCACCTTTGGAGGCCACTGGCAAGCCCAAATACACTGGGTTGATCCAGTGCTTCAGGTTGGTGATAAAGGAAGAAGGGTTGGCCAGCATGTACGGAGGATTGACTCCCCACATGTTGAGAACCGTGCCCAATTCCATCATCATGTTTGGAACCTGGGAACTTGTAGTTAGATTATTGTCTTAGCTGTAAATAGCATTCTTGTAAATAGTGTATAGTATGGCAATACTGGCAATTGTAGCATTAATGAAGTGGCGAGGTATTCGGTATAGACCTCTCTAAGAAGTAGCAATGTATTCTTGGGTGGTATAGACATCCATAATGAGGTAATGCTGCTATGTATAGTTGTTATGGGGATCCAATGAACACTTTTACTTGGTACACTGAAGGAGTAGCATAGGTATGGACTTACAATGCTACCCTGAGATGAAGCATTGCAAGCTTGGTCTACATTTTCTTGGCCTGGAGCTGATAGATGCTTGCCCTATGGTACGAATATGTGTCGTGAATCATTATATTCTTATACTATTATGTTAGACTGTAACATCCATGCAGATAGATTGACATTCGGGCCAATTCAAGACGCTATTTGGATGCCTCCAGTTGAATTAACTGCGCCAAATACCTCCATCATGTCTTAATTTTTCTACTAAATACGAACTCCTTGTTCAGATCCCAGTCGTATCTTCTTCCTTCTCCAAGGCTGCCTTCTGCCTCTTGTGATCCTCCTCTTCTGGAGCCAATGAGGATGTCTGCGAGTAGTCATCTGTTGCCCCAACGTTGGTTACCGGTATATGCCTCGTATTTTGTTGGGTTTCCGGCCATTTTCGCTTCTGGATTACCCTGGGGGCCATCGTCAACGACGGCTTTGCAATTCCCTCTATGGCCTTTTCCACCCTGTCGGTATTCACCACTAGTTTGTAGAATTTGGGAGGCTCGCCTTCCGGCATTACCACACCCAAACTGTCTATGAGGGGGTCTTTGTCGTACTTTTGGATCTGGTGACGTTTCAACGGAGTTGTGAGATTGGGCAAGTCGCCTTGGCTAGGCACCTTGCCTAGCGGATTCAATTCTGGGTTGAAGTAGACTGACGCCCGTCCCCAAAGCTTCTTGCTGTCGATTTCCTTCTGTACTCTCTCGGCTTCGAGTTTCTCCTTGAAAGCCACCACTTTCTCCTCGTGGAGCTTGTTCTTCTCTATGAAGTCCCAGTCTTCTTTCAACGTCTTGAGCCGCTTGGTGTCGTGGGCTGAAAGGGTCGCCTCTTTCTCTAACCGTTCGATCTGATAGTACAAGCGGATGGGGTCGACATTTTGGAGCTTTTCGTGTTTGTGCTGCTGTTTCTGCCGCTGCTGTACCTTCTGCTGTTGTTTCAGTTCGTTTCGTCTGACCTCTGCTGCTAAACTCCAGTTGCCTCTTATCATGGCGGTATTGGAAGCTTGAATTGCAGTGAAAACGAAGTAGTTGGTTAGCCTAAAACAGCCTCCTAGGCAGTGTCGTAAAGTATGTTGAACTGGTTGAGTAGTCCTAAACGACCCAAATGAGATTCTTCAAGTTGTTGATTAGTCTCAAAAGATCCAAATTCGCATCCCAGATTCAAAGATTAAACGCTACAGCCAGGCACCAAACATCCATACCACGCCACCATGAATACAACAAACGGCAGTGTTCCCTCCTTCGACAACTCACAGGTGCCCACCGACTCGCTCGAGTCGATCCGTAATCGTTTGAACCAAGCCCATCTATCGCTTCGGAAGTTGGCAGAACAAATCAACCATCACAATAGACACCCCACCAAGGTCAAGTTGCCCAACTATGCCCATTTCCAGAACCAGTTCCAGATCTTGATCACCCAGCTTCACTCCATTGCATCCAATTTGAGCAACAATGACGAATTGCTCACCATAACCAACGTGTATCCATTGCCCAACTTCCCCACCACCCAACAAGAAGGATTGGTCACCACCCTTCTCCGGAAGAAGGTGTTGCCCGAGGTGGAGGACTGGATCAACAAAGCGTTGACAGAAAACCCCGGTGTGGACAATGACGAGTTTGCACAATGGTGCTACTCCAGGGTGCAAGAATTGCGGGACGATTTCCAGTTCTATGGCTTCCATACGGTGGACGAGTTGGACCACTTGGAAACGGACGAAGGTAAGAAAGAGACGGCGGAGAAGGACCGTCTTGAGAAAGAGAGAGAGGCGAAAGAGGCGGCCATCACAGGGGGAGAAAAGGGCTTGAGTCCCAACCAGGTCCAGAAATTTATGTGTCAAGGAGTGATATGAAACATGATCCAAAGCAAAGATACGACTAAGTCATGTTGTTAAAGTGTTGTCTAACCGTCTACCAGTTTGGAGTATTCAAGATAGTTGTCTTGACATCATTGCATTCTAGCACCTTGGATAAGATTGGTAGACCTTCACGTCCATCTGAGCAGCAAAACAACTCTCAGAGCAGGTCAAATTATGGTTCATCAAGTATCGCATAGAGTCCGTGGCATTCCGATTTCATGCATTGCAATATATCTTTGGGCAATAATTACCCAATTCGCTACAAGATTGGCGAATATCCCATCTACACCATTACAGCCGTTAGAAATAGTAGAATCCATATTGCAATACTCTATTTATGACATTTGCTACCTCTGCAGCCCATACTAGTATACACACTTGTAAACCCATACCACCAAATGTTAGCCTTAGCAAACCAACAATAAATCGTCGTCTCACTAATCCTCGAGATCGTAGTAGGCACTGTAGAAGTACAACAAGGCAAACACAAAAAATGCAAATGCACCACCCAAGGTAACGTTTCTCATGGAGATCTTCTTGGCCAACAACTTACCGCCAATACAAGCGGCCAATGTACACACAAAGTGACCAATGATGGCACCCATGATGACAAACCAGTACTCAGAACCGGCAGCCATGGCGATGGTGGCAATTTGAGATCTGTCACCCCATTCACCCAAAAAGGTCATAACAAAGACTTGGATCCAGATTGGGGACAACACGAACGAGGCCAAGTTCTTGACTTGTTCGCCCACTTCGACGTACCATTCCTTCTGTTTCGAGACTTGTCCTGACTCGAGATCGCCAGCGTTGTTTTGCTTGGAAAACTCGATTTCCTCTTCCACCTCGGCCAACTCATCCTCCACGCCCATATCCTTGGACATTTCCAACCCTTCCTTGGTCAACTTGTAGCCAAATACCAAGAACAAGATGGATGCAAGGAACTGGGTCAATCTTCTCGACAAAAGCGTGGGCAAGGCGTGGCCAACCAACCCCGACAACACCGTCATGATGGCCAACGACAAGAACGCCGAGGAAAACACCACGTATCTCGAGTGCCTCATGGCCATCAAGGCAGCGATCAAGAACGTCTTGTCACCAATTTCCGACACAATAATCATCGAGATCGACATGATGAACGAGTTGTAGGAACTGGAGTCTTCAGCGACCCCGGCATCATTTTGGCTGGGGGGACTCAAAGGCTTCTTGGCATGCGATGGAGTGGGGAGGTTGTCCTCGTCGGTCAATGGCGAAACACCAAGCTTGCCTCCGGCCTTCCCAGCTACCGTCGTGTCGACGGAGTCTATGGTCTGACCAATTTTGTTTAACCCGGCGGATCCGACCTGAGTGTCCACTACGGCACCCAAGGCGGAGGCGGCCAATCCTGCTAACACCAAACACGAGAGCTTCATTGCACCTTGAATCTATCAACGATATGATGGGTCTAAATAATGGCCAATTTTCACCTAGTCCGATTCCGTTGGGTAGGGCACGCGGTGGGCGCATGTAGAACGCGAGCAGGACGGAAAAACCGGTGAGGATGGGCACGGTAGCTTACTGCGGATATCAGTAAAGTGCCTTGATTAGTTAAGACTACAGAGAACAAGTAGTTGAAATACTACAGAGACGGTGAACTGGCTGAATTACAAGGAGAGCAAGGTCGTACTGTTGTAGTGCACACCCACTTCAATTTGTAGTTTTTTCCTGCTGACAGAGCACAGCCCAATTGTAGGTTATCAGAGAGCACTAGTAGTTACTGCGTAGCGTGTATTTGACATGCTGCTCTTAGCACTTGTGGTTCCTTCTTCGTTTACAGATTATTGGCATACTGTTCTTTAATTGTAGAGTTACTGCTCAGAGTGCATTTATTGACATGTTTTTTACTTGAAGACTTTCCTGCTTGGAGTACTTTTTCTTGACATAGAGAAATTCAAGGTGGTTATGTCTCTTAGACATCCTCCGATTCTCTTGCTTTCATTTGCTTGCAAGAATAATTCCCTGAAGTCGGTTCCCTCCGCTGTTGATGGCTTAGTACGCCACTGCCTACTGGATCGAACAATTATGTGTACTAATATATATGTGCATGCGCGATGTGATCATTGATCTATGAATAAAATGCTCAAGTCAGAGCTCAGTGATGAGCAGCTGGCAAAGGGTTCTCCACAACCTTTCCTTCCTTGACCTTACCAGCGTCAACCCATCCACCAACCTTGACTGGTTCGTGTTCTTGGTTATATTGGTTGATTCTTTCCACCATGAGAGGTCTGAAAGACTTGATCAAACCTTGAACAGGCCATGCGGCAGCATCACCCAAAGCACAAATGGTGTGGCCTTCGATTTCCTTGGTCAACTCGAAGATCATGTCGATTTCCTTCTCGGTGGCTTGACCCTTGACAAATCTGTCCATCATCTTTTGCAACCAAGTAGTACCTTCACGACATGGAGTACATTGACCACAAGATTCGTGCTTGTAGAAAGCAGAGAATCTTTGGATGGCTCTGATCATATCGGTTTGCTTGTTCATGACAATGACAGCAGCAGTACCCAAACCGGAACCAACATCTCTCAAGGCATCGTAGTCCATCAAGATGTTGTCACACACATCCTTGGTCATAACTGGAACAGATGAACCTCCTGGAATAACACCTAACAAGTTATCCCAGCCACCCTTTATACCACCACAGTGCTTTTCCAATAATTCCTTCAAAGGAATGGACATCTCTTCTTCAACGGTACATGGCTCATTGACGTGACCAGAAATACAGAACAACTTGGTACCAGCGTTTCTTTCACGACCGAAACCAGCAAACCAGTCACCACCTCTTCTCAAGATGGTTGGAGCAACGGAGACAGTCTCGACGTTGGCAACGGTGGTTGGTCTACCGAACAAACCAACACCAGCTGGGAATGGAGGCTTCAATCTTGGCTTACCGGCCTTACCTTCAATGGATTCGATCAAAGCGGTTTCTTCACCACAAATGTAGGCACCCATACCTCTGTGGATAAAGATGTCGAAATCGTAACCAGAACCACAGGCATTTTGACCGAGTAAGCCTGCCTTGTATGCTTCGTTGATGGCATTTTGTAAAATTGTGGTTTCGTTGTAGAATTCACCTCTGATATAAATGTAGGCAGCAGTGGCATTCATGGCACGACCGGCCAATAAACAACCTTCAACTAACTTGTGAGGATCCTTTCTGATGATTTCTCTGTCCTTACAGGTACCTGGTTCACCTTCATCGGCGTTGACAACCAAGTAACGAGGGCCTGGGTTCTTTTCCCAGCCTGGTGGGTTCATGAATGACCATTTAAGACCAGAGGGGAATCCTGCACCACCTCTTCCTCTCAAACCGGACTTCTTCATTTCGTCAATGATCCATTTGTCTCCCTTTAATATAATCTCCTTGGTCTTGTACCAATCACCCATCTTTTGGGCTGACTTCAAGTCATGGCCGTACTTGCCATAGACGTTTTGGAAAATACGATCTTGATCCTTCAATCCACCGTGGATACGATTTGGAGTTGCTGCTGGGTCGGCACTGGTGGCCAACCTTCTCAATGGTATCCTCAAACTGTTACGGAGCATTGCTGGTGATACTGAACTGCTATACTCTAGAGTATATAACGAGGAGTGGTCGGATTACTCGAGCGGTTTCAATAACTCTGGCTGCTTGTAGCTGTTTGAGCTCAAAAAAATTTCGTTGTATGTAATTGCATTTGCTGGGACGTTATTGGATAATTTTCTGTCACGTGACTCGCGCATATCATCTCTGTGCCAGCCGCTATTCAGTTGGTGGACGGCATTGGCCCAGTATTCGGAAGCAGAAGTAGCGCAGTAGAGCTCTACGGTGGTTTTGGTATAGTTATGGGCGGCCCCTTGGTGCTGTGGATTTTTTGTTTCGCAATTCCGCAACAATAGTTATTTGTCTAATTCAGCATCACCCTAATCCTTGCCATAGATTAAATAGACACTAGAGTGCTGTTGCTCTTAATTCGTCACTGTACTCATAGATCATAGCGGTATCAGTTACAGAAATGAACACCAATGGCTCTGTTTGGACTGGTACAGCTTTCGCTATTTTTTGAGATTTTCGCAATACTTTTGTAATTTCGATGTTACCGATTAATTGAAAGTATCTATTAATTAACATTTATTTACTTCTCCCTGTCCCATTAACATTCTTTTTCCATCTCTTCTACTGGAAGCTTCTGTTCATGAAGTCTAATTGGTGATTTGTATCCTTTCATTCCATACATTTGGCATCTCCACACTGTGCGACTGCGGCTGATTAACAAATCACACTAACCACATCACCATCCAATTATTAGATCTGATACCCAGCTGTGTTCATTACAATGATATGATGTATTCTAACAACAAGATCATTCTTCCGGTAGTGGTAGTCTTTCTTGCTGTGTACTACTACTTCATTCTTACCACTTCCATACAACCTTCAAGTTTGTTCGATTGGTATGGAGGTTCTCCAACCACACCCCAGAATCCAGAGTACGATCCCATGAAAGAGGGACACCCCAAATTGGCATCCAACTCATACCTCGATGTAAGGGCTCCAAAACGGAACCGGACCCAGATTGGTCGTGAGAACGCTACCATGGTGATGTTGGCAAGAAACCTGGACTTGAAGGGGGCATTGGAGTCCATGAGATCGCTAGAAGACAGATTCAACCGGAACTACAGGTATCCTTGGGTTTTCATGAACGAAGTACCGTTTGACCAAGAATTTATAGAACAGACGACATTAATGGCCAGTGGAGAGACTTTCTACGAGTTGATACCCGAGGAAGATTGGGAGCCTCCATCTTTCATTAGCGAAGAAAAGTTGCAGCAGAATTTGAAGGAATCCGTGAAAAATAATATCATCTACGGAGGGTATCGGTCGTACCGGAACATGTGTCATTTCAACTCGGGATTTTTCTACAAGCAAAAACGGTTGGATAACTACGATTGGTATTTCAGAGTGGAGCCCGACGTCCAGTACATGTGTGATTTCCAGTATGACCCATTCACTGTACTTCGCAAAAAAGATAAGATTTATGGGTTTGTGATAGCCATCATCGAGTATGAAAATACTATACCCACCCTTTGGCAAACGGTGGAGAAATTTATGGAGGAATATCCGGAGTTGGTCCATGCCAATAATTCGCTTGCATTCGCCACAACGAACGAGTCCTCGTTGAATCTTGGGGCGCCCATGATTGAGACCAAAACCGACTATAATCTCTGCCATTTTTGGTCCAATTTCGAAATTGCCAATCTCAATTTCTTCCGTTCAGAGGCCTACAACACCTTCTTCAATTACCTTGACAAAACTGGAGGCTTTTACTACGAACGGTGGGGCGATGCTCCTGTGCATTCGATCGCGTTGAATGTTCTAGCCGACAAAAACAAGATCCATCATTTCGAAGATATAGGCTACTTCCACGCCCCCTACTTGGCATGCCCATCCCTGATCGATGTCCTCACCTCAAAAAGGTGTGTGTGCAAGGCCAGAGATGGAGACCAACTCATTTCAAAGCCCATCGACGTCAACCACTACAGCTGTTTGAGTCGATGGTGGAGGTATGGTGCTGGAAAAACTTTTCTCAACGACATCGACTACGAATGGAATAGCTAATAGATATACTGATAGACTGGTAGATAGTAGTAGGCCATCTCATATTAGGGTGGTCGTGTCGCGCACAATCGGCCATCGGGTCCCATCGCATAGTCCAAATTTTTCATTTATCACCCTACAGTAGAAGAGATTAGGACAGAAAAGATGGCTAAAGGGGGATTATTAAAGACACAATTGAAAAACTTGAAGGAAAAGGAGGCTTCCGAGCTTCCCAAGCCAAAGCCTTCCAAGGAGAAGAAGGAGAAGAAGACCCAGGTGCAACAAGTGATACCTGAAGTCAAGCAACCAGTTGTGGAGAAGAAGGCCAAAAAGGAAGACCAGTACCAAAGTGATGCCTTATCCAAGAAGGAACAAAGAAAATTGAAGAAATTACAGCGTGAGCAGGAAGAAGAAGAGAAGAACGCTAAGGCTGAAGATGACTCTGAAGAATCCGATGAGGAGTTGGATTTCGACAAATTAGCTGCCAGCGAGAGCGAAAGTGACATAAATGGTGATGACAGCGACGACAGTGACTCTGAAGACGACGAAGAAGATGAAGAAGATGAAGACGAAGAAGAAGAGGATGAAGAGGCCGAAGAGGATGAAGAAGCAGAAGACATCCCACTTTCTGACGTCGAACTCGACTCCGATGCTGATGTCGTTCCTCACACCAAATTAACTATAAATAACATGGCTGCATTGAAGGATTCCCTCGCTCGTATAGAATTACCATGGGCCAAGCATTCATTCATCGAACACTACTCCGTCACCAGTGCCGATAAGACTGAAATTTCGATTAAGGACATTTACGATGACACTGAAAGAGAATTAGCATTCTACAAGCAAGGTTTGGATGCCGTCAAGCAAGCCAGAAACACCTTGTTGAAGTTGAAGGTTCCATTTTCCAGACCTGTGGACTACTTTGCCGAAATGGTCAAGAGTGATGAACATATGGACAAGTTGAAGACTAAGTTGTTGAAGGAAGCTGCTGACAAGAAGGCCTCCCAAGACGCCAAGAAGCAGAGACAATTAAAGAAGTTTGGTAAGCAAGTTCAACACGCCACTCTTCAAGAAAGAGCCAAGCAAAAGAAGGACACCTTGGAGAAGATCAAGACTTTGAAGAAGAGAGGTGCTAGTGAAATGAACGGAGAAGACGATTTCGACATTGCCCTTGAGGAGGCCACTCGTGACGACAGAGGAGACAACAAGAGAGGTAGACCTAACGGTAAGAGACTCGCCAAGAACTCGAAGTACGGTTTCGGTGGTATGAAGAGAGGTAAGAGAGAGAACGATGCCAAGTCGTCTGCTGACGTCAGTGGCTTTAACTCCAAGAAGATGAAGGGCAAGGCTCCAAGACCTGGTAAGAACAAGCGTTCCAGAAGAAACTAATTGTATTTATAGTGCATAAGTAGATTATGATATTGGTATCAGAATCCTATAGTTCAAGAGAAAGATATGTAAGTGTTTTGGTTCATTTTTATATTAGTCAAATTTGAATCACCTGTATTGACTATGAGGAATCCAGGAAATTTCGATTATTGAACTTTTCTTTCAATGCTGAGGTAATCTTTTGAAGAAACATCCTTTGTTGGAACACTTGGTTCAGGTGTTAAAACTTCAAGGCCATAGGTTGTTACCGCAAAAATGTAAAGAGGAACCAACTCCACCTCGTACTCAAGTACAAAATTCAATCTGCTATTAATATCGCAACGAAGTATACACCAAAGGCAACTACTAGTACTCATCTGTTAAACACTTGTGACTGTCGTATAGAGATTGGGTCCCGATATCTTTTTTTATCATGAACAAATCGCCTCAGGAATATCCTCATCTAAGAGATAGTTTTTGGTAGAATTGGCTTTCAAGTATGAACATAATTGGAAAAACTACAAGGAAAAGCCTGAAAACAAGAACAACCTGGGGAATTAAATTACCCTGGGAGCATTAGAGGATATACGATAATATTCGGCTCTTTTGTCGATTGAAACTTCGTTAATTCCTACTCTGTATTTTCCAGAAAATAAGACAAAACAGTTTGAATATGTGGAAACCTACTCAGCAACGTTCCACAATAAATAGTAGCCTGCGAGGAATCAATTTCTCTTTGCTGCATTATCCTTCTGTTTATTTGATGATTTGTACCTACTTCTTGCACCAATCTCTCTACCCAGTAGGTCCTGCTAAATCCGACCTCCTAATTATGCGACATCGGGACAGATACCCGCGACACCATCCGCGACACCTTCTCGCAGACGCGGCTCGTATAGATCGTTGATAGTGAATTCTCTTCACTACACTTCACTCCACCACATACCACACCTCACCATGTCCAAGCAAAGATTCATTGACCTCTTTGACGAGTTAGCCGACGACTTGAAGCAAATCTTGCTCGACTACAAGATGCCAGAAGCTGCCGTCGACTGGTTCCACAAGAACTTATACTACAACACTCCAGGAGGAAAGTTGAACCGTGGGTTGTCAGTGATTGACACCTACGCCATTCTCAACAACACCACTGCCGACAAGTTGAGCGACGAGGAGTACAAGAAGGTTGCCGTTTTGGGATGGGCCATCGAGTTGTTGCAAGCCTACTTCTTGGTGGCTGACGACATCATGGACCAGTCCAAGACCAGAAGAAGCCACCCATGTTGGTACTTGGTCGAGGGTGTGGGCAACATTGCTATCAACGACTCTTTCATGTTGGAAGGTGCCTTGTACATGTTGTTGAAGAAGTACTTCCGTGAAGAACCATACTACGTCCACTTGTTGGAATTGTTCCACGACGTGACTTTCCAAACTGAGTTGGGTCAATTGTTAGATTTGGTCACTGCTGACGAAGAGGTGGTCGACTTGGACAAGTTCTCCTTGGACAAGCACTCGTTCATCGTCATCTTCAAAACTGCATACTACTCCTTCTACTTGCCAGTCGCTTTAGCCATGCACATGGCTGGAATCAGCAAGGACTCCGACTTGAAGCAAGTTCACGACATCTTGATTCCTTTGGGTGAATACTTCCAGATCACCGACGATTTCTTGGACTGTTTCGGTACCCCAGAACAAATCGGTAAGATTGGTACTGACATCAAGGACAACAAGTGTTCTTGGGTCGTTAACCAAGCCTTGTTGCACGTCACCCCCGAGCAGAGAAAGGTGTTGGATGAAAACTACGGTAAGAAGGATGACCAGTCCGAAGCCGTCTGCAAGCAGTTGTTCAAGGACTTGGGAATTGAAAAGATCTACTACGACTACGAAGAAAGCGTCACCAGCGACTTGAGAAAGAAGATCCAGTCGATTGACGAATCCAACGGCTTGAAGAAGGAAGTCTTGACCTCGTTCTTGAACAAGGTTTACAAGAGATCCAAGTAATTGTGTCTACATAGACTAGCGATATTTCTAATAAAGGTCACATTAATTTTTATATATAACGATATGCGAGAAGAGTAGGAAGTGGAACGAGTCGATCCAGCCTCCCTAATGCATGGCCCAGGGTAAGATCCGTGGTATATCAAGCCTAGCGAGGTATACTGACCATAAGTCTGGTTGCTTAAACATTGACTCTTTCCAATTCTTCTCTACCTTCCTTGGTGTACAAGTATTCGTTGTAGTCTCTGGCCTTGGCCCAGACGTTCCAGACAATGACACCTGGAATGACGATGTACAAGACTTGGTTCTTAGTTCTTCTGAACACGTTGAAAACGGAGTTGTACAAGGCACCCTTCAATGGCTTGGTAGCGAATGGAGAAACGGTGTAAGAAGTGATGTACTTTTGCTTTGGGGAGCCCATGGAGCCCCACCATCCCATATAAGTCTTTGGACCTTGACCACCCATTTTCGATTAGTTGGTTATCTGATACAAGTGTTGGTTATAAATTTTACGTTGTCTTTTAATTTTGAGGGCCTCCATTGGCTGGCGAGCGCAGTGGCCGGTTACGTAAGCGCTTACCAAGCAGCACCTGATGCCGGGGTTGCGGGACACGACGGCAGAGATAGAACCAGACAGACGTAGGCCTGAGCAGGCCACTCCACACATGGACAGGCGTACGATGGCTGGGCGGTGGTGCAAGCGTCCTGTCCGACACGCAACGGCAGTCCAGCCAGTAGTGGGAAATTAAGTCACATGGACACCCGCGACGAAAATCGAGCATGTCGTCGATGTGCCCAAAGAGTACTAACATCAGTAACGATGACGAAGACTGAACCCAACAATATATATTAAATGTACATAAGAGATGACAGGCAACCTCGCCCAACCATGATGGGACCGGTAGCTATAGAGCACCGATATGTTCTCGTTGACTTGTGTATTACTTATTTAGATATTAACACATTTAAGCAGAAGCTAAACGCTTTTGTTGAGTAGCCAATCTACCCTTTTGTCTAGAGTTCAATCTGACCTTCTTGCTGTCATCACCCTTCTCGACGGCTTCGTCTTCTTCAGTCAAGAATAATTCAATGTGAGATGGGAAGGATTGGTAGGCGTTGATTCTACCGTGAGCTCTGTAAGTTCTTCTTCTTTGCTTTGGAGCTTGGTTAACTTGGATGTGGGAGATCTTCAACTTGGAAACTTCTAAACCCTTGGCTTCAGCGTTGGATTGAGCGTTTCTTAATAAGTCCTTGATGAAGTTAACGGACTTGGCAGGCCATCTGGCTTTGGTGACACCAAATTCCTTACCTTGAGCAGTACGACCGATAGAAGAGTTGTATCTTCTGAATGGGATAGCTCTTTGGTGGTCCAAGACTTGGTCCAAGTATTTTTGAGCTCTTTCTAATTTCCAACCATTGATGGCTTGAGCGGTTTCTCTGGTGTTCTTGTAAGAGACTCTCAAGTAAGAACCACGGGCAGAAGCAGACTTGGCTGGGTTAGATGGGGTAGCAGCGTAACGAACCATTTTTGCTGTTGTTGATCTTTGTAAAAAGAGTAGTAGAAGAACTTTTCAGCTGTAGGTTTGAAAATTTTTAAGTCCCTAACCAAACGGTGCGACTCGGTGCGAGTGATGGAGTTTTTTTGTGGTGCGGGTACCGTGCGCGGCGACGGGGGGCGAGGGCGCGAGCCCTAATCATGCACGTGCCGGTGCTCATTGGGGGGCCCATAGATGGGGTACACCACCAGGCTGAAGTGGCGTTGGTGGTGGTGTTTGGGACGTAGGGCATGGGCTGGACCACCCACCGTTGGGCTACGGTTGCCACTAGGGCACGTAGGCCAATCCTGGCCCGCGAAGTAAGCTGTTTCTTGCACTTCAGCCCACTACAGCTGGTGGGGCCGAGCGCGGTCCCGCTACATTGCCAGTCCACCCCAGTCAAGCGACGGATGGCTCCGAGGATTCGGATCTGGAACGGTTGTGGTGACCAGGCGCCAGAAAAAGAAACGTCCGATGGCAGCCTGATTGTTCTCAGGACCTCCAAGAGAATATTATTGCCAGAGGTAACAAGGAGGGCCGCTACAGGATGTGCATTAAAATTAGCCTTTATCAGCCGTGATTGCCTTGAAACTGGTTCAGTTGGGAAGAGCTGATGCATGTACTGGCTGGCAAACTGCACCCAGCCTCCCACCCGCCGGTGCAGTCCAGGCTAAGTAGCAACTGCCAAGTTACAGGCATTGCAAGTGGTGGCGAGTTCCTTAAATGGATAGAGGGGCCAACTTCCCCCTAACGCAGGTTGGTGTTCGCAAACAGGAATTACGAGCCACCGTTCCGTGTCATGTAGTTGCACAAGACGCAACAATGCCACGGAAGAGTCCCAGTTGATGAACTCCTCCAGGAGCAAGGCACGAGGGGGTCCATCATCCATACTGGCTCCTCCTCCGTCTCACCCTGGCCCCTGGGTCTGGTTTCTGGCGGATTCCGCTGTTGGGCACTGGTTTGGTGCGCAACAGTTCTGTGCATCATTTTTAATTTTAACAAGCCTCGGAAACGTATTATGATCTTAACCGGGGTTATTCCCCGTTTGATGTGTAGGCTCGTCTGATTTGAGGTTCGTGGGATTTCTTGTAACTCTTCTCTGCGTTCTTTCTCTCCACGAAACATCTCACTGCAATGCACACCGTGTGGACGCTACCACACGATCACTGCCTATGGTAGCACCGCTGCCCTCCCGACAGACTCCCGGGCTTCTTGGAGAGCGGAAACGGTGACCACCCCAAAATGGCCACCCGTGTCCTTCATTCGCCTACAGTGGGCCTGCAAGACCGCTTTTTCCTCCAGAAAGGCCCCACCGTCCGCAGAACGGCCTCTGCGCCGTCACTACATGGTACCCATCGTGCCACGGTCCGAACCTCCACTCGTGCTGGAGTAGCCGTTGGCCACTTATCGGGGCCAGCCTCTCACCTGCCCCCATACCGGCCCAGGCGGTCGTGTCCAGCCCAGCACTCTGAACAAAAAAATGACAACAATCCTTACCGTCACTACACCTACGACAGAGTCCTGCAGTAAATCAGTCAATCCTCAAAGCTTAACTGGAGTATAGCTGGTCAATTTCATCGGTCTGTACATTATTTACTCCACTGTTGATCCTCCAACGCGTGAAGTAACCCGTTAAGTACTACACTCCTGGTGGCTGGTGCTCAACTACCTCAACACAAGCAACGAACGCGACATTCATCGTGACCCATTCTGGCCTCCATACTTCGGTAGTTCCTGCTTGTAACTGTACCATAGGATTGGGATTTTGTATTATAGTTTGATTGGGTTCATTCATCAACATGAGCATTGACCATATTGACGACAACTTGCCTGAAGACCAAGAGAACGGGCTGCCCCTTGGCTTCGACCAAATGGACCACATCGATTCTGCTGGTGAATCAAACCAACAACAGGACCTCGACGAAAACCAGGGCGAAAGCGACCTTCCTGGTTTGGCCGACTTCGAAGACAAACAGGATCTGAACTCGGAAAACAATTCGGCACAATATCAGGACACTGAAGAGCCTCGATCCGAACTGGAAAATCCAAACAACCTTGATGGTGAGGATGACCAGATACCAAACGATTCAAGCAACTTTGCAAATAATATAGAAGGTGATGACGATCTCTTGGCCGATTTCCTCGGGAAAGACGATGACAATCAATCTGAAAATGACTTGGGTCAAGTGAATTATGATGCGGACCAACAAATAGACAACCAGGAAGATCAAGAGAACCAAGAAGTAGATCAGGATGAAAGCACTGCTCCCGAGACCACCGAGCCATCGAACGATAACGATGGGACTGGTGTCCCCGAGGCTTCCGAGACCGAAGTTAAGGAAGAGAACTCTGATCAGGACGTAGATATGGACGATGTGAACGGGAAAAGTGTCGACGAAAAGCAATCTGAAGTGAATGACCTGGATGCATCTACAAACGACGAACAGGAAGAAAAGAAAGACGAAGAAGAGATAGATCGTGATATAGACATGTCAGAGACCGCAGAAGTTCCCGTGAAAACTGAGTCCTCACCGCAAGACAAAACTGAGTCAGAGACCAAAGTGGCTAAGCAAGAGGATGATTCCGAGGATGTTCCTGGAACAACCACAACTAATGTGTCAAATGATAATACCAACATCTCGACTCCTTCTTTGGCATCCGCAACTTCTGGCGGTAGATTAGATGAAGATGAGGTTGAGGATTTTGAAGAAGAAGAAGAACCAAAATCAACAATCAAACAAACGCATGTTATTATTATTCCATCATATGCTAGTTGGTTCAACATGCGTAAGGTGCATCAAATTGAACAGGAATCATTACCTGAATTTTTCAAAACGTCTCACCCCTCCAAGTCACCAAAAATTTATGTCAACTATCGTAATTTCATGATTAATGCTTACAGGTTGAATCCAAATGAGTACTTAACTTTAACTTCATGTCGTCGTAACTTAGTTGGTGATGTTGGTACTTTGATGAGAGTGCATAGATTTTTGAACAAGTGGGGTTTAATAAATTATCAGGTGAGACCTCAATTTAAGCCTGGTTATGCCGTTGAAAAGTTACCTAACGGTCAGCTGGTAGGCTTACCTTACACTGGTGACTACAATGTTAAATATGACACTCCTCGTGGGTTGTTTCCATTTGACACATTCAAGGGTTCGCTTGATAAAATTGACATCCCAAAATTGAAGAAGTTGTTAAATATAGAGGAAAGTGTATCTGTTAGCACAGGTTCTAATAACGATACATCGAATGGCAGTTCAAGTCCTGATAAGAAACGTCCATCGAGTTCTTCACTCGAGGATGGACCTGCATTGAAGAAGCAGGATGGCGGATGGACCGAAGAAGAAGTTTCCAAATTGATTTTGGGAATCAAAAAGTATAAGAATGATTGGTTCAAGATTGCTGAGGAGATTGGTAATAACAAAACCCCACAGCAGTGTATATTAAAATTTTTGCAAGTTCCAATTGAAGACAAATTCAATCCATTTGACAAAAATACAGATGGTGGCATTTTCAAATTGTTGAAGTATGCCCCAAACTTCCCAGTTAGTGCATCTGACAATCCGGTACTAAGCAATTTAGCTTTCATGACTCAGTTAGTTGATAGTGATGTTGCTAAAGCTGCTAGTTCACGTGCATCCAAGGTTATGGATGAGAAAATTGCCGAAAAAGTCAGTTCAATCTATGGCAAAAAACTGGAATCAGAAAAACCTAGTGAGGAAGAAGAACTTAAAACAGAACAGGTAGGACAAAAGACCGAAGAAAGTAAAGATGAGGCCATGGAAGAAGATAATGACATAGTTAAAGAGGAATCAGAGGAGAAAAAGCAAGATGATGAAGCTGACGACGAAAGCAAGAGGAGCACTGATGTTACTAGCAGTCCCAAACAAAATGGATCACACAAGGACTCCCTGGTTGAGGCGGAATCACACGAAGCTAAGGAAAACAGTCCAGTCGAAAATATCAAGGAAGCTGTGACCAATACTTTGGGAATAGTGGGGGCCAGAAGTCATCTCTTTGCCACCTACGAAGAACGCGAGATGCATAAATTAAGCACCACGATAATAAACCACGAGTTATCCAAGATTGATTTGAAATTGAGCAAGGTGGAAGAGTTGGAGAAGATCTACGAGCATGAGAGAAAGCATTTGGCGAAGCAACAAGAGGAAGTGTTTATTGATCGATTGGCACTCACTAAGTCCACTATCGACATCACCAAGAAGCTTGACGATGCTATATCTATGATCGAGGACTCGGTGAAATCTGACAACTCCAAATTCTCCTCCATCTCAAGCTTACTCGCGGAAGCTAAGTCGTTATTGTACAAGCCCACCAGACACTCGTTGACCAACGTTTCCGCAGACGCGGCCAATGGCGACATCAACGAACATTCCAGTTCGGTAGAACCAACTGATTCCTCTGCTGCTGCCAATAACGATGACGACTTCAAGCCGCTTTCATTAAAAACTCCTCAAGCCTTCAAAGTTTGGGCTCCTTAGTGTATATTGCGTTGCGCACTAATATATGATAGATTTCAGAATTGTGCCCCGCCACGCACTGTAGAAACGAATGTAACCCACCACATCTGCCCCCATATCGGTTACTACAGGGAATGTCATCAGGTATGTATAGTCCAATGGTCCAGACGAATGAGGAAGCGCCCGTTTTAGTTATTGACAGTGGCAGCCACGCCAGCTCCAGCGAACCGGAGACCAAAAGGAAGAATGAGTATGAGTTTGAGATATTTGAAGACGAGCTCGAAGAAGTGGGAGTTGAAGGCAAGGCAGAGAGAGACAACAGCTCATTAGAGCAAACAGAGAGCACCGGCAGCTCTATAGAGCCAGTCGCAGAGGAGTTCACTGAGCTCGATGCGTTTGAGGAAGTTAACGACGACAGGGATAATCACAATAATGGCAACGAAGCGCCAGAGTCAGATATTGAGGCCACAAGGGCCAAGAGCATAATCGAGTTGGATAGTGAGGATGACATAGAAAACTTGGAAGAGTTGGAGGCAGAGAGATTAAACCACGAAGAACTGATAGAGCTACCAGACGAGTTCATACTGGCAGCTAACGAGATACCTGAGCTGGTGCAAGACGAATTTGTACAGGGAGAGGCACTGTCACCAGAAGAACCCCCGAACGTTGAAATAACACTTTCCCTATTCGAAAACCACTACAACTTCCAGCCAGTGGAAGGTGCTGACCAGGAACTCGACTTTTCCAGCGAAGAGTCGTATTACTGCGTGGAACGCATACAGGCACTCAGCATCGAACAACTCTTCAACTTGATCAGAGTTGATGAAGATATAAGACGGGCAAAGCATATTGATTCAGACCAAGAGTTGATCTTGGATGTGTTGGAATTGAAGTTGACTATTACCGAAGACAATTTCTACGCTAGAGAAATTACATTTGGCGACTTCCTATCGACATTCATAAGGCTCAGAGAAAACTGTCCCCAGCCAAACTCGATCCCTATGAGACTCAGCCTTGAAATCAGCTCGAGGCCCAGATTCATAGGCAAATTCAATAAGCTATCCGAGTTGATACGATCTAATAAGGGTCTCGAAGCCATCAGCGACACCGAAGTCGGGGAACTGCTACAAGGCGGAGACTTAAAAAGACGTCGCATTGGTGAGTAGTCTATATAGTTATATAGTAAGGGAGATTTGCTAGTTTGGCTAGCAAAAGACAACAGTAGATGCTTCTTGGAAGGGCCAAGTACCCTCTGATGTCGTTTACACCACAACACCACTCTCTTTCAACCTCGCATACAACTCTTGGTCAATGTACTTTTCCAAGGTAATCTCTCCCGTCAAACCCTTTCTCTTTCTGGTCTTAGTTACAAAGTCTCTGGCCAAGGATTCCTCGGGGACTGGCTTCAAGGTAGGCAAGAAGCAATCCTGATCCAAAGGATCTCCAGGAACAATTTCCCACTTGTTGAAATCGAACATGCACATGGCTTGACCTTGAGTATGAAGTCTGATATCCGTTTCTAAACCCACAGATTCGATGACTGGAACCATACCTTCAACCTCAAAAAGCTTGGTGGCTGGGATTGGTTTTCTGTTCAGAATGTAACCTCTTCTACCCAGCAAAATTTTGGAGACTATCCTGATACATGCTTCTGTACACGTCAAATAAACAGTGTATATGGGTTCCATCAACCTGGGAGTAGCAGTCAAGAAACCTGTGTAGCATGCTCGTCTAGTCATTGGAATGATCTGAGCACTAGATCTTTGAATCTCAGATCCACTTAGCACAGCATCAAGGATTTTGAACTTGGTACCTCTGATAGGCTCATTGCATAGAGGCCCTTCATTTACACTCCATTTGAACCCCAATGAAATAGAGTCTTTAACAGAGTAAATAAGCTCTTTGTTCGTCTCTGATTCGAGAGTATCGTCCATCAATATGTTTGGAAATTGCATGTCTTCTGGGCCAAAGCTCCAGATGGATCTTGCTGCCAACGCATCCCACCCGAAGTCGTTTCGCATGATCTTGGAGGTGGTTCTTATTGGCTGACTTAAATCAAGCTTTCCTGCTTCAATAAACTTGCTGAGCTTGGAATCTTGAACCGGCTCGGCCGTGATCGATACTTGGTTATGTCCAGATTTGGTTGAAACAGGAATTTTGGCTGCTGAAGTCTCTATAATGGTTTCACTAAACCTTGTCATTGGATCACTTACCTTGATTTCTAGGTCTTTGGTGAAGTAGAATCTAAGATCGTGCAAAATGCAATCCAAGTACAACTCTCCCGGACCATATAATACAATTTCACCACTTTCCTCCACATTAATATTACATGAAATGTAGGATTTGTTCACATTTCTAATTCCCTGAAGCAATTTTGGTAATTCGGACGGGTTTTCTGGCTGAATCGCAACTTTGAACACCGATTTATCGTGTAATTTGTCGTTGTTGATTAGCTGCTGCGTTATCGAGGATGTAGTACTCTCTGAGTTGTTGAAAAGTGCCTGAATATTTTGGTTTGATAAGCTGTCTTCAAAAATTGCACCACTTTTGGAGATGATAGAGTCGATTCCATCAACAATTACCACAGATCCCGCACTTGCTTTCGCAATAGGAATGCTGTATCTTCCTCCAGGAATGAATAACCCATCGATTGTCTCGATCTTGAAATTTTCATCATCTTCACTAAAATTGTCGCCTATCACCTTAACCTTTTGACCAAGCTCTAGGGAACCTTTATAGATTCTTACTAAGGCAGAAAACTTCAATGTGTCTGGGGATTCTATCAAGGAAATGATTTTAGCAAATACTGAAGGATGTGGTCCTTTGACTTCAACTGGGGCTTCGATATCTTTAACCGCTTCCACAAATCCATTGTAGCCACCAAAAATAGCCTTGAATATATCTTTCAATAACTTCCTGTGATCCTGTCTATATTGCTGTTTCGATAGCTTTACCCCAAAGTTACTCCACAAAATTTTCTCCAACTTATTGTCACTCAAACTAGAAGTTAAGGTGTGAGTAAATATCTTGTAGATTGGTTCCAAGATGAAGCTCTCGAAGGCCGTAGGAAACTTGGCAGTTTTTGTGAAGGTGCTGTTTGCTTTATCGTAATGATCGGTCCATAATCTTTTCGCAAACACACGAGGGTCTATCTCGAATTGGTTTGCATCTATGTACAATTGGGCAAAACTCAAGACACTGAAATGGAACTCAAACAATGCCGAACTGAAGATGACGTTATTCAAATTGGGCAACAAGGGTTTGTGGTTGTATTTATACAGTGAGAAGAACTCGTGGTTCTTGATGAACTGATTAATTTCATCAATAGTGACGTTTATCTTGAGGTATGATTCATTAACCGGTAAGTTCAACTCTAATATTAATCTGTCGATCTTGTTGATCACAAGAACGATGGGTTTATTGTTGAGCAAAATCCGGGAAACTATCTGCTTGTCTCTTGGGGTGAATCCCTCTACGATGTCAACCACTAGAACTGCCCCTTCCACATGATTGAGGGAGGTGTTGGACTCGTTGAGGAAATTAAAATGGCCCGGTGTATCCATTAGGTTGAAAATGTAAGATTTTTGGCTCAAGTCTGGGAGGAGGAGAGTCATGGGTGAGTTTTTGATGGAAATACCTCTATCTATCTCGAGTCTATGGTTATCCAACAATCTTGTCGGTTTATCATCGGATTTTCGTGGCACCGAGGTATATGTATCATAGATGAGGTGATCCAAGAACGAAGTTTTTCCCGAGTGCAAACCTCCCACCACACTGATGTTTCTTATTCTTTCAGGCAACTGGTTGGCCAAGGAATTGACGTATTGATAGTCGTATTTGAGAGGAGGCAACTTCGAGTGGTCTATCTCGATTTTGATGTGCGTATCATCGGCGGGTGTGATGATGGCCTCGTTGGTGATCTGGGGCGCTACGTATGTTATTTCTGGTTGGTGTGCGTTGTTGTCGTGCTTGATAAGTGCCTGTGATGTCGATTCGTTCTGTTCGTGGAGACTCTGCTGGTCGTCCAGGGCCTCGGCATCGCTTAGCATGGAATTGCTAGAGGACTCGGCATCGGAGTCGAAGGGGTCGCCGATCAAATTTCCAAACTCATCGTACTCCTGATCCATGGTGGTTGTTGGTGTTGTACCAATACCGACCAGTTGAGATGAGTGGAAACGGCGTCCTGCACATAGGTCACGTGTATAGAGTGGGTTATAGTACATATATATAGAGGACAGGCAAGGTTACGAGGAGAAGGCGGTGGGAGGAATACATCAGCGTGACCAGCTTGATGATTCCGGAAGGTGACCCGATTTCCGTGGAGCGCCTCCTAACGAGGCGACATTTATGATAGGATGTCCTAAGACAAGGTCTGGTATTTTCTTAACTCAGTGAGCAACGACTGCAATTGGACGTCCGACACCTTGTTGGCAAGACTGGGAATCAAGGACTTGGCTTCTTCAGCGTCTTCGCATTCAAGCGTGCCCAACTGCGCCAACTCGAATGGGTGCAAGGGCTCGGCTACCAGGGCACTGAAGTCATTCAACAACTTCTCCACCGTCTCAGTGGAGGACGAGTTCTTGTACCGGGCGAAGTTCGACAAGTAGTTCAAGGTTTTGTGCATTATTTCGTTCGAGTTAGGTCCTGCCAAGTTCATGTTTTCTATTTCGTCTTCCTTTTCGTTTTCTTCGTCGTCCTCTTCAAACTCCCTGTTCTTGGAGTTCTTGTTCTTTCTCTCCTTCAATGCTGCTCTGATCAATAATCTTGCTTCCGACAAGTTCAACGCAATCAACTGCTCTTCCTCGCCACTGTTGGTGATCTGCTTGAGTTGGAACTCGGGACCCAACTTCAAAAGGGCGGCGTTCTCCTCATCGTCTATATTCTGAGAGGTGGCCTTTCTTCTTCTCACACCAAGAGCACTGGTACTGACGTTCATGATGGGGCTGGATGGAGAAGATATTCGTCGGTGTTGACTTTTGTGCGGTGAGAGGTCGCATCACGTGACCCATACAGAGGGTGGAATGAATGCAATGAGATTTATTTTCGGACTATGTACTGATCCTATTATTATGAGGGGAGGGGCGGGGCCATTAGACTTCTTTGGCTTCCTTCTTATTGCTGGGGGTGTCGATTGTTCGCACATCGTTCACGAAAGGGTGCTTCAAGGCCTCTTGTGGAGTCAACCTTTCCAACGGATTCAAATTGAGCACCTTGGTCAAGAAATCAATCAACAATAGTCTTTCCTGGCACTCCTTCTCGATCATCATGTTCGTCATCTTTTTGGATGGCAACTTGTAGTTCATTATAATGTCTTTCAACAAACGTTGCTTGAAATAATTCTTATTAGGTTGTTCCAGGTGTTCTTCTTTGCCTTTCGTCTTCGCCAAAAATTGTACGTACTGTTCAAAGCTCTTGACTTGATATGATGGCTTGGTCTCGGTGGTTTGAGGAGCTTTCTCAAAAAAGTTCAACGAGTTCCGTCCTACTTCGATCATATGCCGAGGGGGGTAGCCTAGCATGTCCACGATTTTCCAGATCTGGTTGTATTCAGAGGTTCCCGGGAACATAGGTAATCCTAGGAACAACTCACCCACTATACATCCCAAAGACCACATATCAATTGACTCTGTATATGGCAATCCAAGAATGACTTCGGGTGAGCGGTAGAATCTTGACTGGATGTAGGTGTATATCGTTTGACGTGAAAAGCATGCAGATCCAAAATCGATCACCTTAATGTCTGGCTTATCGGGTTGGCATAGAAGAATATTCTCTGGTTTTAGATCACAATGTATCATCTGGAATCCTTTTAGTTGGGACATGGCTTCAAGCAATTGACGGGTCAACAACTTGACTAATTTTATATTCAATCCTTGGAATTGGTTTTGTTTGATAAGCTCGTATAAGTTGGAGGCCAATAATTCGAACACCAAACAAAGATGCTCTTTATGCATAAATGTATCCAACAATCTGATGAAGCTCTTGCCATCACTGTTTGCATTCAAGAACTCCAAGAGTTTGACCTCGGTGAGTGATTGGTTCATGTAGGCTGGCTTGGACTTGATCACCTTGACAGCACATACCGACTGGTTGGAGAGATTCTGGCACTTGACCACTTGACCAAACGTTCCAGAGCCAAGAAGATCCAAAACAATATATTTACGGCCCTCTTCCGTGCCGAGTATGTCGTTTACATAGAGAATGTAGTCACTATCTTCGTTGTCATGACCATTGTTGAATTTTGGCTCCAGGGGCTTGGTAAGCACTCTCTTGGGGTTGGTGGATTTGGAGTATTGGAACTTGCGGGGTTGACAAATGCTGTAGGACTCAGTGAGATAGACCGACAACGCATTCACGGGTGAAATGTGGATGGAATTGACCGAACAACGACGATACTTGGGCTGGTGGTGGATTTTGGGTTTCAAGTCCAACTTGTTGTACACCTTGTAAGCCTTGGGGGCGGGCCTTCTCTTGTTTTCCGAGCGCTGGGACTGGAGGGCTTGCTGGTACTGCTGGTACTGGACTATCAGCGGGGATCTGCCCATGCGACCTGGGGGATAGTACATTTCTCTGGCGTCGGCAGCAGCGTAGGACCCAGTAGCTACCGAGGATCTCCTGGTAGCGCCCAATGGAGGGCCAAGGTGGGCAGGTGGATTCTGGAGGTATTGGGCCTGGTAGGCATTGGGGGCGTTTTGGGATGCGTACGAGTTGTACGAGTTGTAGTAGGGTCCGTCCACCGCCGCAGACATCCGCCTGTCGTTACCCGCCAACGACACCTCCTGGTTGGTGTAGTACTGGTTGAAGGGGTTGTCGGCTCTGGTGGGCGGGTGGATGTAGGGAGGCGCAAGCAGTTGTCGCTGGTCGTACTCGTATGTGGTGGGGAGCTGGTTGGCGAACGAGAGCCGCTTGGATTGCTGGTGCTGGTGCTGTTGTAACAACGGTATGCCCTGGCTTTTGGTTGGCGACTGCGACAAGTTGACGGCAGCGCCGCTGGCCTGCTGGCCAGGCGAGTACCACGGATTCCTGAAGCCTGGCGCCTGGTGCTTCTGGTGGTGGGAAGCATCTTGATTTGGCTCTTGGTTGGGGTTGTTGGAGTTGTTGAGCCCTTGAAGTGGCGGCAAGTGCCAGTTTCCCCCGATGGAATTGTGCCGATTGAAGTTGTAGTTGTAGGACGACATGGAGGGTCAGAACAGGGCGGTGGATGATGGAGGCACCGGGAGAGGACGGCAGGTGAAGTTGAGGATCAATGGGAGTGTGGATGTGTGGGCGCACATCCGGTGAGCCAGGGGTCACGTGCGGGGCTATGGGTGAAAGTGGAGGACGATAAGAGGGGGAGTGGGTGTATCGCGGTGGACATCAAGGGTATATCCAGCTGTAAAGCTGTATACTAGCTGTTGTTTACTTAGTATTAATTATGGAATCCTGCCGACTGATAATTCTGTAATTCCTTCGTACCACTAATTTTAATCTCATTATCAATATTTTCAATCATTATCTCCAGTGGAGGGAGGGTGTCTAGCTGGCCAGACAGTCCAGCAAGCACAATTAGCCATGTTCCGAGAATAAGACATTCGGGTAATGGCTAGTTTTGCCAGAATAAAATAATAAACAAAGTGATAGGATAATTAGTCACAGACTTGCTGGTCGCGGAAAAGACATTGCAAGTCTCCAGAAGACCATTAACATTCTAGACGTTTAATCTGCCAATAGGTAAGAAATTAGCATTTTAGACGTAACCAAAAGTTGCCACATTCTATAAAGACTAATGTACAGTCGCTAGAAGTAAACTAACATTCCAGACGACTGAATCACGCTACAAAACATTAGAATTGTATAAGCATCGTCAACGGTCGCAAATTAATATTCTAAACCATTGATGAACAGTCGCTAACCCTCTAGATCATCTAGTCGCAAATACAAATTCGAACGGATCAACAGCCCAAGAAGCAATTTCCAGACAGTAATCATTTACAGAAGCATTCTAGAGGCTGAATCTACAGCCGCTACACAGTCCAACATTAATATACATTCTATAGACCGAACATAGACATCAAGACTAAAACGGGCCAGCACGCAGCATATGTACAGGAAGAGCCACTGGGGAGCTGGCCAGAGCCAGTGGTTCATGCGGTGGGCGACTCGTTTCATCAGAGGCAGGCGTGATTTCAGTGGTGCAACCGGCTTAGGCTGCCAACTGGGCACCCTCCTCGGCGTAGATGGGCTGCACGGGAGGCTGTGCAAACGCTCTCAGGAACATCATACCCACACCCTCGAACACACCCAACAAACAGGCACATGTGATGGCCGAGTTTCTGGTGTGTCTCCATCCTCCTCTGATGGCCAAGGCACCACCAGTGAAGAAACCAGCAATCACGGCGTTCCAGGCATCCTCTCTCTTTCTGACTGCCTTGACGGAACAGTCGAAGGTGGAGAACAATCCACCCCAGACACCGAAGTTTCCTCCCAAAACAGGGGCTCTGGCCTTGATGGCAGATATAGCACCGTATCTTCTTTCACCGTATGGGGAGTTACGGAACCCCTTGATTCCGTGCCAGACACATCCACCAATGACACCCATGGCGAAGGCACCTCCGAAATCGTTCAAGATTACTATAGGACAAGGATCTCTAGCGTGGTCAGCAGACATTATGATAAGTTGTAGTTAGTGAAGGCAAGACCGATTTTTTCATAAAATTTTCGGCCTCGCATTTGGCCCTGATTAGGTAATCTCAGTCTGGGGGTCAGTATGGTAGAGATTATGGAGTGGAGTACGAGAATTGTGGCAGTGTGGATGGTATAACTGTAGACTCTGTGTGAGCTGGAATTATTGGGCTATATTATTATTTTCTTTGGCTGGCATTTTCCCTTGCCCAAAACTGCACAGCAACCACATGGATCATTTCATGGTTAGTAAAGGTGAATATTTATTCTATCTATAAAGGTACATGTGTTGTGGAATGCTTGTGAGAATGAATGCTTCTGGTAGTATAGTGGTCATGATTTCATTACTACTCGGATCCGAGTCGCTGGTACCCCTTCAGGTTAACGGGCTCTCTGTGATCAACCGTGCTTCCCTGGGCTGACTCCGAACTGATTCGGCTTCCTGGCACTTTCTCGTGCTCCACCTCTTGCCCGCTATCGTGGCCAGCCTCGAATAGCACCTCATTTTCACTCTCACTCACACTGGCCGTGGACAACTCGGTTTCGGAAAACGAAACTGTTCTGAGTCGCAGCGACTGGCCCTCGCTCGGTGGGACTATTGGATCCTTTGTAGAATGGTCAGATTCTTCATCCACGTCCATATCATCGACTCCGATCACAAATGCGTCATTGATGGTTTGACGGCCAGCAATATTGTTCAATTCAAAGTAGTCTGTGTCTATCTGAGGACCATGGAAGCTTCCTATGCCCCAACTCTTGTAGCCTAAGCCAGCGAATCCGGCAAATGCGCAGATAACCAATAATGCATAATTCATGGAGAACCAGGTTAAATTCTTGATTACTGGAGGAAGACACAATATCACAAACAGAAATAGCACCCAACCCAACGACAAGCTATTGATGACCCACCCCAATTTCCTCAACCGAAATGGAGCACCCTTTATTTTCCGACGCTTGTCCAACATCAAACACAAAATGGGAATACCATTGGCTAACGCCAAGCATACCACGGAAGCACCCATGAATGAATTGAACGCAGAGGCCGAAACCAATGACATCAAGGCCAAAACCCCACAAAATAACATTGACAAAAATAAGGCATTTTTGGGGACAGTGGAGTCATCGATAGAGTCAACTGCAACCCAGTACTCCTTGAATGGAAGTCCCCCATCACGAGCAAATGCGTAGGTTGTTCTTGAAGCTGTGGTCAACGAGCCAATGGACTGAAAGAAAACGGTTCCAATCAAAAGAAGAACCAACAAGAACGAAAGAATGTAAGACTCGGTAGACAATTTAAACACCAAGTCAATGGGCATAATCTCAGTATTGCTATCTAGCAACAAAGTGAGCTCGGGAAGTATGGTGAGAAGAGGAAGAATGAAAATGATTCCCATAACCGTGGATAACAGAATAGCACTAATTGCACCCTTGGGCATATTTCTTTCGGGATTCTTAACTTCGTCAGTCATGGAAAACAACATTCCATATCCAGTCAAGGTAAAGGAAGAACTCTGAAGGCCAACCATGAAGGCCAAAGCGTCGGGCCATCCTGATCTGGTATTATCGAATGTGGTGAGGATGTCTTTGATTGAATTAGTTTTTTTGGCAAAGAAGATAAGCAAAAAGTCTATGGCCAAGACGGTGTAGATCGACCATAAAATGCAAATCTTGTTGATTCTTTCTAGGTATTTGGAGAACTTGAAATTGATAAATCCGCAGATAGTCAATAGGATAAAATAAATGCCCAACACCTCGAGCACGTCCTGCTTGTGGTAAGCGTTCTTGAGTCCAAACACCGACAAGATGAACTGGGACCCGGAAAACATTATACTGACTGCATAGGTCCAGTTTCCGATCAACAAGAACCAACCAGTGAACCATGAGCTGATCAACGAGTACTTGTCGTTGCTGAGGATGGCACTGAAATGATAGACACCGCCAGCAGTGGGATATTTCGAGATAATTTCACTCAAACTCAACACCACACAGAAGGAGAAGAATGCCACCACGAGCCATCCGTACAAGATAGTGACGTTTGCGCCATCCACCAACGAGATCCACAATGTCGAGGAGATACCAAAGGGAACGCCCATGAGCGTCACCCCCAAGCCAATGACAGACGTCACTGTCAATTTCCGCTCCAAATCCTGCTTGTACTCGAAGTGTTCCACCTGTTCTATTTCGTCTTCCTCCAAATCATGGAGAAATGAGTGGATAAAATCTCCTACTGGAGCAGCCAAATGGTTGAATGACTGGCCAATTTGGTGGGAGGCAGTGTTATCAGCACCTTCGGCGGCATTCGAGCTGCCTACGGGGTTCTGGGAAGCCCCTTCCATAATGTGACTGGCTGAAGGTTGAATGCGGCTTGGAGGGATTACTGGCAATGGCTATGTCCATGGGGTGGAGTGCACGTGACGTCTGGCTGCAAATCCTCCGATTCGGACAAGGAGGAGTAGTTTGGAGTCGCTGAAACTGCCACTGGGACTACGAGGTAATAATGCTGATGGCAAGTGACTGGTGGTGTCCTATTAGCTTTATGAGGTTTTGGAGTTTTTTTGGAGTTTTTCTAAGATTGTTTAAATTCATCAGCGCTCTCTATCAATTTGGAAAGGTCCCACGTCATTTGAAGAAACACACAAGGGAACTCACAGTTACACACAATTCATTTCAGCTCATTACTTAGTAGTCTACAGATCAAATCAACAGCAAAATTCTTCGTATGAATGTAGTATTATTATACAATGCGATACATTGGTCCATTACTACCAAAGAAGTAACTATAATCCTGTAAGGTCACGGTTTCCGACAGTATGGTAGCATATCGCAGCAGCAATATCGAAATGAAATGTTAACGGGTGAAATCAAATATAGACCAATGTTTGGCCACCTGTCTATGAAAATTATTAATTGGTGAAATCAATTATATACAGATACCAACGCTGGACCATCTGCTATGCATTTACTAGAAGTCAAAATCACTGTCTGCCTCCTCTTCCTCCTCCTTTTTCTCTGCCACAAGCACAGGCAAACTGATACTATCACCAGTTTTGACGTACACACCTCCAATGTTACTAGTGCTCCTCAACAACCCCCCAACAGGCTGGAACTTCTCCTGCACCAAGTATTGCAAAACATCGTCGATATTTTGGATTAGTTCCTTGTCGGAAAAGGAGGTGTATCCCACCTTGATGGACAAACAGTTACCATTAACTGGAGGTATGAAGTACGTGTTTCCCACAATTGCTTTCATTTGGGCCCTGACATATTTGGGCTCACACCTGTCGTCCTTCAACTTGGTGGATTTCTTGCCCACGGTCAACTTGGCGTCTGGATCGGGTTTAGCCATTTGGATCATGAACGGAACCTTCTTGTTCTTGACGTAGAATGTGGAGCCAAGGATGTTGGGCAAGAACTTGTGCACTCTATGGTCGGATACCACGATGTCAAACTCCTTGAAGAGCTTATACAACTTCTTGGGGTCTCTCGACAATGACTTGAGCTTGGCTAGCGTGTAGATTTGGTTGAACACATCTTCGGTGGGGGACTCTTTCTTCTGCAAGGCGTCACGGTAGGGTGTCGAGGGATCCTTGGTCACCAAAAGAACCGACTTGGTTTCTAGCTTGCTGAGCTTGTGCGTTATTGGTATGATTCTCGGAGTATAGTCCTTGGCTTTGGCAAGCTGGATTTTGGTATTGATGATGACGAAAACAGGCTCATGGGCGTCTGGGCCATTCTGATCTCTACTGTGGGACACTAAGGACTTGAGCGACTTCCTTCCTGCCTTGTAGGCGTCGGGGCCTAGTATGAACTCGCCAGACATTGTGGTGTATAGACTTTTCTGGAGGAAACGATGAGATGAGAGGCTCGGCACGTGACCCATGATTGCAAATCCTAAGGCTGGCCATCTTCAGCTGTACACATTGCGGAACAGCAGGGCAGCCAGAAGAGTCAATCGGCATTTGATCATTGCTTCACTAAGATACGGCGATTGAGCGCTGATTACGCATTTTGATTTGGAAAATGGTTGGAATTACGTCCTTAAGCAATACTGCAACACAAAGAGGGACTAATAATTCAAGGTTATTAACGAAGCATATCCAATAGTTTTGACTCAGAATACCAATAACAAACCGTGTATTAAAGGTATTAAATTGGTTAATAATTCTATTAAATGAGATCAGTTTGTGGCAAAACTTTTAAATATAGATAACTGATAATGAATTCTCAAGGCATTCAAGAAAAAAGTAGTAATTCGGATTGTGTTTAGTGATTGGACAGAAGTAACTGATAGTTCAGTCCAACTATTAAAAGGTGAAAACTAATACAGGAAAGGTAGTTCAAGAAATGTAACCAATAATTCTTCATCTCTCAAAGCTATAAACGAAACTCACTAAAAATTCAACTTGACTTAAGCTTCACCAATAATTTAGTTCAAAGTAAACTTCACCATGCAATGCACCACTCAATAGTTACTAATCTTACAATTGTGGCTACGAAACGCTACTGTTAATGTTTTATTGGCACTAGATTTGCTACGTACCTGGCTCGCTTATCTAGCTCATCTACGGTTTTCATGAACTCATACAATGTGGAGGATGACTTTGGAGGCCCAATCAGGAGGGTTTTTTGCAGTCTGATCAAAAGGTTGATCGCAATGCTAACTTTCCATTGCGGGTTTGACAGCCTGATCAGGAGGTTAATGCATTGCTGGGAATCCAGTGCAGTGCACAACCTCGGCTAATCACCACGCAAAGCCCGAATGACGGCAGGCCGTCTCATCATGTACTTGGTCCACTTGTATACTTCGGGAAACTCGACCTTCAAGTTGATTCCGATTCTATCCACAACGTTGTTCCATGGCACGAACGACAAGTCGGCAACGGTGGCCCGGTCGCCCACAAGCCAGACGGGGTAGTCGAAGTATCTGGACTGGGACAACGGCGTGGTGCCGGCACTGTAGGCTGCGGCGTTCTCGACATCCAAGTCCATGATCAATGCTTCTCTTCTTTCAGCCAACGCCATTTCGATGACTCCGTACACTCTCCGTACCTCGTCAGTGTATCTCTCGACGGCACTGGGAACCGGGCACGAGTGGAAGTATCTGAAATGCAAAGCCTGGCCAATCATGGGGGCGTGTCCCGAGGTCTGGAAGAACACCCACGAGGAGATCTGTGACTGTTCGACCAAGTTGTCGGACCACAACGGGCACTCGCCGTTTTCCTTGAGGAACTTGGACACCAAGTACAAGATGATGGCTCCAGACTCCCATATGGAGGTGTTTTCGTTGAAGTGGTCGATCAACGCAGGCACTCTGGCGTTCGGATTTATGGTGACGAACTCAGGCGCCCGTTGTTCGCCGTTGTTGAAGTCCAAGAAGATAGTATTGAAGGGGAGGTTCAACTCGGACAAGATGATGGCCACCTTGAAGCCGTTGGGCGCCGAGCGGTGCGAGAACAAGGTGTAGCCCTCGGTGGGCTGGTTCTGGAAGAAGTGGGTGATTCTCGACTGCTGCTGCTGGCTGGTGGCCTCGTTCTGGAGCTGTTGTTGGAGAAGATTGAGGTTGACCTCGTTCTGCTGCTGGTCGTTGAGCGACACCGACTTCAAGCCGGCTGACAAGTTGGAGATGGTCTGGGGGTTGGCGCTGGCGCCCTGGTGGCCGGGGGTGGATGTATTGGTTCCCGACATGGCGGTTATTGGTAAGTGTAGGGAGGGTATGGAAGTGTTGCTAGGCGATAGGGCTGGCGCTGGAGCTAATGATGGGGTGGTGTGGCGTGGCCTGGAGGAGGTGTGGGACTGGCAAGTGATGGGCCGTGTATGTACGGTGGTGGTGGTGGTGATACAGTCTGGTAGGGGCAAGTTTTCCCCTAGTTTTTTTTCGTTGATCGGTGCGGTGACTATGGCGGATATGGCGCGAATCGGTAGCGGGAGGGAGTAGACCAGGCAGCGTTACTGACGGGGCTAGCAGGACAGTGGTGGGAGTGGTAAGAGTGGAAGGAGTGGCAGGAGGGCACGATAGTGACGGTAAGTGACGGTCAGTGGCCGTCAGTGGCAGCATTCCACACCAGCAGCTCACTATGCCACTAATCTCATGTGTTTCTCTACTGTGTACTCGCACTGTGTGTCTTAGTGTGTGTCTTAGTGTGTATCTTAGTGTAGTCTTAGTGTAGTCTTAGTGTGTATCTTAGTGTGTCGCCTCTTGCTACAGGAGCCGTTACCACCGAGTAGCCTCTCAGTGCTGAATCTCTCAGTAGCCTTCTCAGTACTGGATTCTCACTAAATAGTCTCCACTGACCACCTTTTCGCTGGACCTTACAACGGATCTGCCTTCGCCGGTAAACGTATAACTTCCGCTTTTCCAACTGAAAGGGAATATCTAGCAGATTTGGAGACATCCAAGTAGCTCAAGCAGCTGCCTACGGGATTTCAATACATGCCAACTCGATTTTAGATGAATAATGTGTAGCCTAGAATGTACTAGCACAAACCTAACAAACTACCTAAATTTCATCAGTGACTTATTGTACTCGATTGTATAGCTACTATCTAATATTAAATAGGGGACAGCAGCTGCTCGTGAGATTTCAGTCATGATCTCCTAATAAATACCAAAGTTGGTTTTTAAACGAAATCGCCTTTCTCCGAACTGGCCTAACAGTTTCGTATCTCAGACAAGAAAAGCCATTCAGAGGCACGGGGGCCAAAATGAGAGCAATTAAGCAGATACTAAGTAGGCTACCGGGCGATCTTCATGAAATAGTAATAGAAATGGACAAATTCACTCATCTCAGAGGGACTAGGAAATTGGTAGAGAGGTCAGCTCGAAACCAACTACTTTGAATGAGTAAATGTATTTAGCGAGCACCGTTAAAAAGCACCGATGGGAGACAACGTCAATTGGGCGGAATAGAGGCGCAAAGTATATATACGACAAACCCCGGTAGCTTGGATTATGTTAAGACAAGCTCAGAAATTACGCAAGTTAGTTTAAGGGATAACAGCCAGCTGTCGTTAGCCTAAATTCGTTAATTGAGCTACGAGTTAGTTCATATTCGATAGTAGCCCGCTTTCGTTAGTCCAAATTCGATAATAGCTTCGCTTTTCTCCGTAAGCTAAAAATCAGAAATGCTTATCATCGGAAAATATTTATCGCTCCAAATCGCACCAGATTATCTCATATCTCATAAGATTATACCATCTCCAAATCACATTCTTCTCCACCACCATGACGGTAGACTCCCATGTGGCGATCTTGGTATGTGATGGCGCCATTGACGGCATCACCCAGCGCTATGGCGACTTTGGCGACAACACAGCGGCGTTGTTGGCCCAACAGGGCGTCCGTACTCACAAGTACTACGTGTATGGCACCAGCACCTCCCAGCTCACGGAAACCTACCACCATCTCCAGCAGGGCCTCGACAACGGCACCGTCAGCGGGATGGTGTTGACGGGATCACGCTCGGACGCGTTCGCTACAGGTGTGGTGTGGATAGACATGTTGAATACGTTTTTACATACAGTGTTGGGAGACCAAAACCCTTGTCCAGTCCCCATCGCTGGGATCTGCTTTGGGCACCAGATCATGGCCAAAAACCTCGGGTGTACGGTTGGAAGAAACCCGCTAGGCGGCTGGGAGTGTGGCACCACTCCCATCGCCATCAGCAGCAGTGCTTTGGCGTTACCCATGTTTGAACCACTTGCGGGAGCTTCTACCCTCAACCTCTCCGAGTTCCACCAGGACGTGGTGTTGGACTTGCCTCAGTCGAGCTCATCCAGCTTCGTGTCGGTGGGTTCCACTGCCAAGTGTGCCATCCAGGGCATGGTGTCGGTTTCGGGCCCTTTGAGAGTGTTGACGTTCCAAGGCCACCCCGAATTCCACAGAGACCTTATCATCGACATGGTCCAACACGGGTACGATGGAAAAATCCTCACCCAGAAGGAGTACGACGCCTTTTCACAGGCCTCCCGCGACCTCGAGAACCAAGGTGCAGTGGCAGGAGCAGTGCTTGCCAACTTCTTCAACGGAAAGTAGAGTCCGGGAATGTGTAACTAACTGGTGCCATATGAAGTAAGGATGTCTCTATTTTAAAGGACTCCATGCATACTGATCAATCATGATAAATATCCACCTAAATTTGAATAGAACTAGCATAATATTTTCATTTGGGGTCCAAAAAACCACCAATTCGAATAGAACTAGCAAATCATTTTCATTCGGGGCCGAAACTTCTCTTTATAGGTGAGACGATAGTAAATCCATTCAATTTACCCCCTTTAGGTGGCGCAAACACACTGAGAGGCTCGGAAACCTCCTCGTGGTTGACTCTTCTGCTCAACTTATCATTGATCACCTTCTGATCGTGAAGTTTTGCCTCCAATGCCTTGATCTTTTCGTTGGCAGTTCTGAGCTCGTAGTCATGCTTGGAAGTAATTTGACTGACAACCTCCCTGAGCTCTTCTCTTTGGCTTCTCAAGGTCACAATCGCTTCTTGAGACTCGTCATACGACTCGTCATAGCCTTCATTTACCAAAGAAAGCTGTCTATTAGTGCCATTGGTTGCTTCCACGGCGTTGGCTCTTTTTTCTAATTCTGGAATCACTTCGAACTTCAATTGGGCGTTTTCCTTCAAAAGCTCGTTGTACTTATCCAAAAGATTTCTATCAGATTGTGTGTTTTTTTCCTGTTCGGCCAACCTATCTTCAAGCTGGTTTACAGTATCATTCTTTAACAAGAGCTGTTGGTATAACTCGGTCTTTTCATAATTTAACTTGAGTGGGCTTGGGGATTGTCCATTTTCCAAGAGTAAAGCATGTTCCTCGCTGATGAACCGCAAACGGCGCTCCTTATTCAACTTCTCCTGTAACTCAGCAACCGTTTTCAGTTTCTCAATGACTTCTAGCTCATAATCGGTCTCGCTGGAAGTCAAGTTATTCTGCTTTATTCTTGTTTCCAAACTCAATTCTCTCTTGATAGATGATGCCAATTCTGCAGTGACAAGCTGCAATTCATTCAATAATTCGTTATTGCAGTTGATGATTCCCAATTCTTCTTTAGTGAATGTCAACGATGGCTTGGCAGAGTTAACGGATGCTCCCGATAATCTATTTTGTGAGGTACTCATCTTTTGCAATGCATTCACTGGTTGGGTTTGTTCCTCATCCTCTGGATCAACCAAGCCACTGGATCTCTTTCCAGATTTTGACAATCTCTTGAACAAATTCTTCGACTTTCCAGTCAAAGAAAAATGCCTGGGCTTTTCCTTTTTGCTGCTGCTGGTGGAAAAATCTGTGGAATCATCAGGAGTGCCAACCTCACTAGAACCATTTAAGTCTTCATCGTTAGCATAAGGGGCTTGGAAATTGGAGAGAGTTGATGTATTATCTGTGGAAGGAGTTGAAGTACCCATATTTTCCTTGTATGAGCTCTTTTCCGAAGAAGGGCGAGATGTCTTTTCTGGAACTTCTTCCAAATATTCCGGCTCTGTCTTTTCGGCGCTGACTGCTCTAAAGTTACTAAAGGCAGTATTTGCAACTAACGATTGGATGGAGGCCAGTCTCTTCTTGGCGCTCCACAAATCATTCTTTTCAGGAGAACCTCTTTCTCTGAGGGACGATGAATCATCATCCTCGATGTAGGACTCTTTATTAGGGGATTTACGAGGAGTTACCAAGTTGGGTGCGGTGACAAAGATTTCTTTGCTGGTACCATTAGATGCTGCCGTTGCACCCAAAGTCTTGAACTTATCGCCATAGTTCTCGGTATGTTCGTCGTCCTCGTCATGCATCATGGATTCTCTATTAGTGGTGTCCTTGCGGATGTTGAAGGAGGGAGAGGTATCGTACTCATCGGTAGATGGGATCTCTCTGTGTGGAGATGCTTGTTCCTTGACTTCGTTTGAATTGAACAAATTAATTTTACGCAATCTCATGGAGTTTGTCTTTTGAAGAGTGGATTTTCGGGAAAGTGAAGCCAGATCGTCTTCTCTGTCGAACTCGTACTTGTATATCTCGTCATCATTGGTGGAGATAGCGGGAGGAGGCACTCTTCTGATGCTGGCCTTTGGGTCGAGGCTAGGGGAGGCAGCTATGCTTTCTTCTTCGTCTTCTTCCACCACGTTCATGAGGGAATCATTTGAATTTTGCTGGGTGTATGCGTTAGTATCTGGCTGCGGAGGAGCAGGTGGGTTGTAGTTGTATTGTGGAGCATTTGGTCTTGCGTTGGGGAATTGTTGTACCGGGGGGATCTGGGGGCCTTTTGGATCAAGGCCGGGCTGGGGGGCGTAGAACTGGTTCGGATGGTTTCCGTTGGTTAGCGAGTGGGTTCTGGGGGCACCAGGGGGAAGTTGGGCCTGGGGCACACCTTGAAATTGGCCCTGGGGATGACCCTGGGGATGGCCCTGGGGATGGCCTTGAAATTGGCCCTGTGCAAGCTGCCCTTGTGGACGTCCCTGTGGATGTCCCTGTGGATGTCCTTGGGGGTATCCCTGAGGAAACTGCCCCTGGTACGGTCCCTGTGGATATGGGTTTCCGTTGCTCCTCATCGATGCGGTTCTGGGGCCTCCAGGACCCATAGGGGGACCTCCCGGACCTCCCGGACCTCCCCTGTTGTTCAATGACATCGTACGAGGCCCGTTAGGGTTGGAGTTCAACGACATGGCCCGATATCCCGGAGAGAACGAGCTCAACGACATGGCGCGTGGATCGCCTCCGTACACTGGCTGCGCTGGCTGCATGGGGTTTCCGCCTGTGGCGAGCGACATGGCTCTGGCGCCAGACGCCAACGCCATCTTCTTCTGGTGGTTCATCTGTTTTCTGTACTGGATGTTGTTGAGGTTGCGACCCGTGGACGAGCCTGTGCCACTCAAAGTGGGGATGATGGGGGTGGTGTCCAACGACTTGGCGGCGTTCATGCCGTAGGGGCCTCTGTCGCGGATGTGGGTGATGTCGTCGAAGGACATGTTGGCGGTGGCAAGGTCCTGGATGTCAGCGCCAGTGTCCTCGTCAAAGGCAGCGCCAGCCTTGTTCCGGCGGAAAAACCGGTTCATACCAGACTGGGACGTCAACGAGCCCTTCCTGGACCCTCCTGGCTGGCCCACGGCTGGCAACGGCGTCATGAGGTCGTAGTTAGACTGGTGGTGGCCTGGCGGTAGATGGTGGTGCGGGTTGTTGTGGGAGTTTGGTGGCGCGTAGTGGGGCTGGGGGTTGCCACTCAAGGCGGCGATGTCCTGCTCGCCATTCAAGATCTGCTGCCTGAGCTTGGCCCTGTGGGATGTCGCTACCGCCGCTTCCATGGTTGGTGTGTGGTGAAGGATGAAAGCAAGCGAGTTTTTTGGAGAAGTAGCGAGCATCGCGCGATGCAGGGGCGGAGCCCATGGGGAGGCTAGGGAGAGACAGGGAGAGGCTAGAGCGAGGCTAGGGAGGCTACAGGGAGAGATGGGGCGATGGGCGGGGTTGACGAGGCAGCGTACTATTGACGGTGGTGTTGGTGGTGGTAGAGATGGTGGAGGAGGAACTTGTGCTACAACTACCAGTGGTGAGTTCCCCCAACGCGTCCGTTCTAGATCCAGACTGACAGAACGGTTATGGGCGTGGACGCTTCCATCCACGGATTCCACCAGGATGTGCAAGCATAATACCCGCCGCAAGCTGGCATTACCAGCGATGAGTTTCACGTGGCGCGTGTATTTGGCATGAGTTTCACGTGGTGTATATTTGGCATACATGGAAGCTGGTGCAGCTGACGGCACCGGATACTCCGATCCGGTGAAGGGAGAGGGAAGGGTTGTGTCAGCCAAGCGATTGGTGTCAATGTGTCAGACAGAAACCATACGTCCGCCAAGGGCAGTATGCATCCGTGACGCGGTGCAGCAGTGGCTTGGATGGGACGGGTGTGTTCTGGCACTTGTGTTCCGGCACCGAGCTGACGAGCGGCTGTTGGTGGCGTGACCAGGCTAAGAATAGGTCGGGGCTGGATAGCCTCGGGAAGCCGTCAGGCAGGGGAGACTCAGCACCCTGGATATCCTCGCTGCCCTGCCAGCCAATCTGCTTCTGCTTCACTGTAGTGCAGCCAGGCTGCAAAAGCGCCTGACCAGCCGCAGAGCTGTATTCGGCTCGTCTCCGAGGCTACTCGCTGGAACGACTTCAGTGCCACTGGTGGCCTTTCTCACCTCTGGCTTGGTTAACCAGCTGAGTGTCCGTATTTGTAAGTGTTTTGAGAATCCAATTTGTGAGTATTCAGTTGACCTTGAAAGAGCAGCCTGACAAGCCTTGATGGATTACGGCAGGCTGCCATGGCCTTACCAATTCTTAGATCACGGTGTCGAACTGCATTGGACAGTCCAAACTGGAAAGTAGCCAAAGAGATTTGACTGGTGGCTCGAGGCACCTTCGTTTTCAACGATTAAGCCCATTTGGTGGGTCTGTTTGAATTCACCACAGAAGTGCCCCACCTATTGCTTTCCTGATGTCTCACCACCTAAACCAAAGTAGGGATCGTAGGGATACCGAAGTTATCCAGGTGGCCTTGCAGAATATCAAGGTCTAGCTAGTACAGCAGCGGTGGTCGTACCACCAGCCCCTTGATTACTCTTTGCGTTTGTGTCAAACGCTTTCAAACCCGCTTTGCCCACAACGGCCAAGCCATCGAGCTGATTCTCCATTTTCTCCTTTCAAATTCCCGACTGTCCTATTCAAATCATTGGGTGCGAAATTGGCCTATTCAATTACGCACGAAATATCACCAACTGACACTCGAATTAATTATTGTATTGCCATTGTTAATGAACCGTTCACCGTCTCGCTTGTCCCAGATCCCCGAGCCCCAGACTTCACCTCTGATGGTGCACGACCACTCCGATGATTCTGTACCGTTTGCGGAAGAACGCCACCCAATTGTCCACCGCCTGGTTCTGTTTGTCGTCGAAATCGTCTGTATTCCAGGTATTCTCGTCGGTTTCAGCCAACACCAACCGATTGAGCCCCAACAACCGTGACACATCCTTGCCCACCAACTTGTGGTATCCCTTACCGGGTCCGTAGCTGTTGGCGTTTGCAGTTACGTCGTAGATATAGCCTCTGATGGCCACATAGATGTGGGGGTCTTTGATGCCGTCGTAGTCGGCGAGCTGGGAACGGGTGTAGATGGGAAGGGTGTGGATGTCCACGTCTTGGTTGTAAACCTCTGCCTCAGTGAGCTCAGACATGGTTGTGGATTCAATTGGAGTAGTTTGTTTGGTGTTCCGAAGGATAAGTGGATTCAATTGGTCGTTCAGCAGTGCTAGCAATGAAGTGCAAGGCTGATGATTAGTACTGGTCCTTCAGTAGTTCAACTAGTCGAGCAGTGAGGTTGTTAGTTAGTTCTAGAGGAGATAGTTCCTGTGTTTGATGATTGGGTGCTTTGTCCAGTAACTGTAAACTAGTTCTGATTGCAACTGTAGACTGTTGATTATACAGAAGATTGGATTCAGTAATATCTTGTTTGCTGGTTCGCAGTTTGATTCCACTGAACGGTTCGCAGGATTTAGCAGTTTAGAGATCAGCTGGTGCCTTGTAGACTATTGGACGGTCAACTACTGCTGTGAAACGCTCTTTTGGTCCTGATCCTACTACGCTGGAAGAAAGATCCGTGCTCTGGCGATCCGTCATGCTGCCCAGGCGACCGGATTTCGCGGACACCAGGGGACTCCGATATCTCCGAAATCCACAATTGCCGTTGGTGAAGCCACCGTTGGTCGCCCCCTCTGGCCCCAGCTGGAACTGCCGTGGTCAGCCCCGCCAGGGGCTGATTGTCAACGGTGTGGAGCTCCGACTCCAACAGGGTCGTGCGCGCACCAGATTATACTCATATGAACTCCAGCCATCTGATGCCAAACTTCCTCCTCCACTCCCGATCCACCGTATCGGCATGGTAAGTGACTCGCTAGCACAACAACGACGCCGTCCTCCGAACCGTCGCCTGAACCCCATCCACACATACTAACCCCAGACTGACAATACAAAGTACCCTCCCAATATCCAGAAGCTCTTCGCTCCCAGACCTCCTCTTCCCTACATCGAGTCCACCGACTATGCCAGCGAAACTCGCCGTACCAGCACAGTAACTCCCATCTCCTCCGTCAAGGACAGCATCAAGGCGTACCTCCAGCAATTGCCCCAGATCGAGCAGGAACACCCTCAACCAGCCCCCAGTGAGCAGCAGACAAAGCTCAAGCTCAGCCAGGAGCGCAAAAAGCAGCTCCAGCAGTCATTCGCCAGGCAGGTCCGCGAATGGAATGACCCTGAGCTCTTGCAGAAGAACGAGAAGGAGTTCATGAAGGACCCCTACCGCACGGTGTTCCTCTCGCGGCTCGACTACCAACTCACCGAGCTCGAGCTCTCCAAGCACTTCAGCAAGTACGGCGTCATCGAGTCGGTACGAGTTATCCGCGATCGCGACGGCAAGTCCCGTGGCTATGCGTTCTTGGTGTACGAGAAGGACCACGACGCAGCTGCATGTGTCAACGAGTTGGCCAGAACAGGATTGAAATTGCCTGTAGGCGACAAAACACCCACCAGGTCGATCTTGGTGGATATAGAGAGAGGAAGAATCATACGAAGCTGGAAGCCTCGCAGGTTAGGCGGCGGTTTGGGGGGAAGACACTACACTAAGCCCGATGCCAGGGGCTCCAATACTGCCTCTGCAGCGGCCAGTGGCAGAAGAATTCACATCGCGAACAACCCGCAGTTTCCTACCCCCTCCTTCAGACCACCCCCAAAGCCCCAGGGCTTTGGATATCCAGACTTGCTTCCAACACCGGCTTCGGAAGAGAAGTCTGTGCGGGACAAGTACGCAAAATATTCATCGACCTCCACCTACGAGAGTGCTGCCAGCCGCCGCACAGACGGAGGCAGATCCATTCGTAACATCCGAGGCAACTAATAGACAGATGTCGCGTCCAAGCTATACCAGCGAATCCATCATCATCCCGTGGAAAATTGCCATAAAAATTAATTCTCGCTCTTAATTACTGAGAAACCTCCTCCATTCATCTCTCAGTTTGCTGGAGTCAAAAGACTAGTTATTGTGGAGATTGATAGCTTCGTTCAGCACTCATCTGAAAAATTTATCAGTGTAATATTAAACCAGCAAGAGGTCTCAAAACCACCTCGTGGCCTCCAGATGCCGGAAGCGAGCGATCCACCCACCTACCATGCATCCAGGGCAATCTTGAAGCAATCTGCCTCCGCCGGCCCTCCCTTCACTTGCCACATTAGTTCCTGTATATAACCCGTAATTCATATCGTCCGAACAAACTTACCAGTACCTTTCAGGACCATTTCCTTCCTCATCCAGATGTCTGAAGAAACCTCCAAGAGAAAGTTGGACGACGAAGAGCACACAGCCAAGAGGCAAAAGTCTGACGAAATAGGCGTGAATGGCGCTGCCAGTTTGCAGGAGCTCAGAAGCTCAATTCTTGCAGAAGTTCACTCCCTTTATGAAGCCAGAATAACGAGTTTGGAGAGCAAGGTGGCGGAATTGCTGGGGAATAAATCGCCAGCGTCCATTGTGAAAACATTTGAAGACAAGCCTCGTGATTTGCTGGTCTCGGAGGGCCCAAAACTGGGTTCTTCTGCTCCTAAATTGACAGCCTCCAAACAGCCAGAGCAGAGCAAGCCCAAGGCTACTTTCGGAGCCAGTCTGTTCTCCATCAGCGCCAGTGTGGCCACGCCTACCAACTCGTTCAACTCGACCACAAAAGCCACAGAAACACCCACCGCTCCCAACTCCTCGAAAAGCTCACCACAACCAGTTTTTGGGGCAACTACTTCCTTTGGAAAAAGCCTCCAAGAAAACTTGAAAAACCGCAAGAATGTGTTCGATTCGATACCTTCACAATATGAACAGCCCACGCCTGCACAACCAAGCAGTTCCTTTGGCGCCAACTCCAAGTTTGGCAACGCCTTCCAAGAATCGTTGAAGAAGAAGTCATTTCTCGACGAACAAACTCCAGACAGCCAGGAAGGCGAAGAAAAAGGGTCCACCCCACAGCAATTCAAGCAGGTAGAGCTCGAGAAGATCCAAAATATCCAAACCGGTGAGGAAGACGAAGAGTCCAAGTTCAATGCCACCGCCAAATTGTTCGAGCTCGACTTGTCCAAGATCTCCGAAGGATGGAAGGAAAGAGGCTTGGGCCCCGTTCACCTCAACCAGTCCACCAAGAATAAGAACGATTGCAGAATAGTAATGAGATCAAACGGTCTCTTGAGGGTGATTTTGAACTACAAAATCACACCAGAATCCAAGTTGCTCAAGGGATTGGAGGCCAGTTTGACACCAGGCAAGTTCGTGAGGTTGAACTCCGCCAATGCGCAAGGGCTTCCCATCCAGTACTTGCTCAAATTTGGTTCAGAGGCAACTAGAAACCAGTTCTACGATGCTACTGAGGAGATCAAAAAAGAGATTGGCGAAGACAAGCAAGTGACAGGCGGAGCACAATGGCTCTGAGATCATATGAGCCGTACCATTATCATCAAGTGCACTTCCCGCCAAGGGCCCAAGAGCCACAAGAGGCATTGCAGAGTGGTAGCCTAACTACAGGATTCATTGCCTACAATAGTGTACTCTACTCATCATTAATTAGTTCTAATATACTTTCATACGTGAAACCTTGTAGTAAAGTAAATTCGAGACGTTGTACATTATTAGTTTCTGTACTTATTCATGTGGGTGTATGGTAGTAAGGATCATTCTAGTTTAGAGTATATTGAAGTAGGTTCATAAGACATTATCCACTAGTTCTTGATAAATGCGATACTGCAAATGGTCGACCCCTTGGCCCCTCCAAATTGGAAACTAGGATAGTTGATCTTTCCCCACACACTTAACGAGTTGGACTTGTTGGAGGTGATAATTTGGATCAACTCTTCTTCTGTGAAATTGCATGACGTTATCAATAAGATGGAGTTGGAATGCATCAATTGCGACACCTGGTCAGCGTAAGCATCCATACCAATTTTTCCCTCGAAATCTGGCAAAGGGTCCTGGTTCAATGCTATAGCATCGAGGGTACCCTTGTCCAACAAGATGTCAAACTGTTGTTTGTGGTCGAGTAAAAATGTGTTGTTGTGCTTGGCCAATAAGTCCACCTGGTCGAAGGAAAACGAGGATTCGGGATACTTTTTAGCAGCAATTTCCCGAGAAAACTCCACTGAGTCAGGCGAGTAATCCACCCCCGTGAAGCCAAACTTCAATTCCCTCTGTCCCTCGTATTCCTCTTCGAGATCCTCGTGCAATTGGAACAATAAGTGTCCATTTCCCGTTCCTAAGTCCAAGAACTTGATTTCTTCGTGGGTGAAAGGGAACTCATCCTCGTTGAGCTTGTCCAAGATAAACTGGATCATTTTGTTCTCGGCATCCGAGTCGTCGAACCAGCATTCGCCGGTGTCTTCTTCATTTTCTTGGAAATTGTTGATTTCTCTCTTGTAAAACTCGTTCCAGCTGGATGTTAGTGGAGTCCTGGGAATTAGAGATTAATGCGACTACTTACTACTCCTGAGTCCCCAACTTTGAGGAGTTCAACCTTATTTCTTCCGTCATGGTGGTGGAAGCTGGCATCTCAGTGAAAGATCTGAAAAAGATACCTGAACACGTGATGAGAGGCACATGACCCCAGATCATCTGACGCTATACGCATCCTCATCTTCAACATCTCCAGACGCGTACTCAATCCCACAACATGGACCCCGAAGAAATTAAGGTAGACGACGTGGTTGTCGAAGAGTCTTCTTCTGAACTGCCCATAAATTCCGAGGCGGAAAAGAACTACCGCATATGGAAGAAAAATGCCCCTTTTCTATACGACTACCTTTCCACCCACACGCTTCTCTGGCCATCATTATCGGTACAGTTCTTTCCAGATTTGACCACAAACTCAGGGTCAGGCGAGCAGACAGTGCTGCAACGGCTTTTGCTCGGGACATTCACCTTGGGCCAGGCAATTGATAGCATTTCCATAGTCCAGCTTTCACATTACTTAAACCTCAACAAAAACCTACAGATAAACAGGCTCGATTTCAACCAGGAGAAAGAAGAGTTTGAACTCTCTGTTCCCTCCATCAATAAGATCAATGTACTTCAGAAAATCAGCCATTTTGGAGACGTCAACAAAGTACAATACATGCCTCAAAAACCCAACGTGTTGGCGAGTGCCAATAATGTTGGTGATTTAGTGATTTACGAAAGAACCAAGCACTCCAACTTCAAAAACGACTTGGCTCCTCTGAGCGTAGCAAACAAGGTGCAAATGACTCTACGGGGCCAAAGTTCGGACACCAACAATGAGATATTCGCAATCGACTGGAACAAACAGAGAGAAGGGGTGCTAGTATCCGGAAATATGAACGGTGATCTTAACGTGTTCGACATTAAGAAATATTCGAGCGCATCGGACGTTTTAGACCAGCACCAACATATCGCAAATGGCAGTGGAGTTAATGACATAGAGTGGTTTTCGAACCACGATTCACTCTTTGCTGTGGCAGACGAAACGGGGTCAGTCAGAATATACGACACCAGATCAGCAACCTCGCTAGTAGCAAAGGTACAGGCGTCAGAAAGTGGCATTAACGGAATCTCCATAAATAAACAGAACCCAACGTGTTTCAGCACCGGAGACAGCAGAGGCTCCATAGTAATCTGGGATATACGATACAAAGAGCTGCCCTATAGCACCATCAACAAGCATAAGGACTCCATCACTCAGGTGAAATGGCACCCCAGGTTGTCCAATATTGTTGCATCCAGTTCCAGCGACACCACTGTGCAAATATTCGATGTGAACAAACACGAACAGGACGAAGGTTTATTGTTCGTGCATGCTGGTCATATGTTGGGGGTCAATGATTTCGACTGGTCGTTCCATGACGACTGGTTGTTGAGCAGTGTTGCAGATGACAATTCGCTACATGTGTGGAAGCCCACTTTGAGATGATGCGTATGCCATGAGTGGGTCTCCGGTAGCTAACACTCATAGGCGATCATCATCCGCCAGACTAATATCATACTTCAGCCTTTTGTGTGGTCCTTTTGTCTGGTCCTTATTCTTCCTAGCAAATGTACTAGATATTGAGCCTTCTTATTTAGTCCAAGTGCTTGAATAATAATCCACAAAGGGTTCAATAATGTACTAATGTATTGTAGGTAGTTTGTCAGGTGTTAGAGTAATAATTGTAAGTTCACTATAATGATTTTTAGAGTATTAAATACAAGTACACCCTAGGAGATGTCTCTTAGCAAAAGCAGGAATTCACTAAATACCAAGTGTTATTTTAGGAGAACCAAAAGCGTCTGATGGAGTTCATGCAGATTCTTGTGAACTACAAATGGTGCCTTTATTCTTGCCTGTCATCCACTAACTAGAAGTTGTCTGGGCCTACATCTACTGTGCAAGTGAAACCTCGCCCGCTATTTAAATGCGTCTTTATTCTAGATCATAAATACCTAATTTTATCCTTAGTTCTTAGCGAACAACTTTTCAACGTCAGCGACGGCTTCAGCCAAAACTCTTTCTTGGAACTTAGGAGTTTCGATCTCCTTGTTAACCTTTTCTAACACGGACTTAACCAATTGTTCTTGTTCCAATTGTCTTTGTGCTTGTTCGAATCTGACCCAGGAGTCCAAGGTGGCCTTGGCTTCGGTAGCAACAGCAATCTTTTGCTTCAATTCGAAGGATTCAGCTTCCAATTGAGCGGTTTCCTTGGAGACAGCGAACAATTGCTTGGTGGTGGCGACGACATCCTTTAATTGGGAGACAGAGTCGATTCTGTCCTTGACAGCAGAGACGTGCTTGTTTCTGGATTCGTTCAATAAGTCGTTGACCTTCTTGATTTCACCGTCAGCCCATTCGGTGTATAATGGGGCAACGAACTTGGCAACCAAGGCAGAGAAGGTGGCGAAGGTGACAACCAAGATGGTTTCATCGTGGATGATGAGCAATTCGTTGGAGATACCGTAGATGGCGGCAGCGGCACTGGTGGCCAAGATACCGGTCTTGGAGATCAAGTTGTTACCTGGCAAGGCTTCGATGATGGAGTTGGCCTTTTCCTTTGGCTCAACTGGGGTAGAGAGGTAACGAAGACCGATTCTAGAAGGTTAGTACAAGAGCTGGGTTAACGAGTCAAACAGAACAGCATGTATGGATGGTGCTGGAAAGTTGTGTATGGATATTATGGGTGCGTGTACTTTATTTGGTGATTGTTCACTCTACTTGATTCATTTTCATGATTGTCACTCGCTTGGATGTGGGACTTTGGTGGTGTTTTGTTGGACATTTTGACAGTAAATGGCCACCAGGAATGGGAGAAAACGCTGGGAAGGCACACACGGGCGTGGTGCCGCATGTTGTGGACGGATGGTTGGTAGGATCTGATTGGTGTTGAACTCTTTTGATGTTTTCCAGTGGGGGATCCTGTTTAACTCGGTCAATGGCAACGGGTCAATACATACGGAGCTGGACGCATGGCCATACCAACGGCTGGGCGGACGGCCTTGAACGCAATTCTGTTAATCATGGACATTGTTAATATAAACCTGATCAAACGGTAATGGTTGGTAAATTCTTCAGTCAATTTTTTGTTAGTGAGCGAGGGCCGGAGCAAAAACGGATGTGATTGGAGGAGAGATGACTTCCGTATTGGGAAGTGGGTGCGCGGATGCGCGAGGTAGTGTTCGCGGTATAGGTTAAGGAGGATAAGGGTCAGTAGAATGGTTCTAGCGGGTTGTTGGAGTTCTGGTAGGTGCTTGGTAGAGTACTGGGAACATGCTATCGCTTACAACAACACAGAAAATGCTGGTTCTCATAGTTCAATAGGTCTAGTACATAATATTGCCAGAACTGATAGTTAGATCAATAGTTATAATACACAAAATTGGTGGAGTTCAATAGTAAAAACATACAAATTGCTGGCACTGATAGTTTATTCAATACAATACACAATATTGCTGGGAATGATATCTGATTCAAAAATTACAATACACCAACTGCTGCCTGATGATCTGATTTTAGTTACAATCCACCAATTGCTGGAGTTGACTTTCAATTTTTGTTAGAATGTGTAGCATATGTTGTCATTTAAGTCCTTGTGTTAATTAGGGAGCTAACCACTCAGAATACAATTATCACAATGGACTGAAATCTATGGAACTAGCACTAACTTATACTATAATGCTCTGAATCTTGGAAGTAGACGATGCTAATAGAGAGGGATTTCCTGGAGCCTCTGATGCAATAGTGCAGTATATTTGGCTACACTGGACCGTCTGCTGAAATACTTATTCACATTAAAATACCCTAAAATTCAAGGATTTTCTTTAATACAGACACTGAGGTCGCTGTGACCAGAGTACGGGGGACTGTGGTGCGATTTATACTCGCTATGTATTGCGGTAACGGTAGATCCATCGATTTTTGGAATCAGCGAGGAGTCTGTTTTATAGTCGGGGGCCTGTTATTCACCCTGTATGTCTAGTAACCTGCTAGACACGGCCGTACGCCTCGTACTTCGCCTTGATTATGTTGTAGACCGCCCGCTCAGTCCTGTTGTGGGCCTTGGTATCCAAGTCCTGAATGGAATCCTCAAGGTCTTTGGTGTAGGACACCTTTCTTGGTGCTGTTTCTGAGACAAATGAGATGTCATTGGCCCTTTCTCGAGCAGACCGCAAGATCTGTTGCTGAATGTTGTTGGACAAGACCTCCACCGTCTCACCGTGGTCCAATTGAAGGGCCGGAGGTTCCTTTATCTCTCCATCCTGCTCTGGGGTTTCTATGGCTTCTGTAGGTACTGAGGATGGAGTTGCACTTTGAGGTGGTGTAGGATCGCTGTGTGTGGAAGGAGACGCTTCAGAGCTAGTCTTGTTGAACCTGTTCTTTCTCAACGCCGCCAAACGGGCCCTTCTATCTTCCAGTCCCTCTTCCCACGACATGTTGGAGTCTTCTCTGGTGCTGCTAGAAATTTGTATTTGGGCATCAGGTGAGTGGGCACGTGACATATATCGTGGTTTCCTTTCAGATTCCTGGTTAAGCCAGCCCTCTTCTGGTATGATACGATTGCATTCCCCTGATGAAGCTGCCAATCACACGCCTCTTCAGGTTATACTAATTCTAACATGTTAATTTCTGGCAACAATTAGTGGATAAATTGACGCGATTTTGCAGCTAAAAACCTCATTGGAAAAGTGGGCATACACCTTTCTTGCACCAAAGCCGCCAAAATGGACACCTTGGACCGCATAGACGAGTACTTTAGGAATGAAGCTGGATATGCAGAAATGGAAAAGGTGAGATTCAGTGAAAATTCAAAGAAACCAACTGAAGGAAGTATTCACCATGAGAAAGAAGCAACGAAGTCCAAAAATGCGGATGGGGTGGTTATTACGAATCCAGCTGGGGACCCTAAGAATTTGACGATTGAACCAGCTTGTATCCACTTGAATTTGGAAAAAGAGTGCTGTCCCAAACCAAACCGAGTTGATCGTGACAATCCAATTCAAAGCATAAGCACACCACCTGTGATAAGAGAATACCCAACTCATGTGCAGAGTGAGAGTACTGAGGGTTCTGGAAAGGTCAACCAAGAAGGGAAAGGTGAAAATCTCTTCTTGGGTGTGAAACAATCAATACCAGAAGAGTATAGATCGGTGTTTCCTTTTGAATTCAATAAAATGCAACGCGAGTCGTTTCCCACCATCTACGAGTCTGGCCAAAGCTGCGTGGTAAGTTCTCCTACCGGATCTGGCAAAACTGTTCTATTTGAGCTAGCAATTATTCGACTTCTCCAAGAATCTGAAAATAGAGTGGTATACCTATCACCATTGAAATCGCTTTGCAATGAAAGATATGAAGACTGGAAACACAAATTTGGGCCCTTGAATATCACTGTCCAAATACTCACTGGGGATACTTCTAGTAACCCCTTTCATACCCTAAAAACTTCAGATATCCTATATCAACCCCTGAGAAATGGGAATCGTTGACTAAAAAGTGGCATGAGTACCCAGAGGTATTTTTGAGCTACCAGTTATTATTGCTCGATGAAGTACATGCCATCGGAACAGAAAGAGGATACTCACTAGAGGCAGTCACTACAAGAATGAAAATGATGAACCAGGGTCTAAGGATAGTAGCATTGTCTGCAACTATCACGAATATATCGGATATTGCGCTTTGGATCGGTGCTGGTTCCACATCCCTGTGCATCAGCATATCTTATGACGACTCTTATCGAGCAGTGAAACTAGAGACAAAAGTGGTCGGCTATAGTCAACGACAATCACAATATTATCAGTGTGAGTTCTTAAACTTTCGATTATTGAAGCTTATTTATGAAAATAGTGATGGAAAATCAACTCTAGTGTTTTGTCCAACTAGAAATGCTACTGAAACTACTGCTGCTTATTTGTTCAAAAATTTCAAATCTGAGTTAGGTGAACTAGCCATGGCCCCCCCTAGATTTGACTCTCCTGAGTTGAATGAATTTGTAACTAACAGAGTTGCATTTCATCATGCTGGATTATCACAGTTTGATCGAACAAATATTGAAAAGCTTTATCTTGCTAATCAAATTAGCATAGTTTGTTGTACAACTACTTTGGCATCAGGAATTAATCTTCCAGCTTTTTTGGTAGTTATCAAAGGAACGATCTCTTGGCAAAATGGCGAGCAGAAGGAATATCCGGACTCGGATATAATGCAAATGATTGGCAGAGCTGGAAGACCGCAATTCGAGAACTCTGGCAAAGCTATCATAATGACAACGAAAAAGAATGTATCAAAGTATAATAATATTATGAATGGCAACAACATTGTTACAAGTGTTTTACATAAGTATATCTTGGATATTCTTTGCACTGAAATATTTTTGAGGAACATTTGCTCGTTAGACCTGGCTTTAGAATGGTTGCAAAATACCTTTCTATATGTTCTCCATTCAAAAGACCCTGAGAGGTATTCTAATATGATCAGGATTGCCAATAATGGACAGGATATGTCTTTAGAGTACTGTCGAAAATGCATCAATAGCTTGGCTAGCTTGGGAGTATTGTATTGGGATACACTTCGGGACAGTGTTACACTTACAGAGTATGGCACAATAATGATCAAAAGATATTTATCCCTTGAAACAGTCAAATTCCTTGTTAATAGCCTTACCTTCGATAATTTGGAACATTTCTTATCTAATTTCTGTTCCCTAAAAGAATTTGAAAACCATAATTTGAAGAATTTGGAATCCAGACTATACAACGAAATTCTAAAAACTGCAAACCTCAGATATCCACCAAAAGATATCAAGAGTAAAGGCAGCAAAATTCTGATCTTGCTACAATATCATTTAGGAAGAATACAATTTCCAAATAAACTTGGGTTTGAAAAGCTGAGATCAAGTTTTGAGTGGGAAAAGTTGAATGTACTCCAACATGCAAGCAGAATAATCTTAGGGACAATTGAGATCTTTGTAGAAAAACGAGACTCACTTTCACTTAAGTATGCATTAGAGTTGAATAGATGTTTGTTCAGCCGAGGCTGGGAAAATTCTCTTGAAGAGTTGAGTCAGATAGGAGGGATCAATATTGATACTTTGAAGGTATTATTTTCAAACAACATTACCTCGGTAGAGGAAGCACGAATTTTAACCAGTGACCAAGTCAAAGATGTTTTGGAGGTAGACAACACTGAGCTATCCAGCATAATGAAAACTTTAAGCCAGATTCCGAGAATGGAAGTCAGTTCAAGATCAATACCATCACATGATGATAGTGCAATTAACTTCGAAATCAAAGTAAAGATTTTGAATTGTCAACAAAGTTGGATACACAAGATGGAACATTACAGTGTTGTTATTGAAAATTCACAAGGTACCCTTATAAATTTTAGGAAGCTACGAGTTTTTGAGAGTACCTGTTTTGTCGAAACATGTACTAAGGATCTCTTTCAGCTGGGGATTACGTGCTACATCAGTGTTGATAAAATGCTCGGGTTAAGATGCAAATGTTCACTTTTAGATATGAACCTCCTTCGAAACGATCATTTCAATACAGAAAAGCAAGTTAGTGATCCTAGAATTGTCCCTACAGATTTTAATTTTGATTTGGGTTTCATGAATAGCCTGATTCCTACGAAATTCCTGGTACTTCCCGAGAGGATGATATCATCAGCAAATCAGTTTGAATGCCTTCATCGATGCAAAGATAAAAGCAGTTGCTCTCACACTTGTTGCTTGAGACAAAATCCTCTAGTAATCAAAGGCTCTCTCTTTACTAAAAAGTATCAGCTATTACTCAAATCATTTGTCAAGTTACAAAAGGTACCTAGCAATATTGAATCTAGTGTTAAAAGAGTGAAGACATCAAAACTCAAGAGAAGCATCTTCCTTAGCAGTGACGAGAATAACGAAAGCGATACGAGATTTCATCCCAGTCACATTAATGACATCCAACTCCAATGTCCCAGTAATTGCGAGGCTTCAAGCGAAGGTAGAACGGAAGACATTTCCCAACTTTCTCTTGCCAGCAAGAGTACATCCAACTCTCCCATCAGAGGATCTTCTGACCAAAATGGACCTCTAAATGGTAAACTCTACTAATGGCTATTTGCCCAAATACTTCTCGGCAATTTCATGCAAAACAGCTTCTGAAATCACCATATGATCAGTATCAATGGCCTTGAAATCAATCTTATCGTTTAAATGCAATTCTTTCAACCCAATCAAATCTTGCACATATATCTTGGATTTTTCAAATGGAATAGAGGTGCCTGACACGTCAAAATCGATGAACCAAGCCGTTTCTTTGGGCACAAGGGTTGTGTCCCTTGTAAACTGAAACAATACCAACTTGTTGAGTTTCTGCAAGTTGTTTTTGTATGAGGAGTTGAAACTTAACGGTCTTTCATTATTTACATTCACCAAGAAATTAGAGTGAAGCAAATATTGATTATAGTTGACTGGATCCCGGAAGTACTGAGCAGGAATAACTCTTTTTTGTACGCTATCAAACCACACTTGCTTTTTCAATAGCTCATTTCTTCTTCGACAAACCCAATCACCAGGATTCTCACACATGGGTAATTCCAGAACACCCAAATGTGGTGATCCAAAAGTGATAAGGTTGTTAACATTAACGTCGGAGCATCTTTCAACCAAAGCTCTCAGAAACAACCCTCCCTGTGAAAAGCCGATCAAATCGAAGCCTTGCTTTAATTCGGGAATCGTCGCTAATTGTTCACATACCTGTTCTAATTCAACATTAGCATCACCAAAGAGGGATTTTTTTTGATCTTTTTCTGGGTCCAAATCCAAGTAAACAGAGTAAACAAATATGCCGGGGTAAAAGTCGTCAAGAATCTCTGCTGCTTTGTGAATCCCTGTGGAGTTGTATTGGTCTCCTAGGCCATGCCAAATAACCACTGGTCTAAATTCCTGATGAGCTACGTTTTCATTCTTGAGATTTATATCAGATATGATCTTAACAGAATGCTGGGGGTACTGATTCCAAATGGTTGGAAATGTTAATAGGGCCTCTAGGGCCTTAAAGATCTGCATTGATGCTTATCACTCAGCCAGGGATCGAGATTATAAATCAGAATATTCTTCACGTGACAAATCTAATACTACGGTGATAATAATCAGTACAAAACATTACTGGCGACCTAGTCTAAAGCATTATAGAAGGTTGGAAATCTACCTTTGATATCCATGATCAATTCGTTCCACTCAAGTGGTATTTTTTGATCTTGCAAACCATCATAGGAGTGGACAATTTGATAAACCTGTTTACTCAATTTCACAATGGATTTTATCTTCTCCTCATAACTTTCCACATCTTGGCTTGAGGCCTTGGCCGAAAGCTTTTTGTTAAGCTGCACTTGAACATTGGTGATTATCTTGGTTGATAAGTCTCCATCATTGAGCAAAATCAGGCTTCTAAAGAATGATTCGTGACTTGTCACAAAGTTGATTAGATTCAAACATGCTAAAACAATTATATCATTCTGCTCATCAACCAATCCTTGGTTGATAATATTAACTAAGATCTCGTACAAGTCAATGGTGCTTCCCTTTAGTTCTGATGAGTCCAAAGAAATTAAAGTGTACAAAAATTCGTAACACAACTTACGTATTTCCAATCCTTCATCAATAACAAATTTATAAGGACCCATAGGAATAGTCTTCTTGAATTCGGGTTTAGCCTTTAATTGATCAAAAACACTAGGTAAAATCAAGACTTTGAGATTTTCAAGGATTAAACTTGGTTGACTGTGCAAACCCGTGAGTAAGTTACCAATGATTAATTGTTTGATATCAATATTAAGAATGGCTAGCCATTTTATGGAAAGACTCACGAGTGATTTTAAGATAATGCTATTGGATTCTGATGGTTGGAGTTTATTGAGAAGCTTTTTTGAGATAACGATTGTTGTGTATACCAATGAGGTGGAGACCAGGGAAGAACTGGAATCAACATTGGATAATTCATTCTCAGAATTGGCAATAATCTCGTTGATGTAAGACTCTTTCCTCAAGGCTATTTCACTGAGTAGATCACCCGAGTTTCTCAACTCTCCACATAGAGAGTGGTCAAACTCAAGAGTTCTAAGAACCAGCCACACTTGCTTCCACAATGTATCAAGGTGAGCCTCATCGAGTTCATTTAAGAACACCTTGAAAGACTGAACCAAATAGCTTCTAGATCTTTCAAAAGACGGTTGTTGATAATAATCCATCAAATTCTCAAATTGTTCACTCACGGAATATTTGACTAAACGACCAATTGCTGTTGCCGCGGTTTTCTTCACCGCATCTTCGTGATTCAGCTTAGTCTCATCAACCTTGAGAGGCTGGAAATCTTCATCTGGCTCATTGACTAGTTGTAAAAGGTGGGTGATGTTTACTTTTTCCAACGGACGAGACTCACCAACGTTTCCAAGAAATTGAATAGAGAAAGCCAATTCCGAGCTGGTTGGTGATCTTGAGGATTTGTTTTCGATCAATCGAAGTAAGAGCTCCTCATATTGAGCGACTTGATCATGTAAGTTATTCTCAACACAAACTATGGCTAATATTTTGGAACTGACTTGATTACCTAAGTTTAACTCCAGTTTGAACCGTTCGTAGATGACGGGATTATCATGTGCCAAATTGGAGATCAATGAATTGAACCACTGGTTGTTCCGCTGTATCTTTTCACTATTGACCAAAGTGATTATAGAGGAAATTATCAAATTTGTATCCTCCAGACTAAATGCAGTCTTGCTATACAACGTTGTCAATATTTCAAAAACATTATCCGAATCATTGAGTGCTGAGGAATCTGATGTGGTTAATACGGTAATTAGGTTGCCTACCAAACCAGAATCTGCGTTGACATCAAATTTTGCTTTGTTCAACAAGTGGACAAGTAATGACATAGCTAGATTTTGAATTGACTCATCACGGGATACAATAAGCTCGTTAAGTCTCTCCAAAAGATTATGTTGAAAGTCGTCAGCATCAAATATTTCATGATTTACTGAAGAAAGTTGAATAAGTGTCTCTAGAGTCACTCTGACGGTAGTCTCACCACAAATGGATTTCTTGAATACTTTAATGAGCTTGGCGTAATCGCTGTAGAGGTTGTTAAGCAAAAGCTCACCAAGACTCTGGATAGATAATTGAACAAGGTCACTGGAGTAGACTTTGTTATTTTCAACCTTTGTAACCAATGAGTTTACAATCAGCTCAATCTGGGATTTTGTTATTTTTCCACGATTTGCGTTCTTGTATAACATATTCGAAATTTTGATACTCTCAATTATAACATTGAAAGATTTATTGTCAAGCGATTTAACCAAGTCGCCAGCGATGTATTCGACGATTGGGTCAGATAATGAATCCTGTTTCGCAGAAACTTCCAAAACGTTTCTGTAAAAGTTTAAGTAATGGAGCGATCCATCAGTTACCAATTGCAATTGTTTGAACTTGCTGAAAGTTGTTTCAACTAAAGCCTTTTCGTCAAATCTATTCAAACTTTCAATTAACTTTAATACCTTGGGCAATTGATTATGTTGGGTATTGACTAGAAGCTTATCCACAATTTTCTTTTCAATAAACTGGAAGCTTTCATCACGTCTTTCGAGCGTATTGTCAATGATGAAAATGACGGCTTTGATTGCTTCGTTGAAAACCAATTCGTTACGATCATCAATTGGAATCTGGTTAAATATTCCCAGGTAGATCAAATCAATGGAGCTAGGGAACTTATTCAAGAACGACCTGATTAGGATAGAAGACCTCATTCTTAACTTCCAAGATCCGTCGTCATCATCGTCTCCGTCGGCCTCGTTTTCCTCGTCACTGAATTCAATATCTTTGTCATCGTCATCCATATCAAGCATCTCATCGTCATCATCTTCATGAAATAATGGGTTATATGTGATGAAGAACTTGATAATTTTGAAGATTTCATTTTCAAAATTGCTAATATCGTTGTTGGACTTGACTAAATTATTCAACACGAACAAGGAGTCTTCACGAATAAGATTGTCCTCCAACAACCTGTCATAGTCCAAGTCCTCATCATGGTTTAATTCCTGCGACAACTTCAAATTAAGGGATATTTCCTTAAATATTTCACTCAAAAGCTCGGCCTCAATTAATAAGGGACTACTCATGAGGACGGAATACAACTGAGACTTGATAATGATGGTGTCACGGCTTCCTTGCTTGAGGTCGTGGTTATGGATGGAACGAATTGAGTTGTTCAAATCCTGCTCCCGAACGACATGCTTAAATAACAAACTGAAACCATGAATCGATCTTTTGCTGATGATTCCCGCCTCTTTAAAGGATATTTCGATGAGAAATAAAGACAAATTGTAAAGTTCGTCGCTGGTGAGGGATGACCCTAAGTTCTTGATCAAGTCAATGAGAATTTCAATGGAATCATACGTGATATCGTTCTTGATCAATTGCGGCAACAACTTGTTTATAATTGCCCTAGCGAGCTTAGCATCGAATTTGGAGTTTGATCTGGTCTTTTTTGAGTCTTCCTGACCTTCAGGGTGCTCGTTGGTGGTGTCAAAAATCGACCTCAAGGCCATATTGGGAATGGAGGTGGTGAAGCTTTTGAATTGGCCCTTGTCTCTGGATTTTGCATTCTCTTGCAAGATCAAGGTATACAACTGATCAATTACTTTAAGGGTTGCTTCATTGCTCAAGTAACGCACAGTGGGGGCAAACGACTTGATTGCCTGGCTCTGTACATCTGAATTGTGGTCCTGTAAGAGTCGGAAGAGGGTGGGGATGAATCCTTCAATGGCATTGTATCCTCCTAGATTCGAGGGCTGAGGCTTGGAGGATTCGAGATATTTCCGGTAGTCTTCCAAGGCCATGAACCGAAGATCCGGATCCACGTCCAAGGCCTTGTCTATGAGCACTTTGAGATTGATATCTTGCATTGGGGTGTGTTTTACAGTGGCCATTTTCGATATGAGGGTCAGAGTGCGGTTACGTAAGCAACCCAGTGGTGGGTTCAAATAGAGAAAATGAAACACTACTACCAACGCCTGACAAGGAACAACAGCAGTCTAAATACTGATTAGCAATAGAAGAGTGTAAGTTGTAATTTATACCTCGGCGAAGCCGAGTCAGGCGAGCAGTTGTTAGCACGATATGTCGATCGTAGTAGAAGTTTCAGAATTTTTGTTAGGAATTCCGCTAACTCCAGTTATGGTCTTGAATCTTTGAGAGAGGAAAATTCCACTGAAAAGACTAGTAAAGTGTGAGCTTGGACCCTCCAAAGTTGCATTATGTTGGATCATCAGGCTTTAGTGTTTTTGGCCCCATTATGGCAACAGCCATCATAATGACTAAGCAATAACGTAATCGTAACTATCTCCATGGAATGGAAATGGACCTAGCTGATTCAAAAATGCACAAATGTCGGAGGTTTTGTCCCCTAAGGTATGTTCATTTCTTCCTACCTAATTTCTCCTATATAAATCCATAGTTTATTATTCAGTGTCCTTGTACACAACCACTCTTGCACTGTTGGAAGCCTCTATTCAAACTTACAATTGCTTCAGAGATTGACTACTCCAAAAAATAAAAATGAATTTGGCAATCATATAGCCTTTTACCGCATATGAGAAAATTAACCTATTATTCTAAAATAGGGAGCACCTGGAACCAGTTGCTCCAGCTTCACTAAAAGTATTTCGCCCAATTTATACTGTTTATTATTGTCTATAAATACAGTGCTATGATTGTGGTTGGTCATCGGATATGCTGTAACTACTTCTTGCTCTTCTTCTTTTTTGCGGATTTGTCAAATTGGCTGACGTCCACTTCCTCCAAAATTAAGTTCGACTTCTCCTTCTTGTCCTTTTTGGACTTCTTTTCCTTCTTTGAGTTTTTTACCTTCTTGGAAGATTCGTCAGCTGGTGATTCTTGCTTGTCTTCCACGGTAGCATTTTCTTGCGCCTCTTCATTCTCTACTGCAACCTCTTCTTCCTTCTTCTCATCGACATCGTCTTCAAGGCCCTTTAAGGTAAACACTTCTCCCGTCAAAACCTCAAGCAAACCCTTACATCTCTCAGCATAGTCGATATCGACTTCTTCTTCCTTTGGTTCCTCCTTGGCCTTTTTCTTAGCCTTTTTGTCACTTTCGGTGTCTTCTTCCTTGGTGTCTTCCTTGGTTGGTTCCTGTACCCCATTCAGTTCTCTCTCAAGCTTGTCTTCGACCTCCTGGGCCAACTTGTTCCATTTTTGAATGACTTCCTTGAGGTCCTCAACCACTCTTCCTCTGGATCCGCCCTGCAAACCTTCCAAATAGGACTTCAACGCGTCTTCATACTCACCGGGTATGGTCTTGATGTTCTTCAATATCCAGTTCTGTTTCTGTTTGCTGAACTTCCAGTTATCACGATCGTTGTGATACTGCTTCAAGTATGCCAACTGATCCTTTTCGGGCGGAGGAGCCCTCTCACTCTTGGGCAATTTGGGTCTCTTGGGCTCCTTCTTCTCTTTGTTGCTCTCGTCTAACTTTCTCTTCTGCTTGTTGATTCTCTTGAGCTCCTTGTTGGTGACATTTGCGGTTTCAAGATGGGTGGATATCACGAGCGGATCGTGCTCCAATTCTTCCTTGACCTTTAAACCGATCCTCTTCCAGGCGGGAACGTGTGCAGACATGACGGTGGTAGTGTGTGGGATGGCTGTGGGTGGCTATAGCAGTTAGTTTAAACGGAAACTGTGATTTGGAGATGGGCTGGAGATGGCATCGAGGGTGGGTGCAGGACGGCTTATCTGCAGGACACGAGTATATGAAGGAAAATTTTCTGGAGGGGCAGAATTAATCTCCATCACTTCTACTAGTAGACAATACACGATTGAACTTCTCCATATGTAAACTACTTGCATGTGTGTGTCCAGCAGTACTGCTGGGCTGCGGCTGGTCGTTCTATGACCAGCAGCTCTCCACACTGGCTATATGAATGATACATGGTTTGAGTCCGTTACTCTCTTTTCAAGGGTAATGGATATAGAGATTGTACACATTTGCTTAGTTTTGTACCGCGTACTTGATCAACTTCTGGTAGCCTCCGATCGAGTCGATCAAGTCGGAGTTTTCCACGTACTCGTGGTCCGAGTGGGCCACCAAAATGGTGCCTGGACCGTACAAGTACCGTTTCTTGAGCGGAACCTTCAAGTGGGGAATGTCGGTGCTGTACGCCAACACCACCAGGTCGAAGCCAGGAACCTCGTAGTCGAGATGGGTCTCGGGACCCTTGGCCAATACCTCCAACTTCAAGTTTGCCACGGGATCAATGGCTTCGTGCACCAAACGGTCGATCTCGTCCACATCAGCAGCAACTCTGATGAACGCCCTGGCCTCTGCGTGTGCTGGAATCACATTGAGCGCAAGACCTCCGCTGAACTGGCCGATGTTCAACGTGGATGGGCCTAGCAAATCGGAGGCAGGCCATTGCACGTCCAACAACTTGTTCAAAGCGGGAAGCAAGATCTCGGACGCTGAAACTCCCAAATGGGGGTAGCCACTGTGGGCAGCCTTGCCGTCAGCAGTGAGCTGGAAGATGTAATAGCCCTTGTGGCCGACTCCGAGCTTCAACTCGGTGGGCTCGCCAAAGATCCCAGTTTCCCACTTGACACCCAATTGGTCCACGATGGACATACCCACACCGCTGATCTCCTCGCCCACCACGTACAATAACGACACATCGCCCTCCTTGAGGTCTCCCGAATGCACCAACGACAAGAAGGCGGCAATCTGGGTCGCAACCGAGCCCTTGGCGTCCGAGGACCCACGTCCGTAGATCTTGGTCCCATCCACCTTGTAGGGGATGTATGGAGGCACTGTGTCGATGTGGGACGTGAGCACCACCTTGGTGTCTCTGGTCTTGCCCAAGTAGGCGTAGACGTTGTAGCGGGTCTCAAACTGGTCGTGAATCTTCTGGAGCTCCACCGTTAACCCGTACGACTCGAGAAACGTCTTGAGGAACTGGGAGCCACGGCCTTCGTGGTTGGACGTCGAGTCCAACTCGATCAATTGCTTGTGGAGTGACAAGAGCGAGAACTTGCCTAGGGTGAAGTCCTGGAGCCCCTCAAAGTCGTTGCTCACGGGAGACAGAACGGCGTCATTGGAGAAGACCACCTGTGGGTCGTGAAAGGCAGCAGCACGCACAGTGGCGGCAGCAGCAGCAATGGTGGCTACGACAGACACGAGTTTCATTTTGTAGGGGGAGTATTTGGCAGCAGTTAGCCGCTTTATCTACAAATTGCGAAGCGCTTGTTGGGTGCCACAGTATACAGTACAGTCTATGACGTAAGGGCATGGGCTGTTGAGAAGGACGGGGCTGGAGAAGAAGTGGTGGAGGGCACGGTGGTGTGGCGCTGGGGATGTGGAGCGCTGTTTGTCAGCAGGAAGAGGGCCATATTGGAGGCTATTGGAGTAGTGGCATATCGTGGAGTAGCGGAGATATCGCACGGAATTGTGAGGATATCGCACGGAATAGTGAGGATGCTATCTTAGAAGGGTCCAGTTAATTCGGGTAATGGACTATCGCGGAATAGTGAGGATGTTATCACGAGCAGTGAAGGCAAACGGAATAGAGAAGGTAAGCGGAATAGAGACGATACTATCGCGGAGTAGAAGATGTAATTATCGTGGAATAGTGAAAGATAACGGAACAGTGAAAAATTATGGCGTGTAATTTTAGTGAAGGTTTCCATGGAATAGTGAAGATGTTGTCATGAATTACTGCTCTTGTGAAATAGGGAAGAATTTTGTCCTCCACCAATAAGATGGTAGTGTCCAATAGCGCTCAACGGGCTGGAACAGTGCTTTTTCTTATGTAGATTGATCAATTCAGCTCCTCCAAGTTGAAGTTTATTGTTGATTGGCCCACGATGTACCATTCAAGGAAGATCATGGCTCGTATTGTATACTGTAACTGTTTAGATTCTACACCTCTAGACTGAGACAGAAACTTACGCGGAAGAAGTGAATTTCCAAGAGATGCTTAGTCAATTAGACTTCTCTAGGAGAAGTGAACTATGGGTTCTATAAATACCCGGTTTAGTGGTCTTTATAGAGGTGGTATCAGAAACAGAACTGAGCTGAAAAACTCCGTTAACTAGGTTTCATGATCCCTCAATGAGAACGGCTTTATCCTCATCTTGTATGTGTCTGAAACGAAGAATAGATCATAATTGGGGTACTTTCGAGGACTCGAGCTTGCCAGGCTCGTTGCTGTCAACGGTCCTGTCAAAATATGCAAGTACCACAGAATTTCCTGGGACAGGAATTTCATAAATTAGCTGTTGCATTACTGGTCAAAAAGGTGCAGATAATGGACGAATAAAGATCATGAACAAGTTTACATACTTGATTCCAAGTATAATTTATAGGTGCTAGCCCTGCCATTCTCAGTGCACTAATTTACAGTGACTTTCTCTTTGATATCCGTATGAACTATGTACTAACTCAGTCTGTGGCCAGTGATATCATAAGCGTTGTCAAAAGCAAAAACAAGCAAAGTAATGAAAATATTACGAATAATGTTTTCTGTAGATTAGACAATGTCTAATTCTTGAAAAAAGTACAGTCTATAACTCACGACAGGTACCTCCATTTCTTGACAAGTGATTATCACCAAAACAAAGCCTGCAAGGATCAGTGTATGAATTAAAAATGCATACAAAATTAAATGGAGTTACTCGGGAATTGATGTCAATGTCCAATTATAGAATATACTATATCAGGACTCTTGGAATTATGATCAAGTCCAATTATTGACACATACTTGATGTGACTCTGTAAAGTTAGATGATTAGATATATGTATTACACTCGCAGCTTCCGAGATGTTTCTATACGTCAGTTTATCAAATCAGCCCTTGATTTCCTTATTTATTTACCGCCTTGCGTTTTAGGAAAGTGGTCACAAGAGCCTTAGTCACAATAATTTTTCACTAAAACTGAATACTGTCATGGAATAGCATTGACGTCACATTCCTCTACTAGAAATCCACTACCTGAAGCATTGTGGCATACTACATGAAGTATTCGTGGCATCTACATGAAGAATTCGTGGCAAGCTGTGTTCTTTTCTTGTCTCATAATAAACTAATTATATGGAGGCATACAAATCTAAGGGAAATTGTAGCTAGATTTACACCATTCCAGAGCACCATATACGGTAGAGTACGGTACTGTGGCCAGTGGCGTTTTTTTTTTGTTTCTGGGAGGAAGCTAGTTTGAGCAGATTCTCCACTAGATGGCTAATTACACCCACTCTTCAGTCAGCAAATGGGTGCTCCGCCAGCGACCCGCTTCAGAAGGCCAGCTAGTCCACCTCCTCGATCTTGGGCTGGTCCTTGGAGGCCTCGGGCTCTGTGGAGGCAGGAGCGGCTGCTTGGGCATCCTTCTCTTTCTTCTCTCTCTCCGCCACCCACGACTCGAAACGACGGTTCAAGTCGTCGGCAATCTCCTTGGCCGTTGCCTCTCTGTCACTGGAGGTCGTCATCTTGTACAAGGCTCCCAGAATGTAGCTGAAGGTGCTGGTGATGTACTGGTCGATTCTGGGGTCCTTTCCGTCGGGATTGAGGATCAGACGCGCCAACGACATCAAAGTCTGCTGCTCCTGGGGCAGTGGGGCTTCTTGGGTGGTGGTTGTGTCGGATTCGGGCATTATGTTGGTAGTAGCAATAAGTTGTGGCAACGAGTTGATATATGGGGTGGTCACGTGGCGGTGTCTGCATGTGCTTGTGGCCAGGTGGTAGCAACGGAATTGGTGGAATATGGCATGATATTGCCGATTGGGGCTAGCGGGGTTGGTACTATCAGGGGTTTATGGCCACGTATGGTGTTGTTTCCAATTGTGACGGTTTGTGCCTCGAAAGAGTAGTGATAATTACTACAAAGGAGTAGGTAGTAGGGGTGGATTTACTGGTCACGAAGGACTGCCTAACGGTCTGTGTGATGGTCGTCGTGCTTCTGCTGTGCCTTAAGGTATCTTTAAAGTATCTGGCCAGGAATGGGATTCGTAGCCCAATGTGCCAATTAATATCTTAAGCAAGAAGAATTGACCAATGCACCACAAACCGTTGAACCGTTGACTGCAACAAACTCCAACAATTGAGGTTCATTCGGCCCACGGTTGGTATTCAAGGATAATTCCCCTTTCGTAGGTGTTTCCACACCATAATGTTTATAATTGGCATACTTGACGTATTAAGTAGCTGAATTTGGAGCACGAAACGGCTGGAACCGTTTACTGGCCACTAACTTGAGCCACAATAGTATCTGTTCAGCCCAGGGTAGGTATTCGTGGATAATTCTCCTTTCGTTGTTCAAGATAATTCTTGTAACCATATGGAGCCCATAATTACCATCTTAAGCAATACGTACCAATAATCTACTACTATTGCAGCTTATAATGGCTTCAAACTGCAACAACTACGCTATCTCATCAGCCCAGAGCTCAATTTCGTGGATAATTCTCGTTTCGTGGGGCTTGCCACACCCATCCACTTCCAGAGCTGGCTTACACCGGTCCTATCGTGATTCGTGTGATTGCATACATACCTACTTACTTTCCTTGGGGTCCTTGGGGTCCTTGGTCTCAAGCTTGCCCAAACCTTCGAGCTTACCAAATCCCTCGAGCTTGCCTCCTTCGAGCTTTCCAAGCTGCTCAAGCTTGCCCAAGTGCTCAAGCTTTCCTCCTTCAAGCTTTCCAAGCTGCTCAAGCTTGCCCAAGTGTTCGAGCTTGCCCAAACCCTTGGCCAATTGGTCTTTCTCGTTGCCAGATAACGTCTCCAACTTGGCGTATCCTTCCTTGATGGTTTCTTGAATATCTTTCTGCGAAGGGTTGGAGCCGAGCTTGTCGGTGAGGACCTTGCCGAGCTCGCCGAATTGAGGTTGGTCTGACATGGTGGGTGGAATGGGAACGGATAAAGGTGGGGCTCTGGTGCATTATATAGTGAGGGAGAATGATCCTGGGGCTGTCTGCAGGACTGCAGGGTCTAGAAGGATGAGGTGCGGCTCCGTGTCGTTTATTGCCGATGTCGCATTTTTGCTTATGTAGCCGTGCAATGTGCACACGTGACCAGACATGTTTCCACGTCTCCGTATGTTCAGGCCCCGACTCGTGGTGGCCGACTGGGACGAGACTATCACCCTTGAGGATACCATCAGGCTCGTGGCTGACACTGCTTATGCCGCCAAACCCCGTTTCCAACCCCCATTTTCCCACTTTTCCCAGACGTATCTCGATGCCTACGACGCCCACAACCAGCAGTTTCTACGTCTCCACGGCAAAAGAGACTCGCTAGAAAAGGAGCTCGAGTACCAGCACGGCATGCGTGCGGTGGAGATGTCATCCATCGCGGAAATCGAGCGTTTGGGGCTCTTCAAGGGCTTAAAAAGTGCTCAGTTTCGCCTCCAGGCACAGCATGTCCAGATCAGACCCGGTGTAGAGCAGTTTTTGAGCCGTTGCAGGGACCAGAGCATCCCTGTTGTGATCCTAAGCATCAATTGGACGAAGGCGATCATCGCAGAGTGCTTGAAAAGGCTTGGATTTGAGGAAAACGACTTACTCCGGATCATAGTCAACGAGTTCGAGTACACCCACGAAGTTATCGATGGTGTAGCCACCGAATTGACCTCGGGAAAGTGGTCGCTGGAAACGAATGTGCGAACTGCCATCGACAAGCTTGAGTTCGTCAAGCTGTTGAAGAAAAAGCACTCGGATGTGCTCTACATAGGAGACAGTGGAACGGATCTCTTGGGGATGCTCGAGAGCGACAAGGCGGTGGTGATGGATAGGGGATCGGCTCTCAAGAGCCTCGACCTGCTTGGCATCAAGTATGGATGTGATTGGCACGAGAAAGTGTGTGTTGGCAGTTTTGAAGATATCAACAAATGGCTCGAGTGAAGCCAACGCAAAGCACAAGACTGGAAACAGGCGACTCGCCGAGGCCTCTACTCTACTGAAGCCGCAATTCGAAGCACACTAGTATACTGTTAAAATTACTCCATTATTGAAGCTTCAATTGAAAGCACAAAAGTGGTAGCATACTGAATTCAATGGCTCTGATGAAGTCGCAATGCTACGATAGCTAGTATACTATATTCAATGGCTCCAGCAACAATTCTGAAGTTCGAGCTAGGCATAGCAGCGTAGTATACTTTCTTTATGGTTTCTCCCAATTAATTTAATCCTTGGCTTCTCTGTCGAGATGAATCCACCACCCCACCGACACGAGCATTCTATACACATTTCGTATTTAGTCAATAATATTCTATTCCTTAACACCAGAAAAATAGAAGTTGGATATTCATGGAGGATGAAGCTGTATCTATGGAACCTTATGGTTTAGACAGCTTACTTAGTGGATTCTAACTGGTTTCCCATTTGTAGGGATGTTAATGGTTTAGGTTGGCCATTCTGTGGGGACCTTCTAATTTGGCCTGTACTATTATGTGTTATTGTATCTAATTTAGGCCGTGCTATTTTGTGGGATTCTAACTATCCATGCTGTACTTGTGGGAATCTATCTCAATTTGGGTGTACTTGTGTGTGTTCCAACTTGTGGTAGTGCATCCCCTTCAGAGTCTACCACTTCGTGGTCTTCTCCATTCAGCACACTGGTTAAATTTTTGCCTACACCAAGTCGATTCATCATTTATTACGTAGACTACAGATATGCAATAGACCAGCGGATCTTATAATACAAAGCACCTATCTTCTCCAGTTGTTGATGGCTGGAGCGTACGGCTGTTGCATGTGGGTGACAACTCCTCCTTGCATAGGCACGTATTGACTGTAAGCATACCCGGGAGGGGGAGGCCCCGGAGGACCCACTGGGTAGGGGTTTCCATTGGCGACCATCTGTGGGTGGTTCAATGGAGAACGGTGAGGCGCGCCCTGTCCTTCTGGAGGGGCCTGGTGGTGTGGAGGAGGCAATTGTCCGGGAGGAGGAGGAGGGCCTGGCTGGTAAAAGTACTGGGGCTGTTGGTTTGGCGACCAGCCTTGCTGGGGAGGATGGGGCAACTGGGGCGGAATGGGCTGCTGTCTGGGAGACTTGTGCTCCTGTTTGAAGGGCATGGGATAGACGTGTTGCTGGGGGGTATGCTGCTGAGGATAATGCTGGGAGGAGGGCTGTTGGGGGGTTTGTTGGGGGATGATGACAGGAATGGCAGGGCTCTGTTGGTGCTGGGGGTTGGGAGTGTGTTGTGCGGATTGTTGTCTTTGGTGCATGGGCTGGGGAGGTGCTGGGGTTGGTGCTTGGCTGTGAGGAGGAGCCTGTGCTGGCTGTGCTTGGTTGACCTGAGCCGATGGAGTCTGGGTTTGTGGCTGGGGGCCTTGGATGAATGCGATTCGCTCTGAAGGCAATAATGCAACAAGGTCCCGCAACATGAAGCTGGGGACATCTGGAGGATCCCTCAAAGGAGGTACCGGACCTTCCTTTTTGGAAGCTTTGACCAAGCTGTCTGCTCTGTCCTCAAAGTATGTGGCGTTCTTGATGTCGCCCACGATCTTGAAGCACGCTGCGGATCTGGCACATGCGTCGGAGGCGTCCATCAACTGGTCGTCGCAGCGTTCGTAGACACAGCTCAAGCCGTCCCAGGCGGTGGCCGTTCCGGGAGAGCCTTCTTCAAGCTGGAGGCGCAACGCTTGCGAGTATGCAGCCAATGCGTCCGACAACTGCTTCAATTGCAAGTACAACTTGCCGACCGCCAACCAGGTGATGGGCGAGTTGGATGCTCTTCTCAAGGCCACCTGGTACGAGTCGTACGCCAAGCGTGGCTGGTCCACCAACGAGTACGCTTTACCCATCAAGTACCATGGCAAGAAGTCGCCCTCTGTGTCGGGCTGGTCCGAGTCCTTTTCCTTCTCCAAGTCGATGATTTTGCTCAACAAATGGATGGCGATTTCGGCGTTGTTCTTGTCGTTGTTCAAAAGCAACAAGTATGCGTGGGTCATCAAGATACGGGGCGAGTTGCCCACCGCTATTTCTGCGCTTTCGCACGCCTGGATGGCGCCAGGGATGTCGTTGGCACGCTCCTTGACCGTGGCCAACGCACACCACAAGGCAATGTGCTCGTCGATGCGCGACAATGGAGGTGGCGGCAACGACAACGTGGCCGTCAACTCGGCAATCGACAATTCGATGTTGCCATCGGCAGTCGCAATGGCTGCCAATTCGGCGTGGGCGGCTCGGGCGGTTTCAATATCGCTGCTGGAGAACTGGCTGAGCGACTCAGGCAAGATCGACAAGCAGTGGGTCAAGGAGCCAGCCGCGTGGCTTCTGGCACCAGCACGGATCAACGTCTGGGCGCTTAGGAGCCACAACGACGCATCGTTGGGCGTCAACTGGATGGCGGTCTGGATGGCCTGGTGGGCCTGGTCGTTGAGGCCTATGAGCAAGTAGCACTCGGCCAACTCCTTGAACACGCCAGCATCCTTGAGCAAGGATGGATGGAGCTCCAACGCCTTGTTGAGGCGCTCTATGGACGTTTGCGACCCAACCGTCTCGTTCAAGTTGATGTCGTTGAGCCTGAGCGAGTAGCTCAAGCCGCAGATGGCGGTGGACGAGGAGGCGTCGTGGTGGACGGCATTCTCGTATGCTTTGATGGCGGCTACCGTGAGGCCCAAGGCGTTTGCACAGCTGCCACAGGCTATCCAAGTCTGGGTGACGCTTGCTTGGTAAGCAGCAGCACCGTCCTTTTCGAGATGGGGTCTCTTCAAGGGCGGCGATTGCAGCGAGATAGTTCTTTTGGGCATTCCACTAGGAGGAAGGGGGTGATTCAAAAAGAGCAAATATGCGAAACTAGTGGAAATTGCGGGATCCAATCTAATTAATAGTTTTTTGCTGGAGTTTTATCACTACTGCGGACAGTTGGAATCATAACACACAAAGGAAAGAAAGTTTAATCTGCTACCTAGAAAATATCCGCATATCTAATATTTTTTAAGGAATGATTGTAGAAAATATTTGTCATGGTGGTCCTGCGGTGGGCGAACAATCTTGGGTGGAATATAATTCAATGTCGCCCGACGCAGGCTACCCATGCTGCATGCATACTGCATTAGTTTGTGGAAATAGTCAAAAAAAAATTTGGTGGGAAAAAATATTATCCAGCCATCCCCGGAGAATACCTTGTAGCAGCGTAAATTGGCGCTACTTCCAGAATCCGCCGTTCTCTGTCCATGCGCGATGTACCACCACAAAAAATACCTTCTCCGGTGCCCAACCCACTGCCATCCTCCTAGCCACCGGAATATATCGCCCACTCCGCTTATCGCTCACCCCGGGACGAAATCCCCATGCCACCACCCAGTTTCATGCCTCCCATTCCACGTCTGCTCTCCTGACAATTTACTAGCTTTAAGGTTGTTACAGGCGCACGGCACCTGTTAGTTGATCTATTGTCTCTAATCGAAGTCCCTTATCCAGGAACAATAGCTCGGGATTAATGCTCACGCATGATGCGCACCAATGATCTAACGCAGACTCCATCGAACACCAAAGTGGGTGGTTTTTCACTAACCATGAAATTGGGCGCGGACCAACCTGGTGGTTATCCACCGCTATACGGCGTAAATAACGACTCTGGCGGTGGTGGGCAGCCCTAGAGTGGCCGTCCCTGACTTAGGTCTACTGGTACCATCGTTGGTCGTCGGGCCGACGAATGTCATTCCTGCATCGTCTAGTGGCAATTACAACTCTAAACGCATGCACCACTCACCACTTCTGAAACAAGCATGCTGTCTGGGCATCTAATGCGCAAGTTACCGGCCGAGCCATAAAAGAAGCCGGGGACGCCCACCTGTTCCATCAACACCGACATGTGCCAGAAAGCCATATGGATCGGAAATAAACTTTGTCTGCTGGTTGGGAGTGGTGAGACTGCCCCATCTGTGATGGGTGCATGTACCTAACTTGGGCTGGTGGGGGCCTCATAGGCCCAGCATGTGATCCAGGGCTGTAACCGAAAGTCTATTCGTCGAAGGTAGCCCGGACAATAAACTATGTGGGTGGGGGGTCAGTGCAATCTTATCCCAGTGGTTTGTGCCAACAGAAGCTTGCGGGAAGCGAACGGTAGACTAAATGACCCGTGTTCCTTGATTTCTTTTTGTAGTCGCATTATTTGTTGAGCGAAACAGTGACCGCAATGTGGGCCAAAGTATAATATATTGTCATGTCTCAGCTTGCATACGTATGTTGCTACGCAGCTCGCCAACCTGTAGGCAACCGCCAAATACGAGGGGTCCATCAGTTGGCCCAGCGGCTTGTGGGTATTAAGGTTTAGTCCGGTGATCCTTCCCGGTTCCTGGACGAGATTAACTCCGCACCGAAGAAGGTGGTGTGGTAAGGTGCTTGATCAATCCGGACTAACCGTGGGAGGCCAGATCTGCATTAGAACATGATATTCTGATTCATGCATACCATGCATGGTGAATAGTGTGAGTGTGTCTGTGGGAACGAAAAAATATTATAAAACTCATACCAGGCCACTGCGTTAGATTTTGCGTGTGCATGAATTTAAAATTTGAGTTACGAGTTGCAGGTATCCAAGAACAGCCCTATGCGGAAAAGAACAAGCGTTTATGCATCATGATATATTACGCGTGCATTATGCAACGCATATGTAAGGAACTCGAAACAGTTTGATGCCCAACTCCGTAATAGTTTTTCGTCTGATGATTAATAAGCCGCACCTTTTCCGACCCATTACTTTGCCAGGATGGGCCCATGTACGTCCTTCACAAAGACTTATCAAATGAATAGTAGTGCACAACTAGCCAGCCAGCTGACGGTGCCTATTTATTCCATAATAGCTATTGCTTAGCATTGTTCCTTGATACCGACTTTAGGGTTTGTTTTATATGAACGGGATTGATGATTACGACTCTCATGCGTAATTAACCTTTAAGCTTAGATATTCCTGTCGCAGTCTCATAACCGGGCAGGAAATTTTTTAACCGGCAGATTGAAACCGTTGTAACATTCGCACGACATCCAACTAAGCAGGGAGGTGCGATTGACGATCTATTATTATTATAAAGGGATATGGAAATCTGCATGTTGTATGCATATTTTGCATGTTATCATCCAAACTTCCATCGTCCTATTGAATCAACATTGGCTTATAGTGTTGCAGTTCTCATGTGTTCTAGGAAGAGAGCGACACAGCTTCCACATGTACTCTCCTAGATTCCCCTAGTATTTATTAATCAAGCAACTTTCTCGTACGAGTCGATCGGACATGCACATCAAAATATGAACAACAAAGCAATTCGTTGAATGTCGAATCGGATACTCCTATTCTTTTTTCGCATATTTGCATGGAGCATAAAAAATCTTTCCATCGCTTACGGTTGTTGAGGAGGCCCCAATTAGCCCACCCCCACCACATCAAAACGGGGCAAAGATATAAAGTGCCACTTTAGGTTCCCACATCCAAGGATTCAAAAAGGGCTAATCCCTATTATATTTCCCTTCCAAAAAAAAAGCAACCCCTTGTAGTTTCGTTGCTTATTGCTCACATTATATGCCTTTGTCCTGATGATTATTATGCTGGCCATGAACCCGTGTCGAACATCGAAATCCCCGAATATTATGTAGGATATGTGAATATCGATGCTAAACTAGCGTCGCAGGAGTTATGTACATGTTGTTGTTTGGCGTAAAGTTCCTCTTTATCTGCTAACCAGGTGGCAGTAATACCAAGCTCGCTACTGATATACCGAGGCTCTGTTCCTAAGCAAGTCTGGTGATGCTTTCTAAATACTTTGTCAAGATATCTGATACATCACCTTGTAAATCCCTACTGCAACTACTGGGTAACAAAAAGTTCTTGGAAGCTTCGTCAAGAGTACCGGAGGCTAAATTGTGCATCCATCTCACATTTTGTAACACACCGCAATTGAGACCGACAAGGAATGAATGCGCGGCAAAACTTTAGGTGTTGAAAACACAATTTAGCCCAAATTTCAAGCTCGATGATTTTTGAAGAAAATAGAAGTACGCATGTCACTGCGCTTATTATTTTGCGTGGTTGTACATATTTACGTTGGTGCAAAATAAACTCTGACGCACTTCCGAATTGGGCACCATTTCTGACCGGCTCGGGGCCCGGCTATAAATTACAAGTTCCGCAACCCAATTTTCTTTCCTAGAAGAGCGGAATTTCGTGGCATACATTAGTCTGACGTGCCCAGCTATTCAGGTGGCATATTCCTCATCAATCTTCAGACAATCTATTGGTCAAGAAACTTGATTACCTCTGTGGGTGTGGTTTATAAACTAGTTTTAAAAATAGACTTGTTATGATGCCTAATTTTTCCGCTTCCCACCTATAACCATCGCAAAGAATGCGTCATGCATTACACCTGTTCCAGGCTAAACTTGTACTCGCATGAACAAAGAATTGCACCACCGTTGTACCCCAATCCCGTAGCAGTAATAAAGTCTCATCCCGGCCCTAGTGGGTGCTCGCTAAAAACAGCCAACTCGGAAGTGACGAGGGCTTCATAGTTCAAGATGTTAGAAGTTGTTCGTAAACGTAGATAGTTGTTTCAGTTCTTCAATTCACGCTTTCACATGAAGTCGACTGACAAGACCTGCATTATCTCCATCCTAACATGGCACATGCCAAGAATGCTATATAGCCGATTTCATAAACGGTTTGTTAGAGTTTTGCAGTGCTTTGTTATCAGATCGTATTGTTACCCAAAACTGGTCTAAACCTCTAGAAGGCCAGGAAAAATCACAAGATATTTGTTCCGCGCTGCTCCAGAAATATCTGTCTGTTCAATACTCTTCAAAGGTTAGCATTAATCCCCTTGAAGAGAGATATTCTATGATTAGATGGAATGCAATACCTGTGGTCTGAGCTTCCGCTCCTCAACTTATTATCAGTTCTCTACAGCACACCTATTAGCGGCTGCGCATAAAAAAAATATGAAAATAGGGTTTAGACAAGCCACCTTCTCATAATACCGAGTAGGGTCCATAATTTATGGGCGCTGCTTCCATTTAAAGGTTTAGTACCTTCACCAACATTATCTATTTTGAGGCTTGAAATTACATGGGTAGACAACAGAACCTCCAAATTATGCCTGTGTACGACACTACGGCATTCGGAGTTGTAAAGGCTAATTCCTCTACTCCGCGTATTTGCAAAATGCCAATATGATGGAAGAAGCCATACTGCAATTTTGCTCTTCGACTATTAAAGTTGCTTTTCACCTGCAATGGCCCCTGCCTACCCGAACAAGTTCGCTCAGACTGACCTATCTACCAAGCTCTAACGGGTATGCGGGAAAGCTAATTTAATATCGAGGCGTATGCTGTTTCAGGTAAATGTAGTGGTTCTTATAATCATAGTTGGGTAGTCTGCTGTTGTTACTGCCGACTTTTAGACATAATACTATGAAATAATCTCGATTAAGTTTGAAATCGGACGCAACTTGATTGATACGCATTTCGCTTATTTTCCGCCTGTACCCGACAACTAACTAAACAGCAAGCATGCATTGTGCCAAAAGCACCGACACCATGTAATTGCACAAAAGGGCACAAATTACCGACTTGGCCAAGAATTATAATCCGTGGAAAGTAGTTCACCAGGTTTGAATTAGTTCAAGACTATTTGACGTCGAGGGGAACTCCTCCTTAGAAAGCCTCCAAATACAGGTGATCGGCCTTCTAATGTGAAAACTTTACACAATGCGTTGCAATACTCGATGCTCTAGTTTTTTTCTGAATTTCACTTGCTGGCCTGAGAATGTGCATATTGTCGAGCATACACTCGCAGATAATTACATGGTTGAATCAGATTACGGGAAAAAAATTGGGTTCATCACATATTTGATGTCCACAAAGATGATATCGATAATCTTGTACGCCTTAGATGGGAACGATTGGCGACTACATACGAATCATTCGTATGCAATGTCAGTCGAATTACGAGAGGCACAAGCATGGGGCAGGAACAAAAGCGAGATTTGTTTCGCTACTTCATGCACACGGTGATCGAAAATAAACGACTCTTCACCACTTGTGTATTGGCAGAATCATATGGCCCCGAGTTATATCTCAATGGGTCTAAAATTTTCTGAGAAAATTTGGTCACATGTCATTGTATCACGCGGCATCAGATTAGTGCCAAAGTCATCGCTGAAGCCTATTAGTGTGAATCAATGATAAGTCCCAGAAGCGTCAACTTGGCACGTAGATGCCTCTGGTTGTTTCGCAGATCTAACTCGTCGTCGTCACTTACGCTCACCACTTCTGCTTTGCTCACCAACTTGTTTCAGTCGTGCAAGTCCTGTGGAATCAAATTGCAAACCAAAGATCCCAAAAAACCAGGGTATTACATACTCGACTCTGGCAGCTCGAATGGTGGCAAAGTTCATATCAAGAAAGAGGATGAAGTCTTCAATAAATATGTGAATAATCTCTCTCCGGATGATCAGAAACTATTAATCAATGACTTTTCAAAGGTGCACCAAGTCGGAACTGATCACTTGAAAGCACTCACAGACCCTAAATCAGTATCCTTAGAACTCAAGAACGCGTCAGAGAAGAGAAAGTTCAAACTAGACGAAGACACAAATGCTATTGAGTGTACCAGATGCAGAGATGCTACATATCGGTCAAACTTTAGGGACCTTTCTCAAACCGAATATCCTGTGGAAACAATAGATACCGTTCTCGGACCTATCCCACTTGACGGGAAGATTGTGTATGTGATGAGTGCGCAGGACTTTCCCATGACCTTGGATCCAAAAGTTTTCCAGTTCAGATCTCCTGCCAACATTAAATTTCTCATAAACAAGTCAGATTTGTTATTCAAGAATAATGAACTAAATCTCAAATATGGGCTCACATTTGTACAAGATTATCTTCATTTCAAGTATGGAGTTCCTAAAGAAAACGTCATGATCGTCAGTGGTTTAATCAACTGGAACATCAAGAAGGTTATCGATTTCATTGTCGATGGGAGTTACTTGGTTGGAAACGTCAACAGTGGAAAATCAACAATCATCAAGTCAATCCTCTACTATTTGAGCACGCAAAAGAAGAAAAATCGCTCGTTGATGTCCCAAAAAGAAAGAACTAGATTGGAAAAAGAGCAAGACAAATTGATGAATATTAGGGATACCGAAACCGTAAAGAGCAGATCAAAATTAAGAAAAGAGATGAGGGAATTCGAAGCATTTTTCAGATCCAAGGTAGGTCCGGGTGTGTCCTATATACCTGGATTCACCCGCGGATTCATTCAAATTGATCTTGAAGGAGTTAACAAAACTATTTACGATGTTCCTGGATTTGTCAAGACATTCCCAGGCAAGGAGAAGGAATCACACGGTTTATTTAGATCAATTTCCTCCACAAAATTGATCAAGCAACTTACCAAAGGTGCTAAGGTCTTCGAAAAGGGACTCTATAATTCCAAATACCATACCATCAAGAACGGCCAGTGCTTGACGATGGGTGGTGTCTTCTTTCTCAATTTTCCAGAGCAGTCCATGTTTCAGATCCGGAACTGTATCAATTACGATTACAAGGTATTCAATAACTTCTCTAAGGCAGTCCATGTCAGCTCGCACCTTGTTGACTACCCGGGCATGGAGAAACAGTTTCTAGTCAACCACGACAGACAGAGTATTCAAAATATGAATAGGTTCATTGTTCCACCATTCTACGGCTCCATAGATTTGGTCATTCAAGGCGTGGGACACATTAATATTGTTCCAACTGGAACCAAGGCAAGCAACCAGCCTCTTGTATTGTACTTAATTCCCGGGGTGGAAGCAATCATCAGGCAGCCCATCACCAAGTATATTGCCAAAACATTCACCGGAAGAGATGCAAATGGTAATCCTTTGAGGAAGGAAAATTACTTACAGAAGAGTACTTTTGCTCTCCAAAGATACAGTGCGAAGGAGCCATTTTATTCGAGATTGATTGCAAGTGATCCACGAGAGTTGAACCATTTACTCGAGAATGCGGAGCTTGATGCTGAAGTAAAAGAGCAGATTATTTCCAGAGACTACGAAAGCATCGCCAAGTGGAAAAGCCTACTTGGAGGCAGGCGCTCGGAATTTGGTGAGAGCACAGAAATTGGCCCCAACAACAAATACGATTATTGGGTTGAACAGTAATGGACAAGAACGGACGAATTGTTCTTGTTTAGGAAATAAGGAGTTCTGTGGCGAATGATGGTGGAGCGAAAGCTGTCCATTCACTCCTCAAACCTTGGAAGTATCCGTGCGTTGGCTTCTGTTGCTTGCGTTAACCCCGATGTGGGTAATGAAGCCCGCGCCGTGCATCAGGCAGAGCTAAAACTCAGTTTCAGCATGGCCGCGCGTTTAGCACAACCCACCTTGGTCCCATTTAACCCGTTCCGTCATGGAACGATCGTGAAACGGAATCACTTGTACATAGTGTGGTCCATGGACCACCGGCCTGGCGAACCAGAAGTTTGACACCAAGACAATGTCGCTTGTAAATAGTTACGTAAAAATAGCATGGAGAACCAGATCGAAGACTATTTGGTAAAGTGTGCGTTATGTGTGTAAAGTGCACCCCCAACGGGGCATGGAACGCGACCGTTCAGGACATCGGTGCAGCGCATAAACGACGCTATCCGAAGGGGGCACCACGCACAGGGGCTACGTGCATGGCATAACCGACGCGACTGGCGGGCAGGCGATCACCGGCACCAACCGTTTCCGGGACCGTCGCACCCCTGCCGAAGGTCCAGCCTCTGTCAACCCATGCCCACTGACTAGAAACCCTACCATGGCGCCTCCCCCTTGCCTCCCTCACTAAACAAGGCTTCCTCCCGCCTCAAACGTCAACGCGCCCCGCCATCTCGCAGCCCCCCTTTGTATATGTATTGGTGCGCGCACCCCCGATTTGCTCGCGCCGCAAAATCTAAACAAATAATACCAACAATATAATCATCCCGATTTGTGCTGCATCTGCCGTGTTTCAGTTAATCAGCCTTATAGACATCGCCATCTGCCAGCTTGTCCCGCCGTGTGCTTCGTGTCTGATTGTCTTTTTCTCGTTTCCACCGTCCCAGCCTTGTCCTGGCTCCAGTCACCTTCTTCGCTCGTTCCTCGTCTATCGTTGCCCACTGAGAACAATCGTCTCCATCCACTCGCTATATCTTACCCCAGAATCCACCATGTTGAGAAGCCAGAGCATCTCCAACCTTAGCGACCATCGCAAGTCCAAAACAGGCGGGCTCTTCAGTGGATTGCGGTCCAAGAAACTGTCAATGTCAGATCTTCACTCAATTGTCTCAAGCGGCAAGAAGCTGTCAATGTCAGATCTTCACTCTATTGTGTCTGGCAAAAAAACCAGGCCTTTGAGCACCACTGGCGCTGCTTCGCTCAACTCGTCGAAGCCTGACTACAAGCCCAAACTCTCGCCTATCTCCCACAGCTCGTCGGCCGCCCAACAGAGGTTGAGCGTCCTGGGAGAGAACAAGGAAAACATCCCCACCGCAACAGCGAGATACAAGTCGTTGAAGTCCCGCTCTAGCGCCCCCAACTTGTCAGCCATCACCCACTCCAAGCCTTCGAAGAACAACAGGACCTCAGTTTTGCTTGGGGGAGTGCCCATCTCCAAGCCCATCATTCACGCCGACAGCTTCTCGGAGTCGATGCAGTCCCAGTCTGTGAACTCATCGCCCATCACCCCGGAGACCGTCAACACTGTCGACTCGCTCTTGGACCTGACATCCATTCAGATCTACGACTTCGAAAATAACCCCGATTCCATTGATCACGATACGGACATTTCAGATACTACCTCCTTCACCACCTTATCGTCGTCTGTGGACCTTGACGAGAAGAAATCTGGATCTCGCCATTCGAGTGCGTTGGAGGTTCTACCACACATTTCATCACAAGACCTCAAGACTGTCAACATGAAGCCACGTCCCCAACATCGCACCACCCGCCTTTTTGATGTCGAGGACTTTGTCAAGTTGATGTACTCGGCAAACGGACCTCTCGAAATGGGCAAGTTGCCGTTGAACGACAGAGACTCCACCAAAATCGAATTGCAAGAAAAGGCCCAATTGCTATCCAAATTGAACACAGAAAACGAGTACAGCACATCCTTGACATTCCTTGAAAACGTGGAGTTATTCTCGATCACCACTGACACTTCTAAAGCAAAAGCATCGTTTGAGGCTTCAGTCAACCAGATGGACTTCCTACTGGTATTGAAGGACGACCCTTACAATGACATTTCGGAGGATAACGAACTTTTTATTTAATGGTGAAAGAACTCTTTCAATTCTGGGACATGTTTGGCATGGATTGTGTATTATATTTATATTTTAATGGATTTTATGAGACCTTCAATTTGTTGTAGAAGAAATATATGCAAAATATCTGTAAGTTAGTTTCACCCTCTTGAAGAAGCAAAAAAGTAATTGCGATTTCTGTGGATCGAACACAGGACCTTCAGATTAACTGTGACTGAATCTCTTCAGTCTGACGCTCTCCCAACTGAGCTAAAACCGCAAATCGAACCCACGCCGGGAGTCGAACCCGGAATCTTTTGATTAGAAGTCAAACGCGTTAACCATTACGCTACGCAGGCATCTTTTTGTTCGTAAAAAGTAAGTTTCAACCTTACCATTCAATTTGTTTGATTAGTAAGCAATTATTAATCACAAATTAGAGAACATGGGCTTTCTTCTCGTCCAACCACTATTTTACTCCAAGTTACTTACAAAATATTTTTGTTTTACGAAGGAGTTGATCCATGAACCAAGCTGCCAAAATCAACAAAAATTGCAAAAATCATTTGACCATAATCTACCTCTGGTTTGTGTGCTTCACTAGGTAAGGAGCCTTACCCAGGCAGTACTGGGTTAAAATGCAGCAAATAGTTCATTTAGAGTTTAATATTAGAATTTACGTCATTTTCTAAGAACAATATCTCTAGTCAGCTTACAACAGCTATCAGTACTATGCCAGACTTGAACGTATTTTTCCTTGTAAACATTTATGGCTCTTCTGTCCTCAAAATCCCTGAGACCAGGTCATCATCATCCCTCCTCTTATCCAAAAGATCTTTTTCTTGCCCAAACTACCAGAACAGTGCATAGAATTTTGGGCCATGTGACTTTATTAATTTTACCTGCTACACATTTATCATCATGATATTAAGTCTAACTATATACTTATTGCAATGAAAACACACCTTCAATTCACCGTTTTTGATAGATGAGGTCAAATCTTTATTAAAATAATTCTTTATTAGATTTTTATTTTGCATCTTGGTGTAAACCGTATGGAACTCCTTGTAGAAGCAAATCATGTTAGCTGTTATTTTGTATTAATTGTGGATTAGGTTATTCATCCATTTTGGCTGTACTTAAATATGATCCGATTCTTGCTTGACCCAGTTGGACACCTGAAATGATTGCGCACAATGATTATATGTCATTGGATATGAATAGTTACCTTAACCTTAATCAATTGTGCTTGTATACCAAATCAGAAATTTTGGGGGGGTAAGTCATATAATCTATCTACTGTATTTTTCATTTTTGTAGAAAAATTTATTAAAATTCGCAATCTTTTATCCGAAATTAAAATTTAACCTTTTCAGGAAACAGAGTGCTAGCTGAAACTAGTTCTTTTGAAACTCACCTGGTAACAAGGTTAGCGTCAGATTAATATAAAAATACCAGCATCAATGAGACAAAACTAAAAGGCCGAGTAGGGTTGACAATTATACTCAACTATCATCATTGAATATTTTATGTACGTCGGTACTTAGATAGATTTAGATATGAGACTGGGTACAAATACAGTGTTTCCAAAGTACATTCGAACCCTCGGCCCGGAATTGTTCGTAATACGGGCAAGCCAAATTTCATAATAGGGGCCGGAACTTTTCATACTTGGGCCAGCATATTCATACCTCAAAAAAAAAATGTAAGCCCCCCACAATTGAGGTCATTCGTGTAGCATACATCTAGAGAATCGTGCTTAAATGTAATCGAAAACAAGGCCAAAAGAACCTTTCATGATTTCTCTCCCTATTTTATCTAGAATAATCGCTTTTCTCTACACAATTCAATATGTTCACTGGCATGTCTACAAAATCCTTCATAGCTTTCAATAGAGATTTTACTTGTGGCATCTTTCACCTTTGGAGTTAATTGCTCCTTTTTACTTAGGTTAGAACGTTTTACTTTAGACTTGCATACTGACCAAAATTCTTCTATAGCATTTAATGCTGGAGAATAAGGAGGTAAATAGACTAACTCCAATCCGCTCAGAGCAACTAATAGCTGAATATCACGACGTTTGTGGATAGCAGCATTATCAAGAATCAAGTACTTCATTTCCTTTAGTTCCTCGTTCATTTCTATTTTCTTGATGACGCTTTTGATGAATAAACTTATGTGATTAGCTGTAGTACCTCTAGCCACAGGTTGACTTACAGTAGAGTCTAACTTTCTC